GGTCGAGAGTGGACGAGACAGGCTGACCGGGCGCGACGCGGAAAAGATCTACATGTCTCTGGAAAGCGTCATTGCGTCGTTCACTGGCCGTGTAGTAGCGTCCGTAGCGCTCTTCGCGAGCATGCCAGTAAATGCGCGTGTGCTTGGCTGGGTGCCTAGTGAGTCGTGTTGCAGCTGTCGCGGACTTGAAGCATTCGCGGCAAAACCCTCCGACGAAGCCGTGAGGCAGGCGCGAATCAAGTCTGGCGAAAATGGGTGGATCGCACGGCCTCTGACATCCCGTGCAATAGCGTGAGAGCTGGCCAATCGCGATCTCGCGCCAAGTCTGATGATTCTCCCGGCGGAGTGCACGCGGGTTTGGTAGCATGCTTAGCCAGATGAGGTCGTCCTGCGCAAGTTGTCTGAGGTGTACGCAGGCTTGCGATAGAGCCACAGCNTCGCGTACGTCGGCTTTGCCAGCTTCGACGAAAATATGTCGCAACATCTCTACAGGGAGACGAAACAAAGGTGCTGCCTGCAAGGCGCGCTTGAAGCCGGCTGTGGCGACTGTGGCTGCTGATATTGACATAAGCGAGCTAGCTTGCGCTGTAGGGCCGGAAGAGGTCATATCGACCAAGAGCGAGCGTCCTGTGCGGTAGTCGTCAAGACTTAGTCCGAGGTTTCGCTGATCTCCCCAGTCATCATAAGCGCTGCCGTGTCGTTCGCGACGCTGCCGTACAGGCGGAAAAGGAGATACGTCGAGGAACGGCGGCCAAGCACGCACGTAATACGCCATCGCTCAGCCTTGCGCCTCGAAAGTCGATCTGGTCGCAGTCGCTGTGACTGATCTCAGGTGTCGGGTTGGGATGCTCGATGGGTTCGCTCACTCAAGTACGACATATCATACTTGTCGCGTACTGGTCCAGCAAAGTAGGTATGGATGTGTTGTTGCGCGAGTCAGCCTAAGCCTTGACAGATGCGGCGGCTGATGGCGCGACTTTTGGGGAACGCGCCGAGGTCGCACACCTTCGTGATCGATATGATCCCCTCGAAGCGGTGTAGCTGTAGCCGGGAACGGGAGTGAATATTGAAGCCACATGGAGCCATTGCGTCATCATCATGGTCGCCGATAGGGTGCTGCTGCGTCGGCGGGTTGCACCGAATGACCGTCCATGCATTCAGTGTCGCAGCTGGCCGCGATGCTGAATGCGATGCTCAAGGCGCGAGATGCGTATGCGCTAGGGCGACAGCATTGAGAAGAGGTCGCTGGATCGTTGAGCATCGAACGAGCGCACACAGTCTCCGGACGGATACGATCGCACGACACAGTCATTGGCAGCTAGCGAGCGACCGAGCCAGATTCGACTTGAAGGCCATCGTCAAGGCTACATCGATGCAGCTCATTGACCGATGCAAACAGCAGGAAGACGAATGCATGGTGGAGACTCGACGAGAAGCTCACGTCTTCAGAATTTGTCCGCGCCGGCGCAAATCGCCGACACGGCACGCACCACAAGCCAAGGCTGACCGCTGCGCGAGAGCTTGTTCAGTCCACAAGGTGACGGTCTGGCGTTTGCAACAACGGCAGATCCCCGCTCTACAGCTACCTCACATAAGTCGGCCGCATCCGTCCTCTCGTACTCTTGCCACCGTCATCGATCAGTTGATTTTCCAGGGAAACTGTCCTTTACGCTACACATGCTTCTGCAGTCATCTCCAGACACAGCGTCAACTCGATGCGGCGACCATCTCCATTACCAGCTCGTGGCGCGAGAACTGCACTGACCAGCGACCACTCGCCGTGTTGAGTGTCCTGCCCGCCGATTACCTAGACCTGTACCACAGAGAGAATGGGACTCTGTGCACGATGGCCTCGCATTGGGCTATCTATCCAACTGAGCATATACTTTTACATCGCTGCATTCGTGACAATTCGCTCGCTGCTCGCACTTTCGCTCTCGTCTTAGGCGAAAGGATTAACAGCGATGACCTAGGGGGCGGAGCTGACTGTCAGCCTTTGCACGGATTCGAGAGTAGAATGCATACCTTGATCACCGGTGGCGACTTCTGTACGTCGGCCGTGACGATGACGAGGACCTCCTGAAGGTCACGCACAGTCTGGGTAAAGTGACCGGATGGAGTAGCTTCGAGAGCGTCGAACACGAATCGTTGCTCTGAGCGCGACTTGTCATGCTGTCGGGAATCGATCGCAGTCGCTGGATCGCTGTGCTGAGCATGACTGCTGTCTTCGTCGAACAGATCGTGCTCGGATGATCGTTGGCCGTTACTGACATGCATATTCGTCGTATGGTAGGCTGCCTGATCGCGGAGCATCTGCAGATGAGCATCTGCAGAGTGTTCTGCCAGCCATTTGACGACATCTACTCCTCGCTTCCAGTACAGTGTCAGCGAATTCTCTCGTGGTTCGTGCACGTGGTTCTGCCGAGCGAGCAGCAGGCAATTAGCATGATGAGTCAACATCGAGCACTGTCAAAGCTTACGTCAATAGGCATCTGATCGATGTGCACACGCTTCTCGATGCCAAACTCGGGCACGAAGACGTCAAACGCCTGATCAAGGACAGCGACGACGTTAGCTGGTCGGACGACTGGGCCGTACTTTTGCGTGAGCTCCGAGATCAGCATGCACAGGTAGAGATGCTGCGAGGCTTCTTGTGCGGATTTGGCCGCGCTTCGCTTGACGTTGCATTGTTGAGCAATTTGGCCCACGCCTTCTGCATCGACGCCAAACTTGATGTCGGCTGTTGCTACATTGGACGGGCGAGAAGAGATCAGTCAGGCCTAGGGACACAGAAGAGCGATGTGCTCACCACCCAAAAGGACTGCTTCTAGCTGGCGATGGACGAGCACGTCGGCGTAGCGTCTGATCGGCGATGTAAAATGCGTGTACAGCTCAACGTTGAGTGCATAATGGAGATACTTAGAGATGTCGAGAAGACCAGTGCAAAAGTATTCGGCCTGCTTCATGGTCTTGACGACTAGCAGTTGCGTCAGCAAATGACTGGCAGCGTCTTTGTCTTTTATGGCGTCAAAGCTGCGTTGCAGTGCACCAGCGCTGCTCGTGTCAAGCGTAAGACCCATTGCCTCCACTTTCGCCTCAAAGGCTGTAAGGCGACGCTCTACTGGACCTTCATGGCGGCGACAGAGTGCTTGCTCAGGCAGACCATTTGCCACCTTGATTGCGACTGAGGTATTGGCGAGCAGCATGAACTCCTCGATAAGCTCGTTCGAGGCGCGTCTGACAATGGCGTCGCAGTCAACCGGCGAGCCTCGATCGTCAAGCGCGAAGTAGAGCTTGATGTTGTCCACACGGAGCGAGCCCTGATCTGAGCGTCTAGCTCGGAGCTTTTGCGCAAGAGTATCGAGCAGTCTGATGCTCTCTTCAACCTCGCTCCGAGACTTGCCATTGGAGATCTTTGCATCGTCTGGCAGCGGACGGCCTTCGATGACCTCTTGGGCGAAGCTGTAGGCAAGCTGACTGCAGGAGCGAATGACGGTCTTGCCGAACCAAGTGTTGATCACTTTGCCATCGGGGGTCAAGTTGAGCACGACGCTGAATGTCAGCTTGTCCTCGTTTGCGCGGAGACTGCACAAAGTCTCGCTGAGCGCAGCTGGTAGCATGGGTATGACCTTCTGGACCAGGTAGACAGATGTTGCTCGTCTACGGGCTTCGCGGTCGAGTGCAGTATTTGGCTTGACGTAATGACTCACATCGGCGATATGGATACCGACCTCGAAATTGCCATCCTCGAGCTGACGGATGTGAACGGCGTCGTCCAGATCTTTTGCTGTAATAGGATCGATCGTGAAGACTGTCTCCTGACGATAGTCTTTGCGAGCATCACACTCTGCTTCCGAGATGGTAGGCACAGGCGGCAGACATTTGAGCACGACTTCAGCAAAGGGCTCTGCGGCCACATTGTTGTCGGCGAGGATGGCTTGCGTCTCGGTCTCGATATCACCGATTGGACCGAGTTCGTTTACGAGTGTGCCGAAGGGATGAAGCGAGGTAATAGGCCAACGTTTGATGCAGGCCACAAATAGTCGAGACGAGTAGGCATCAGGGTTGGCGCAGAAGTCTTCTGGAACGTCACTGACAGGGATGGCGACTAAAGGCACGCGCTTATCAGTCGGCTTGAACCAACAGATCTTGGGCTTCTCCTTCTGACGATGATCATCCCGAACATCTATACCATCTCGTTCGCGCTTCTCAGCGTCTTGCTTCTCCTTCGTCGCAGCAGATGAGGGTCGCAAGAGCCCGAGCTGTCCAGAGAAGAGCTGACCAGGCTGCCTGGAGATAACGGCGACGACGTGGCCTGCATAAGTCGGCTTATGTTCGTCTGTTACCTCATCGTCCTCGAATAGCGTCAAGCCTTGTCCTTCTACCTCGACGTCATCCTTCTTTTTCTCGTGACGACGCATCGTTTGAGCAGCGCGCGGATCGTATGACGTTGCCTCTTCTTTCTTTCGCTTCTTGTCCTCCTTTTCCTTTTTGCTGCCCCAGACCTCATCAACATCGAGCAGCTCGACGGCGACGGTATCAGACTCCAGTGCGCGATTGCGATCCTTTGAACCGCAAATATAGATATCCGACTCGAGTCCCTCGGCAGTAACATATGCATCCGAGCGATTGCGCTTATTGACACGGAGGACACCGATGACGAGCTTCCCGGTCGCGAGCAGAGGCGGGATGGACGCCTGGGGCAGGTAGGGTGCAAAGAGCGACTTGCGCTGTGACGAGCCGTGCGATGGTGCAGGTGCTGGACTGCCGAAATGCGCCTGACTGAACGAGGGTACTTTCGCATGACCGGCTGTGGCGCGGTACTTGCTCAACTCGGCCAGCTCGTACTGAGCTTGTGCTAGGTCGTTGGCAGGGAGGGGAGCGTTGTTCTGAATCTGATGACTCGAATCTGGGTGGGCTCTCATGTCAGTTGCGCGTCAGGCGACATCAGTGCAGCGAAGCTCACTCGTTCCCCATCCTTGCAGATTACCGACGCTGCCTCTTCTGACATGCGTTGCATAATTCTGTCCGACAGCAGGCATCGGCAGCTCGACATCACCGCCGCCGATGGCGGATTCTTCGAGATATCGAGGCGTGTTGCCGGGAAAATGGAATGCCCCCATCGAGCCCACTGAACTTTGCGATGTGTGACCTGCACCATTTGCAACGGTTCCAGTCGCAGGTCGGCTAGCGAGGTTGGCGCTATGGCGCCTGCCGTGACCAGTGCGATTCGTCGAGAGACTCTGACCTGCGCCGATGCTACCCATTGCGCCTGCGCCGAAGGAGGCCGCTGGCGAGGCAGCAAAATTAGACGCAGCCGTACCAGTGACTTGCTGACTCTGATGCCGACGATGGCTTCCATGAAGAGGAGCTGGTCCGCGCGGTTGTGCGGACGCGCTGCCCGTCGGGACTTGGCCGCCAGAGATGGCAACATCGCCGAAGCGGGCGATCAGTGCGTCTTGCTGTGCTCTGAGATTTTCGAGCTGGGCTGTAATGGCCATCTGCTCTGCGACGAGATCATTCACGCTTTCGGAAGGCGGAGCCTGCGCGAGCACAGGCGGCGGTGCGGCGCGACCGTTCTGGCCCATCAGCGCAACTTGCATCTGCGATAGCAAGTTCGATTGCATCTCGATCATTTGGGTAGGCGACAGTGTGCCCATAGCCTGCATGTTCTGGAGCTGTTGGAGTTGCTGGAAGTGATTCTGGAGCTGCTGCTGCTGATGGAACTGTTGCTGCATCTCTGCATACTCGCCAGCGGATGCATGTGCAGGTATCTGATGCGCAAGCTCGGCAATACCATCGTATTGCGAGCCGTGCGACGGTGTGATGGTAGTGGACTTGAAATGACCCGTGACCGGCGTCAGGAGAACTTCCCGATCGACTTCTTCCAGCGAATGTAAGCCGGGTTGAAAGCCACCTGCACTCGGGTTGAGCGTAGACTGATTGGCCAGAACCGGTTCGGGAGGTGGGTTTGCAATCTGCGCGGTAGAGTACAAGGTCTGATTGTCGGTCGTACGACTGTAGCGTGAAGTAGACGGAGCAGAGCCGATGCTAGATGTCGAACCTGCACCTTTGCGGTGACCAGGCACGGCATGATTGGCGCGATTTTTGGCTGGGCTGGCGCTAGCTGAAGCATTGGAAGCAGTCGAGGCGTTCTTGCGGTGCCGTGAGTCCGTCTGGCCATCTGAAGTCTGCCGGAGATCGGAAAGGATGTCTTGTATCTTGCGCTCGCCTTCCGAAGCCGGCTCCTGGCCTGGCAATGCGGCATTGGCAGGAGCGGGCGAAGGCGGTCCGGAGCGCTTGCCGGTCGGGCGACGATTGCCTTGACCGCTTCCTTTGCGGGTCATAGAAGGCGAGGAGGGTGCCGAGCCACGCCCGCCACCGGATGATCTGGTCGTGTTGGGAGTGTTGGTTGCCGAATCAGAGGGCGTGGAAGAAAAAGTTCTTGAAGCTGCAGGCGAACTCGTGCGAGAAGCGCGGCCGCCACTGTTTGATCGAATTGAGGCCGGTCGACCGCCCGTCTGTGACGAGGGAGTGTTCACGTCTGCAGGCAGCCCAGCCGTCTTGGTTGTAGGCGATGAGGCCATGCGAATGCGTTGTGATCGGCAGCAACGATGCGAGCTTTTAAGGTCGGGTCACGAGGGATGAGCACGTCGATGCGCGATCGAAAGGGGGTTTGAAGCTTACCCGCTTGACTCGTGGGAGATGTTGGATAGCTGAGCCACCCGAAGGTCGGACTACGCGCGTAAAAGCAGAGCGATGAAGGGTCGAGTCGTTACTGCGGCGAGAGCTCGCGAAAGACGTAGCAGTGGGATTTCAGTGCCGTCGGCGGTGTCGTCAGTGGCTCGAGACCAGAGCAGAGGGAGGAGTGGTGTGCTGATGATTTGCGGTGGTCTCAGGAGAGCAGAAAGCGACCTTGTCAGGCGTCGTTCCTCACAGGCACCGAACCTTTTGTAAGGCTCGTAGGGCCCAGCAAGCGACGAATAGACGCCTTCAGACTGTCAGTGAGGTAGCCATACGTCAGATGCTTGCCATGCTGGCGCAGATGAGCGCACCTTGACTCTTCTATATGCTCAAATCGGCCGGTCTGCTGTCCAGGCCACGGCGCTGGTGTCGCGTCGCGCGTGCGTCGGAGACAAATCAGTAATTGTCGGAATATCAACGCCAGGCTGCTCGTCATCGACGTTGCAGGTCAGGGACGATAAGCAAATCAACGACAATGACGGCACTTGACTCTCTGAAGAAGTATACTACGGTGCGCACGGATGGACTGCATCCGTCCCTTTGCGTCTGCTGAACGGGCGAGGACGTTGGGACAGGTTGTCTCTGACTCGGGTGACTTTGCGAGTGAGTGCCGGCCTCGACCGTCTCGTCCCTCCTTGGCCTGACAGGCAATTCGACTTGTAGGCATCTCGCAGTACAAGCCCCAAGATGCTACGACGAACCCGTGAGTCTGTTCGAATACGGCAAATCCTCGGAACTGACGAACTGGCTCTTTGACGTTTGACCTGCTCAGCTCACTCATCCTCGCCGCTACTAAGAAGCCAGAGTATGCAAAGGTGCGTGCACGATCTGCTTCGTCTATTCGTATTGAGCTCATGGCTTGTGTTAGCTCATGGACGTCGCGGTCGACTACGCTAAGCAGCACGGTGGCGATAAGGATACTCAAGTGGACGCTGCCATTGACCGTCTGGTATGCCTTCCAACGATGAGCGATTAGTCAAGGCTGACGTGTTGCTTCCCTCTGTACAGCTTGTCGAGTTCGGCAAGGAGATTCTGGCCCTGATCCCAGGCCGAGTGTCGACAGAGGTCGACGCTCGCTTCTCCTTTGACAAGGATGCGACGATCAAGAAAGCGCTGCACATCATTGACCTGTACAAAGAGATTGGCATCTCCAAAGACCGTGTGCTCATCAAGATTGCGTCTACTTGGGAGGGCATCCAAGCCGCTCGCGAACTCGAGTCAAAGCACGACATTCACTGCAACTTGACGCTCTTGTTTGGATTTGCCCAGGCCGTCGCTTGCGCAGAGGCCAAGGTCACTCTCATTTCGCCGTTCGTCGGTCGCATTCTCGATTATTACAAGTCAGCCAAGCCCGATGGTGACTATGACGGTGCCAAAGATCCCGGTGTCGTCTCGGTCAAGAAGATCTACAATTAGTCTGTCTCTCTCGGCTTCTGCTCAACTTCGTGCTGATACGCAATCAACAGCTACAAGCAACATGGCTACAAGACTATCGTCATGGGCGCCTCTTTCCGATCAGTCGACGAGATCAAGCAGGCAAGTCGACTCGTGTGCCCCATTCGCTCAAGACTTATCCCCTGATACAGCTCGCTGGATGTGACTTCTTGACGATCGCGCCTGCATTGCTCGAAAAGCTCAAGGCTGAAAAGGGCGACATTGAGGAGAAGCTCAACGCATCCAAAGCGTCGAGTTCTGACCCGATCGAGAAGGTCTCCTTCGTCGACAACGAGCCCGAGTTCCGATGGGAGCTCTTGCAAGACGACATGGCCTTCACAAAGCTGCACGAGGGCATCAAGAAGTTTGCAGAGGGTCAGCTTTCGCTTCGGCTACTTCTCGTTGCACACTCATTTCCCGTTCCACAGACGCGGTCACGCTCAAGGGGATCTTGTCGGAAAAGCTATAGAGTCCGATCAAAGTACCTACAACAACGAATGCAAATGCTATCTCATGATCCGATGAGGTCCTGAAGCTGCTTCCATACTATTCGGCGATTCTCAGGCGATTCGACCCAAGGATTGAGCTTGAGCTCTTTGAGTCTGTTGTTGAGATACCTCGGGCCTTCTCTGGCTTGCTCGCTCGCTGCAAGGTAGACCGGTACATCTGAGAAGTACTCTGGCGTGCTCGCTACCGTCCTTGATAGTATAGGGCGCAAGAGCTTCGCGAGCTGCACAATTGGCATTGGGAAGCCTTGGTTTGATAGCGCATCGGTGAGTACGAAGCCCGGGAAGACATGGAACCAGGCCAAGCTGGGATACTGGTTTGATCCTTCCTCTGTTATGACATCAAGCAAGACCGAATCCCTATTGCCGGAGCCAATGAGATTGCCACCGGCTTTCTTTCTCTGTATATCGTCGCCATCAAAGTCCCTGACACCCGAGCCGGGAGCACCGACACAGACGACGGAAGAATTGAGCTTGCCTGCTTTTGCAAGCAGATAGGGCAAGCCGAAGCGAGAGAGACATTGCACGGTAAAATGAAACTCGTTACCCTCCTTGGTGAGGGATTGTCGACCATTGGGCGGGCCGCCCTGTGTCTGTACCAAGAAATCTACACCAGCTGATCCGGCTCTGGTCTCGATCTCCTGTGCAGCTGCTCGGATGCCCGTCACGAGACTGAGCCGATAAAGCAATATGAGCGGCCCAAGTCGCGTCAGACGGACTGAGAGCGTACCTCAGATCAGCCTGGACGAATCCATGGCTGCCCTTTGAATTGGCTCGAGCGCATTGAGATACGACTTGTTCGCCACGTTCTTTCGATCTGCCGACGATGAGTACGGAAGCGCCGAGTTGGGCGAATCGGATGGCAGTTGCCGCTCCGATTCCTTGCGTACCGCCTGAAACGACGGCGGTCTTGCTGCTCAGGTTGAGTGTCGCATTGGTTGCCTTTGCGATGGCTGCCATTGGGGGGAATGAAACGGCCGCTGGAGCGCTCAGGTGTAGTGGTCGATCTAGCGGGTCAGCCAGGTCTGCCAAAGCGCGTCATCAATGTCATCTCGAGGAGACCAACTATTGAAGAAGCCGTCATGTCTGTGCCTGTCGATCAACTCACCGTCGAACAACTTGCCTCTGTCAGACAGCAGCTAGACCAAGTAAGCGGACCGTTCACCTTGCTCGCGAATCGCTAGAAGTTTTGGAATTCTGCAGGAGATTCAGCATCTCACTCAGTCTTTTGCTGCGCTCAAGCAAGCGGAAGCCAAGTTTAAAAGCTGCAAAGAAGCCTTGGAGTCTGTCAATGCCAACGCAGCAGGTTTGTGATTGGCACCCAATCCTTGAGCTGAACGCTCAAGTAGAGCGCTGGCCCTCAGAGAAAGACATCTTGGTGCCTCTTACGAGCTCACTCTATGTGTCCGGAAAACTCAGCGATACCTCGAACGTCATCGTAGACGTAGGTACAGGCTACTTCGTCGAAAAGGCGCGCTCCGTTGGTCTTCAAGACGCCATCTAGCTGACGAGAATCATGCAGTCTGTCAAAGAAGCTCGAATTTTTTACAACAGCAAGGCGATGGCATTGCGCAAAAACCTCGAAGAGATACAGCCGACGATCGAACAGAAAGAAGAGAACAGACAGCTCGTCATCAATCTGCATCAGCAAAAGCTGATTTGGCAACGACAGCAAGCCGCCAAACAGGAGTCATCCTCATGAGGCGGCGCAAGTCGTCGCCATAGCGTTTTGCCCTTGCCTAATGGGCTACACATTTGCATCGCGGATCTGGTATGGTGATCAAGTACGCTAACATCGTGATGGCCCTGCTCTTGCTCGCGGTCGGCATCTGCACTGCTCTTGTCACACCGCAAGCCGATGCGAACACATTGGCTACACGCCAGTCGAAGTTGCTCACAGCTCCCGCTGATCAGATCTGTGCGCTGACCAGATCTGTAATTTCCAATGGCATCATTGCTGGCGTTCAATCCCTAGGCTTCAATGGCAGCGCTTACACAAGCTGCGACGTCATCGGTTCATACGCGGTGCTGAGCTTTGACACTGCTCTACCTGTAGGCGCTGGCAGGACCGGCTTGATTCGCAAGTCTACCTTGTTCCCCGCCGCTAGTCTCAGGCCTGACGGATCTCACAGTGACGTCCCGCCGGATTCACCTTCCCTTGAAAGCGCTTGTCCATGCTTGTCCAGAGCAGCACACGCGGCGAGATCACAGGCCTCAACGCGATGAAATCGTCAGTTGTCACTCCGATCATGCTTGCACCTTCTGAAGCTGTTCGCCAACAGATTCGTCTCCGTCTCATACCTTATCTGCGGTGGCAAGACCATCCCAGTCCTCAAGTAGCCGCTGCGATTGCAGACATAGACATGTAGCTCCCATGAAGCCGTTCCTTTGTCTCGCATCGCATGATAGCTCGCGCGATCCGGAAAGACACAATGGGATCCTCAATGCTCCAACCAAGGTGCTGAATATGCGCATGCATGCACGAGCGACGATCGCCCGACACGAATGATTGTGTTCGCGCAGCTACACATCTGCAAAGGCACCAGTGATCCCGTGATGAGCTGACCTCGGGACCCTTGAAGATATGTGACGAATGCAATCAGGACTACCTCGGGCTCACTGATGCTGTTCGTGTCAATGAAGTGACGCATCCAGAGGAGGAACCTGAGAGTTCACAAAGGCGACCTCGTAGGGCAGAGTTTGCCAGAAATCGTTAAAATCTGAGCAGACCCCAGAGCCATTTTCGGGATATCGAAAGAAAGGTCTTGCCATGCCGTGACTGCGATACATTGCTACTGGATTGCATGATTCGGACAACTCTGCGACGCTCGAGAGAGATCAGACCTTCGTAGATCTTGATAAGCAACGGAGCGGAAGGTGCCGTGTCTTCAGCTAGCAAGAAGCTTGAGCAAGCTCTCGCTCAGCGGTCAGCCTTGGCCTGTGGTGCGTGCCGTGTCGGCGATTTGCGCCGGCGCGGACAGATTCTGAAGACGTGAGCTTCTCGTCGAGTCTCCACCATGCATTGGTCTTTCTGCTGTTTGCATCGGTCAATGAGCTGCATCGATGTAGCCTTGACGATGGCCTCCAAGTCAAGTCTGGCTCGATCGCTCGCTAGCTGCCAATGACTGTGTCATGCGATCGTATCCGTCCGGAGACTGTGTGCCCTCGTTCGATGCTCAACGACCCAGCGACCTCTTCTCAATGCTGTCGCCCTAGCGCATACGCATCTCGCGCCTTGAGCATCGCATTCAGCATCGCGGGCAGCTGCGACACTGAATGCATGGACGGTCATTCGGTGCAACACGCCGACGCAGCAGCACCCTATCGGCGACCATGATGATGACGCAATGGCTCCATGTGGCTTCAATATTCACTCCCATTCCCGGCTACAGCTACACCGCTTCGAGAGGATCATGTCGATCACGAAGGTGTGCGACCTCGGCGCGTTCCCCAAAAGTCGCGCCATCAGCCGCCGCATCTGTCAAGGCTTAGGCAGACTCGCGCAACGACACATCCATACCTACTTTGCTGGACCAGTACGCGACAAGTATGGCATGCCGGACTTGAGTGAGCGAACCCATCGAGCATCCCGGCCCGACACCTGAGATCAGTCACTGCGACTGCGACCAGATCGACTTTCGAGGCGCAAGGCTGAGCGATGGCGTATTACGTGCGTGCAGCGCCGCCGTTCTTCGACGTATCTCCCCTTCCGCCTGTACGGCAGCGTCGCGAACGACACGGCAGCGCTTATGATGACTGGGGAGATGAGCGAAACCTCGGACTAAGTCTTGACGACTACCGCACAGGACGCTCGCTCTTGGTCGACATAACCTCCTCCAGCCCTACAGCGCAAGCTAGCTCGCTTATGTCAATATCAGCAGCCACAGTCGCCACAGCCGGCTTCGAGCGCGCCTTGCAGGCAGCGCCTTTGTTTCGTCTTCCTGCAGAGATGTTGCGACATATTTTCGTCGAAGCTGGCAAAGCCGACGTACGCGACGCTGTGGCTCTATCGCAAGCCTGCGTACACCTCAGACAACTTGCGCAGGACGACCTCATCTGGCTAAGCATGCTACCANACCCGCGTGCACTCCGCCNGGAGAATCATCAGACTTGGCGCGAGATCGCGATTGGCCAGCTCTCACGCTATTGCACGGGATGTCAGAGGCCGTGCAATCCACCCATCTTCGCCAGGCTTGATTCGCGCCTTCCTCACGGCTTCGTCGGAGGGTTTTGCCGCGAATGCTTCAACTCCGCGACAGCTGCAACACAACTCACTAGGCGTCCAGCCGAGCACACGCGCATTTACTGGCTTGCTCGCGAAGAGCGCTACGGACGCTGCTACACGGCCAGTGAACGACGCAATGACGCTTTCCAGAGACATGTAGATCTTTTCCGCGTCGCGCCCGGTCAGCCTGTCTCGTCCACTCTCGACCANACTGACCGTTGGGCAGAGCTCTGGCATGTCAATATAATGAAGCCATCAGACATGCCTTCCTGGTGCAGTCTGCCTTTTCAACGCCTCTGTCGAGCCTACCTTTTCNATTCTACTGCCAACGCCGTCCATTTAGACACAATCTTACAGGCTAGAGAAGGCTCGCTCAGCTCAGATCCCCCTGCAGACTTTGCGCTGATCAGCGTCTAGTAGTTCTGCAGCGTCGCTGGATCGAATTTCGGTGGTGGATCCTTGGGAACTCGTGGACACACCTTCGCGCGACGCGTCGGTTGCGAAGGCAGCAAGACGAGGACGACCGGACCACTGATCTGACGGTCATCGCATTAGGGACGGACGATCGACCAAATCTGTGGCAAAATCATGCAGAGGCCGATGAGCAGCGCCCTCATCTGAACGTCAAGAAGCTCGGTGTCGCCCTGAACAAAGCCGAGATGAAAGTACTCTCCCGCACCTTTGGTCGACCATCACTGCAGAAGGGCGACCCTGACTACACGTACGATTTGACANATATNATCCTGAGGAATCGCAATGACCAGCTCCCCCTGGAGACGCAAGTCGACCTTGTTCCCAGTTGGCTCGCTCTGACTTCGCNNGCCGGCGACTGCGGATGCGTCCGCCGCCGCTGCACCAATAGCAGCACCCCAGGTTGTATATGTTGCCTCTGCAGTGAACATTGTACGGCTCTCGACCGACAATATTTGCGGGTTGACGAACCCTGCCCGGTCCATCCTCAAGGAGACAACGTCAGAAGCTCAGCCCTAGCCACGAGCGAACTTGTTCCGGCCGCTTCGAGATGAGCCATGCTACACTGCAGCGACCGTCCGCGTTCGCAGTCAGCATCTCCAAATCGCAGTGCTGGCAACGCTGCAAAGATCACTCAGCGACTCAGGCACGGCGAAGTGTGACGTTCGGTCATTTCTTCACGCAGCTCAATCCATTGTACCCCATAGCAAGTATCGCGACGTTCTTCCGCGTGAATGGCCCTTGCTGTGATCTGCATTGAGGCCGCGATNNNAAGCCGCTCGGNAGANTAGNCTCATGCAGGCGGCACGTCAGCAGGCCCTATGCCGCCCAAGTTGACGAGATGGTCGAGATGGGAAGGATCGACCTGCTGCCATGCAAAGAACTGATCTTGACCTTGACTCGTTAGGACAGATCTACGAACCACAGATCAGTCCCTGCCGTTTCATAGCAGATATGACCGTCACTTACTCGAAAAAGTGACTTTCCGATAGGAAGAGATCAAGTGGGTCATTGCCAACGGTAGTACCTTGACCATTGTTGGCAGAGGCAAAGGCAGAAGGCGTGTGCGTGCCAGATAGGTGACCGCTTCGATTGGTGGGTGCAGTATAGCTATAAGACGAAGTAGGCAGCGGCTGGTTGAGAGGCATCGTTGGTGAAACAGCAGCGGGCGCCAGGGTGACGTCAGAGTGGTCGCTTGCGCCTGTCAAACCAGGCTGATGCGCGGCGTTGATCTCACTGCCAAACTTTGGCAGACTACCTCCAAGCTGACCTGTCTCCATGGCTCGCCAGGATGCCAACAAGACGCGCAACATGATATGGGCAGTGCCGGCAGCATGCCGCGCATCGGTGGTCGCATTTTGACAATCTGTGATGGTCTGGACGACCGCTCGGTGTAGATCGTCAGAAACTAAGCGTGACTTGGAGACTTTGACTTTGATCAAGAATACGGCAGCATAGACGACGATGACCCTGCTGTATACGCGATTCGGAGTGATGTCGAGTCCCCAGTATAGTAGAGCTGTACTACGTTGGCCGGCTGGGCATGGCGGGGGAAGGCGTGAACGAATGCCCGGCGCGCGACTTGTGTGTGGGTCGAATGAGCAGGCCGGGGCAACGGTCCATCGCACATGCTGACTTGCTCTCCTTTGCATGGCAGCACCGGCGCTTCCTGGTATCACCCCNTGATTGACAGTCGGCTGTATGCCGCCTTCATGGGCCTTACGATACCCATCTNCGCCATCTGCAATATCGTGAGACTGACAGTTTCCGAGCATGGCAGCACTTGGACGATATTCGAGGTCCTCCCCCCAGTCGTGCAAGTGATCATAGAATCGCTTCCACAGGACCTCTTTCTCGCCCGTCGCGAATGCATCATAGTCCTGGCCCTACAGGCCTCGTCGTCCGAAGATTGCCAGGTATCGGCTGAGCATCGACTTGACTTTCCCTTGCGAACAGCTTTTGAGGAAGGTGCAACTTTTCCGGGGGCCTGTATACCCCAAATTCCACGCGCCAGCGGCCGATGTGGGACATGTGGGGGTCAGCGCGGCTTGCAGCTTGCGGCGCTGGCATGCAGCCCTTGCTAGTCGCTGCACCATGCTCTGCGTCACTCCCTGCGCATGTCTGAGCTCTAAGCTGAACAGTATAATGCCTTCGATCGCATCCTTCCACGAACTGAGACGTGTGCCATGCAATCTCAACAAACCTGAGTACGAGCCGCTTTCACTTCTACTTTACATGTTACGCTCAGTATATTGCTCAAAGTGCATCGTATACACATGATGCTTCAGGCCAGAACTAGCGGTGTCTCTCGGTGGCCTTTGGAGACAGGCAGAGGCTTTGTTCCTATCTACTGCGCAGAGAGTCTGCTCGGGCTCAACCATCTAGTTGCCACTCACTCAGCCGCTACACGGTGCGCTATCGCTGCAACGGAGGCCCACGCTATGAGTGCATATGATACTTGCATCGCGCTGCGCTACATCAGGACAGGGTACCGGGATGTAGCCCTGGCGACTGCGATCGCTTGCGCCATCGTCCTTCTCTGATTCTTCTGCCACACCTGGCTCGTTAGCTATGCTTCCCATGATCGCACAGCATCTGTCGGTTAAACTGCGCTGTCAATCTTAGCTGAAGTTCTGATTGGCCACTGTCGAGCAGCCTCGGACCTGTAGACGGCCGCTGTGCGTGGCAAGCTATCCCGCGCTCTTAGATACATCGGCGGCTTGATTCTGGGCGATGCACCTGCATCGATACCGCGTGTGAGCGTTGAAGATGGGCTGCCGAGACAGAAGAACGGGACTGACAGTTTACCGATCGTAAGACCAGCTGCGGTGTCGATTTTTACCCAGCTCGATATCACCAAGGCTGACTATCGTCGGGTGATTTTGCTCGAAGTCTGTACTCATTTCGGGGGGCAATTGCAACTCATAGGCCCATCCGACCCTCAGGAGACATGACGACCCGCTGTCGTTTCTACAATGGGCCTAGCATCAGACATGAAAGCGTCGGTTTGGCTGCCTACCGCGTACATCACATGCTCCGACGCAGCCTGGCCTAGTACATATGCCTCGTTTCGCGACATATCGCCGCTGTTGCAGTCTTGCTCGGTGATGTGACCGCGCTACAAGGCTGCCTGCTCCGCTCTCCTCACCTTTTGACATTGCCCAAGTACGGCAATTCGACGAGCGCAAGATTAATGACATCGAGCATGAGCATCTCTACTAGCGCTGTCGCATCAGGAATCGCAATTTCCGCCGTTCGTGCGGCCTTCGCTGCGCCTAGCGCCAGTGCGGTCAGTCTCGCCAACGGCAATGTGGCGACCAAGGCGGCCCTCCAGGCGCCCATCCAAAACTCTTGCTCTCTTGAAGTTCCAGGCAGATTCATCAAAGTCAAGCTGAACAGCTCTCAGGAATGACGCCTGGCACGAGATACACGTAATTTCATCGCATGCAGTCGTCATTGGACCGCTGAGTACCGAGCCGGGCGAATCGCTTTCTCAAAAAACGTGGGACTTCGCGCCAGCGTACGTGCAGACTACCTTATTAGGACACAGTCACGACTGCAAGCGCTTCCATGTATTGGACCCTGCACTCGAGTGCCCACACCGGTCGTATCACAGGCTACGCTCTCTCGTTGGAGCATGTCTGTGTCAGCGTCTGCAGGTCCCTCAGGAGCTGATCAAGCAGACTGCAGTGTTGGTGCGCTCGAGTGCGAAGGCTTGCCTATTCCCCGCGTCAATGCCAATCTGCCAAAGTAGCCAATGCAACCGGACCCTGCTCCAGTGATCCCATCCTACGCGTCGCGATGTGTCACTGGCGAGGATGGACAAAATCCCAAATCCATGCTATACCGATCATTGCTACGCCAATGAAGCTCGCTCATGCCGCAATCGCAGTCGCTGGTCCGATGTTTTCATCGTTTGTTAGAAGCGTGGGCGCGCAAGAAGAGGTCGTTGTCAAGCGTGTTGGCGACGGTGTTTACGCAGATGGCAATCTGATCTGCACGCTCAAGATCAGCTACATTCCTGTCGAGATCGACTTGTCGGACTTCTCGAATGAGTCGTGGCACAGCCTCAAGCTCAGCTTTCCTGCCGGAACGACACATCTCGAGAGTACCAAACCGGGTCATTCCACGTGGACATGTAAGCGTACATTTCTCTCCGACACAGAAGAGTCTACTGATGAGGAGCATACAGTCGAGCTGACAGATCATCCCGGTACACATTCTCTGAGCGTCACGAATTCGAATGCTGGTCATTTGACGGGATACTCCTTGCCTGGCGTGTTGGTCACCTTTCCGCCGGCGTACTGTCGCACGCGCTGACAGTGTACAGGACGAGTGATCATGCATTGACGTGCAAGGGCGAGCGCATTGCCTTCATTTGAGGAGGCTTCTGATTCGTGGGGAGAGCGCCATTGCATTCTGCCACGTCATCCGATCATCTTCGAGTGGGCGGAGTCGAGTCGTGGAAAGAAACGCCAGAAGCAGTCAGCTCTTGAGCATTGCGCTGACGACCGCAGCAAAGGTAACTTGTGTTCTCTCTGCTGCTGCAGAGAAGACTCGCTGTGGCTGTCGAGGTCGTCTTGGCGAGGTGTACACGCGGAGGCAAGCGGGGTAACGGCGCACCGCTCCGCTCTCGTTGGCCAGTCCGGAGCTCTACAGACAGCTCGTCGTCTCTTCGAGATAGCCAGCTCGCTGTTCACCAGCATCTTCGTCAACGAGCTTGCAAGGGCTGCACGCAGCATCACAAGTCAAAGAGGCAGGAGCAAGTAAAATTGACTGTGACGTTGGCTGCCCGGTCCCTCTAGCGCTCCGGTCAGTCGATGTCATCGACAGCTTAGGTCTGAGCACCTTGCCAGTTCGAGACGGTGAGAGCAGCATCTGACCGCCAGACGGTCAACGAGCTAAGGCTGGGCAAGTAGTGATGCAACTCTCCGATTTTGTCTATACATCTCCGCCAGGTCGCTACTTCATCGACGAGGATTCCCCTTCGCCGCCTGCTTCGCCTTTGCAGCATACCTCGGACTTCAAACGATCAGACTTTGGAATCTCTCTCGAGGACTTTGAGCCGCACACGACCCACGTCGAGGAGCGTCATCGTTCGCTTGAGAGAACCCACTTCAGGAACCCTTCACTCTCACCTGAAGGCTCTCAGTCTTCGCCTTCGTCTTCCCAGCAGTCCCAACCATCCACAGGCGACGAGGGACGCGCATCAGCCGCGCATCGCTCTGAATATCCTTATGATCTAGCCTCAGTCTCAAGCTATCCACTCGGCCAGGGCAACACCCAAGCTCTGTCAGGCTACCAGTCCTCGCCCGCCACTATCGAGAGTCTCACGCTGACGCCCGATCAGCCAGACTGTGAGGCTCTGTCAAGCCGACCAGAGAGGCACTTCAAGTCCGAAGAAGTCGAGATGCTCGGCCTCAGCATCACATCAGACTCGCCTGTGCTCGCTCCAGGCTCCAAGAATGGGCAGAAGCGCAAAGTCAAAGATGAATCGCCTCCCTTCTTCTTCGACGCGCCCTCGCCCTCTGATCCGTCTGCGCTCAACTCGCTCAACCCAAGTGCGGGTCAGACGCCCGGCATAGCCGACTATGAGCTTTCGACCTCCTTCTGGACCTCGCCCAGAGGCATTCCCTCGCCGGCCCAGCCTCAAGCACGCACATCCAGTCGTGCCTGGGGTGACTCCTACACTGGCTCGCCTCAATCTAGTTCTAGTCATCCTGCCGCATCGCCCGCCTCGGCTCTGGCGCGTGCGCAGCAGGTCGACGTATCGCTGACTTCGCCAGGTGCATACGCCAGTGCAATGCGAACACCCTCTTCACTGAGAGCGTAGGTGCCTGCTTGGAGCAGTAGTGTTTAAGTCTGAGCCTTGCCTCGTTTGCAGTGTCACCGACGAAACAGATATGCTCAATCTGACCAGTCCGAATCCGCCCGTTCTCTCTTTAGGCAACTATACCTCGCCATCTTCTAGCGCATCGCAATACTCACTGTCACCCATCACCACGCTGAGCGAAGCATCTCGACCTCTATTGAAGCAAGAGACCTCTTTCAAGTCATTCACATCGAGCGATTCAGCACGAGAGCGCGACCCAAGCCCTACGTATTCGCATCGATCATACCCGCCCACGCTTCCCATCGAGCAGGGTCGCAAGTATATCAAGGTGCCCGTGACAGGCTCGGGAAGTCTTCATGCCATGCGTGCACCCCCAGTGTCGACGGAGCAAGTTCTGCCAGAGGGCCTAGCTTCGCTAGATGCCGCGCACACTTCACGACCAGTCTCGCCGGCTTCGTTCACCCATCGTAGCGTTCGCTCATCGCGACAGGCGACCGTGGCTGCGGCACAGCATAGCAATCCAGGCTCTGCGAATTCGACGGCGTTCAATACTGCGGCCAACTCGCCCATCAGCGGCTCAAACTCGAACGGTGACGATCTCGACCCGTATACCCCGTCTCACTATATCAGTTCAGAAGTGTCGAGCCTCGTTCTATACCCCAATGCGCTGTCGTTGCCCCAGTTGCTCATCATCGGCTTGCCGGAAGAAGGCGCAAAGAGTCGCGTCGAGACACAGCTTAAGCTCGCTCTCTCGCTCGTCAGAGCAAAGTCGAGCGCTCGTTTCGCGAATGATCTCAGTCTTGCGCCTCAGACGTACTTCGATCAATTTCAATGGCGCACGCCAGAAGGCCATCTTCGAACAGATACTGATCGCGATCTCGAGCGAATCAGTCAATGGAAGTGGATCAAGCTACCCGCTTATGCCGCCGTCAAACGGAAGAATCGCAAGGCGGACACGATCGACAGACTGCCCGAAGAGACACTCTTCCTCGATTGCTGCGTTCTCAAGAGTACCGAGCCTCACGAGGACGTGACCGTCTGCGAAGGTTGTCAAGCTCGCGAGACGAAACGCGCCCAACGCAGAGGCGACACTCGCCGGAAAATGGCCACCGAGCAGGACAGCCGGCTTGAGCCGGACGAGGTCGCCGCAGAAGCTCAAAAGATACTCGTCTTCAATTGCAATGAATATCTCGACTTTGAAGGCGGCGAGACCAATCTGCCTGCTCGCATCACTTGCTACTGTCGACATCATGGCGAGAAAGTCGGCTTTTCCCTCGTCTTCACTCTCAGGGACCACTTTGGTTCGATCGTTGCATCGAGTCACAGTCCACCGATCATGCTCACAGATGATCACAAGGCTAAGAACGTCGCGCCAGCCAGGAAGCCCGCAAAAAGTGCACGTGCAAGCCAGAAGAGCCAGAGAGGCACGGGCTCATCTCGCGGCTCATCACGCAAGAATTCGGCGACCGAGAGCAGTGGCGCCGATGAGCCTCAGGCACCATCTGCCGAGGCCACCACGCCGACGTCACCCAAGCGCGTGCACGCGAAGCCCTACGATGCAGATAGCCGGCCGAAGAAGCGCCTTCCGTCGTCTTCGTTTGCCATGACGCCACTCAACGTGTCTCGTGGACATAGTCCTACGCATTCGCGACACTACTCCCTGCCAAATCTACGACAAAGCTCACAGTCTGCGCCAGCTACGCCTTCCGGTCTGCCTGGCACCCTGGAGAATCTCTTATCGATCAACAACAGCACGCAGTCGCAAGCGCCGTCCTTCTTTTTCGGCAATCTCGATGCTGCCAATCGCTCGCCCAATAATGCGCCTTTCTCGCTCCAGTCACCCCTCACGTCATCTGCCACCGGTCTTGGTCTGACCGTGCCACGAGACCGCGCACAGTCTCTATCCACACAAGCAGAAGCTGAAGAGCTGACTCGTCAGTTGGCAAGTATGCGCGCGCCTGCAAGGGCATCAGATGCGATGGACCTTGGCGACAGCAGCGAGGCTGCTACGCCCACCATATCGCGCATCATACCTCATGGTCCGTAGTCTAGCTTGTTTCTCAGATTACGACTGATCTTGTCGTCGCAGAGGGCTCTATTCAAGGCGGCATTGAAGTCACAATCCTAGGACAGAACTTCGCGCCTGGCATGGAGCTGTTCTTTGGCGACATGCCAGCGGCCCCAGTCCAGGTCTGGTCCTCGTCGACGATCATTTGCACACTTCCGCCAAGTCCCTGCGCTGGCCCTGTGCTAGTGTCGTTCCGCGGCGCGCCTGCTACAACAGGACGAGAAGTCAAGTTCTTCAACTACTTGGACGTCACTGATCGAAATCTGATGGAACTTGCTCTGCAAGTGGTTGGGCTTAAGATGACGGGCCGCATTGAAGAAGCGCGAAACGTCGCTCTGCGAATCGTCGGCAATACTTCGGCAGGGCAAGGCCCGAATGCGGACGCGAGTATGAGCTCAGGCACTCAAGCATTGGATGTCGTCTCGCTCGTCAACACGCTGAGCCTGATGACGACTACATTCCACGGCAGCGCAGGCAGTCGCTCAGTCTCGCGCAAATCTTCAGCAGTGTCTCTGAGCGCACCTGTTGTGGCCAAAACGGCTCGAGACTTTCAGTCAATCGTCATCGAATTTCTCTCGTTACTCGATTTGAGCGCAGAGGAATTCCCGTCGGCTGACTCCGCCAATTTCAATCCACTATCGTTGGCAGACAGCGAGAGGCATACCTTGCTTCACCTTGCGACAGTCATGGGCTTCGATCGACTAGCAGGTTGGCTACTCGAGCATGGTATCGACTTTGATGCACCAGATCGCGGTGGCTTTACGGCGCTTCACTTTGCCTCAATATCCGGTAGACTTGCGATTGCACGTCTGCTTGTTGGCGCTGGCTCGGCAACCTATCTGCGGGCCAGTGCCGGACACACTTCTGCCGACCTCGCACGTATGCTACATCAGCAAGACGTGCTGGAGCTACTGACAGCTCGGTCTGCACCCAGCACACGGTCCCTCCGGCGCGCAGCGTCGCTTGGCGAGCCAGACGCTGCATCCGATCATGCATCCAGTGACGGCCGGTATGATGACGACGACAACGAAAGTGACGGCAGCAGCTATCGAGGGTCCGATGCGGCCTTCGAAGCATCCGAGTCTGACATTGAAAGTCGCTTGTCACGTAACGCTTCGTTCACTTCGCTCGAGTACGTCCAGACAAAGCGCGTGCGACGTCCACAATCATCTCTGGCTCTGGCTACAACGGCTTGGGTAAGCAAACAAGCTACTTTGTCGAGAGATGCGGACAGCGTGCCGTTGTACCCTCTCAATCACGCATCACTGCCGCCGGCGTCCAGCAAACAGCTTAGTTCGACCGTCCTACAAGCAAAGCTGGCCAGGCGGTTAGGCTATACACCCGAGCACCTGGTGGGTACTAGGCCTGCTTTGTCACGCTGAAGCTGACCGTCGGTGCAGAGCGAGGGAATCGTCGAGTCATATCGCTATCATTCGTCAAAGTATCAGAGTCTCAAGCAAGATCGCATGCTCTATCTCTGGTGGCTTCCCGTACTCCTCATCGGACTGTCCTATGCAATCTTCCAAGGCTTTGATCTCATTCTTCGACCTGCGCTTACGAACTTCCTGCCAAAGTACGCATTTGCCACGCGCTTGTATTGAACCTTGCCCATCATCGAAACCGTCACACATTACCGCGGGCGATTGTCTCTTGTATCGATTGCATGACGGCTCACAGTTGCATAGCGAAAGACATGTCATTGAATTATACGGATCACAGAGTCGGCGCGCAAAAGATCACAGTCATCAAGAAAGAGTGGCTCGATAGTATCCGAGTTGGAGTCTGCGATGGGGAATGAGCTAAGAGGTGAGCCAGTCAGCAAATCCGAAAGCGATCGTCTGCTCCTGACTGTCTTGTGAGTCGACTTTGAGCTCGATGCGTCGGAGAAGCTGCTAGTGGCAGTGGCGATTGACTCCTTCGATGGACGGCGCGAAAGTGCGCCAGGCAGAAGAAATTCAGAGGTCGGCAGGCTTGGTGCGTTCTGGAACAGCTTAGCGGGTGAAGCTGCCATTGCACCCAATGAACGCCGCGCTGCTTTCAACCGGCTGTAACGCGCTTTTGACTTTGGCAGACTGGCTCTATAGAGCGTCGTCCGCTTCGAATGACGAGGCGAATCCTGCTTGGGCGATGGCTGGCTACTGTAGTCAGACAGGTCTGACGGGGCGTTCGAGCCAGCTGCTGTTGGACAGAGGAAAGGATCGTCGGTCACGGATGGCAGGGTGTTCAGTGACGCAAAGATCGTGTCCGTTTGAGGCGATACTACAAGCAGCGGTGTGGCTGCCTTGGCTAAGTTGCCCAACTCTTCGATGCGCGTGGGTGAGAGCAGCGAGCTGCCCAATTGAGCCAGCGCGTCTAGACGTCTCGAAAGTGCAGCCTGTTCTGCGCGCGACTCGTGCAGCTTCTGCTGCAGCTGTTCCAGCTCGATTTGTCGAGTTGCCAGAAGATGCTCCAGTTGCAGCACATTCAATTGATGCAGCCTTTCCTGTCGTTCATGACACGCGGTCGCAAGCTTATCAGCTCGTCCGATGGCAGCAACAGCGGCCTGGAGATGCCGTGATGCTTCGGGAGTGTTCATTTGCTCGAGATGATCAACGTGCCGTAGGACACATCGTGATCGCTGCTCTTTCTCGCCCTCGTACCGTGCTGCTTGCTCTCGTCAGCACAATGGCAAGATTGTGATTCAGGAGCCTACTTTGCTCTTGTGTGTATGAGCGAGCCTCACTTTGGATGCGCATGCCAAGCTGGTCCAGGCCATCGCTCTGCAGATGCAAATCTTTGCGGCATAGATGCACTCGAGCAGAATCTAGCATTTTGTGAATATCTGCCTGCGATAGGGTCATCTTTGCGTGGTCCAGCAGAATGCTGAACAGATGCAGCGAAGGCGAAGGAGCGTCAGGCGTGTTGGATGGCTTCTTGTACGCGATCCCCAAGTCAACTGACATGCTTGTCGTACGAGGGTGGGGCGCGATCTTTGCTGGATCCAGCATCAGCTCCCGTAACCGATTGACAGACTTGGTCGAGCTCGAGTCGTCTTGCTCATATTCTGTTATTGCATTGAAAGTGGGCGAACCTGCTTGGCCGACCGCACCGCTGGGTAGAGAGATTGCTAGATCGATATCCATTCCCACCGTCTGTTCTGCTTGGAAGGGCAAGGTAGACTTAGTAACATATTCGAGCGAAGGCAAATGCTCGTCGACTGAAGTGGTCCAAGGCGTCAGAAGTGACGAAGAAGGGATGTCGGGCAGGGCAGCTTGTATCATACTGGCGCGGCGCGTTCGTCTCGCAGCTTTTGCAGCCGTCCCTGCAGCAATGGCTGTGATGGTAGATGCGCGAGAGATGGCTGTTTCGTTCGATCGCCGAGCGAGGGCCTTGTCAATAGGTGAATCTGGCTCACAAGCCGTCTTTGCCGGTTTCGGAAAGTTTTCCTCGTGTACTTTGCCCAGATTGAGCGGGGGAGGTGCTATGCGTGACAAACTGTTATTGCTTTCCTTGCGTGGTCTGATAGAGAAACTATTGATCTCGAGACTGGGTGTCGATAGCTTGGGCTGTCGAGGTAGATGGTTCTGCTTACCCGTTAGCTCTAGTGGCGAGGGTCTCGATGCAGAGGCGACGAACCGCTTCTCGCTGACTTGTGCGCTGTCCCGAAGTTGTCGTGATGTCAATGACATCAGAGTCCTTTGCGATGTCAGTGCTCGTCAGATCCATCCATTCCTGCTGAGTAGGCGGCGGAGGTGCTTTGCGCGGTGGCGATCGGCCTGGCATTGTGTAAGATTTGACCGAATCTGTTCGAATGGATGCAGCTGGGCTCGCTCGTGCCGCTCTGAGCCAGTTGGGCGATCCCAGAGAACCGGCAGGCCCGAGCGAGGCAAAGTGGTCAGGCGGCAGGATACAGCTGGGTCGCTTCATGATGACTGCTCACGATCCGACTTGGGGCTGACCTCGCCGAAGTGTCGTGACAGAGGGAGAGGATGCAGGAAAGAGACGTTGCTAGGGAGATGGAAGAGTCTGCCAACTAGGCTCGCGCGCTCGTGGGTCGGTGCGCAGAGCCGACCGTGCACGCGCAGAACATACTTGCAGAAGAGAGTGACAAGGTGTATTATGCACTGAGGACTTCTTGCGCCGGCGATCCCCCTGTAGGCCTAAGCCACACGGGTGCACTGGCTCTCTGCCTGCTCGTCAAATGTGAGTACTGCTCTTTGACGTGATGGCTGAAATGCGCTCACTTCGCAAGGCGACGCTCAAGACCGGTTCTACCTGCTTCGCCGAGTATACCCGCAATGAGCTGGATCGTCCGGGGACTGTCATCATTCGCTGGTATCGAGTAGGTGACACAGCGTGGATCAACGTCTGTATCAGTGATGCCGATAGTGGGTACATGCGCCAGCGTCGCTTCCCTCAGAGCGTTCTGCTGCTCTCGTGGCGCCATAAGCACGAGCAGAGAAGGCTTGTAAGCGAAGGGGTTGATCGCTCTTGATCCCGCATCCTCTCCTTCCTCGCCCTCTTTCGTCGGTTCGCGGAAAGCATGAGCCTGCTTCGCGTAGACCGAGCCAGCATTGGTCAGACTGCCTGCAAGCCAACGATTGGTCGCAAAGCCATTCGGGCCACATCGCTCGGCTGCCAGTCTGATCGCTCGTTCCGTGCCATCGAGCGTGGAGAGAAAGACGATGATGCCGTCATTCTCGACAGTCCCGCTGATGACCTGAGCGGCTCGCTTGAGATGAGTGAGAGTCGTACGCAGGTCTATGATGGATACTTTTGCTCGAGTACCGTAGATATACGGCAGAGCAGAGGGATGGGCAAGCGACCGATGATGGCCAAGATGAGCTTGAGCAGCGACGAGATGGGACAATGTCAATTCTGACGCAGGAGGAGCTCGAGTGAGCACGTGGTGAGCCTGGAAAGTGCTATGTCTGTTCTGGCTTGACCCAAATCGCTCCATATGTTCGGCTGCGGAGTCAGACGATGAGCATGGACGGAGCTGTGGCTGACCCGAAAAGGGCACTCACCTATGGCTCGCCTGCGTCGTCTAGCATCCACTGTAGCTTTGGCAGCCAGAAGAGCGGCATCTGGCACCGCGCCTGACTCGTTTCCCTCCATTGCCGTTGAGAAACTCGATGAAGATGTCGCCTCGAGGTCGGACAGAGGTGTCGCACTCGTGCTAGCAACGGGCGCATTGGCATAACGTCTACTGCTAGCCGGACTTGCCAGCCTTCGTGCGGTCGGCGTAAGGAGCTTGCTGACTGTCTGCATGATCCTACTAGCTCTCTCTCTTTCGTTCGGGCTTGCCAAATTGCTTGCTTCGCTGTCGACAAGCTGAATTTCAAATCGATCGGGCATTGTCGATCTCCAGCTGTCGCACGCTCGAGCGCACAAGCCAAACCAGAACACGGCGCGCGCACGAGAGGCTTAGCCGATCTGGACAGACTATCGCGAGAAGACCAGTCTAGCGCAGCTTCTACAAGCATGCGGAACCTCTCCGTCTGACCGATCAAGCCCTACCAGCCGGCAGAAAGCCTGTCACTTGACCCCAGGATTTGGCGGACGTCGACGAACGAATGTAGGTCATCTGCTGCTGAACAGACAGCACACGTCGCCCGACATGGCGAGCCTGCAGGGACCGCTGAGCTTATCCGACGACGCACTGCACCATCGTCAAGCACTCGCAGAACTCAAAACGCGACAGCCAGGCTCGAACGCACTCGGCGGATCAATCGCAGCGCATCATGACCTCTTAGACCGAGCACTCGCACCATCGCCCGCAGACGAGCAAATAGATCAGCAAGCACTAGACGAAGCTACCCTGCGACAGAGACCAAAGATCACAGCCCGGCCACTGTCGGATATGCTCGCGACGACGAATACGTCGCCCGTGGATGCACTTCCGCCGCCGCTGCACAATGCAGACAGGCCGACACCGCCTGCTGAGCCGGAAGGACTGCATCATCATCTGACTCAAGCTCTAGCAGCAGATGCCGCTCCGGGCTCTGTGATCTCGCCTGGCGAAGAGACGATTGGGTCAGGTGCCAGTTCGCTCAGTCGGATGTCCTCTGTCACGAGTACCGATTCGGTCCAAGCTGTCCCGATAAGGACGCCTGCATCACGCTTGATGAGCCGGCAATCGTCTGCCCAGGCAGCGGGCTCGGCTGGAGGCTATTTTTCCTCTCGTTTTGGCGGCCAGAACGCCAATCTGCCCGTCCTCACGCCTGGCGCACTACCGTCTGGTCGTCCAGTCGTATCTGGTGGAGGATGGACTCCGGGTCAATCTGCTACAACGAGCCGGCGCAATTCCCACGTCGATATGCTAACGGGCGCCGAACTCACTGCGGATCAGATGCCCGTTCTGCCAGGCCCGCCGCTGACACCACAGACTTCCAACTTTCCAGGTCAACTGCAGCTCACACCCGGGCTCCTACGAACACCGAGGCAAGGCATGGTCGAATCAAGGCGAGCCTCCCAGACGAGCATCAACGGCATGGCTGTGCCTCGCAAATCGGCGGCTGATTTTGAGTTTGGCGACATCTTAGGCGAAGGCAGCTATTCGACCGTCTTCGCTGCGACCGACAAGCTCCCGCCGCATCGACAATATGCACTCAAGATCCTGGACAAAAGGCACATCGTCAAAGAGAAGAAGATCAAGTATGTCAACATCGAAAAGGATACCCTCAATCGTCTCGAACGTCATCCTGGCATTGTCCGCCTCTTCTGGACTTTCCACGACGAGTCAAGTCTATGTAAGCGGCAAAGGGTCATGATTGCTCAAGTGCTGATATCACTGGCAGACTTTGTTCTCGAGCTGGCCGAGAATGGAGAGATCCTCAAATATATCAAGCAGAATGGCTCATTCGATGTGATCAGCGCGAGGTACTACTCCGCGCAGATCCTTAGCGCTCTTGAACATATCCATTCTCGGGGCGTGCTACATCGCGACCTCAAGCCGGAGAACATCTTGCTCGATGCCCATATGCGCATCAAGATCACTGACTTTGGTACGGCCAAGCTGCTCGACCCGACTTCCTCAGAAGCAGGCGGCAATGACGCCACCATGGAACGTGCCAATTCCTTCGTTGGCACCGCAGAGTATGTCAGTCCAGAGCTTCTGACAGAAAAGACGGCATTCAAATCATCAGACTATTGGGCTTTTGGCTGCATTGTTTATCAAATGCTTGCCGGACGACCGCCTTTCAAGGCGGCGAACGAGTATCTGACCTTTCAGAAGATCGTCAAGCGAGATTATACATTTCCCGAAGATTTTCCTGCCGATGCAAAGGATCTCGTCGAGAGACTGCTAGTCCTAGATCCCATGCTACGACTCGGAGCATCTCCTCCATCTGGCATACAAGCCATCAAGCAGCATTCTTTCTTTGACAGCATAGACTATGAGACGATCTGGACGATCTTACCGCCTAGTATACAGACAGGCATTACGCCGCCCCTGCCATCGCCACAGTTGAAATTGTTCGAAGACTTTGGCGCACTGCCAATCGACGATTCTGACGAGGAGAGCGAGCCTGCCGATTCGCCACGCAACAGTAGACGGCCTTCCCAAGTACAGGTCGCCCGGGAAGACAATCATGCGAGCAGTCAGCCAAAAGCCTCTGCGGTCATCGCAGAAGTCGAATCCAACGGATCCAAATGGTTTGTGCTCCCCACTGAATCTACGCTTCGCTCACACGTGCACGCAGGTCGAACGTTCTCAAGCCTCGCGAATTACTTGTCTATAGCTCCGAGATACTCGACCGCTCTGCACTCTTTCGCAAGAGGCGTTCCCTCATCCTGACCAGCTTCCCACGATTGCTCTGCGTCAAAGAAAATCGTACGACGGTCAAGGTCAAGTGCGAGATCACCTTTCCAGAGCAAGGACTTGCGCAGGTCCAACAGACCCGGTCTAGAGGGCATCAGACCAAAACGGCAAACGAGGCGACATTGTCATCTAATTGCCTCATCGACATTTTCGAGGAGTCGTCAAAGGTCTTCTCCGTCCGCACGCTCGCGAAGCTGTACCGCTTCGAAGACCCGAGTGGTCAATCGCAGCGCTGGGCAGCGGAGCTGCGAGAAGTCGCGACGGGAGGTGGCAAGGGGCTCAGCCCACCTGCGTGATCGTCTGGCACCATGCCCACTGCAGTGCAGCCGTGTATCATGTCTGGTTGTTGTAGGACTAACGAGCGTTTCACGAAAGCAGCATAGCTGACAATGTCTGCAAGACTGGTACAATCGTCGTGTATAACTAAAGACGGGTATCTTTGCCTGCGGTAAAAGTCCATGAGCGGCAGTGGAATGACTTCCGTTGCGGAATGCGGTGCGCGCTGCGTGCGATGCGTTGCGTTGCGCGATTTGCGAGATGTCAAGCTCTCAGAGCTAGCCTCTGGGGAATGGGAGAAGGCTTTATACGGTAAGGACGGAAGGATCGCCATTCTGTGATGTCTGATCAGCACTTCAATATTGGTGAGATAGCGCATAGACGCACGAAAGGATGGCGCCAACCACATCCCCATTCTTCCCGCTTGTATAGACGGTCAGGCACAGTCGAGGCGTTGTGTCCAAGATGTCGCATGAGCAGTCGCTGGCTCGTCACCAAGCCCGTCTTGCCCCAACGATCGCCCGGAACTGCAAACGGTTCACGCGCAGTTTTGACGGGCGCATTGAGCCATCGGCGGTAGCTGTAAGTTGCGTGCGTAGAGCTGAACGATGTTGAGCGGGTCGATCGACTGAATGGCAACGGAGCGGCACATGCCTCGCAGCCCTCAATGTTACCAAGCAGACAGTCCTGTATCACAACATCAGGAGGAGATGCGTTGATGTCTTCGGCAGGGATGTTGATGCCAGACTCCCGTTGAAGTGCTCGGGCTTCGCGCAAATCGCCATTGGTATCATTACGACCAAGCAAGAGCGCAGGCAGTCGCTCGGCAAGCCAAGATCGAACAGCCAAGCCGCTACCGCCAGTACCAACAAAGACACCACAATGACCGGCCTCGGTCTGCTGCATGCTACCGCGTGCTTGATCGGGCATCCATCGGTTCGCTTCTGCCAAGACGCGCAGCATCTCGTTCCAAGCTTGGCCGTATGAGGTATGTTGAGGATGCTCCACCTCATAGCCCGCCCAGGTGCCAAAGGGCGCATCGTCGCGCCGCCACAGCTCCTCTTGATCAAAGTGGTCTACGCCATCTTCGCACAGCGGAAAGTCGTCTTCCGCAAGAAGGACATATGCTGAGTCGTATGTTGTCGTAACGTGTTTGAGTGCACGAGCGAGATGAAGACGCTGATCGAGGCGATCTACGGTGATGGATGGATGTGAAGGAGCTGTCACGAGACCATAGGTCAGCCTTTGTCAATAATCTAGAGGGCACACATACAGCTAGGCGCCAGTGGCAGCCTTTGAACCCAATCGACGTAGGCTTCGGCCTTGGGACTGTCGGCGAAAACCACGTCGCGGGCCTGTTGAAAGACGGGATGATGGGCAAAGTGCGTATAGACGACGATGCGCACGCGTCCTGCGAGCGCCGTTCGAGAGCCAAAGTTGTCTTCGCCGGGTTCAGGCATATTCGCTAGATACGACTCGAGGGTCCTGATTAAGAAATCAGGGTGACCTGGTCGAGGCGCAGTCATAAGTAAGATCGTCAAGAGCTTGTCGTGACCGGGATGCGCAGATGCAAGCAGCTTGTGAATGTGAGACGTCGTCGCGGAGAGCGCAAGAGACGACACAGCTGAAGGGAAGCTGGATGGAAAGGAAGCCAGCGAGGGAACTGGCGCATATATCGATGGCGTCGGTCTGAGCGTGGTCGCGACGAGGATGATCGTCGCCAGCAGAGGCAGTACGACAGCGCTTGCGCAGTAGACGCGATATAGAAAGTTGAGCACTCGCCTGCTCGCTGGAACGCGTCTGACGTCTGGCGTAGTGCTCGAGATCGATCGTAAACCTACACCAAAGAGTGCGAACAATGCGCCAGCGGTCAAGCCGCTGATCGCCCACCAAGTCATCCCATCCGGGGTTAGGAACAAATTGGAAACAGCCAGAAGCGCGTGAAGCAGCGTTTTAGGCACAGAGATGGCCAGGTATTGGCTCGAATGGCGCGGGGATCTCTGGGGCACGCTTGGCTGCTGACGCCCCGAGAAGACGACTTCGTAGACCGCTCGCGGCAACAGTGATTGAATGACGATCAGGCCAAAAACGAGAGGCGCTAGACCTATAGCAGGAGTCAGCATCTGGTCGGAAAGGTAACGATAAGACACATGCCACTGCCCGTCTCCGAGACGCTGTCGCTCCAAAACCACTTTGGAGCTGCCCAGCCCGTCCAGCGACTGAATGCTTGTCCGTAAAGCAGCCGAATGCTGATGATCAAGATCCAGAGACCTGAGCAGAGCAGCACCATCGGCCAGAGGTGTGGCTGATGAGCGTCATTGTGACCTTGTAGACTCAAGCTGAGAGCATTTGAATCGAGATGAAGAGAAGATAAGTGTGCTCTACGATGACGATGCGATTGACGACGCTGTAGCTCGCCAGATGCGACGAGCGAGTCCTTCTGCTTGTTTGCCTTGACCTGCGCAAACGCATGTCGTCTGAAAGCATCTTCGAGAAGACCCAAGATGGCAACGTTGAGCAAGCTAAGCAGAAGTTTGATATAGAAGCCTTGCATGGCTGGGCCAGCTTGTGAGCCTGCACCAACCAGGAACAAGGACAAGAACGCGTTGGCGTATTCCGCAATACCGGTCCCGTATCGCGGTCTGAGCATGTTGATCGGCGCCGAACACATGACTGGGTGGGGCAGATGCTTGAGCAGTCCTGCGGGTAGGCGATCTGTAGTAAACGGCGGGAGCCAGATTGAGGCAACGTTCACGAGCAGGGAGACAAGAATGAAGCTTTGCGTGAGGGGCGGAATGGGCCAGCTTATCCGCAGCCCAGATGCGCTGCTGGCAGATGTCGATGCTTTGCGAACTACAGCACGATGGTGCTGCTGACTGTGCGGATGCTGCGCCAGCTTACTTGACAAAATTGAAGCTGACGCCGCGAGAGCCGAAGGATGATGCCCCACGAGGTGTTGAACGGGGTACGCCGATGCGCCATAGCTTGTTGATAGCGTGTTCCGTCTCCGGCGACATGTACTCGACGGCAGCATAAATATGCGATCGGATAAGTCTGATACGCCAGCAGAAGAGACGATTGTGTCACCGCCTCTCGCTTGGATTGCTCGCTGCTTGTCCTGCGTGAGGGATGCGAGCGAATCAGTCGAGGAAGCCGCTTCATCGGACAAATGGATTGATGAGAGCGATTCTGAGGAGTAAGCGGGCGAGAAGATTCCAAGACTGCCAGCTGATGCGAGCGAGATGCTGGAAGCTGACGCGGAGGAGGCGCTGCCGCTTGAGATTGAACGCGGGGGATGGCCAAGCGTGTGACGCCTGCTGAGCGAAGACGGAGAGCCGATCGACAGCGACAATTCTACTGCCTCTCTTCTGCGTGTAGACCGCATCGTACTATCGAGATCTGTACGATCTGATGAGGTAGACTGCAAGTGTACGCGCTCTTTGGCTTTGTCGAGATCAGATCTGACCTGAGAGGTCGAGCGACGCTTGCCGCTCGAATCGCGCACGAGAAGACCGCGCGTGCGCGCATCCTCATCACCAGCCTCGCTGCAGGCAGTCGTGGACGGCACGCTCGAAGCGGAGTAGTTCGAAGACAGCGATCCGAGGCTGTCGCGCGATTGCAAACCTGCCCGTAATCGCTCTGGGAACTTGAATGATGCAGACGAGGCTGACGAAGAAGACGACAGTCTGGACGACGAAGATCGCGCAGATTCGGATACGCTGTCGAGATCGCTAGGACTTTGCAAGTAAGGATGCGATCTTTGCTCGAAGCGACCCAGGCGTGGCGGTGCGAGCCCTTCAGTGTCTTCTGGCTTGCCCTGCCGGAGCGTTTGCTGTCGCTCGAGCTCGATCACGCGAGACAGGGTGAGATGGGCGTGATCAGACTGCGTTCGGCGGTGGAAGCTATCCTGGTTGGGCGTCATGCTGTCTAGCTTTGTGGGCGACACAGACGGAGTTGCTGCGGGTGAGAGCGTCTCTGGGCTAGCCACGATCAATTGAGCAGTTGTGTCGATCTTGGGCAAGACGCGAGACTTGCGAATCGCAGTCGGACTGTGCGAGGATCTCTGCCTTTGCATGGCTTGGGGCACAAGCATTGTCGTGATGGGCAACCAAGGCGATGCGCTCGAGTAGATTGTATGAGAAGCTGTTGCGAGCGTTGTAGCAGCAGAGGAGCCAGAGGAGGAGTATGAGCGCGAGTGCGTTGATCGAGCAGGCGACACTGGTCTCACGGTGCTCGTGCTCGCGTCCGCGCTCTCTCTCCTCCTCCTACGCCTCCTAGCAAGCATCTCTCTGGCGGAGGTCGAGCTAGAGCTGCTCGCTGACCCCGATGAGAGCGTAGGACCAGACATGGGGACTGCAGAGGTCGAGGCAACAGGAGAGCGCGATTGCTCTGTTCTCGGTTGGTGATGAGCAAGATTGGCAGTGCGTTTGATTGAAGCCAAGAGGGTGGCCGACCTGGGATGTGCGCCGTCGGCAGATCCCAGTGTTGGCCTGTCCTCCATGACGAAGAGACAAGATGTTTTCCGGTCAAAGTCAAGCCAAACTCAATTCGTCATCAAGAGGCTGTCACACCGTGTCAGCTGGCTCAAATCTGATGACAAGATGCGACGACTGACACTGTCAGGCTATGCACAGGTGGAGGTGCGCGTGAGGATGGGCCGGACAAGCAATGTCCGATTGCCACTGTCTTGGGCTGTTGTCCGTGGTCTCAAGAGAGCGTTCGTTCTCAAGTTGATCGGTCGGCAAGCATACAGCAGTCTGAGCAAGCGGCCAGAAGCCAAGAGACCACCAGTTTTGTTGAGGATGCTGCAGACAAAACAGAATTGCGATGTCGCGTGAAGGCCGACTGCGCAATGTGTTGGGTCTAGCTGCGCGTCTGCGACGATCGGCGGTCTTGCTGCGGTCTGCCGAGTGTGGTGAGGCTAGTACAGCACAGATCAAGTATGGCGTCGAGCCTGATTCCTCCTTCCTCTCTTGACCAATGACTGTACCGCAACAAAACCTGCACTCTCGCCCAAAATCGCTGTGTTTCTCGCTGTTCCTCGCGCTCGGTCAGCCTTCCTTACAAATATTAATTCCTTCCATCCATGGATGGCAATATTGATGATGATGACGACGACGAGAGACATTTGAAAATATCCTGGAAGCCAATCTTGGCCCCTCTTCGTTCGTTCACCTTGACTGCGATCCCGTGTCACTCAGATTCTACAGCAGCGCTGCTGGGCACGGATCGATGAGCTGATGAGCGCGAGCCATCTCAGAAACCACAGGCATGCACCTTGCAATGTCTCGAGCGATAGGGTTTGCGAATAGGCCTCAAAGTTTCAGAAGTGGGTACAGAATGCCCCTCACTCGGCACATGGCCTGGCTTGTGTTCAATCTTTGCATCAATTCGTAGCCGAGGCGCGATGTACTGACCGAGCTGCCGAGGCTACCTCACATTTCGACGGCTTCGAGAGAGCAATGAAGCCTTTTGGCGGGACTGAAGCTGGTCTGGCTCCATTTGCCTGAGCTTCGCGCTAGCTTGACCTTGATTTCGTGGGAATCTGCAGATCCAGGGACCTCATCTGCCCACCGATCAAACGTCGATGACTGCAACTGCGAGGCGAACAGAGCAAGAAGCATTCCAACACACCACATAGCTCTTGGGTCAAGCTAGGTAGCATGGCCGCCTGTTCACACATGCAACGACAAGACATTGCAATATACCTATGTGCTGTTGCCGTCTGAGCTGGCTCACAGGTGGCTGTTCCTGCGTTCCTGAGCGCGTCGATGGGCGGGCAATGACTGAGGTCGCGAGTTCTCTCAGAACGAGTAGGATGGCTAGGCCAGAAAAGCCTGTGCAATGGGTACGAATTGCGCTCGGAGCAGTGTCTGAGAGGTTCCAAGGCGTTGCCGTTCCTTGTATGGGCGTGAAGTTGAGGCACAACCGCGACAAAGAGGCAGACGGCCAGCGCTATAGGCTGCAGTTCGAGTCGTCGTCGTGCGCATGTCGTAGTACACACAAATGAGTGAGATGCAAGCAAAGTGGCTTGCAGCAGTGACAATCACCGACTTTGACAAAGTTTGGCGAGTCGAGAATTTGTCACGACGCAGTGCCACGACACAACTTGGCAGGCCAGGCCGTCACCAAACCACCTCAGGTCCCTCCCGCTAGCTCAAGCAGGCTCAGTAGAGCAGCTCGACAGGTGAAAGAGCCCGAGCAGAAGTACATCAGCCAACATGTCAGAACGCAAGGTGCTGAACAAGTACTATCCGCCCGACTTTGATCCAGCGGCGATCCAGCGACGGCGTGGACTCGGGCCGAGGCAGCAAGTCGTCCGCCTGATGGCTCCCTTCAGTATGCGCTGCAACTCATGCGGCGAGTACATCTACAAAGGCAAAAAGTTCAATGCTCGCAAGGAGGACTCCAAGGAGACTTACTACAGCATCAAGATCTACCGGTTCTACATCAAATGTACCCGCTGTTCTGCCGAGATCACCTTCAAGACGGATCCCAAGAATACAGACTATCAGGCAGAACACGGCGCCTCACGTAATTTCGAGCCTTGGCGAGAGGAGACGGACACGGAGCCCATCGACAAGCTCGCAAGGCTGGAGGAAGAGGAGAACAATCCCATGGCAGAGCTTGAGAACAAGACGGTAGACGCAAAACGAGAGATGGAGATCCTCGACCAGCTGCAGGAGATCAGGACGCGAAACGCTCGCTTTGAGCGGACAAAGCTAGATGAGGAACGAGTACTTCAGACAGTCAGCTCACGCGTCGATACCGTCGACGACGAGGCTCTTGCTAAGTCTGCACTCGATGACGAACAGAGAAGGCAAGAAGAGGAAGACGAGGAACAAGTCAGACGAATCTTTGCGCGAGGCGCAGTGCCGTCCATTGAACTCAATGAGACACCCACAGCAGATCCTGCTGCCCCTCTTGCCGGTCCCTCAGGAACGACACCCGACGAAGAGGATGCGGACGAAGGCCTCATCTTGCCACCCAAGCCGAAGCCAGAGATCGTCGTCAAACGAAAGCTGGATCTGATCGAGCCAGATGCGCAGACGCTACTCTCAAGTGATGCACGGGCCTTTGTGGCCAAAGTCGACTTTAGCGCCAGGCCGGTACTGAAGAAGAAGCAAAAGGGTCCCAATGCCATGGCGGCCAAGCTAGGCATCAAACTCAACAAGTGAGTGACCGGCAAACCGTCGACGCAATGAGGCTGTAGCGCTGCAAAAATGGTGTTGTTGGTATGTACAACACGCATTACAATTTATGGTACTATACATCTAGTCGCTGCGGTTTGCGATTGGTAGTGATCGCTACAGTATGCGAGTTGCTTACGTGGTGGCGCGAATAGCGCCCGATCATCTTCAGGTATTCTCTACAAACGATTTGCTGGTGCAGACGTTGCGCACTGTGAGCATATCATGCACGTCGCTTCTCTCTCGCAAGAGTGTCGATTGCGATATCGGCCAGCAAATTGATGCCGTCTCGGCCTTCGGCTCGTCTGGCCACGCCGTCAGGCTCGTGTGGGCGCGGTCCAGCTGGTCGCGATGGGCCGCCTGCAGCCCAGGGCGGTGGCAAGGTGACTGCATTGGGCGCGCTCTTCGTTCGCAAGCCAAGAAAATTCGAACGGGGATCTGGCAGACGAGGTACTGTGCCGGAAAAGTAGCCTTCTGCTCTAGCTTCCGAAGTCGTGCGCGTCAGACTTGGAAAGTAGCTATCGCGCTTGATGTCCATCGAATGAGGCGTCCCGCTTTGAGAGGATGCAGAGGTAGCATATGCACTGCTTGGCGTAAAGGCAGCATGTGTACCGGGTGTAGACCCGGTTGACGGGGGAGAACGTATGATGATGCGATCGTCTGACGCAGGGCAGGCGCGCATGTAGGGACGCTGATCAGAGCGCGATCGCTCGATACCTTGCATGCTGGGTCGACTGGATCCGAATGGTTTGACTGCATGATCAACCATGTGGCGACTCTCATGCGGGGGCGAGTCAGGTGATGAGTCTGATGAGGGAGACTCCTGTAGCCATGCCGGGCTTTGGTCTTCCTGTTGTCGCTCGCGACTGACTTTTGCGCGACGGCTACCACCGCGTCAGTTTCAGTGAAAACGCTGGCCAAAGAAGCTCACTTTTGAAACCAAACTTGTACCTCTCTGTTCGTCATTCCGAGGCGGCGAGCGAGCTGCTCACGGTCTTCGAACGACAGCGTGGTAGACAGTGCAAAGACGTTGATGAGCACATCGAGTTGCTCTGGCATGATCTTTTTGCGTCTTGGCCTTGGTGATAGTCTTGCGAGATCACGCTGACCGAGCTGACCGTGACGTGCTTGCTCGGGATGAAAGTGACCGCTCTGTTTGACCATATCGCCATATTGCATCGTACTGTCGGCAGCCATGTGCAACGGCGCGGGTGCGCTCTGAACGTGTGGCATCGAGTGTCGCCTTGGACCGGAGCGCCAATGAAGGGGCTCTGCAGGGACCGAAAAGCGATGATCAATAGCAGGGTGGCCGTCAAGCTTGGCAGGAAATTGAAGTCTTGTACGATGTGATACTTGCAAAGCAGTGTTTGAACTTGCTTGAAACTGCGCCTGGGTTTGATACCGCTGGGCGCGTGCAAGAGCATCTTCTTGGCTCGTCGCATAAGGACGGGAGGAAGAACAATCTGACAATGTCCTCGACATCGGGGACGATTTGTAAGCAGGCTCGCGGTGAGCAGTCGCAAACGTGGTAGCCATCTTGACCCTTTTGGCTTCAGGTCCCTCTCTTGCGAGGGTGAAACGCCTCAAACGCGAGCCTTGGCGGCAATTAGTCCTCTTATCGTTGCGTGACAGGTACGATCGCTCGAGATTGCGTCGTTATGGGCAACTTATAGGGTGCAGGATCTGAAAGTGCGCAAAGCGTCGTCAAGTCATGGTGTGAAGGGCAGTGTCGATGCGTGCGGGCGAGGCAGGCTATGTCTGGTAGATTGATGTTCTCAAGCACTCCATCGAGGCGTCTGTGCACTCTTTTAATTCTTGCTTACTGTGAGATCGACTCTTTGGCGCCGGAGAAAGGCGTGTGCGTACGAATGAGTGTTGGGTGTATCGTGCGGCGGTGACAAGATTGAGGGCGGCACTGGTACCGGCTTGGGCGTTTATGCGATTCTGTTGTTGAAGCGAAGGAGAGCAGGTCTGTCGAAAAGGTGAGATCTGGCAGTTCCTGAAGGAAGGAGTGGATTGGGATGGAAAGGCGAATGACTGCGTCTGCGCACATCGCGAGATGACTCAATAACAGAGCCAGGGGCTCCCAAATCGAATTGTCGATGTTCAGATTCCGCATTATCTGAGGATCGGCCACTCTTTGCCACTTCTGGCACGTGGAACGCGCGTTTTCGGGCGAGCATCAGCCAAGGCATCGCGCGCGCTAGGAGCAGTGCAGGCAAAAGTCAGCCTCGAGCCGGACAAAAGGGCATCGCACTCTGGAATGCACTCGAAGGACGTGAAAAGTCTCGTTGACAAAAAGAACGCTTTAAGGTGGTGGATGGGATCGTCCGAGCCGGATACGCTTTACATGTATGCGCTGAGCCAACGGAAACCTGTCGACGTCCAGGCACACGTCAGCGGAGGATGGCCGAGAAGGCCGAGTTTGCAGACCTTCGCCGTAGCCTTGACGCATGACGACAGAGACCATGAAGACCTCGATTGGTCGGATGTTCTCGAGAGGTTGCTTGCCCTGTCATTACATGCCTATCAGCGTGCTTCACTGCTGCTCAGGGGCGGGCTGTTGACCTTGCCGGTGGTCTGGTACATGCCCAGCGCGTGCTTGAGGTCATCTTCGCTCACCGCACCTGGGGCATCAATCTTGTTGCCCAGAATGAGGAAGGGGACTTTTGAGAGCTCCTCAATCGACAGCAATGCATCTAGCTCCTCCTGTGCGCTCAGCGTAATGAGTTATCACCTGGAGACCGCCAGCGCAGGACGCGCCTTTGATTCTGAGAAGCGCTCGTGATCCTGGGCGTCGACGAGGAAGACAATCCCATCTACCTCTGGGAAGTAGTCTTTCCAGAGCCGGCGAGCTGCAGAGAACCCAACCGCATGAGCTTGCGTAGGGTTCATGTCGCGTCTTTGACTCGCCTTGCTGATGTCCTCCCAGATCATAAGTTGTGAATTTGACATTACCGATGGCAAGTTCTTCAGATGCTGGAGGCAGACATCTCTGGATGAGCTCCGCAGACGGATCAAGCAGTGCGGCATGACTCACTGGGATGCAAAGTTGGCTGCAACGTAGCTAGTCGATCATTCTTCAGCATGTGCAGGAGCGTCTGACGTGATCGCTTGACGGTAAGCATCTCGTGACACATATGAGCGCGCAAACGACGAACCGTCTTGCCAGCATTGTCTATTGACAGTCAAACAAGCCAAGCCACGTCAGACCGAGCTCAACGGCCTGGGGTGCGTCACAGGACTGACCGAGGCCTAAGAAGAGGATCTTGGCGTTCTTGTTGACGAGACCAAACTGTGCGAGGATATCCCAGAACCTGTGAAGCGGCAAGAAGGGCGTTGCTTAGCCACGATCCTTTGTCATTGAGTAGACGGCGACCGCGATGACGAGGCCAGGTAGGTCGTGGGGAGCGTCGGCCGGCTTGTGTTGGCGTCGAGCTAGACCGTGAGAAGAGTGCGGAGGAGCTCGACTGACCAGCTGATCATCCACATCTTGAGCAAAGGGCGCCTCTCTGCCTCGACGATGGGCTGTCGGCAGCGCGTCCACCAAAAAAAAATAAAAGGCGACGGCCATCAACGACGATGAGTCTCTGTCCACATCCAGCATGCCGATCCATGGCATTGCATACCCTCAGACGAGTCGAAGCTCGCGCCAAATCGCCGCCTAGCGACTCACTTCGCCTGATTTCGTCTATTGCAAGTTCCAGGCCCAAGAGCAATGCAGAGCGCCTTTCGAGCCGTAGGTCAGCATGGCCGCCTCGTTTGCACGACCAACAACGCTTTTTGGCTACGCAAGTATCTGGAAATTCACTTGAACCGGCCGCCGGAGGGATGCATACCAATGCAGACCAAGCAGAGGACGATTTCGATGTGGTCATCATCGGCGGAGGCCACGCAGGCTGTGAAGCAGCTGCAGGCTCGGCTAGAGTAGGCGCACGAACACTGCTACTCACACAGAGACTCGACACGATTGGCGCGCTCAGTTGTAATCCGTCCATTGGCGGGATAGGCAAGGGAACGCTCGTGCGCGAAATCGATGCTCTCGATGGCCTCATTGGTCGTCTGGCCGGTCCGTCCCTGATGCTGTAAGCTTACATCAGGCTTAGGCAGACTGACGTGTTGGCAGATAAATCGGCCGTACAGTTCAGAGTACTCAACAGATCAAAGGGTCCCGCCGTACATGGACCGCGAGCTCAGATCTCAAGAACGCTCTACAAGCAGCACATGCAAGAGACCCTCAACGCCTATTCCAATTTATCACTTCGGGCCGGTAGCGTCGATGACTTGATACTCGACGCGCCCACTCGACCAGGATCAGCAGGTCGCGTTATTGGCTTACGATTAGGTTCGCTCCAACGGGTAGCCAGCAGATCTCTGCTGATACTTGTAGTCGAGGATAGAGACTGGTGAAGTTATCAGGACCAGGCATATCGTCATCTCGACGGGCACTTTCCTGGGCGGCCATGTACACATTGGTCTCGAATCGACACCTTTTGGCAGGTTGGGCGAAAGAGCATCCAATGCGCTCTCTGATTCACTTCGCCAAGCTGGTTTCGCACTGTCGAGACTGAAAACGGGCACACCTCCTCGGATCGACGGACGGACAGTCAACACTGCCATACTGGGCCGTCAAGATGGCGAACGACCTGCTACGCCGTTCTCGTACCTCTCTGAAGGGCCCCTACCCAATGAAGATCGACAGCTACCTTGTTGGCAGACACAGACAACGCTAGCGTCGCACGCGCTCATAGAAGCAAATCTAGACAAGACTATTCACATTCGAGAGGAAGTCAACGGGCCGAGATACTGCCCCTCGCTCGAATCCAAAGTCGTTCGATTCAGGTCGAAGAACCATCACGTCGTCTGGCTGGAGCCGGAAGGTTACGATACGGATACGGTCTATCCCAATGGTCTTTCGATGACTGTGCCTGCCGACGTGCAGGAAGCTGTACTCAAGACGATTCCAGGATTGGAGAATGTCACGATGACTCAACCTGGGTATGGCGTAGAATATGATCATGTCGACCCAAGGGAGCTTAATCGTGAGTCTCCTTCATTCCACGGATCATCTTCGTAGCTCGAAGGCTGGCTTGCAGGCACACTCGAGACAAAGAAGATACAGGGTCTGTTCCTTGCCGGACAAATCAACGGAACGACGGGCTACGAAGAAGCCGCAGCGCAGGGCATCGTGGCAGGCATCAATGCCGGTTTATCTGCCGCCCGTGCGCCACCTCTGCTCCTGTCTCGAACGGACAGCTACATCGGCGTACTCATTGACGATCTGACGACGCAAGGCGCTTCGGAACCTTATCGCATGTTCACGAGCCGAAGCGAATATCGTCTCTTCCTCCGCGCGGACAATGCCGACAAGCGGCTGACCGAGAAAGGTATGTCTCCTGGTTCTCGCTGAATTCTGCTCATTGTGAGATAGGATCCCTCGCGGGTTGTGTCTCTGCCAGTCGATACCATCATTACTGTGCTGAACAGAAAAGCATCGACGAGTGTATCGAGATGCTACAATCTATCGAGCTGTCGCCACACAGATGGACAGACCTCGGCTTGCCCGTTCGTCTAGACGGCACATCACGCAGCGCTTTCGACGTTCTACGCCACCAAGGCTCGACGCTGCCACTGCTCACCACAGCACTTCCCCAGATGATACAATATTCGCCTCGTGTGCTCGCAAGGGTGGCCATCGAAGCAAAGTACAAGCCTCATCTCACTCGTCAATCTGCCGATGTGGACGCTTTCATCAAAGACGAACATATCTCGCTGGCCGACCGAGTCGACTACGATCAGATCCACGGCCTGAGTACAGAGGCCCGCCAGCAACTCTCTCGCTATCGACCCGCAACTCTGGTCAGGCTCTAGTTCTCCCACAATGTGACGCTGGCTAATGGACGAAGCAGGCCGCAGCTAAGCGTATGGCTGGCGTGACCTCTGCGAGTGCCATGGCCATACTGCGCTACGTCCGTAGCGGCCGCTCGACCGTTGAAGCTGCTTTGTAGGCATACATGCAAGCGCGGTACTACAACAATACGAAGCCCAACGTGATCTCATGAGCTCTTTATCTTCGCCAACTGAGGGTTCTGCCTTTGCCAGCTGCTTGCCAGTTCAGATGAGACGGTATGCATGGAGTGCGGGAGCTTACTCATATGCGCGATAGAGCTGGTATCCGCCCGTTGCGCCCACGAAGAAATTGACCTGCTCACTGATGATAAGTAGACGCGATAGAGTTGGGTGACCATGCTTACAGCTGCTAGAGAGTAGTTGACTGGGGTGATGACCAAGCTGTACCTCACCCAGATTGCGCCCGTGAGCATCAAGGCTATCGTGCAAGTATGAGTTCCTCAGCTCGTGGAGACGGGCCGTTGGGACTTGCCTGCGTTTTGAGGTATGGACAGCTTCTCGGCAGGCCGCGATAGATCCTTGAGACCAGCAATGACGAGACACCTGCGTGAGGCATTCATTGTCAGCATGCGAGCGGCTGATGGCATGCGACACTCGCCATTTCATGAGAGGTGCATAGAAGAATATGGTCCTGCAGGCAACCAGAGGGCTCTTAGCGCAGGCGGTCTGAGCTCGGCACTGAAGCCTACTTGGGACCCGCGGGATGATTCATGAAAGCTGATAGCTTGCTCGTCGTGGCAGGTGCTGCTGACATGGCTTGACGGTGTGCGACAGCGGCGTCGCGCGAAACAGCTGCAAAGGCATTTTTCTGCTCCACGAGGCCACAAGCCGGCCAACTGACTCGGACCCTGACTGCACTTCCTCAACATGAAGAGAGCAGCAAGAGCTCTGCCGGGTGCATGGCGAGCACAGCACGTCCCGGCGACCAGAGGCAAGGCTACTCTACGCTTTGCAGCAAGATCAGCCCCATTCAGCTCCTCGGCAGCTCATCAGAGAGCTCAGCATGACGAGCCTACCGCACCGGGCAAACCTACCAAGCCAGTACAGAGTGCCACGAGTGCACTGGACTACAAGATGTCGCACCCTGCCAAGAGACCGCCGCGTCTGCCGACAATTGATCCACCTAAGTGGTCAGCCGAGGAAGCAGTGACTAACATCTTGTACAACAGCAAGTCGGGCCAGACAGAGCTCATGTCGAGATACTGATGGTTTGCTTGTTGCAGCACCGCCACCCAGCAATCAGCCGTTCGTACGACACGTGCTCAATTGCCTCGTTCAAAACGAGCCAGGCGTTTTATCGCGCGTCTCTGGCATTCTTGCCGCTCGTGGATTCAAGTGCGTTGCGAAGGTCTTGCGTACTCTGTGCGAGGACTCACCGTCTTCTCGATGCGCAGCATTGACTCGCTTGTCGTCTGCGCAACAGAGATCAAAGATCTCTCGAGAATGTGTATCGTTCTCAGAGGTCAAGATGGCGTCATAGAACAAGCCAGACGGCAACTCGAAGATCTCGTCAGCTTGATCTCTTCCCCTCCCGCCACTCTCGCTGACAGTCTTCATCGTGTGCGCAGGTACCCGTCTGGGCAGTCTTGGACTATACCCGCACAAAGACCATCGAGCGAGAGCTCTTGCTCTGTAAAGTGTCGATCCTCGGCCCCGAATATTTCGAAGACCAGCTCAGACACAAGATACAAGAGGGCGCTTCTTCACCCCATGCTGCCTCACAAGAAGGCGAAGCCACCAGTCCCGATCATGCAAGCGGAGGCGATCCAGGCTTAGCCATTCAGTCTGAGATCCACAGACAATACGATGCCGAGCATCACGCACAAGGATACGCAACGCCTACTTTCGAATCTCTCTCGCCTTCGGAAGCGCTCAGACAGAAGCACGCTCATATGTCTGCCATTGCTTTGCTCGCCTCCCAATTCCAAGGCAAGATTGTTGATATCAGCAATGACGCTGCCGTCGTCGAGGTATCCGGCAAGACTGAACGAATAGACGCTTTCCTCAAGCTCATCCGACCCTATGGTGTCCTCGAAGCTGCTCGAACAGGCAAGCCTCGCATTGCAAGCTCAGCATTTCATGGCTGATGTGCGAGAACGCAGGGACGATGGTGATGCCGAGGGCGCCCATCATCAGTCAATGGAGTGGCATGTCAGATGAGGAACCCTTGGAAGAGGAGACGGTTCAGATTGACGCGAGTCAGCTCCCACCGGGCTAAGCGTGCACCATGTAGCATCAGCAATGCAACGTTGATCAGCCAAAAGCTTCTTAGATCCGACTAAAGCTGGTCAAAAGCGGATGCGAGGAGCCAGGAGAGTCAGAGAGCGACTGTTGCGGAACGTCGGATAAGCGAACCATCACCAGAACCACGATTGACCACGACCAGCGCGGCTGTATGCGAGCGATGATATTATGTCAACAACACGTATCATTGCAAAACCTGAGCTGATCGTGAGGTAGAGGTGGACCTCTGTTGCGGCACAAGCCATACGATTGCCTGGCCTGTTGCCAGGACAGAGCCACGCAGCCTTTCGCCTGTGTGTCTTGCGTTCACTTGTGTTCTGTAATTGTGCGCCACGGCAAGCCAATCGGGCGAGTGTTGGGGTTGTAGGTAGCTGTCGAGGATCAAATTTGACATCATGACAGTCTAGTAGTCCGCAGGCGGTGAGACGACAACTGTGGGCTGAATGATAGAGCCGCCTGGAAATGTCGGGGGCGGCGTGGGAACAGATCTGCCAAAGAAAGCATAGAGGTGAGCTTTGGCATCTGCGATCTTCTCGATCATCGTGCGAGCTTGGGGCGACGGGAGCTTCTCGGACATCGAGCGCAAGTGATGCTGCATTGTGCCTCGGTCTCCCGCACGCTCCTGCATCCTGCGTAAAAAGGCTAATCAGCAGTTGGAGAACAGCGGACGGCGACAAGCTTGCCGATCACGGAAGGACTCGATGTCTGCTTTCTTGTCCGTCAAGATGGCAGAGGCATAACGAAGTCGCTCGTTACCGACTGATAGCGTAGCGATGGCGCTGTTACTCGTAAAAACACTGCGCATCATCTCGATAGCCTTGCGCGCCTCTTCCTCCAGCGACTCGATCGCTTCGCGTCGCCGCGTCAAAGCAAGCTCGAAGGATTGTATCGCCTCGCCGTACGACTTGTCGATCGCCTGCGGGCATAATGAGCTCTGATGAGCCGAAGCAACGCAATAGCATGCCTCTAGACCCTCGATAATGGTCTGCATCTCAAGCTCCTTAGCACGTAGCTCCGTGTAGCCATGTTGCAGATCTATATCGAGCTTCATGCTATGTGGCGACATCGTCCGGCCTACACCATTGAGCTCACAGAGATGCGAAAGCGAATGACGTCGGGTCAAGTCAGACGCAGTACTGGTCTCTTTTGTTGGCAGATCGCTGTAGGACGTAGCAAAGTACTGATATGCCTCGGTGTCGCCATCTGTCAATGCACGAGATAGCACGGGTGCTCGCGGCCTCTCATCTTCTTGCTGCTCGGAATCTCGCTTGGCCTGACTGTCTGATGCCGTCATCACATGTGCTGCACCTGCAGACTATCAGACACATGTTGGCCGAAGTGCGTATTGCTCACCAGCAGGATCTTGATGGGTTGTATGCGGACTAGGTCCTCGCGAATGGTCTGCATTCGAGGCAAAGGCCCGAGCTGTGCGATCGTGGAAGCCTCGCAAGACTCGTCCCGGTAGGCGGTGCGCTGCTTCGGCATCCGTATCGCTCGTCGCATCATTCGAGGTATATCCATCCTTTGCCGAAAGATGAGCGGTCGACCCTCGACCATGTCGGTGTAATCCGATTCGTACTGTTCTGCTTGTGCGCTTGTGATGTTGTCGTCTCTTAGCAGCCGTTGTAGACCAGAGGCTGGCAAGCGTGAAGACCTCCGACCACGCCCCTTGATTGAGTGATCGTGCAGCGAGATCGAGATCGAAGGTGCCATCCTCAATGTTCTCAGCAGCATTGCGAGCTGCACCTGGGTCCGTCCGTGACAATGGGTTGAGCCCGCGATCGGCTATATCATCGATCCGGTTACGCAGCATTTTACCGACTCGCATTGATTCTGCTTTCCGGTCATCGACAGTCCGCTTCAGTGCGGCTATGCCTGGCGGAGTAAGGTACAGAAGCTGATGAGCGTGGCTGACTTGTGCACCTTGATGCCCAAGTGCTTGTATCGTCAGGGTATACGTAGAGAGGAAGCGATGGCGAGAGACAAAAGGATCTTTCGGCGGATGTGCATAGCCTAGCGCATGGACTTTAGCCCGAACAGACGCCACGATTGTCAGAAGACCAGCAAGGGTCGAAGGTGTCATTATTTGGGAGCTGGAAGTAAGACCAGCGGGTGCAGTCTGCGCAGATGAAGCTGGATTTGATGTTGCTTGCTGATTGAAGATGTCATTCCATTCTGCAAGACCTGCGATCGTTTCTTCACAGAGCAGTCCATCGGGCGCGAGCTGGTCGATGCCTTCATTCGGCAGCGCCTGATGGTGCGAGAGCGAGTGCTTTTGCGGAGGCACGAGGGGGCCCAGGCCAAAAAGCGCGAGCGCGCATTGTACGATCGCGATCACGTCGAGCAGCTTGTTCTCTAGCTCTTGAACACTAGCCAAGGAGTATGGCAGCCGATAGAGCTGCGCGAACCGCTCAAGTTGTGCTGTCGCAGGTGGGGTGAGCGATAGACTGGATCGCCCGCCCAGTCCAAGTCGCCTGAGCGCTAAGTTCTGATAGAGCGTGTCCCTTATCTGCTGCGTCACCTGTCCGCCTGGTATGGACACAAGCGAGCGATCGCCTTGTAGATTGGCCAGCGAGGTCACGAAGATCAATCCAAGCGACGTTTGCTTGGGCCGCCCGCCTTCACTTCTGAGCGAGGACTCGAGATCGCTCATACCATCTGAGCGAGTCTCAGTCGGCTCGAGTACATCCACAGAGATGACATCGTCTGTCCCGCCCGTGTAGACCACCAAACCAGGTGTGAGGCGCTGGCGGTCGACGAGCCATTGCTCAACGCAGTAGACCTGAAAGCCAGCGAGCCTGATGCCCGTCTTGACGACGCTATAGTCGTGTATGAGCGCATTGACTCGTCTTGATCGAGGCTGCGGAACATGCTCCTTGCTCTGTGAAGCAGCGCCGGTGGAAGAGGTTGTCGATGATCCGCCATAGAGATGTAAGGCCGAAGTGGACGAGGCAGGTGAGAAGACAGCAGACGGGGCCTCATCATCTGCCGCTTGCAGGCTGTCCAAGACACCTGTAGGCAGCAGGATCCGCTCTGACTTCATCGCTGGCGGCACGGTTGCATCACATCCGGGACGAGCTGTCCGCTTGCACGAGGACAGCCGAGTTCATTAAGGGCTCTTGCAGATCACTCCACAAAGTCCGCATGGCCTTGCTCAGCGCTCGACCCTTATCCGAAGTTGTTCAAGTATGCGAGAGCATACGCTGCAGAGATGCATAGCAGGGTTCGCCGAACGCTCGACAGATGGGCACAGCCGGGGCAGCAGAACAGCCATAGTGCTCGCTGGACGCACCACCATCGCTACAATCACAGCTCTCAGCCACGCATCTCCGCGGGCTCGTAGCCTTTCCTATGTGTCCTTGCTTGTCTGGCCAGCCACATCGACAGGCCTATACTTGCCCGTCGCCAGGCATGCTGCGGTTGCCAGACTGCGAGGCACGGCGTGCCAGTGCGCGCCTATGGCCGATGACGATGGAGCAGCTGGTGCCTGAGCCTCGTCTGTCCATGCATGCCTGGCTAGATCGCTTCTGCCGCCTTGCTACGCGTGCAAGGCTGCACGCGCACGCTCAAACAGCAATCCGACACACTGGCTCCAAGCAAGCTACGATCAGCGTTCAGTAGCTTGGCTCGGCTCGCGCACCGTTTTGCCTCGCGAGAGATCTCGATCATGGAGAAGGCGTGCCGATCGACAACTTTCCAAATTTGAACGCGTCTGTTGACGTCTGGAAAGACAAGTGGTATGGGTTTGTCTCTCTCGCCTCCGCATTCGATTTGCGCCTGTGCATCCCGCAAGGCAGACCGGCCTCTCGTCTGTTGCATAGGACGAAGAGGCGACGAACGCACAGCCAGCGTGCGAGTGCCGGAAGGGGGCAGCGAGTAGGATACCCCATCTGTCAGCCGACACCGACGGCGACCACTCCAGCATTCAGGCTTTGCAACCTTCCTTTCCTTTTGTGACTAATTTTGACAGGGTATCATTGTCGCATCGCCACGCAAGAGCTTGGCCAACAAGCAACATAAGGAGCATTCAGTCACTGCAGCAGAGCCTGCAGGCACTAGCCTAAACGCGTTCATTCAGCATGTCGACTCAGCTGGGTGATGATGGGTCAGTCCTGCTCACTCGATTCGCGCATGCATGTCCCGCATACTGACGCTGTCTTGCCTCTTGCCCTTGCTTCGTTCCATTTCGACATGATCAATCGATGACATTTTGACATCTCTCGACGAATTTCTGGACCCAATCTGGTGGTCACGCTCGCTTTTCGTCTTCTCGCCACTGCATCGATTCACAGATATATCCACTATGACGGCGCAGACTCGCGGGCCGAGCAGCCCATGTCTGAAGCCAGTCAAGGCCTGCACTCGAACGGCCACATCTCACGGTCGCCTACGCCTGAAGGATCGGGTGGCGACTCCACCATCTCTGCTGGCAAGTCGTCAGCGCGTACCACATCGACCGCGCCTTTGACCCGATCTGGCAAGGCCGGCGGTATTTATTCGACCTACGATGGCACTTCACGCTCGAGGACTTCCTATGGCAGTTCCTCGAAGCCAGAGGGCTCGCTCGATCAGGCCTACAGAGCTGGCATGCCTATCGGTCTCCTTGCCGCGATGGGTCAGTCGCGTGACCCTCACGCCATTGCCACATGCTGAAATAAATGTGATAGGCACACCGTACGCAAAGAAGCCGCTCTACCGAAGCACAAAGTGCAAAGTGCTGTGCTTGGCGATTTTGCCCATCACCGTCGTCGTCGTTGTCTTGATCACCGTCTTTCCCGTGCTCAAAGCCATCGCAAAACATGCGCTGCACACCTCTGTGCTTCACGTCTACGCTTCCAACCTCACGCAGCTCACGAACGAATCGTTTGCGCTCACGCTCGACGGCGAGGCGAAGAAGACGGGCATCTTCCCTGCTCACATCAACTTTGGACAACCTGTCTCGGTTTTCTGGGTCAATCCAGACAACATGCAAGAGGTGCAGCTGGGTAGCTTCCCACTTGCTTACCTTGGTGCTGCGGCCGGTCACGGTCGCATTCATCAGGAGACCTTCTTCACCATCACCGACACGGCCGCCTTTGGTCGATTCTCTGCATTCTTGATCACTCAAGAATCCTTCACCTGGCGCTTGCGGTCGTCCAACGTCCAAGCCAAAGCATTTTCATTCTTGGCCACGTCGTCACTCGACTTTGTCAAGGATCTTACTCTGCCGGCTATGGCCAATTTCACCAATGTAGCCATCGCGGACTTCCAGCTGCCAGGCGACGATCCTGCTGGTGGTATCACACTCGATGTCGTCACGACGCTTACCAATCCTTCGGCATTCGGTGTCGAAATTGGCACGCTGGTCGTTGATCTCTACTACGACGGTCTCTACCTCGGTCCTGCACAGACCTCGACAAGCGTCAACTTGACCTCTGGCTTCAATAGCTTCCCACTCACTGGTCGACTGCTTTCGTATGCTGGCAACCAGACTGCGCTCGCGCAGCTTGGTGTGCTCTTCACGAATTACGTCAATGGTGATTCGACTCTGGTTACCGCCGTCGGTCGCAGCGCCACGCTACCCAACGGCGAACAGATCAGCTGGCTCAGCGAGGGCATCAGAGCTCTGCAGCTCATCGTTCCTCTGAAATCGCCCACTGGACCCCTCAATCCCATCAAGGATATTCAGATTCAGACGTTCAGCCTTACGTTCCCAGGAACGCCGGACTCGTATCAGCCTACAGCTGCATCGAACAATCTCATGGCAGGCATCGGACTGCCATTCGGCTTCAGCTTGAACATCTCAGCGGTCGCTGCAGCCATTACCATCGTTCAAAATGACACGAGCATCGCACAAGTGCAAGGCGTCACGGGCGCCGCAACGACCATTCTCACCTCTGTGAATGCTGGCTTCACCACTGGCAACCTCGCATTGACCCTACCGCCCTCGCCTCTCGTAGTGCCGGATACGTACGAAGGTCATCTAATTTACAGTCAGTTCCAGAAAGACTTTACCGCGACGAACGGCAGTGCCTTCTATCTCAATGTGCGTACATAACCTTGCCCACTGACCGCACTCATGTCGCTTGTAGGGTACGACCACCGCGACCACGTCTACACCGATCGGCGAGATCATCCTCAATCCCGTAAATTTCTACGTACCAGCTGGCTTGATCGGTCTGCAGCTACTGCAGACTGCACCTACACTGATTCTTTCAGTCGATGTCACGGGCGGTACGCCAGATTACATCGAGCTCAACATTCTCGTGGGCTTGACGAACCCATCCAATCTACTGTTGGACGTCGGCGACGTTACATTCCAGCTGTTCAGAAACGGTGAATTCCTGGGTAGAACAATCTTACCAGCTCTGTCGCTTTCGATCGGCTATCAGACGCATACCTCAGTCGGTCAGTTTGAGGCAAACAACAATCCGACAGCGCTCGATACCCTCAACCGCTTCACCCAGGGTCTCGACTCGCAGCTCAGCATTGGCGGATACAATGGATCGAGTCCATATGATTCATTACAGCAAGCCTTTATGGCACTGCAGCTCAATGCGACGCTCGGAGGCCTGCAGACGCAGCTGCTGAACTACGCCGCGCTGACAGTGCTGCCTACGACCAACTTTGCAGACAATATTGCGGACACGACCGTCTCGCTGCAGAATCCTTTCACCTCAGTGCTTGACATTACGAATATCCAGAGCAACATCACCTCGCGAGGCCTATATCTCGGCTCGATCGTTACAGACACCAACTTCGTTGCTGCTGGCAAGGCCGCGACTGTCTCGCCCTCGTTGCCCTTCGGTCTCAATCTATATCCACCCGACATCTTCTCGCTTCTTCGCGAGCTTGTCCTTGAGGCCGGGCTCAATCCAGATTATCTCGATGGCATCGTACAGCTTGGCGGATATCAATATGTGCCTACTACTGGCGCTGGCACGCGCAAGGTTAAGCGGTCCCTGGACGACGAAGATGACGAATCGCTCTGGTCCACATTCGGTGCAGACGGCCTCAACGACTTGCTTTCAGCGCCCGGAAAGAGCGCTGCGGTACCGGGCGGCCTCACTAAGGAGGAATTGTCCAGTCCCGACTACGCAGACCATCAAGTCCGATTCCAGAAACGGGACAACCTGTACACCGGCTTTGACTTGCCTACCTATGTTGACACCGCGTTCAAGCAGCTCACTGTCAACGTAGCGCTCGTCTCTGTCGTCTCGATCGGCCAATTCACAACGGATCTCACGTACTCTCAGGTATGCTGCAGTCGTGCGTGAGGAAAGCATCACTGATCATAATATCGCAGAACGATGTGCCTGTCATCACGGATCAAACCCTCAATCTGCTCTTACCAGTCCTGGCCCAGCCGATCGTGCAGAAGATCGTCGATGGCTCGGTGCTCGCAGTCGACACGGTCACCATCACCGATCCTTTGCTCAATTCCTTTGGCACGGGTCTTACAGGCTCCATTACTCAATCTGGACCTTTCGACGCTGTCATCTCATTCCCGCAAGGTCTTACTGTCGCATGGAATGGCGCACCGCTCGGTCAAATCGCGATGCCTGACGTTTCCCTAGTCGGCGATGTCGGCGCAACACTCAACCTTCAGGCTGCATTCAGTGTCGCAGACGTTGGACACCTGACCGACTTCACAAGCTATCTGTTGACCGAGAAATCGTTTACTTGGGAAATCTATGGTCAAGATCTTGCCGTCGCCGCACTTGGCATCACTGTGCCTGGTATCAGCATCAGCAAGACCGTCGTCCTTGCGGGCATGGACAGCTTCATCGGCGATGTCATCATCAATTCGTTCGATTTGCCTGCAAACGATCCGGCTGGTGGCATCACGCTTACGTTGCAAACGACGCTCACAAACCCTGCCAGCGTAGGTGTGCAGCTGTCAACAATCGTCTTTGAGAATACCTTCGGACAGACCGACATTGGACCAGCAGCTAGCACGGCTGCATTCATCTTGCCGCCGAAGGGCTCGCTGCAATTGCCCTTGGCAGGCCGTCTGATACCGCAAACAACCCAGCAGGGTCTTGACGATGTGTCGACCATTTTCAACGGCTTTGTGCATGGCGTGCCAGCGCAGCTCCTTGTTCATGGCGTCACGGCTGGTCCCGACGGGGTCACTTGGCTCAACGACGGCATCAAAGCGCTTGAAATCCCTGTCACGCTCCCTGCAGCAGCAAGCCTGCAGATCATCAACTCGATTACGCTGAACCAGCTCACACTCTTGTTCACTGAGGCGACTGCATGGTCACCCTCATTCTCGACCTCCAACACTGTCGCCGCATTCCAGCTGCCGTTTGCCTTCCCCCTTGATATCACCGCAGCATCCACCAACATCATTTCACAAGATGCGGGCACCGACTTTGCGCTCATCACAGTTCCTCAAATACCTACAACGACGGACGTGACAGCGCGCTTGCTTACCCTGGCATTCCAGAACGTGCCCTTCGCAGTGGATCCTAATTACAGCGGTCAGCACGCGACATTCTCGCAGTTCCTGACGGATACAACAGACAATGTCAACAAGTCATTCGTTCTCCATGGATCAGCAAGCACGGTCGCCAGCACTGCCGTCGGGAATCTTAACATCAACGAGATCGCATTCCAAGTCACAACGGAAATTGCAGGCCTACAGGGACTTAATGCTCAGCAGACGACAGTCTCTGATCTCGATGTCTTCCATGGCTATCCTGACTACCTTCAGATCAACGTCAACGCACACATTTTCAACCCATCGGAGATCACGATCGGAACTGGCGATGTTGCCTTTGGCCTGACGTTCGAGAATACTGCGATCGGTACGGCAAACATTGCCAACCTTGTCCTAGTGCCAGATCAGAACGTCGTCGCTACCGCGGTTCACTATCAGCCGGAAGGCGATGCCGCTGTCGCCGTCGGTCAACAGTTGCTTGAGAAGTAGGTCTTGCCTCGTCTGCAAGCAAGCGTTTACTGATTGTGCTTGCAGTTATGTGCAAGCTGTACCGTCCGATACTATCATTGTTGGCAGTGCCTCAACGACGCCAATTGAGTCTCTACAGCAAGCTCTCGGTACCATCCGGCTCAACACGGTCATTCCACCCTTGATGCAGAACTTGATCACGCAGGCGAACCTCGTATTCCCGTTGGACATTGTGCAGACCGGCATTGCGCAGGCAACCTTCAACCTTGACAACCCTTTCACTGCTGCCATCAATCTGAATGCCGTCACTGCCGTGGCGATCTATCCCCTAACTTCGCCGAATCTCAACCTGGGCAATATTACACAAACTAATCTGAATCCTGAGATCACTGCGACTGGCCACACCCAGATCACCAGTCGCACGCTACCTTTCAACTTCAATCTGGACCCGAAGACGATCATTATGCTTCTCATCGCTCAAGCCGCCAAGAACAATGTTGATCTTGGTCCACTGGTTGATCAATTCAACTATGTACTTGGCCTCGCTAGCACGGCTAGTCAAGTCACGACCGAAGTCGATCAGGCGGCTTCGACCTGTGTAAGCGGCGCTCAATTCGACGTCTTTGGCGCCATCTTGGCGTCCCTGAAGAATCTCGATGTCAACCTACAGATCCAGTCCACTGTCCATCTTGATGATTACGGCACCGACCTGAACTTCAACCAGTTCAACATCCCAACAATCACTGACAGTACTGCTCTGTACTTGATCGGAGCTGTTGGCAAGACGATCGTGCAGCATCTCGTAGACCAATCCACCCTCACAGTCGCGTACGCAGATGTCTACGATGTCACAAACGATGGCTTCACAACAACGCTGCACGGAACCCTGGCTGGCACCGGTCCTTTCGACGCATCCGTCAGCTTCCCGGATGGCCTGTTGATCGATTACAATGGCAACACGATCGCAAGCATTGCCTTGCCCGATCTCTGCGCTGCAGCTGTCACGTCCATCCCCAACCTAGTCACAGTCGGCACGCTTACTATCTTGAACCAAGACACCTTCACAGGCTTTGCGACAGACATCCTGCACAATCCTTCATTCGAGTGGTATCTGCATACAACGACGCTTCGCGTCACGGCGCTCGGAACCATCTTTAGCAATGTCAACTTTGGCAAAACTATCACACTCGCTGCCTTCAATAACCTTCCGGGTGTTGCCATCACTTTCTCGAACTTCCCTGGTGATGCGCCGAATGGAGAAGGCATCAATATCGACACCCAGACGACAATCCCTTCGCCTGCGCAATTGGGCATCGATCTTGGAACAGCCAATTTCATTGCTTCATACAACGGAGTCGTCGTTGGACCCATTCACAATACTGGCGATCTCGTTCTGGCTCACCAAGCCACGACGCCAGCCGAACTTGTCGGGTATATCCAGGTGCAGCGTACGCAAGCCGACCTCACGACCATTGGGCAACTGTTCGGTGCATATCTCAAAGGGCAAGATTCAACCTTGACCGTTACAGGCGACTCTGTCGTTTCGACTGCTCAGCCCAACTCCCCAGTCGGCTGGCTTACGACTGCTTTCAAGACGCTCACGCTGTCGGTCGTTTTGCCCGGCCAGATCTTCACTATCATTAAGAGCGTAAGTGTCTGCCCGTAGACTTTGCATAGTCCGCTGACGTGCCAGCAGATCCAACTTTTGGATCTCGAGGTCAGCATTATGAACCAAGCGGAAGCGTATGCCGTCGACACTTCGAATATGCAGACCGATGCAGTCTATGCCAACCCTTTCACGTTCAGCTTGCAAGCTTTGTCCACCGCAGTACAGATTGCCATCGCATACCAAGGAGCGGCAACAGCTACGCTCGACCTGCCAAGCCGCGATGTCACGGCCGGCACCTCGACAGGACAAAATGAGCCGCTCGTGCTCAGCTTCATGAACGAAACGCTCAACGCCGTCACGCAAGGAGCCTTCAACAACTTTTTCCGTGATGTGACTGATACAACCGGCGTCACCTTCGATCTCAGTGGCTTTGCAGATGTAGTAGCCAAGACCGCCATCGGCAATGTGCCGATCCCGCAGATTCCATTCGGTTCGTCAACACAATTCCCGACCGTAGCAGCAGTCACGTCTTCCCTCGTCGGCATCAACTCGTTTGGTGGAACCGCTACTATACCCAACACGCCCATTACCATCGGCACAGGCAATACGGACTTCAGCACTGATCCAGGAACGGGCTACATCCGTATCACCATTGATCCCGTCACTCTTAGTAACCCCTCCAATATTTCTGTCTTTACCAATCAAGTCGCTCTTCCGGTGCTCTACACTGGCGTTGCGACGGGTCGCGCGATCATCAATCCACTTGATCTTTTCCCAGGCACCAATAATCTTGTCTCAGAGTTCCACTTTACGGCCACTGACGCAGCTGCGCTTGTTCTGATCACAAAATATCTCACCAATATCCCTGGACCAACCGGCGAGAGAATCCCGATCACGATCCAGGGTAACACGGCTGCATCGCCCTATGGCTCACTTCAAGAAGCTTTAGCCGGTGTCACTCTTACATCAGAGTTCCCTGGGTACGTACATCGGCGAGGGCGCAAGGTCGTTGCTGATATCGATCCGCAGCATTGGCGCCCGGCTCGTCGATGAGATTACGGTCTTTGTCAATTTGGTCACTGTCGTTTGCAAGAGTATGGCGACTTTCAGCTTCTCAGTCAACAATCCGCTTCAGGCGCCGCTTTCTATTCAAGCCATTCAAGGCACGGCACTACAGCCAGGACCCTATCAGGATGGAGTTCAGAACGGAGGCGAGGTCCCATATGCTTTGTTTGACTATTCGTTCGAAAATAACGGAGGCGCGTTCATCGTCGCAGCCGGCACAGCAGATGGTAGCACGGTGACTGGCCCCTCTCCCGTTGTGCCTGCTTCGCTTCCTCAGTCATTGCTCGTCAACGCTCAGCTACTCAATAACGCCAATAATATCCCAGGATCAACGATGCCCGGCCTCGATGTGACGCTATCAATCCGCACTCAAGTTCTGGACGGATCTGCGCCAGCTGCAGCTGGCTTTCAGCTCGTCGATCTCATATACGCTGAAGTAATCATTCCCTACAGTCAGTACCCCGTAGGCTTTTCGATTACATGTACTGACATTCGGACACTCAGATGTCGTTTTCGTAGCCGACGATGGCACTGCCGAAAATGGCAGCGGCACGAACACCCCCACGGGCTCGCCCATCGTCGCACCTGACTTGGGCGAGACAGACTTATTCAATTTCGTGTTAGGAGCTCTGGCTCCTGGCCTTGTCGGCTGTCTGGCAAGCGGTCTTGGCTTCTTCGTGCCTATTGATAGCGCCGGGCTCTTCGGCGGCCTCACTGATACCTTGCTTGGCTATTTGAATACACTCGGCGTCCCGTCCGAATTCGATCAATTCGTCACAGGCGTAGCTGATGCAACCGTCACTCCGATCAACATTGCCGGCGGTCCGGATTATACAAGTTATCCGTTCCCTTCAATCATCAGCTCGCTCTACTCGCAATGCTCGAAAGCAGGCTCTGCGCCTTGTGCCGCTTCCCTAGCTTCGGCCAACGGTGGCGCTAATGCTGCTGAGGCCGCATCAGCTCAAGCGATTCGCGCGTCGGGCCTGGCAGTGGCCAGCGCAATCTCTGCAGCTACTGCTGCGGTGGCTTCCAGTCTGGCAGCGGCGGCTTCAGCAGCGACTGCAGCCGCTTCTACGGCCGTAGCGGACGCCACTTCTGTGGTAGGTCAAGTGACCGCCGCGGTCCTGCCTTCCTCGTCGAGCGCAACATCGGCAGCGACAAGTACTTCGACAACGACAACGGCAGCACTCCTACCGACGACTGCGCCGGCTCTTGGCAGGCGTGCGATCTCCGAACATCTGTTCGTGCAAGGGCAGGATGGCCGGACGGGTGTCGAGGTCACCGTGGAGGAAGCGCTCGAGATTGCGAGAAGACGGGCGGAGCAACTGGGCGACAATATTCCGGTTGATTATGCAAGAAGGGCGCTAGCATATGGACTTTGAGTACACAAAAGTATAACAGCAACCGTAATCTCGTAGTCCAGAGGCAATTCGTGTACCATTATGGCATTGAATGCATTGATGTATGGAATCAGACGGGATCTCGCCCTCGAGCGCTTGAGCATTATTGATGACGTGGCAGGCTTGAATCAACCTATTAATCAAAGCCGCCGCCAACGACTTGCTCCGCGAGCGCTCGAGCCGTGAGGAAGTGTCAGCAGGTCATCTCTCAGTCGACGATGGAGATGACAAGGCCGAAGCCAACGAGTACAGGCTCAGGCTACTTCTCGGACGTCAACAAGCGCTCGACGTCTCCTGACACGGGGGAGATGCAGGCGTCAACAAGTGATGTAGAAGCTAGCTCAAGCCTGTCTGCCGAGTATGCCATGGTCCAATCGCCTTCTGTCTTCGATGTCAAGGACCGGCCTTCGCTCTCAAGATCGGGCTCGGACACCTCGATGACGAGCGCCGAGGGCAGCGAGCAGGAGATCAAGTTTGAGGACAATCGAGCCGAGTGAGATCTCCCTCACAACATTGCCACTGCATGGGCTCATTGACTTTTCCTGCAGGCTCGGACAGCGCATCGAGGTAGCTGCCGACATGGCGAGTGCACTACAGAGCTTCAACAGAGATCACAAGACACTTGTCTATCCTCGGGCAACGACCTACACGACCGCGAGCATCGGCGATCAAAGCCGGCCTGGTCTGTCTCCCCTGCCCAGCCAGGACAACAGCATGCGCAATGAAGTACTGCGTGCTGCCATGCTTCGTACACAGTCGACTTTGAGTGCGGCAGGCGAGATACCCGCCTCGGCACTGCAGCCACGAGCCCAGCCGGTACGATCCTACTCTGCCCCGCCAGATTCGGCAGCACAGGGATTGATCGTACTCGGTGTCGATCTCAAGATGGGCCATCAGTCTGTGCCCATCTCACCCTCTGCACCTGGAGCACGAGGTTGTCAGCAAATCGAGGCGGGCATGGACCCGGTCACGCTGGCCGCCATGCTTGCCCGCCGTCTCACTCATGTCACTCGCCATCTGAGCTCGCTCAAGACTCGCATTGATGACAATTTGCTCCGCATCCTGATCACAGGCGACACCAATTCGGGCAAATCCACCTTGCTCAATGCGTTCTTGCGCCGTATGCTCATGCCTGTCGATCAGCAACCTTGCACGACCGTGTTCAGCGAGATATTGGATGCCAGCAGCAATGGCGACGTTGAGGAAGTGGTGGCGCATCTCATCGATGGCGAAGAGGATAGTGTCGAGCGCTTCGGCGTCGATGAGCTAAGCGAGATCTCGTCTGATCTCGCAGACAAATATGACAGCATCAAAGTCTACGTCCAAGGCTTGCATGATCCAGTGAGAAGTATCCAGCCAACGGAAGAGACGGGCGAAATCCAGCCCTCGTTCGTGCAAAGCAACGCCTTTTCCATCTCGCTCATTGATGGGCCCGGCCTCAATCGAGCAAATGCGATGACAACAGCGCTATATGCGCAGCAGTCAGAGATCGATGTCATTCTCTTCGTTGTCGCCGCCGAATCTCACCTGACACAATCAGGGCGAGACTTCCTAGAGGCTGCCAGCCAGGAGAAGCAACATCTCTTCTTCGTCGTCAATAAATGGGCTGGCATCAGAGACAAGCCGCGCGCCTACAGAGCAATAGGAGCACAGATCGAAGAGCTCAGCCCGGCTACTTGGCGCAACCGCATCGAGCTCGTTCACTTTGTCGAGTCTGCTTCTGCCGTGCCCGAGCCGGGCCAACCACTGCTTATGCAAGATGGCGGCCTGGCCCACCTCGAAGCCAATGTTCGCTCGTGCGCACTCAAACATCGTACGCGCTCGAAGCTTCAACCCGCCAAGAACTTTCTCTGCAATGTCCAGAGCGACTTTGTTCAGATCGCAAAGGCCAATCTTGCCGATGCAGAGCAGATCCTCGAAAAGGCGCACGCCGAGCTCAGCTTGATCAAGCCGCTACAAGTCGCCATGACACAGCAGAGCGAATGGCTCAAGCGAGATCTGCACGATCGTCAGGATGCAGTATCGAGCCAGACAAGCCAGATGGCCGAAGAGCGTCTCCGTCGAGCGCTGTCCGCTGTAAGCAATGGCAAGCTCTGTCCTGCTTTGCCAGACACTGGCGTCGTTCCTGCTAGCTACAGCAGAATCTCGACAGCTCGTCCGAGCGTCTTGCCGCCCTTCCCAGGCGTGTTTGGCATATGGTCCTGGGCGGACGAGATTCGCAAGACGCTCGCTCAATCGATCGAACACGAACTGCAGCAAGCCGAAGATGATGCCAAGCTGACAACGTACAAGGCCATGAAGGACACTATCAAGGAGATGCCTGACTTGCAGCTAGACTCTGCCGACTGGGAGGCCTATGTCGAAAAGATCGAACGCTTCCACCCGGAGATCATGTACGATCGCCGACGGAGGAATCGCTCGATACTGCAAGTCTTGGATGCCAACACGGATGCGCACGTCAGTCAGATCGACTTTATCGACCTCGACAAGCTCACGAGCTTCTTGACGACCGGAGCCTCAAAGAAGTCTGACGCTTCCCGTGTTGGCGGCATGGGGCTCGGATTGGGTGCTGTCACCGTCTTTGGCAGCCGTGCGATTGGCATCTCTGCCTTTATAGAGTCCACCAATCGCCTGCTCGATTTCTTGGCCAGCGATTCCGTTCGCAAATGGGCTGCTCCTCTTGCTGCGGCAGTTGGTACGTTCCTCTCCTCGCATCTGCGATCACAAACTGACTCGTGTCACAGCTCTGTCGTTCTCTGCGTACGTCGTTTGGGATCTGCCGCAAGCGGTGCCGCGCAATGTCGGTCGCAGGATCGTAAAGACACTGAATGACAAGTCAAAGGCGACTTACCATGACGCCTCGACTGCCTTCAGCCGAGCGCAAGCTCGCGAGGTCTCCCGAGAAGGCGCCAAGTGTTTCGCGATGGCATCATGGGATCTACAGCAAAGGCATGCCTCTACGCTCGAGCGACGTACGACCGAGCGAAGAGGCATCGAGTCGACGATCAAGAAAGAGAGTCAATCCCTACAATGGTTTGACAGGTATCTCGCTCAAGCGAGGGCAGAACAAGCGCGTCTTGCCGCACTACAGCTCAGCTGAACAGTGCAAAGCTCGATCTGTCCGTTCAATCAACAAAAAAAAAAAGACAACTGTGTGCCTCGAAGTTATGCTGCATGAACGTGTGTGTGATGTAATGATGAATGCACGTCTCCTCTCTAAACAGTGTCCTGCTGTACACAAAAGCAACACAAGCACTGGCTTTCTCCTTCTAGGGTGATATGATGACGGATGCCTCGAACTGGTTCGAAGCTTGCGAGTGTGTAGAGACCATCGATGTTGGCCTGGTAGACGGTAGGATTGCGATCTGCGGCAACTCGTTGCGCGAGCCGGTGAGCAGAGGCGGTGCTCTTTGAGCCTTGAGACTCGCTAGCGTCGTCGGGCTGCCTGTGAGACCGGACGGACTCCGCTTCGGAGAAGCAGGCGCAGTAGCGACAGGTTGCGCAGCCTTGCTCGCATCTGGACATGGCGAACTCGACAGGTTGAGCTCCTCAAGATCAGAGTAGATCCATTTGGAGTGGTTGATCATGTCCTTGATCACGTTGGCCGAGAGACCAAAGTTGGACATGGACAGTGCGAAGCTCTCGTTGGAATCGATCGGTTTGAGCAGAGCGGGCGAGAAGATGATGGCTAGATTGTGTCCTGCCATCTGATTGACAGACGAATGCGCGAGAACCTTGTCGAGATGCTCGAACAACCGCTTGACCACGCTCGCGTTGGGCTCTGGCAAGTCGCGTACTAGTTTGCGCAATTGCCGTCTGTTCAGTCCAAGTCAGCAGGTGTGATGTACAGAAAAGTGAGGGGCACGCACATCCGCTGCTCTGTGGTTGTGATCTCGTTGACGGCGATGAAGCTGCCATAGGCACTGTAGGGTATCGGCGGTTCCGGTAGCTCTCTGAACCAGAGCTTGAGCGCGCCCGCAACACAATGCGGATCAGAGTATTCTCCCGTGGAGAGGTTGACAGATCTGGGATCATCTGCTTTATCGAATGCTGCTTTGATGGCATCGACGATGAGCTTCTCGCCCGAGATACGATAGATGCCGACTTCGTCCAGACCTGCACTAGCGTCAGCTCGAGCCTCAGAGAGAGAGAGAGAGAGCGTTAGCAAGGTGAACGCACCTTTGGCCTCGATCTGACAGAAGCACTGATCCATGATGGCCGGCACTGGCTGACCATCTCTCGCTGCAAGATCGCTCAGACTGACGCCGTACATATTCGCCTTTGGCTTTGCGGTATGTCTGATATTGCTATCCGATTTCTTGCTGACGAGACCGAAGAAAGAAGTCTTTCGTTTGCGAGCAAGCAGGGCAGCATGGCTGTCCTCCCTCGACCCGTGCGACGAAGCAGAGTCGGCCAGCGCATCTTCCGATCCTCTCCGGTTGTGGGTCTTCCTGCTGGGCGATAGAAAGTTGGGTACTTGGCTGGACGTGCTCGACTTGCTCGTCTTTTCGCCCTTGGAATTGACGGACGACATGGGAGCAGAGATCACACCAGGCCCTTCTGACGATTTCTGCTTGGTCATCCATCGCATGGAAGGTACCTTGGGCAGCTCTCCCTGTCTGAGTGTCTCCTGTTGCCTCTGAGCCTCGTGACCGGCAGACGAGAATGACTGAGTTCTCGACGATAGCGCGTCTGACAGCGGCTGGCTAGAGTACGTCGGACTATCGGGCAGCTCAGGTGCAGCGAGTTCTTCGGTCTGTACTGCCGTTTCTGCCGTCGGTACGGGTGAAGCGACGGGCGAGCTGAGGGTAAAGTTGAGGGGCAACGAAGCGAGCTGAGCGATCTCTGGCGGCCTGTCCTCGCTCGCAAAAGCTCCACGCAAGCCGTCCGTCGAGCCAGCACGTTCGGCCGTTGTGGAGGTCCGCGCAGTCTCGTGAGACTGTGCAGATGATGCGGGAGTGATGGGTTGGCTGGACTCTGATCGAGGTACCTGGGTCGACGGGCGTCCTGCGCTACTGACCGTCTTGCTGCTGCTCTCCGAGTTGGCCTTGCGATGCCTCGGACGGGTGAGAGCAGATTTTGCTCGGCTGAAGAGATTCGTCTTGCTCGTACTGGGCGAGACAGCCTGATTGTTCGAGCTTGCAGGTGTCGGCGTCATGACCGAACGGGTCTGGATGCCGTTCCTGCTGAGACTTGCTCGCCCGTGTAGAGCTCGTATGTGCCCGTCCAAGCGTGCTCTGCTAGCCTGAGACACCAAATGGGCACGGTCACGGTCCCTGCGTACGCCGGCGCCGTCGCGTCGTCAAAATCAGAGGGAAAGCTGGAAGACGCGTCGCTCTCTCTTTGTCTTTGCCCGCCACCAGGCCAAGCATGTCAAACGATGAGGAGCCAACAGTCGAGATCAGACAACTCAACTTGCGCTCCCGAACGACTCAGCCGACGAGTGGTCATGTCGGTAGCAGCACGACCCGTCAAAGCACGAAACCCTCTGCGCTCAAGATCAAAGCAGGCTCGGCATCGCGGTCCGTTTGGCCACCCGTCGTCATGCTCGACTGCCAGCTCAAGGCCATGCGACAGGTTGCTGAAGGAAGTGAGCATGTACACACGAGAGGCGAGAGGGCAGGCTAAGCATCTCGAGGCAATGGAGGCCAACGGGGAAGATATCTACAAGATCAAGCAAGAGGTTCGTCGAGCGTCATCAGGTGCCACTTGCCGTGCCTGAAGATGCCGTTCATCAACAGAGGAACGCCTACAATGAGACACTGGCCATCATACCGGACTCGCAAAGGAGGCTCGTCGTTGCCATTGCCGCACTGCGAGATCACGTCAGCCCGGACAAGTCAGGTTGCCAAGCTGGCCCGTGCTGATGCCAAGGGTGACAGCTCGCTTCCGGTTCGGCAGACTGTGCAGACGAACCCGTCGTCCTCTCTGCCCAAGCTACGATCAAGCAGTACGAAGCAGAACAGGCCAGTCATTTCGAACCTGTGCCCACCCAGACCAAACCGACAAGGCAAGAGACAGCTGCCAGTGGCTCTGCGCCTAGCCTCATCATGATCAAGACCAACGCGGTCAGGCGGCTACACAGGGAGCTCTGCGATTCAGAGCAAGATGCCGAGCAGCAAGGTCGAGTGGCCGATCGGTATCAGGCCGAGGGCAAAGACGTCTACGATGTCAACCAACAGGTTCGTGCGGACAGTCGCAGACAGCTCTACGTTCTCTGAGGACCCTACTCGAGCAGAGGCGGGTCCAAGCCGAGTCGCTCAGGATGATACCCGAATGCCAGCGATTGCTAGCGCAGGCCATCACCGATCTCAGATCTGTTGCTCACAAGCGCGATCCCGCCCAGGGGAGCGAGAGCGAGTACCAACTAGCAGAAGAAGCCCTCGAGCTTGCTTCTGCATGATGACATGCATGTCTGTACATCACAGCAACATCTCCTCATCTTCGCTTCTGATCTCTCCCGATGTCATCACGTCTTGCAGCAAAGCGCGCAGGCTATCAGACTTGATCAGCTCCTTTAAATCTCGCCAGACGTCTCTCTCGATGCGCATCAATGGCAGACTGAGCGTCTTATCTCGCAGCGCCTCTTGATCTGACGGCGGCCGCGCATGAGCCGGCACTCCCACCTCTGCGTTTGCGCCTGCAATAGACACGCTCTGGGGTGAGAGCAGCGGTCTCAACGGCATCCGCTCGATACGTATCCGCCGTATTGCCAGCCTGATGACTGTCTGGATAGCCTGCCCGTCGTCTCCCTGAGCACAACATCCGCGTGTACATGAGCAAGACGTACATTGAGCGTAGCGAAATACTCGTTCCCCTTGACTTTGATCTCCTCCCTTCGGTCTTCCATCGTCTTCTTCGACTTGCCTGAAGGATCCAGCACGGGTGCAAGGGCAGTCATGAGCTCTGAAGCGAGCTGCAAGAGGTGTGCAAGACGCTGGACACGCTCGTGAGCTCATAGTCTGTCTGTCTATCGCTCGTACAAGCCTACTTCCTCGACGCCAGATAGCGCTTTGATCTGTGCAGCACTGGATGAGCTCGTCCATATCGACGCACCATCCTCCCCGCTGCTCATCCGCCCGGCGACTGGCGGCCAGTCTGTCGACCGTAGCGCGACCCGCGATGGGCTCCTCACTCGACTTGTCTCGGCATTCGTCCATCTCTCACCAGCTCAGCCGTGCATGTTCACCCACTCGTCCGCGCAAGCCAAAGTCAAAGCAGCTCAGCGGTTGTGGAACACTCGCACGCCCAGCAAGATCGTCAAAGCCTACACCGTGCGCGACATCCATCGTTCCCCTCTGGACAGCCCTCATATAACCTGTGCTTGCGCAGGATGATAGCGTGTGGAGGAACAGGGATAGCTTTCTGCGAGGCCACGCAGAGATTGAAGCGTTCCTGGAAGCCAAATGGCGTAAAGAGACAGAGTATCGCTTGAGAAAGGAGCTCTTTCTCTTCGGCCATGATCGCATCGCCGTGCAATTCTGGTACGAGTACAAGTCTGCCGTAGACTCGCAATGGTACCGCTGCTGTATGCACACTGTTCTCAAACGATTGCCAGCTGAACGGATCAATGCAGACGGGTTGGAGGACTGGACATTCGACGCCACGGGCAAGATGAAGCGTCGGATGATGTCAGGCAACGATGTGCCCATCAGACAGAGCGAGAGGTGGTTCGCTTCTGCTCAGACAGACGATGAGATCGACAGACTGTTGATCCCAGAGATCGAGCCCAACATGTTGTGCAACTAGAAATGCAATTTTTTTCGTGCGAGTATTGTGCTTCAGCACCAACAGGACCAAGACATGAAGCGCGTGGGAGCGTAAATGGTGTTCAGAGAAACGAGACTTGAGTGAGATCGACCATCCCTTTTACGCGGGCGGGAGGATGAGGAGAGCATGCGACGTTGCTGGCTTACTCGTCCTGCTTGATCAGCATAAGCGACCATGCGAGCGGATGACAACGAATCAGCCTACGGGCTGGCTGATGGCACCGTAGCCGCTGTTGGGCGCAGTGACCCAGCTGTTAGGCAGCTGGATCTTTGTCTCTTCGACGTTCTCGTGGGCGAGGAGCAACCAGCCGCCAAAGACTGCCTTTGCAGCAATGTCGAGGATGGCATAAGCCAGAACCTCGGTATCACCCGTGATCGAGTTGGTTCCCTCAGCAAAGGCCCAGACGACAGGCTGAGCAAGCAGGTCAGATCAGTGCCGTTCCGCTCGAATGTCAGGGATGACTTACGTAGGCGATCCAGAGGACAGCAGTGTAGACTGCAATGCCGAGATAGAGCTTGCCCACACGGTCGGACTTGCCGAAGGCGGTGTTGCGAGCGCTGAAGAGCAGACCCCAGAGAACGTAGAGGAAGAAGAGGCAGGAGATCGTGAAAAGACCCCAGCGTGTCGTACGGCCATCGTCAACGCCGGCAAGGAGACCGGTCAGGATCATGCCAATGCTACGATTGCACCATGTAAGCATGCGACATGACTCGCGCTCACGAGACTTACTCGGCAAGGATGATGAGTACGATTTCTGCAGCAGGCACACCGGCGAGCCTGCACGTGTACATCAGCGCTGCTCATGATCAGTATAGTATGTGTTGCTACTGACAAGCAGCAATCGAGCAGCAGCAGTGGCGTAGTCTACATCATGGAGATCAGCCAATCCACAGCACAAGCCGGAGGGCGGCGACTCACAATGAGCCAATCGAGGTAGCGGGCATAGTAGACTTCACGGAAAGCGTGGTTGCCGGGGGCCTTGATGATAGCATTGCCCATTCCGGATGCCATGCAGTAGTAGCTCACTGCAGCGGTAGCAGTGATGAAGAAAGCTGATCCCCCAGATTGAGATCAGTCTTGGCGCACAAGAGAGTGCGGCTGTGATGACTTACTGACGTGGTGGAAGATCCTGGCCTTTGCGGGCTGACGGAACGACATGAGGAGGAAGATGAGTGAAGCGACGGCCATGACGACAAAGGTGATCCATAGCGTTCGCTTGCCCGCCTCGGTGATTCTACACGAGGTGGGCGAGGAAAGCCGTCAGTCACGTCCAGAGAGCCAGAGCCAGCTGCGATGCAAGCTCACCTCACTAGCCCATCGAGATGAGGGATATCTGTAGATCGGAACCATGTTAGCATGAGCTTGCACGATGCCGCACGCTGCAGCGAGCAATCCGATAGGAACGCCGTGGCCGAGGGAGGTTTGTCCGATCGTGGGAGCTCTCTGGGCGTCAAGCAGCGAATGGACACTTGCCTGGGATCGAAGGCGGGTCGTTGTGCTTCTTGAAGGCCTCAAGGCCCTGTGCGAGAATGGTCTCCATTGCTTATCGAAGGGAATGCTACTGAATCGTAGGCAAAGGGCAAGCGGGCGCAGTCTCACTTTGGTCGAGCGGGGCGGCCGCGGGCTCAGATGACGTCGCGACCACGCGTCGCCGCGCCGGCTGTGTCTCAGCGGTGTGGCAGCTCGATTGCAATGGAAATTTCTACTACGAGCGGGTTTTTACTTGAAAGTCTTCGAGTCTGCGATGGGCTTGCCATCCATCTCACCCTCCCACTTCCAGGCATTGTGGATGAGATCCTTATCTGCCTTGATGTCGAGCGGCTTGAAATCGTAGGACTCCCAATCGGGCGCTGTCGATCGCAGTCCATGATAAGCTCAACGGACACAGGACAAAAGTGAGCTCGACTGACCAACGTTGAAGACATCCTCATGCTTCGCGCCACGGATGAGGTAGACACCCTGGATGGCGCTCTTGTTGTTTTCGCCGTAGACAGAGGCATTGCCGAACAAGTACTTGCGCGAGCCTTCGAGACGGTTGTGGAAGCCACCGATCAAGTTGGCCGACATGAAGACTACCGAGACTAGATCAGGATGCATAGCACTGGGCGCAAGGGCGACATACCTTGCGTGAGCTCTTCGGGGTACTTATAGACTGCATGCCAGAGCGAGTATTCCTGAGGGTCAAAGTGTTCCTCGAACCATTTGAGCGCATCGGGTGTTTCAAGATTGGAATATTGTCGCTTGAGCTCGTCGAGGGGGAAGCATTTTGCAGGTCCGAGCGCTTCGCAAGGGTGCTTCGCCTTTGGCTCAGGTGGCGCGAGGGGACCATCGTCCTCGTCCTCTTCCTCCTTGGCGGCCTTCTTGGGCGCCTTCTCCTTCTTGACTGCAGCAACTGCAGGCGCCTTTTCCTTCTTTGGCTTGTCCTCCTTGGGCAGCTGTGCGGGGCCGGAGAGCAGGGTCAGGCTGGGGTAGAATTCCTTGAGGACGTCCTGGTTGGCGAGGGTGTGCAAGTGACGGTAGACATTCGGGAACTCGGCGCGAGTCTTAGGGTCGAGGATGACTTCGCTGGCACGGGCGATGATGACGGCAAGCATGACATCTGCTAGCGTGATTCGCTCGGATGCCAGGAAAGTGGACTTGTGCAGCGCCTTGTTGACGATGTCGAGACATCGGCGTGCGCCGGCTTCTGAATCGTCTGCTACCTTTTTGTTGTACGGAACGAGCTTCAGGTAGGGTCTGTACCAGTTGCCAAGCATAGTGAGCAGCTCAGAGTTCAAGACTGCATACGTCAAGGCGTCAGTACGGCGCGCGTGATGGGAGCACGGCGACGAACAGGAAGCCCATTGACGGACGACAGTCTTCTCTTCGAGTGTCTTGCCGAGCAGGTTGGCCTTGTCACCAGAAGCAGCAGCGACTGAGCAAGCGAGTTTGATCAGTCAACGCGTTGCCATGACTGCCTCTCTACTCACTGTAGCTCGCGACTGCAGTGACCTCGAAGAAGAAGTTGCCATCCTTCTCAAAGCCAGGCAGCTGCCAATGCCATGGCTGGGGTCAGCTCAAGCGAGATGACGAGCAGATGGCCACCTGCTCTCAGGGTAGGCGATTGCGCTTTGAACTCCTCTGGGTACTCCCCCTTGAACGGGTTGGTGGGGATGAGCTCGAGCTCTACGCCAGAGTACTTTGCAGCAATGAGGCACATCCTCGTGCGCGCATCTGTCGTTCGCACGGGCGCATCAGCATTTTTGCATGAACCAGTCGAACGTGGCCTGTCTGTCGTCCGACGTACTCTCTGCGAAGCCATACAATTTGCCGAACCTGTACGACACCATGACAGTCAGCATGCAGGGCGCTGACTCAGGCAGAATGACGCACGACATCTCTGCAAGCACTTTGTCTTCACAAAATTTTGAAGTCGAGCTCGTCGCGATGTCCAACTTCTCTCACGCGTCGGCTCAAGCTGCGTCATCGCCTCGCAGCTGCTCTGTCACTTGCCTGGCCTTGCACCAAGTCAAGCAGCATCATGGCGGACTCCGACGCAGACAGCAGTACACGGCCTCGCCAGCCCGTGCGGCGATCAACGGGCGGCAGCTTGGTCTACAAAGTCTTGTCCGTGCCAGCGCAGTCACCCTTTGAACGTCCGGGGGGTACACCGTCCATGAGTCCCGCGGCAGACCGACCCAAAGAGGGCTACCCTTTTGATGTCCCCGTCGAGGCCAAAGAAGCTATTGCCCGGGCAGATCCACTCGCACTCACGCCTCTCCGTGCACACTATCTCAAGCGAGAGCTCGTCACATTACAATTCCAGGAAGAGATCTCACAGGCAGATCAGCCTGATATGCTCGGCCTGCTCGGTCAACCTTTTGAGCCGCCAAAGGGACCGGACATGGACCCCAATATCGATCTGCCACTCATCAAATTCGTCTTTCACCGCTTCGTCCTCTCTTTCCCATTTCTCGCGAAAGCAAAGCCAGCCTTCTATAAAGACAAGCTACAACCCTTTGCACAATCCTTCATGGCTAGGAACATATCAACATCATCTGAGCGCGAAGAAGATACCAAAAGACAAAGATTGGCGAGCAGATTCGAGAAACACCTCGGACTGATCGTCTCGTCTGCCATCAAGCTGAGCGATAACGATGGTCGAGAAGAAGTCGTACGGGTCACGGGCGTGGAAGCGCCAGGCGACAGGCATGTCGCTTCGCCTGCTGCGAAATCAGCCGACAAAGGCAAAGACTTTGAGGTCAATGTTGTCAGTGTACGCTCGATCGCCGAAAAGGGACGAGTCAGAACCAAATGGCGCGAAGAGTTTGTCGTTCGCACGCGGAGGAGGGGAATGCCGGACGTGTACGTCAGTCGGCGGTACGGCGATTTCGACAAACTGGCGGAGATGGTGCGTGAGGGTCTTCCGATGGCATGCTCGTGCTCATCGGTAGCATTCGTGCACAGCTGCGGTCTGACTTCCCGGAGCAAGATGTTCGCGGGCCGCCCGCCAAAGATCGTCGGTCGACAGGCGTCAAGACAGCTTCGCCTCAGCTCGATCCCGTCATCGATTCACCGTCCAGACAGTCTCTACAGTCCATCGAAAGTCACGCACCGCTCGAGGAGGCCAATCCCGATCTGGCCGAAGCAATGTCAGACCTGATTGTGGAGCAAGAGCACGAGTCTGGCGTTCCCGGCAGCTTCTCTACTTCTGCTTCTCCGCCGTCTACACCCGATGGAGGGCCAAAGCATACTCATCACCGATTGCATCTCAACGGTGGCAAGAAAGCAGGCAAACAACCTGGGCCCGTGCTTGCACGAGAGAGAAACAGATTGACTCTACGCGCTTACGTCCACCACTTGCTCGCCAATCCTTCACTTGCAGCTTCGACCACGCTACAATCATTCTTACTCACTGAACCATTCACACTCACTGCAGAAGAGCTCAAGGATGTCGAAGCGAGAGAAGAGATGGATCGCGTGCGAGAGGAGGAGATCGCTCGATTCCGCGCAGAAGTCGATGCTCGAGTGCAAGAGCTCGATGCGCATCTCAAAGACTTTCGGGAGGAGCTCGTCGGGCAGGACGGCTTGTCCAATGTCTTCTCGACCATCAAAGCTACTGCCAACGTCGAAGATCTTCCTGTACGCTATCAAAAAGTCATCGAATGGGCACGCATATCGTAAGCTGCTCGTAACTCACTGTATGAATGTGACTGACGATGATGCGCAGGATGGCATCGACGATCTATCAGCTCTTTGTCGGCTCAGACAACTCCTCATCAGTTTTCGGACAGCTCAAGCGAATACACAGCATTATGCCCTACTTTGTCCTGCGAGGCATATTACGCATTAGCAATCCAGTCGCAATGATCCGCGCTTTCCTCGATCTCTTCCTTGCACGGCCCTTTGGCGGTAGCAGTCTGCTCCAGCGCATGTTCTCGAGCGGCCTCAACGATGAAGTCAGAGAGCTCAAGCAGGACATGGACAAGGTCGCCGAGAAAGTTGCTCAGCCGGTCATGATACAAAAGCTGAAGAAGTACGTCGAGGCACCCAAGACGACACAGGCGATGTACCGCGAAGAAGCATCGAGCGAACGCAAGGATATCATGACTGTCATCCTTCGGTCTCAAGAGGAGCCTCGACTTGATTCAGCAGGCATTGCAAGATTGCGCGAGGGCAATGCGGCTTATCGTCGGTACAAGCGCAAGAGGGATGCTCTGGCCAATGTCGAAGACGATGAAGGGCCAGATAACGATGCTGCGTGGCTATACGAAGATCTGCACATCTTCTTGCGCATGGCGACAAGGCTACGTGATAAGGAGCAACTCATCGAGCTCATCTTCGAAGGCAGCACGTCGGAATTGCTAAAGGATATTGTGACAATCTTTTACGAGCCTCTTGCAAAGGTATACAAAGCCGCCAACATTGCCGACTCGTTCTACGACTGTCAGGTCTTCGTGACCGATCTGATCAAGACGGTCGAACACTCCGAGGAGATCAGCAATACTGATCCTCAACGAACGGTCCAGACGTTTGTCGATCTTGTTGGAAGGCACGAGAATCGATTCTATCACTTTGTACATCAGGTACATTCCAAGGGCGACGGACTGTTTGACGATCTCATGAAGTGGATCGAGCTCTTCATCACCTTTGTGCGCGATGGCATGCACCCTCCGCTCTCGCTCGAATACCTCCTGCCTCATGCCGGGCCAGAAAGACTGGCAGTCATGAAAGAAGTCGATGCAGTGGTCGAGTATCATCGATTAGTCAAAGTCGCCCATCACGAACGAATGCAAAGGCGACTCATGCGAGGCGAGGGTCAAGAACTCGATCAAGACAGGGCCTTCGTCGAGGGCGTGATGAACAGTCTGCAACTATCGGGAGTGGCACAGGATGTGAGCGATGCCCAAGACGCAGCGAGCGAGGACGAGCATGGCGATTCTTCTAGCGATGACGATTCTGACGATGAAGATTTCTTCGATGCTCATGATCGGCCTGGCGGCAGTACAGCCTCGAACACACTGCGTCCGAAAGTACGCAAGACGAAGCGGAAGAAGGACAGAGCCGTCATCGAACCACCTGAGCTAGCTCATATACCCCAGCTCGTGCCGCTCTTTATCGAGCTCATACGACCCAATCTGACCGTTGCATGAACATGGATGCTTATGTTGTATCGATAGGGCAGTATGCACGTTGTCCTTCGATGGATCAAGAGTGGGATGGAGACGTTTCATTGTGCCATACAAGGACGAGATGATGATACAGAGACAGCAGGACGGGCACAGTGGATCAACAGGCACAGGCATCGCGTTTGGGAGCTCCATCTGCTCCTAGCTCGACGCGGCCATCTGCAGCAGAAGTAGTCCGACCGTTTGCGCCTGCTCCTCGAGCACCGGCTGCAGGCTTGGCGCCTCGACCTGGCAGCAGATCGTCCAGCGGGATCTTCTTGGCTGCGCGAGATATCGTCAGTCATCAGAGCGTTGCAGGAGCGAAAGAGGCTTACCGATTTCTGTGAAGACCTCGACGACGCCTTCACCCGTCTTCGCGCTCGTTTCGAAGAAGAGCAGACCGGCTTCCTTGGCGTATGCCTCTGCCTCTTCTCTGGGCACCTGCCTCCGATCTGCTGAGCTCGCCGACGCTGTGGACGTGGGCACGACGTCATCTGTCGCCTCTGCATTCTCGCCTTCGGTTTCTGTCGCAGCCGCAGCAGGCACTTCTGACTCAGAGGACGAGCCGCTGACGAGATCGATCTTGTTGCCCACTTAGCGCAGTCGTGAGTCAGCTTCGCGTGTTGCGCGTAGGCCCAAGGCCGTGCTTACCGAATGCAATGACAATGTTGGGAGTAGCTTGTCGCTGGAGCTCTGCTACCCATGACTTTGCCTTGTCGAGCGAGACCTTTGCATGTCTATCAGCATTGGGCCCGTACTTTGCGATATCGCGCTTACAGCCGAGGTGACATCGTAGACGACGACGGCAGCCGCAGCATTTCGGTAGTACCTGTCATCATCGAGTCATTGTCAGCTCCATGTCTCTGGGCAGTAAGCCGGCTCATAGCGAGCTGGCCGGGCTGGGAGGGACTGACATGGGCGCCAAGCTGTGAAACCGTTCTTGGCCGGCAGTGTCCCAGACTTCGAACTTGATCACCTTGTCCTCGAGCCTACACTTTTGCGTGAGACTGTTCCAGCACGTCCACATGAGTTGTGACACAACACGGGGCAGAGTTGAGAGCCTGACAATGCAGCACCAATGGTGGGTTCCTTGTTCTCTTGAAAGTCGTTCTGTACGAATCGGAGCACGACTGACGATTTGCCGACTGCAGCAGCTCCTAGTAGGACGAGCTTGACCTGTACCGGTCTCTGCACTGCGCCTGCCTCTGCCATCTTGTCACGCTCAAACGTTCAAACGGCTGTCCGGCCAACGCGCTCACTTGGCTGCGAGATCCGAATCTCCCACGACTGGACGATTGCCACGCAAGCAGCTCCCTCGGCCATGGCCACGGTTTGTCTGCACGCTATGCTCAGCGGACCAGAGCTGATGCATCTCAGCAGCCTCGGAGAGGTCCATTGAACAGTGAAGCAACGCTGGCTGCGCTCAGAGAAGAGGTGGAGGAGCTCGAACGTCAATTGGCCGGCAGAGACGCGGACGAGATTGTGCGAGAGCACACCGAGCTACTGCATGCTTATCACGAAGTCAAGGAAGGGGCTCAGACGCTCATCTCGAGAGTGCGCGCCTTCGTGTTGCTCATGATTGTGCTGACGCTGCAGGACAGGTCGCTGAGTCGCGCCAACAAACAATGGCAGATGTCTACCAAGAGATAGGTCTCGATCTTGATGACTAGTCCATGGTCTTGCCAGCCGGTCTCCGCGAGGCTGCCGACGGGTCGCATGGGCTACCGTCTCAGGCCATACAGCGCGAATAAGATCGCCAAGAGCGCGCCAAGGATAAAGCGTCTTTGAGAGGTTTGCAGTTCTCGCGAACACTTGCGACAGGTGCAGTCGAAGGCCCATTGATCCTTCAGCGCCGCCCTTCGCTTGTACAGTCGGTCGTCGCCTCGAACGTACAGATCGTTGACTTCTTCCCCTGCGTCAATTCGTCTGGAAGCGACGACTTTGATGCGGCTGGGACAGTCTAGTGGCCTGATGTCGACATTAGCATCACATGCATGATTGATGATCGAGTGGAGCATAAAGAGCGCGCCATCGTGGGTGCCGTTGATCTGAAAACGACCTATGTCTTCGCAAAACTCGTCAAAAGTGTGCCGGCTTTTGTGCGTCGGCATCAATTGCAACACTAGCTCATGCATTTGCTCAAGCAGCGGCAATCCGGAAGCGTGTCTGCGCCGTCTGCAAGAACAATTTAGTCCTTGGTGCTGCACTCAGGCAGGGCGCACCCCATCCTGATGCGTTCGTCGATAGCGAGCGCAGATGTACTCGCAAAGGCGAGCTGTTCCTGTCTCTTGCCGTCTTGCGCCCGAGCGCGTATGAGCCACATCCGCAGAACGGCCAAGGCAACAAAGTATCGCTTCGTCAAGCAAGCCTCGAACAGATCTGTGTATGCTTCATTGCGCATGCAGAGTCCGCCCAATGACTCTGAGCTCATTCTACATTGATCTGAGCAGTATCGAAGCCGACATGGTACGTGCTGGTTTGGTCGGGAGATGCGATGTCGACAGTCTAGCTTAGGCGCAGGCATTGCGCAATCGTGACAGATCTTCCCGGCTCGCATGTCATTCGCTGATGGACTGCGCTACGGGCTCAGACTGGCGCATCGTGTAGGACTACGACTGACACTGAGAGTGGAATTTGGACCCAAGCGCGTTCGGTGAAGAGCACTTCGCCGGGCTCGAACGTTCGTTGCGCAACGATGTGCTTGCCCTTTTGCGGATCGTATGCAACGGCGAGACCGTCGCATGCGGCCGTCAAGCTGTCTTGCAGATGCATTTGGGGTTAGTGATCATGGGACATGATGAGCATACTACTGCGCTGCGTTCAATTATTGTTATATATATAGCCCATTTCAGACGACGCTTATAATCTTCTATAGTGTAATGGTTATCACATTCGGTTCTGACGCGGCACGCGCCCGTAGGTCCGAATAATTCGCGTTCGACTCGCGATAGAAGATTCTATCTTTTCTTTTGCCAACCTCTCTGTTTCCTGAGCGATTCAGGATGCGGCCCGCACTCGCATGATGCTCGAGTGATGACGACTCCTTCCTCCTTCCCAGGCGTCGGTCACTCATCAGCCGTTTGCCGCCTCGGCGTAGGGAAACAGGAATCTTATGGATAGCGACGACGTCAAACATACCGCCTGCTCGGCAGGAGTCATGGCTGCATCCGCTCACAACGCTGAGTACGGACTGCTGGATTGAACCGCCTGCGCTCTCAGCGCTGCTCAAAGCGCATGTCTCTCACTCGGCACTGTCATTGATAGGGATATCATCGACTGCTTACGCGCCGCATCACACAACAATGCCTGGCCTCAAACGATTGATCCTTTCTTGCTATAAGGAGGACTCTGCCTGTATTCCGCTTGCCGCCGGCGTGCCTTGAGACTGCGCGCTTGTACGAATCGCAACGAGATACAAGCGACGCGGCATCGAGGTCCTCACGCCAAGAAGCCACTATAGCGCTTACCTGGTGCCCTATGGCTTCGAGGAATACGACACCGATGATGAGAAAGTCGATCGAGCTGCATGTGACGCAATCGCAGCGGCAGAGCGGGCGGCCGCCGAAGAAGAGGCGGCAATGCAGGAGCTCCTAGCCATCGTGTAGCTCGACTCCTTTCGCTTCTAGGCCGCCGGGTATATTGCGACGGTGCACAAGGCTGCCGAGACTTCAGAAGGACACAAACAGCCCACGCAACTCGCTACGGAATATGTATCGGAGGAGGACACAGCACTGGGGTCTATATGACTTCTCTGTCAGCGATTACTGGGACAGCCTGATCAGTCGATAGATTGCTCAATGAGGGTTCCTGCTGGCTGCTTAGAAAAGAGGCATGCAATCCATAGATAAGTGGTCTGCGACTTGCGCTGCCTGTATGCTGCACAGCATGAGGAAAGGCCGCGATTTCGTTGAGCCCCGACGTAATACGTGTACACGTGTCAGCGCTGTCAGCCTGCGAGTCGCAATTGAATGAGAAGGACGCGCCAGAGACTGGCCTCATACAACCTGAGATGGCCTCGGCTGGCATCTCGCTGTCCTTTGGCAAGCTCAAGAAGCCAGGCAGCGATGTCAAGAGCAAGCCACGAGCCAAGACTGCGCTGTTTGAGGCAGACGCGGACGAAGCGGCCAAGCCAAATGATGTCGTTGCTCTCACCGAGCTGGACGATTCCTCCCTCACGACTGCAAGGACCGACTCCACAGCGTCTAGGAAGAAGGGCGCAGCAGCTGAAACGCCAGGTCTGCCTACCATATTGTCCCGCGTGCAACGGCAGAGACAGCAAGAAGCTCAGGAATTGGACGAATCCGTGTTTGACTATGATGGCGTGTATGACTCTATGAAGATGGGCGAAAAGGCAGCTGCAGAAGCCAAGAAAGCAGAGAATGCATTGCGCAAGGTGAAAGCTACTTCTCGATCCTGAGTTGCGCAGGACTGACACGCATGGCAGCCTAAATACATTGGCGGATTGCTCGAGAGCGCACAGCAGCGAAAGCTAGACCGAGTACGGGCAGAGGACAAGATGATCCAGCGCGAACGAGAGCAGGAAGGGGAAGAGTTTGGCGATAAGGAAGCTTTCGTTACGCCGGCTTATCAAGCTCAGCAAGCCGAATTACGTCAGGCTGAAGAGGAGGAGCGAAAGAAGAACGAGGCAGGGCCGAAGAAAGGCGGATTATCGAGCTTCTATGCCTCTTACCTCGCTCAATCAGATCAATCGAATCAAGCCGCTCTGCAAGCGACAGCAACGGCGAAAGAGGGAGGACGAGATTTCACCATTGGACCTGCTCCGATGCCCGATATGGCCCGAGCAGAGCCAAAATCGGATGCTCAGCTCGCACAAGAAGCACAGCAGAAGCTCGGCACGCGGGTGATGCTCAACGAGAGCGGCGAGATCGTCGACAAGCGTGAGCTGCTCAAAGGTGGTCTCAACGCGGAAGAAGACGAAGATGCTGTACAGATGGCTTACCCTTCGAGTCTGCCCGCTGCTCTTTCCGGCACACGCAAGGGCGGGTTTGCGATACCCATTGCTGCTCGCATGGCGGAGAAAGCCTTGGAAGAAGCAGCGAGAGCAAGAGCTGCTTTGCTGGATCAGGAAGCACCCGCTGCGGACGTGTGGCAACCTGCAGGGGCGACGATGACGCCCGAACAGCGACGGCGCGAACAACGCTTGCGACAGTCAAAGGAGATCGAGAAACAGATGCTCGCGTTCAACGAGCAGAAACGCAAACGAGAGGAAGAAGAGCGATCACACAAGATTGCCAAACTCGCTCGTAGGAATGACGAGACAAAGGTGGAAGAACTTCGACGGAAAGCTCTCGAAAGGAGACAGGCAAAGGCTGCTGCTGATGCGGCTGCTGCTCCGACTACATAGATATGGCAGCGTCTCCTCGGTACAACAACAACATCATCAGAACGCAAGCCTCAGAAGCCATAGCGAGACCCGGAAGACCGCTTGGTCGCTTTAGCTTGGGCGATCCGTTCCTCGAGCGCTTCCCGATTGTCGACTGCTTCTGCCAGCAATGCAGTAAGCTGACCTCGCTCTCGGGCACGATGCATCCCTCGTTTCTGCCGAAACGCATTAGCACGAATGGCAAACGCGAGGGAGGAACGGGACAGACAGGCTGAGCTTGTTGCTCCTCTTTCGGCTTTTCCTCTTTGTGAGGATTGAGTAGCTTCTTGCGAGCTTTCTCCAGTCGGGCTTGTATCAATGCATCGTCCGCCTTGACCTCGCTCACATCTTCATCTGTCGTGTCGAATTCCTTAGGTGTAGCGCTTGAGGATTGATCGGCTTCGACCCAGCCATTCATGCGTGACCACTCTAGCCAAGCCTCTGGCTCTTTCGCGGCCCATGTCTTTCCGTCCTTCTTCAGGTAAAAGCCGGGGTAGGGATCTGTTGCCGAAGGCGGCGGCAGAGTGGCATAGTAGTTCGGAACTGGCTTATCCTCCAGAACAGGCGCTGCTTTTATTGCGGTCGCGCGTGTCGCTTCGACTGACTCTGTGGTCGTCCGCACAGCTTCTGCCGCGCCTGCACTACAGCATCAGCCTGTGTGTACCGGCCATCGTGCTAGGGCGGACCTAGCGAGAAGAAGTCTACGACGGGCGCGGCTGGCTTTGGCGGCGGTAGCTTGGATTTGACTTTATGAGGCACAAACGAAGTTGTTGTTGTTGCCGCCGCCGCCGCAGGCTCAGGTTGAGCAATCTCGTCCAGCGCAGCGACACCAGACTCATCGCCTTCGGGTGCATCGATCAATGAGCCCACGGGACGTGCAGTGGAAGCACTCGGAGTCGCTACAGACTGAGTCGTACTCGCTTTAGGCGCGGGCAGCATGCTCGCCAGGCCCGACTTGCCGCTCAGACGACCAAAGTCCAGCTTGGCTCGCTTGGGCGCAGGCTCTTCTTTGGCTGGACTGGATGGGTCTGGCAGATCAAGCATGATCTTGACAGGACCTTTCCTCTTGGATTTGGGGAGCGGCATGTCTTGCTTTGGCGCTGTGCTACTTGCGGCGGGCGCATTGACTGGCGGTGGTGCAGGCTGCTCATGATCCGAGTCGTCCGAGTCTGAGCCATAGCTGACGAGGCCGGCCATTGTCGACTGGATCTGGCCGAGGAGACTGCTGGCGTCACGTCAAACGCGCATCATCGACATTGCGCAGCTCGCAGCTCGCAGTCGATTGGCCACCGCAGCAAGGCTGAGGATGCACTCGAACTCTTCCTGAGCCCGTCTGTAGAGCACAATGTCGGCCGCATTGCTCAGCAAACTCAAGTGGACGCCCGTGGGACTGTTCGGTATAGCAGTGATCCACTACCTCGCCTCCATCCATCCTGCGTATGATGCAACGACACAGCTAGCCAGCAAGCTCAAACCGGCTTCATGGTCCCCTTCGAGCACGGCAGGGCTCGAGCTAGACGCTTGGAGCTCGAGGGTCAAGGGCAGCAGACCGGCAGCCAATACCACCGTGCGGGCAAATGCTGCCTTTGTCATGCTCACGCGCAACGGCGACTTGTGGGACATGCTGAGGAGCATACGATCCATGGAAGATCGATTCAACAGCCGCTACAACTATCCCTATGTGTTTTTGAACGAAGTGCCCTTTGATGATCAGTTTATAAAGTCAGCCTTGTGCTGCCTATCGTCGTACGCGGCCGGCTGAAACTGGACTTCCGACCGACAGACACACGACAGCGCTGTGCTCAGGCAAGACATACTATGGTCTCGTCTCGAACGACGATTGGAAAGTGCCAGACTCTATCGACAGGGACCGCGCCGCCCAAGTGCGATATCAAAGTACGCCCTAGTCCCTTTGGCTTCTAGCTCGCGCTCACAAAAGTGCAGTGCAACAGGACGGTGTCATCTATGGTGGCAGCGAGTCCTATCGGCAGATGTGTCGATTCGAGTCTGGCTACTTCTTCAGGCAACCCTTGCTTGATCAGTTTGACTACTACTGGCGCATCGACCCGAATGTCAAATTCTTCTGCGATCTCGATTACGATCCGTTCATGTTCATGCAGCAGCACAACAAGACTTATGGCTTCACAATCAGTTTATACGAATACAAAGAGACGATCAAAACACTTTGGGATACCACCAAAGGTGTGTGTCGTTCGCTGTCCAGTCCGCCCATGCTGATGGTCAGACAGACTTTATGAAAGCACATCCCGAGCATATCGCAAGGAACAACATGATCGACTGGTTACAGAAGGATGACGGAACATACAACCTCTGTCACTTTTGGTCGAATTTCGAGATTGGCAAGCTCGACTTTTTCAGGTCGCAGGCCTATCTGGACTATTTCAACTACCTCGACCAGGCCGGAGGGTTCTACTACGAGCGATGGGGTAAGTCTCTACCTCTCTCGATGATGTCGTCAGGATTGATTGGAGAGAGCAGGCGATGCGCCAGTTCATTCGATCGCGGTATCGCTTATGCAAGAGAAGAACCAGCTGCATTTCTTCAGCGATATCGGCTACAGGCACGAACCCTTTCAGCACTGTCCCAACGGGCGAGAGACTGACCCAGCAAGATGCGATTGTACGTTGCAAAGCTTCACATGAGGTCGAAGCTGATTTGCAAGCTAGGCAACCCAAACTCGAGCGATAATTTCGAATGGCATGGCTACAGCTGTACGGCACTCTATCACAAGCTACAAGGCACGGGCAAGACCATTGATAACCACTGACACACACACTCTATGCACGCTTGTACTATCTCACCGCCGCGATCTCACGTCGCGCTTGCGGTTTCTCCGCCGCCGCCCTGTTTGCCCATCGCCAAACCATCGCGAGCAATTGACTACCAGTGCTTTTCCCAACATGCTCAGCTACGTGCAGCTCGCCGCCGTCTGTGTCGTCATTGCTACCCCATCTGGCCGCGTCAACTGTCAGACTAGCCAAGGAGGATCAGGCCTCGTACCTCCTGTTTGTCACCAGCAAGACAGATCATCGATCGATCTGACTGATTCTGCAGCGCGATGATGGTCGTGCATGCGAACTCTGCATGACCCAGGCTCAATGCCTTTCCGTGAGTGCAAGCCTCGGCAAACGATTCACATGTTGAGAGGTTGGCTAAGCGCTGCCATCGGAATGCCATGGAATTCGAATGCGAGCGCAAGTCGGCACGTCAGCGGTGTTCGGCGATGCGAAGATACACAATGGCAACTGTCGCAAGGGCTGCAGTGCATCTGTTCCACGTTCAAGCCCGTCAGATGCAGTTCGAGACACTGCTTTTGCGCTGATCAACAAACATCGCAAGCAATTGACGGACATCGATACTGTCAAACATGCTCAGCTACTCACGTATCGCCGCTATCTGCAATGTCTTCGCCGCTCTGTCGGGCCATACCAACTGCCAAGCTCGTCACGAGACGCCAAGCATCGTTCACAATGTTTGCCTTTGACATTGCAGATCAGCGTCAAGACTGATCAGCGAAGCAGCCCGATGATGGCCGCCCGTGTGAATTGTTCGTGACTCGGGCTCAATGTCCCACTGTACGTGCGTCTCTTGGCTGACGCTTTACAGACTAAGACTAAAGTTTGGCACAGCGTTGCCACTGGAATCCGGTGGAATCTCAATGCGTGCTCGAGTAGCTATGCCGACGCTGCTCAGCTCAGCGATGCATCGATACACAGGCGCAGCTCTCGCAAGTCCTGCAATGCATCTTTGCCACGGCCAAGCAGGACAAGCGGGTTCGAGACACTTTTCGCTCGTTTCAACCCCTTTCGAGCATCCCTTCCTCCAGTTGTTGCCACTCGCCTCAGACTACAAGCTTGACGTCAGCATCAGATCAGGATCGGAGCGGAACGCAGTCATGGTCACCTTGATTTGTGTCCTCCTCTCGATCGCTGTGCTGTCGTTCATGTCCTTTGTCGCCCGTGCAGAGGGCCGCCTCCTAAGAGTTCACACCGACGCACAAGCAGGATCTAGCTATCGATAGCCAGATCAATCGACCGATGTCACAGAGAGTCACTGAGCGCTCGACATCCGGTATGGCTCCGGTCGGTGCCAAACACACTCATGTCAGTGCGAAGTGCCTGATCGCTCTCTCCAATGCACAGAGACCAAACGGGACAGGATTGCGCGTGCCAGGCTTAAGTCATCCTGGAACCTGTCTGACGACCAAGGCTCTCCCGAACGGCCCTTGCTGAGACAGACTGCCATCACGGGCCGAGTGCATCGACAAGGGCAAACAATCAAAACTGGGTTCAAGCTGGGGATATGAGATGACGAGGACGGATTGCAAAGACTGGAATCATGGGCCGAGTGCATCGACGAGGGCCGAACGATCGAGAGCAGACTCAGCCAAGCAGAATCATAAGCAGCAAAGGCGCGAGACAGAGTAAAAAAGTGTGAAAAGTACAATGTACAACTCCAAGACTTGAAAGCCAGTACTCCGAGGCTTGAGGGCAGCGTCCTGGCCTCGTAGGACTTGCTACAGCTTGTGCTATCTTGTGTCGATACCGTGCAAGCTATTTGGCGCTTCGGCGCACAGCGCTGCAACAATTGGCTGACGCTCCTTTGTTGCGCAATACTGAGACGGTGCGGTATATTCGAAGACAGATGACAGTGTAGCAGATTTGTCGAAACCTCGTAAACTGCGACAGTGCGGGCACATTGGATAGTCCTCCTCTTCAGCCATCGACCGAAGCAAACTCGCAATCAGACCAGGCAGCATACATATCATGCGTTCCATACACTTGTGTACTGTGCTCAGCGGATTGGCGGACCTCGTCGCGGCTCGGGAGAGAGCGGTACGCGCCAATGGCACCAAACGAGGTTGACCTGACGCTTGTCTGTGCAGATTGTCCCGTATCCGTGCAGTCATTACGTTTCAGCAGCAGAATGTCCGTCGACAGTGAGTCGTGTATACATGAGAGCCATAGCACGCCGCTGATTGCCACTCGGTATCAGCGCTGCTTCTGGAGTATCGATAAGTTTGGCTGCTTCATCAATATAGGCTAGCTCTCCGTGTCGTGATTGTAGCTTGCCAAGCATGTGGTGCCGTTTGCTCTTCTCGACCTATGAGCTTCATTCAGGCAGCGAGGGCCATGCGTAAGGATCGAGTTTGTAGTCTCTCGTCGATCCGCTGAGAAAGGGAATGATGTAAGGCACAATGCGTGCGACGATAGCGACGACGATGCGAAACGTCATCACGCCGTAGCTTGTCAGAGGGAGAGCAATATTGGGAGCGCCAGGCGGGAGCTTCTGAGTCTCTTGCATGAACGGACGGAACTTGCGCTCATATTCGTTCAGCGCCTTTTGGTAATCGACGGAATCGTCTGTCGGGTTCCTTGCTTGGAGCAGCTCGCCCGCGAGTATGTAGGCTCCCGGTACGGCGCTCGACGTCCCGAGACCAGTGATAGGTGATGGGCAATAACCGGCATCGCCGAGAAGGACACAACGCCCTCTGGACCACGAGTCGAGTTTGATCTGTGCCACATCCTGCACGTAGAAGTCGTCGGCGGTCATCATGCCGTCCAGCACTCTACCGATCTCGACCCATCGGACGTCTGCAAACTGGTCCCTGAATAGCTCTTTGAGCTCTTGATTGGATAGCTTCTGGGCGTCTCTGAAAGCGCCCGTGGTTCGAGTCGTGAGAGATGCGCGACAGACGCCCGACTTGTCCGGTCGAAGAAGCACGGAGCGACCCTTTGGAGCATTGTAGCCTCTGGCCCAGGTACCATCGTTTTTATCGATCGGAATAGAGAACCAACTGGTGAGGACGTCGAGGGAGCGTATGCAGGATTCCTCCCATGCAGGGTTGATGAGCGACCGCGTCTTGCTGTAAAGTCCATCGGCAGCAACGAGCAGGTCGTATCGCTCGCTCTGCCTTCCTTTGGCGAACCCGACGCGTACGCCGTCTCCGTTTTGCTCCACTGAGCTGATGTAGTCGCCGAAGATCCACATGCAGCTCTCACGAGTTGCCTCATAGAGCACGTTGGACATTGCCCCTCGCAGGATCTCGACTTCTGCCGTAAAGGAGAGCCCTTTGCCGCTTCGGTCGACAGGGAAAGCGGCCCGCTTGCGATTCTGCTCATCGACAAAGTAGAGCCCTTCCTCGCCTGTGGTAGCCTACCCGTTTCATAAGCTCCCGCGAGTCGGCAGATCTCTGTGCTTCACCTTTTCGATGGCTTTGTAGACGCCCATCTGCTTCAGTGTCCACAGTGCAGATCCGCGCACATCGACGTTCTGCCCCGAAGTACGAATGGACGGGGCTCGTTCGACGATGGTCACCTTGAAGCCTGCTCGAGAGGCCCAATAGGCGAATGCTGGACCGCCAATGCCGCCACCTGCGACCAATATCGACATTGCGTGCGTGCTGTAGTGGTAGAGAAGGATGTGCTATCGAGCAGGAAAGGGAGCCGTCTTGGGTCTCGCAAGGCCTCTAGACAGTCTGTACACGTCATGATAATGCCGAGGTGGACGTGATCGACGCTGATCGACATGCTCGCGTGCGCGCTTTTGCTATCTCTGCAACAGTGAGTCATCTCATTCTTGTAGGCCTACCGTGGAGGCAGATGCACTCTCGACCGTCGAGACATGATAGTGCAGATCGTCTGCGAAGACGAGTCAGACGACGACGGACAGAAACAGTCTTCACTCGTCATCTTTGGCGCAGGTGATGCGGAAGATCCCTTCAATTGGTCAAGAAGTCGCAAATGGACCCTCACAACTGTCGTCTTGGCCTTCACTTTCGCCTGCTCCTACATCTCCGGCGGTCTCTTCATCGCGTCCCAGGCCATACAGCAAGAGCTTGACTTGCAGCGCGAGATTGTCACTTTCGCCTTGGTTCTCTTTCCATTCGGGTTCGGTTGTGGCGCACTCGCATTCAATCCCATCTCGGAAACGACTGGACGGACGAGCGTCTACCTCATCAGTATCACACTCACGACGGTCCTCTTTGTGCCCATTGCCACCGCGCAGAATGCTCCGGCATTGGCCATCAATCGCTTCTTGCAAGGCGTCGTGTCGAGCGTCGGCTCCTCCATGGCAGCAGGCTCCATCGCCGACATCTTTGGACCTCATGACCGAGGCTGGCCCATGACGCTCTTTGCCCTCTGCACTTTTGTCGGCATGGGGCTAGGACCTGCAGTAAGCCCGGCCACAGCGATACCAATAGAGCTAAATCATCTGAAAGACGTGTGGCTACGTCGTCCAGAATCTGGGCTGGAGGTGGACGCAATGGCTCACCATGATCTTCACCGGCGCCGTCCTACTGCTCATGCTGTTGTTCCTACGCGAGACGCGTGGCTCGGTGTTGCTGCGACGACGCGCGCAGAGACTGAACAGGGAGCAAAAGACTGATCGCTACCATACCCTCGATGACAACGTTAGCCTCTTCAAGCTCGTCCGTCTGTCCATCCTCCGACCGTTGACGTTCCTCTGCACCGAGCCAATCTGTCTTGCACTATCTCTCTTTGTCTCACTTGCCTGGGCGATCACGTACCTCTTGCTAGAAGCGATACAAGTGGTCTTTCGCAATCAGTACGGCTTCAACACGGGCGAGACCGGCCTTGTCTTTCTGACCATCTCGATGGGCGGATTCATCGGCGCGCTACTGACGATTTACCAGGACAAGCTATACCAACGCCGCTTTGCTCAAGACAACATCGAAGCTCGACTTTACATCAGCATGCTGAGCGGCGCTCTCATGGCAGCAGGAAGTCTCATATTCGGTCTGGCGCAAGGTCGAGGAAGCTGGATCGGACCGTCGATCGGTATCGTCATTCTCATCACTGGCGCTTTCTGTTGCTTCCATAGCGGGACGCTGTACCTTGCGGACGTCTATGGCGAATGGGCATCCTCTGCACTGGCAGCTCAAGGTCTCTTGCGCAACTTGTCCGCCACGAGCTTCCCTTGCTTCACGACGCAGATGTACGAGCGTCTCGGGTATACCGGTGCAAGCTGCCTCGTCTGTGGACTGGCAGTCTTGTTCTCCATCGTACCTTTTGCACTCTTTTACAAGGGCAAAGAGTTACGTGCAAGAAGCTCAGTCGCCCGGCAAATTGCAGGCGAAATAGGGACAGCCTCGATGCTGGCCGAAAAGACGAGCGCATAGCAATTGGCAGCCGTCCATGGATGATTCCTGTCAATCGAGGCGAAAAGACAAGGATTCGCATTGACGCAGTCAGAGCATGAGGCGCGGCGCCTCTGCTCGACGACCGCTCGAGCCTGACGAAATCTGTTGATTGTTGTACTTGCATTGAGCATCTGAGACAGCGTCAAGCGTTCCGGCCAATGACTGTTTGAATAGGTTACAACACATGGAAGATCATATAAGCGTGCGCCTTCTCTGAGCACGGCGGTAGGCCTCGACGATGAGCAGCTCGACGCGCTGCTTGACGAGCATTGTGATCGGAAGCGAAAAGAGTCCTTTGGCCAGCTCTACAAAGCCATCAGCCTCCTCATGATTCGACTGATCGAGCAGAAGGACTCACGAGCACTCAGACCGGTGTACAGGCCTGCGGGACCTTGTCGCTTGAGCGTCTTGGCAAAGACGTCGGTGATACTGCGATAGACGTGTTTTCCGCTGGGGCTCTTCCATTGCAAACGAGTCTTTGCGAGGATCATCGGGTAGACTGCAGTATTGGCGAGCGAGGAAGCCATGGCGGATGCGAGCAGTGTCTGCCAAGCTCGTGGTGCATCAATATCGCGCTGTGGGATGATGATACGCTTGAACAATTCGAGCAGATATAATGTGAGTGCAGGCGATGTAGTCTGACAGTGAGAACATGTCAGTCTGCCGGTCCGAGAGACGGAAAGCGAGGTGACGAACCAGAAAGCAAGCAGATTTGAAGCCGGACCAGAACCCAGTGATGCCTTTGTCATCATAGATCTCTCGCAGGATCGTCATTGCACTTGGCCCGGGGCTATAGTCGCCATCTTCATCGTCACTGCTGCTATCGTCCTCCTTCGCAGACTTGCTCTGTGCGATTTCTGTGCCGGGCACATTGGCGCCGCTTGTTGAATTATCCTGTGCTTGCGCTGCCGAAGCAGAGGTTTGCTTCCGCACTGCAGCATCACAATGCCCCTCAGCTGATTCGGCTGATGTGCACAGTGATCCTACCTGTTATGTTGGAGATCGGATTGGTGAAGAAGCGCGAGACGATGCCTGCGACCATGCCAATGGCGATCTCCTCTGGCGCAGATAATTTGACACCCGTCTTGCTGCTTCCCACTCTTGCTTCCTTTCGCAGCAACAGTCTCGTCCTCAGGAACGAGTGGGCCAGGTAGAACAAGAAATTGGACATGCAAGTCGAGACAGTGTCGCTCGTTACGCCTCGGTAGAAGCTCGTCGCGCCTTCTTTAGCGTAGATCGTCCTGACAGCGCCAACGAGGGTACTGTAGTCATCTCCGCGCCGATGAGCAGCTTGACCCGCGCGAGCTTTGCCTTTGTCCGCTCGGCGAGTCGGCGCAGTCTGTGTGCGCGTAGTCACCAGGTCGAGGGGATAGGCGATCAGATTCGAAGCCGCGCTGCCTATTGCGCCTGCGCATGCTTGTGTCAGGGGAGGTAGCTCGTCTGCCATGATGGCGATGCTGCCGAGGAAAGATAGGCTCGTCAGTAGCTTGACACCGGATCACGTCACGGCCGCGACAGCCGGCCATTCGCGTCACCGGGTAGCCGGCCCGTTGAGCCGCCGCCTGCACGTTGGTGTCGAGCAAAATTTCGTCGACCCTCTGATTGCTCAACCCCCTCGCTAGTAGACAAACCTGTTCCGCAAGATGGTTCAATCAGCTGTACTCGGCTTCCCCCGCATTGGCCCCAAGGTACGCACGACGGCTAGCGCGCCGGCCTCCGAGCTGAAAGGAGCAAACACAGCGAGAGATCAAGAAGGCTGTCGAGGCCTACTGGTCAGACAAGATCGATGCTGCAGAGCTCGAAAAGACTGCCAAGGAGATCCGTCTGCTCAACTACAAGACCATCTCTGATGCAGGCGTCAACGTCATCCCCTCGTATGTCCCGCTTCTCTGGCCAATGCCCTCTTGAAGTCAAGCTGACCGATCGACCGACAGCGGTGACTTCTCGCTCTATGACCATGTCCTCGACACCACCGTCATGGTTGGCGCTGTTCCGAAGCGATACAGCTCAGCAGGTCTGTCCCAGCTTGACATGATGTTCGCCATGGCCCGTGGCCGTCAACGCGATGGAGTCGATCTCGAAGCGTGCGTGTGCCGTGTTCGCTCATCTCAAACGTAGCTCATGCATGACTCACAGTCAAGAGATGACAAAGTGGTTCGACAGCAACTTGCACTACATCCGTCCCGAGCTCTCCAACGACACCCAGTTCTCGCTCACCAAGGACTCTAAGCCCATCGCATTCTACAAAGAGGCAAAGGCTGCTGGCTACGAGACCCGGCCCGTCCTCCTCGGACCGGTCTCATACCTCTTGCTCGGCAAGGCCGCAAGAGACTCAAAGTCGTACGAGCCCATCAGCGCGCTCGATCAGCTCGTGCCTGTCTACGAGCAGCTCGTCAAGGAGCTCGTCCAGGAAGGCGCAAAGGAGATCCAGATCGATGAGCCCACCCTCGTTCTCGACTCGACCTCCAAGCTCGGCGAGAAGTTTGCTTCGACGTACGAAAAGCTCGTCAAGGCTGCCGGTGACGCCAAGATCACCGTGGCGACCTACTTTGAGCGTCTCGATTCCAACGTCGACTTTGCAAAGGACCTGCCCGTTCATGCGCTCCATATCGATCTCGACAGAGGCGCGAGCCAGTTCGATGCCGTCCTCAAGGCTGTCAAGTCGTCCAAGAACAGCAAGCTTGCTCTCTCGCTCGGTCTCGTCTCGGGCCGTAACATCTGGAAGAATGACTTTGCTGCTTCCATCAAGACAGCAAAGACCGCCATCGATGCGCTCGGCCAGGACCGTGTCATCATCGCCACTTCTGCCTCGCTCGTCCACTGCCCCGTCACCCTCAAGAACGAATCTAAGCTGACTGACGAACAACGCGACTGGTTCTCCTTTGCCACTGAAAAGTGCTCAGAAGTCGCTGTTATCGCAAAGGCGCTCTCTGACGAGTCGTCCGTCAAATCGGAGCTCGAGACCAACGCAAAGTCAATCAAGGCCCGTCGTGACTTCGAGCAGAACTCTGACTCGGCAGTCCGTGACCGTCTTGCTGCCGTTACCGAGAAAGACTACGAGCGTCAGAGCCCGTTCCCTAAGCGTTTGGCTGCACAGAATGAAGTCCACAAGCTGCCTCTGTTCCCCACCACGACCATTGGATCGTTCCCTCAAACGAAGGAGATCCGCACTGCTCGTTCCAAGTTCACAAAGAAGGAGATCAGCTCGGAGGAGTACGACAAGTTCATCGCGAAGGAGATCGAGCACGTCGTTCGCTTCCAGGAGAAGGTCGGCCTCGACATCCTCGTCCACGGCGAGCCAGAACGCAACGACATGGTTCAGTACTTTGGCGAACGTCTCAAGGGCTTCGTCTTCACCGAAAACGCCTGGGTTCAGTCATTCGGATCGCGCTACGTTCGCCCTCCGATTGTCGTCTCTGATATCTCTCGACCAGCACCCATGACTGTTCAATGGTCATCATACGCCCAGTCGCTCACAAAGGCACCCGTCAAGGGAATGTTGACTGGTCCCGTTACTTGCTTGGCCTGGTCTTACCCTCGTGCCGATGTCTCGAAAGAAGTCCAGTGCAAGCAGCTCGGTCTTGCACTTCGCGACGAAGTCGTCGATCTCGAAAAGGCTGGCATCTTTGCCATCCAAGTCGACGAGCCTGCCATCAGAGAGCTCATGCCTCTCCGTCGTTCTGACTGGGATGCCTACCTCACCTGGGCTGTCGACTCTTTCCGTCTCGCAACTGCAGGCGTCAAGGACTCGACTCAGACCCATTCGCATTTCTGCTACTCTGACTTCAACGATATCTTCCAGCACATCCAAAAGCTCGATGCCGATGTCATCTCCATCGAAGCCAGCAAGTCTGACCTCAAGCTGCTCAACATCTTTGAGACATTCCAGTACCAGCAAGAGATCGGGCCTGGTGTCTTTGACATCCACTCGCCTCGTGTTCCTTCTCAGAAGGAGATCCAGGAACGCATTGCTGCTATGCTCAAGACAATCGAGGTCAAGAAGCTCTTCATCAACCCCGGTACGTCTTTGCTTTCACTCAAATGAGCTCAACGCTGACGTGCTCTTCTAGACTGTGGCCTGAAGACCCGTCAATGGCAAGAAGTCGAGCAGCAGCTCGCCAATCTCGTCGGAGCTGCCAAGTGGGCTCGCGAGGAATACGGCAACAAGGCCTAGACGACTAGCAACCTCTACGAGCGGCAGCTCAACTTTCTGCCGGATGATGTGTTGATCTTTCTCGTCCTGCCTTACACAAGAAGGATTCCTCTCCTTCTGTTTTCAGTACCAACGCAATCTATCTTCTCATCACATGTTCGACATGCTGACGAGCTGTACGAATAATCACACGACTTTTGCAAGCAAAACGAAGGCGACTGCCTGTATGACCTGTAAAAGCCGCCAGAACCCGAAGACTTCAACCTCTTCAATCGAAAGAGCCTCAACGCTCCCAAAAGATGGTCATGCTTGCTTGAACAATGCATCGAGATCCATGCACAACGACTGAATTGCGAGACTTGAGGCCGACCAGCGGCTCAGAGTTGCTTGGGTCCATAAAGCGCGATCTGACTGGAACGTGAGCTCGAGCTGAAGAGTGGCTAGCCAACTTAGACCGACCATCTTGCGGTTGTACTTCTTGACATAGTTCGGACCAAGGCTACGCGTCTCGATGTCGTGAATCCGTCTGATGTCTGCCAATCAGTGCGAGTCATGACTTGATGGCGCGATGCGTACCCTCTGTTGAGATTTGCAAGCTTGCTAAAGGCGCTCTTTGTGAGATCGACTGCCGGGACGCCAGGAATGCAGCCTGCGCAGTAGTCGACGGTGCGTACAACGATGGACTTTTTGCTGCCTTTGGGACGAAGCTGCAGATAAGTACCGCAGGCTGGCTTCTCTGACCACTGTTGAAGGCATGAGCGTGATCGGCATTGATACAAGAGACGTACAATGAGGGTGACGGCTGCGATCATACTGTTGTCGGTCGGATTCCATCGCGAGTGACGCTGACAAGCGGCTGGATGAGCATTTCAGCCTTGTGCGGTCATGACCAAATGGGATCACCGACGATAGAGAAGATCGTGTCCTGAATACCAAGTAATGACAGAGGCTGCGGCATTGTGAGCCCAAGCTGACGGGGAAGGAATGGCTAGGCTCACTGAAACGTGAGAGGCTGCGTCTGAGAGCCGAGCTTCGAGCGACTGGCTCGCTAGATGAGGGTAAGCTGGCATTGTTCAGCTTGATCGGCATCCATTCACTCGCTTCGCCGTCGTCAAAGTCGTCGTTCAGCAGCTCATCGACACTGTCGAGGGCGCGCTCATCGATTCGTTCGGTTTCCCCGGGTGCGTTCGTGTTGCTTGCCGTAGAATTGCGAGGTAAGATGGTGTGGCTCGATCTTGACCGATGGCTTGCCAATACAGGCCCAGTGCGTTCGAGCAGAACAGAGCCGGTCGACTGAATCTGAAAGATTTGGCTGGGCGAGACGAGTGCGAGCAAGAAGCTGACAACGAGCGAGTTGCGCATCTTGATGTCGATGTGCAAGCTGTGCAGTGCCTTATAAGACACATAGGAACAGAAGAAGGTGAAGAGGGCAAAAGCGGACCGAGCTGCTCGAAGGCGATCAGTGCACGACGCGCCGTCGGATATCACAAGCATGCAAACTTCCTACAACCGTGTGTCAATGGAAATACCAATGTGCGAGATTATGAGTCTGCTTCTAACAGTTCGGCAGCAAGGGCGATAGCGTCAAGCGCAAGATCTTCTCGGCCGTTAGAGGCGTTGTTGGTTGCGAAAGACTTGAGCGCTTTGGACATGACGCGGGCCCAAGCTCGAACGCCTCTGCCTGATTGACTGCCTGCATCGGCTACACCAGCGAGCGTCTTGAATAGTGTTATGAGATGAGGTGGTACGGTCTGTCGTGCTGATATGAAGAGGGTATCATTAGGATCTTTTGCATCGTCAGGTGAGTGTCCGGCAAGCATGCGAGCCAGCAAGACAGTGTCGTCTGGCGACAGGGAGCCGACTTGTCGAATCGCATCGTTTGTCATAGCTCGACAAACGCGAGGAAGGAATATTGCCGCAGGTACCTCGCTCCAGAACAGCGAGGCCAACTCTGCGTCGCCGATCTCGCTAGTCAAGTCGTCCAGCAGCGTCCACTGGGTCGGAAGACTGGCTGTCGTAATCCCATATAGCAGAGATAGGCGAGGGACGACAACAAAGACCTTGGGATCCATTGCGAGCATCGAATCTGTCGTCAGCAGATCGTCATCAATGGCTTTCTCGATTGCAAATTTGACGACGTCGCTCGTTGACATTGGACTCGCTAGACTGAGATCAGGCTCGAGACCTAGCGATGTCATTAGCTGGCGCATCCGAGCGTCGCGCAAATACGTTCGGCGGTTCTTCCTCGCCTCTCGCGCTTCGACGTGTGTGGCGACGAGTAGTTGGCAGAAGTGTGTGTATGTCGTATCGAAGACAAGCATCTCGCGGTACAATTGTGGCCATGGCGTCTGCATCTGATCGACCTGACCTGCTGAGCGGCGGACGTTGTCCAGACAAGAGATGAGCTCAGTGCCTAGCACGCGTAGCTTGCGCAACACGTCTCCTTCTGCGACTGATTCCGTTGTGCTGTCAGTCAAGCCCTCGAAGCCGTCAAAGACGTAGCCTCGGGACAGCGCGCTTGCTAATGCCAGGAGCGATCTGGAAAGCTAGTCAGCATCCCAACACGGGAGACTTACAAATACTCACACGCCATATGGCGTCGTCCCGGGTGAAGAGAGTCCGGCTTCGTTCCGGAGTGTTGACAATGTATGGAGCAGCTCAGCCCAAGGGGAGTCTTGAGCATCTTCCACATCGGCCACAACTCGATTTGACAGATTATCTCGAGCTAGTCCCCACCAGGAAGCATTCCGGAGCACACTCGTCCCACGACGAGCAGGTGGCCGAGTAGGAGAGCTCTCGTGAGTTCTCGGTGGCGTGGCAGTTCGGCGTGCGTGTGTTCGTGCCTGTTGTTCTTGGTGCTGCCTGAAGGACGCGATCAGATCGCAATCTGACGTCGACCGAGCAGCTGTATGCATGTCAATATCTGACAGGCATGCTATGCGTCTGACTGACCTGCTGAGGCGAGTGGGAAGAATGCAGCGGCAATGGCCTTGCTCCAGCTTGGCGCGGGATCGCGCGACGCTTGCAGTTCTTTGTCGACCGGAAAGGATTCTAGCGCGGTGTACTCGAAAGCCTCCTCGACCATACGAGCAAAGTCGTCCTCGTAGGCGTATGATGACGCGCGAGCGGGTATACTGTGCTGTTGCATGGACTGTCGCGCTCGGCCAGTTGGTCTCACTGGCGAGTGGGTCAGACGCGAAGAACGTCTCGGGTTGATCGGCATAGGCGCAGAACATGCTCTGATCTCTTCTATAGACCGGTGAGCTGCCTGCTGGGGCTCCTCACTCAGCGGGTAGGCAGCCGCATCTGCTTTCTTCTTTGTCTCTGGCTCCCCCAAGTCCTCATCCTCGTCACTGGGCGACTGGGAAGCGGTAGGCGAGGGCGCTTCGTTGTCTAGGCCGAGTTCGATGAGGAGAGCTCTCACAGACTGGCTGGGCGAGCAGTTGGGCGAGAGGTACAACGTCTTGCCAGATGCGGCAGAGACATCTGTCCGGTTGGACTGTCCACTGCCTCGACGACCGAAGATGAGTGATGCTGCTAACAGATCCTGATCATCGCTTGCGTGGGACTGACGCTGAACCTCCTCAAGTGCCTTGTCGAGCGCAAAAGGTGACAGACTGGGCGGTGACGGGAGATTTTGGGCTTCATGCACAAAGAGGGACGAGAGCCGTTGAGGAGCGCAGGGCACGGCGTGAGACTGGCCGACGCTGCTGTGATGATAGCTTGCCGGTCTATCTGTCGGTAGTCCTCGCATACGCTTGTGGCCCACAGACAGCCTCATCTCGAAAGCAAACTGCGTCTCCCACAGTTCGCTCTCGTCTGACCTCGTCCGGCGGTGCTGCATGGCTGACGTGCCGGGCTGAGCCAGGCCGGCTGCCATGCGCTCGCCAATTGTCTAGTCCACTCTGATAGGATCTACAGTCGGCGACAAAGGCGTCCCTGCGCAATTGGCGTGAGCAGAGCCGAGCGCGCTGTGTGAAACCCTGGCGATCCCCGTTTAGCTCGACTGCAGATCTCTCGCGCGCAGCATAGAAAGAGGCGTTGCATTTGAACACACTTCAATCAACGATCCTCTGTCTCCACATACGAGGCCAGCTCGAGGGCAAAATCTCGCATGTACGAGAGATCCTCGGCACCGAAGACCCGCTTGGCGTCGCTGTGATAAGCGCAGAGCAAGTAGCCTCTCTTCTCGCTTTCGTGTTTCGCAATGGGCAAGAGGATTGCACTCTTGTAGTCTGTTGGTTCGTCCATCGTGGTAGCAATGGCGAAACGAGGCAAGAACTCGCCATCTGTCATCTCTGTCAGGCGTGGATTGGAGTAGAGCGTGCCTTCTGTCGCGCCACGCAGTGCTTTGAGATGCAACACGGGATCAAAAATTGGCTTGGGCGTTGGCATTCCCCACGACGCAAGTATATTGAGGAAGTGGGCGTCGTATGGCGTTGTGTCAAGAGGTCCCTGGGCAGGTGCTTGCGCGAGATCGAGTCTGCACAGATAGACCATGCTCATATCTAGGGTTTCGCCAATGATGCGCAGGGCAAGTGAGTAGACGCGATCGAGCGATGCTTGGACAGATCGCTGGCCAGACAGAGAAGTTGCAGCCGAAGATGTCGCTTCATGCTCGTCTATGCTCGAGCTATGTACTGTCGAATCTGGTGCAGATGATTCGACAGATACTGGCGCAGCTGCAGGCACCTCTGGCGTGATAGGACGCGCGATGAAGTCGTCCGGTCTGGCTAGAGCAGTGTATGACGTGTTGTCCGGCAAGACAAGATCGGGTATAGCCTGGGGCTGGAGATGCTCATCCGGTGTAGGCGGATGAGAAGCGCCCTCACTCTCTGTGACTGGATCAAGACGCTTACGAGTGAGTGCTTGGGAGAAGTCCTTCTGCCTGTAGCCGGTTGACCCCCGGTGAACACTCTTCCAGTCTTTGAAGCGGCGCTGCATCTGGCTGAGCTTGTCGTCCATTCGCTCGCGGTACCAGACCTCGATCTCGAGACGAGCATACTCGGCCAGTTCGCCTAGCTTGTGCCGCTCTGCTAGCGAAAAGTCTGTTCTGGGCTTGTCATCAACGACGCATCTGCAGTCATTCTGATCAGTCGCGATCCGCAGGCCCGGAGAAGACTGACAAAGTGCCAATTGCCATGTCGTCACCCGTCGCGGAGTTGAAGTTAGGTGCAAGCAATGGGACACCGGCATAGAAGCGATTGCCCATCAGCGTTAAAGGCGCTTTCGCAGAACGCCAATCTTTCTCAGTATCCAGAAGGACCTGCAAATCTGCATCAGCCTTGCTTCTAGGTTTAGATGGATAGCTCACGAAGCCTTGTCCAGGATTGGACAAGATGGTATGGTTGCAGAAGGAGACACTTCGCGGGATTTCTTGCATGCCTCCCAGGCCGCTTTCAGCGAGGAAGAGCTGCTTGTCGTCATCGAGAATTGTAAGTAGTGATATTTTTGTGTTGAACGTGGCACGAGCATGCGCTACAATGCTCCTGAAAGCGGGATGATCTTCTAGAGAATTGCTGTAGCCGACTTGGTCGACAGTGGGTGTGGTCGCGAGCGCAGACGGGGTTTCTGTGGACTCGATGCGTGTCCGTGCTTTGGCTTCGCGTCTCTTGCGATACGAAAGGCGTGTCTGTTTCTTGGCAGCAGCGACAGACTTGACGAGCTGTTGCTCGGTCAAGTCCTGCTGGTCTATTGGCTCGTCTATCATCGGCGCGTCTGCCGATCTTTTCCAACGGGTCAAACTGAGTAATCTGTTGACCGCGCGCTGTCTGAAGCGCTCGTCTGCCGGCGCAGGTGGACAGTAGAAGCCCAGCTCGAGGGGCGATGGCTCATTCTGCTCCTCTGACTTGGCGAGCGATGTCGATTTTGACAAGACGGGCGAGTGCGTTTGCGGGTTTATCTGAAGTGCCTCTCTCACAGAATAGTCGGAGTCGCTGTGGACGCCTCCGGGTCGCACGACGCCAGGCGGGTCATTGAGGTCGATCTTTCTGGTGCTGTAGAGAGCACCGAATTCTTCCCAAGATTTTGGCCAGAACGACTTTGACGAATGCGAACTGATGCGCGCCGGTTGCGTGGGCTCGTCAGCATCGCCTTCCGGTGGCGCTATAGCTTCTGCGACGACCGGCTCGGAGCCTGAACCGGGTCGGCCGGTCTCGCGAAAGTCTTGGGGCACGAAGCAAGCAAGCAAGCGCGCTTTCCAGCCTTGCTTCTCTCTCTTTGCTTTTGGCGCGTTGCTGGTGATTCTGGCAGCGCTCCGCTGACTTGACAGCTGCAAAGGCCTTGTCTTGTTCTGTGAGAAGGACGGCTTGAAATTCGACAGAGGGGCGATGCAGGCTGATTCCGCAAGCTGGCCGAATGGGACAGGCTGCTGCTGAACTGGCTCCCTCACGAGGGGCGACAGGCGCATCGGAGGCGGTGCACCGTCTGGCATCCTGCGCTAGGGCGCCTCTTCGTCACAAGTCACCAGCGCGAGGAAAGCTCACAAGTCAAAAAGCTGGGGAGAGTGGACCTTTTGTGAGTGTGAATGATGCAATTACCCGTATCATGGTTCGGGTTCTGGGCTGTCTGCAAAAGTAGCATTCACTCGATCATACGGAAGGTTTGGAAGCTTCCGCCTCAGAACAAGAGATGAAATCGATGAAATTTGATCCCCGCCGCGCCGCGCGAGGTCGATTTACCGAGTCGCGACGTGGAGGTTAGACGACAAACGGCGCTGACGAGCATGCAAGAGCTTGTGGGCAAGCTCCACAGGCAGTACGATGTTGCAGTCCAATCCGGCGACCTTATCTTCACGGACAGTACAGTCAAAGGAATCACGCAAGGCGAGCTCGAGTACGAGGTCAGGTTTGCTCCTGCTTTGGCGAAGAAGCCTACGGCCGCCAAGCCAGCGCAAAGCAAGCAAGACAAGCCTGCGGATCCCTTTGCAGCGCCTTATGTACCTGCATTGCATGTCGACGAAGTGACCGTCAAGGCTGAACTGGAAGATGGCGAATCGGATGAACAGTCTTTTGTCGTGCTTGTATGCTGTTGCGCGTTGTGGAGACCCCTAGCTGACCGGCCAAGCAGCTCAACAAGTTTTGCGTCCAGCCGAGACACTTTCTGCTCGTCACGAAAGAATTTGTCAGCCAGCGACTGCCGTTATCGCCGCTAGAAATCTACACGACCGTCAAGATCTTACATACACTGGCCAATCCAGCAGCAACAATCCAAGCAGAACCTCATCTTGCCTTTTTCAATTGCGGCGAATTATCGGGCGCATCACAGCCACATAAGCACATCCAGTTCATCGCGTTGCCCTCCGGCAAGACGCCATTTGACAAAATCATACGTGATGCCAAGCCAAAAGATGCAAGCGCAAAGCTGGACGCGCAAGACCGGAAGCTTAGCGCCTTTACTGTCTCCGTGCTGCCTTTTGCGCACTACATCACGCCAATCGAATTTGATCCCGACGATTCAGTTGCAAATACTGCAGGCGGTCTGTTAGCAAGATATCTGCTACTACTCGATCTAGCGGCAGAGAACATATCACAATTACAGCAGCAGGACGATGTAGACAAGTCAAAGCTGCCATCTTCAGCTTCACGCATGTCTTACAACCTTGTCGTCACGCTTGACTATCTCATGCTCGTACCGAGGTCCCAAGAGAAGTTCGAAAGTGGTGCAAGCGAAGCTGTACCACTCAATTCGCTGGCTTTCGCTGGCATGCCGCTCGTCAAGTCCCAAGAGCAGCTAGATACCTTTGCGGGTGGCGACATTGCCAAAGCCCTCGCTTCGGTCTGCTTCCCCGTAGCGCGCGGATAGGCGAGCTTGAACTCTCGCAAGAAACTGTTGTACGATGGTGAAACCTGTCAGCGAGCTTTGCCGCGGGCCCTTGCGAGAAGTTATGCGCACGAAGTGACATTGACTTCGTTTGACGCGATCATAACAAAAGAGCGCCGGCTGACCTGCCTTTCGATTTTAGAGGATGCCTACGGGCTTGCTTCTGCTGCTCGGTCGCTGCGGCTTCGTCTTTCCTCTTGTAGCATTAGCATGGCTCGCATACCCTTCAAAAGACGCAGCAGTCAGACGACAGCGCAAGCTCCTGCGACGCGCAATTGCGCCCATCGCATTCTGGGCAGGCTTGCAAGTCCCTCTCTCCTTCCCATTCGAGCCTCGTACGGGCATTCTACACTTTCTGCTGGCAATCCTAGGCGTCACCGCTAGCTTTACTGGCTTAGCTTGGGGATTCTGCGATGAAGAGATTCGATGGATTGGCTACTTGGATCCGCCTCTGGTGGACTATGAGACCAAACATGCTTCGCTGCTCGATAGGATAAAATGGACAGTCAGTCTCGTCAGTAGCCCTAGAGGTCTCGGATTCAGTACAGGCTGTAGACCGAATCAGTTGCCGAAGTCGCTGCCGGAGCCACCTGTCGCGTTTCTCAGCACTTGGCTGAAGCAGTATACCATCCTGCAGGCTCTTTTGCATGTCAGCTTGTGGCTTCTAAGCGGTTCATACCATAACTCAGGCGATAGCCTGGGCTTCCTCGCACAAAAGCTCGGCAAAGTGAAGTCAGGTCACGAATACTTGGACGCTCTCGCATTTGCGCTCCATACACTTTGCGCAGGACAGGTATGTTCGCAGCTGCATCATTCGCGCAGGGAACTCACGAGAGTACAGGCTGTATGGCTCGGCATAGAACTAGGCACGGGAATCGTCATGCTTGCCATGTTCTTGGTCTTGCGACTCGCTCGGTTTCTGACTGCTTCTCTGCCCGCTAGCCTACGACCGAACCCATTTGAGCCGCACGTCTGGCCGCCATTATTCCGATCGCCGTACGGAACAACAGGTCTGGCAGACTTTTGGGCATACAGATGGCATCAGATCTATCGTCGCATTTTCACCCTGGCCGGGAGAACAGCGAAAGCGATATGCGGCAAAGGCGCATTGGGACAAGCGGCAAGCGTGTTCGCTGTCTTTGCAGTATCGGGCTTCATCCACGAGTGGCCAGTCCAGACGCTTGACCCTTCGTATCCTGTCGACCCGCTCTCGCAATGGAACTCCATCAAGTTCTTCATGTTACAAGCAGTCGGGATTCTTGCTGAGCAAGCCCTACGAGCGTACTACAAGCCTTCCAGGAGCGTAGGACTGGCCTATACGCTCGGCTATCTGCTCCTGACCGGGCACTTCTTAACTGGCTCGCTGCTTAGTCGAGGATTGCCCAATGTGCTCTTGCCAACTCAGCATTGGACCGTCTGTCACTGGCTTGTGCCGTACGGCCCTGTGCTGTTAGGTAAAGACGCATGTAGGTAGGCTCTCGAAATGTTCATGCATAGTCATACAGATCTACGGCTTCGTGTCGACTTCTAAGGTGTTTATCGGGAGCTCCTTCCAACTATGTCTGAGGGCCCATGTACTCTTGCGGGGCTGCTTCCTTCTGTGACGAGCTCGCGTGTGCTGATCCATCTGAAAGATCGCTGTTCGACCTCTGCTCTTCTGCCGCCTTGCGCTCTTCGTCTCGCATGATTGGACTGAATGTGCCAAAGACGTCCTCGTCGTCTTCCCCGTATGCATCGCGAACAGGCACGACTTTTGAGAGTGTGACGTGCGTGACAAAGGCGATGGAGAAGCCGAGCGGCCACGCCATTTCGTACAGTCTATACCAGCCGATAGCGACCATGAAAGTCGGTTTGACCGCCATGACAAAGCCTGGCATCAGGAATCCGCAACCAAAGGCGAATGCGACGAACGCGCGGAAATTGAAGCCAGAAGTGAACCAATAGATCGAGGCATTGCCTGGTGTGAAGAGATGCGTCAGCCTGAGATGCCGCCGCCGTACTACGATATAGTCTGCGATGAGCACGCCCGTGATGGGCGCAAGGAAGACGGAAAAGGAGCTCAGGACCTGTACGGCTGTCAGTCATACAGTTCAAAATGAAGGACGTCGAGCGTACAAGGATGAAGGTATTGGGCAGATTCAGAAGTCGCCATGGATTGTACGCGAGTCCAACGCACGCGACGAGGAAGGCACCACGCCTGATTGTAAAGACAGTCGGCAGTAGGCCGGAGAGATCGATACCTGCAGTGATAGCATTGCTCGCAGTGTTGAGCGACATCTGAATGATAACCCAAGGCACGGCGGCGAAAAAGCAGGCTGCCCTCGCACCGCTGGAGCCGCCACTTTCGTCCTGGACTGCCTCGAGCAGATCGTAGGGTAGCCACAACAGAGGCCGATCAGGGTAGAAGCCCGCAGCTGCGCTAGTGACAATGAGGCCAATGACTGAAGTGATGATGGCGGTGAACGGAACTGCGAATAGTTGCGAAGCAATTTGATCCCGCGGCTTGCGGGCGTAGCGTGCAAAGTCACTTTGATTGAGTGCAGCAGATGCTGCTCCGCCTACAGTCGAGGAGATCCCGTAGACCATGGTCCAGACAAGCTCGCTGCCCGTCGGTACCTCTGAAGCGCCTGAGAGCTCTGACGGTCGACTTAGCAGAGGTCCACCGCCACCCTGCTTTGCAAGTGCCCAAATCAACAGAGAGAAGCTCGAGAGTGTGACGCCTATGGTGGCGACTGCGAATGGGATCTTGTACCGCTCCGGTCGGATAAGGATGGCCGGCAAGGAAAGAACGAAAAAGACAATGACCGCAATGAGCTGCGAAGTCGTGATCCCTGCATTGTCCGGCAGAGTGTTCCGTAAGGTATAGAAGGAAGGCCAGATGGCTCCGATGCAGATGCGCAGCATGTAGCCGCCAAATACCAAGTTTTCGCCAAAGAAGATGATGGCGAGAATGATGCGAATGATGAGAGGAAAGTATGCGCCTAGTGTGCCCCACGAGCCTCTTGCGATGACGGCAAAGGGTATATGCCATTCTGCCCCGGGCAAGCCGGCCAAGACGAGGGCGAGGGCGAGAATGAGGTTGCCGAGGACGACACAGATGATGGCTTGCCAGACATTGAGACCGAGACTGAACAGTGCACTTGCAGCGCCCCACTGGCCGAGGTTGATGGCGGTACTCAGCCAGTAGGCGACAAAAGTCCAGGGACCCCACGTCCGTCTTGACAGAGGCAAAGGGGCAATGTCGGGTCCGACAAGAAGCGAAGTTCTGTAGTAAGCATCCGGTGAGCTTTTGACGATGATGGCATCCGTCAGTCGATGTCGCAGTGTTTGAGGGTCTGCTGTTCGAGAGCTGAAGGATGAGTCGTATTTGCCATGCGAGTCGGCTACTTCGTCAAACATGTGGTTGCCTTCCGCCATCGTGGCCATTTCTGCAACACTCGGCTTTTGCTCCGAGCGCGAGTAGCAAGGGAGCTAGCTCTGTCAAGGATCTCGTCCCTCTACAGAGGTGGGCCGACTTTCAGAGCTTGCATGGGCTTGGCAGGCACACGATGCGGCCTTAATCAGATCAGAGAAAATCCAGCGAGCGTGTTTCGCGAGATCGATTGCCATTATCGATCAGCGATCAGATAGATTTGTTTGCCGAACTCTGCCACGTCAACGCTCGCTGTTGCAGTGCCGAGCGATGGCGAGATCTGCCAAAGTGCGCTATCGCTCGCTACGTAGCTCGCTCGTCAATCTTCCGCTGTCTATCCATGGCCCATTGGTGTCCAGGGGCGTGGTAGGTTGTTCCCGCTGACTCGCATTTGAGCGCTGAAGATGCTCTACAGGCGCCTCAAAACCTCGTCGTCGAACTCAGTTGGCGCAGCGAGACGACTCAGTCTATCAACGAGCTCACAAGCAAAGTACCCAAAGTTCGAGCCTATCTCGGCTGGACCGGTCTGTCTAGCTCGGTCACGTTTGCCTCGAATGCTTCGACTTCGTCGTCTAGCAATGACCTCATCGAGCTCGACCCACAGCTCGGCAAGGAACTTGCGCTACCCGAAGGCACACAAGTCAGCATTAGTCTATTGACGACTCTATCGACCGCACAATCCATTGGCATCAGCCCGCTCACGCCTGATGACTGGGAAATCCTCGCTCTGCATGCAGAGTCAATCGAGACCTCTTTTCTCAATCAAGTCAGGGCAGCTAGCCCAGGAGGCATAGTCTGTGTATGGCTCAAGGCGCTTCACGGCGCCGGAGCAAGCAACCGCACGCTGTTACGCTTCAAAGTTGGTAAGTCGCTCGCGAGCACGGACGCGTCTTGCGCTCATTCGTGAGAACAGACACCGTCGAGCCTGCGACAGACCGCGCTGTGAGGCTCTCAAATGACACCGAAGTCGTCGTTGCGCCTAAATTACGTGCACCTGAGCCGGTGCCGCTAGCTGCATCGCAATCAGAGGCCACTCCTGCGCGTCAATCCGATAGCGACAAAGCGCTTGCACTGAAACGGGCTACCTCGCAGCTATTGCGCGTGCTGCCTTCAGAACTGGCTGGATACTCGACACAAGATGGCGAGCGCGAAGATGAAGACGCGGCCTCACACGAGCGGACTGCCCTCGTTCATCCTGCCCTTTTCAAAAAGTTGCTCTACGTCTTTCCCAGCACAAAGTGTGCTCTTCGCTTCGTGCCCCGGCCAAAGGCACCGTCAACACAGCAAACAGCTGCTTCTGCGTCTACCAGCTCTGCAGAGCAGCCCCAGCGGCCGCTGTTGCCCACGGCTGACATTTTCTTAGCCGCTTCAACTAAGGTCCCACAGGACCATATTTGGCTGCCGCGTCCAGTGCAGACAGAGCTCGCCCTCGATGAAATCTGGTACCCCTTAGTGCGACTTCTCGCGCCAGCAGCCGCCACGCCTAGCCGATCTGCAAAGGACGCCTCTGCAGCCATGCTGAGCCCCTCAGCACAGCCCGTTACGCCAGGAGTGAATGCGAACTCAGCAAAACAATCCAAAAGTGTCCAGCTATGCGGGGTCGATGTCATGTTGGACAAGGCCGTCCGCTTCGTCTTACACACCTTTGCGACTCGACAGGACGGATCGCGGACTGCTGGCCTGCTTCTGACCGGCTCATCAGGCGCAGGCAAGACTGTCATCGCGCGAGAGCTTGCCAGACGACTCGAACGTGATCCTAGCATACTCGCCTCGACGAAATATGTCGATTGCAGCAAGATGGTCGATGAGCGGTTGCAAGTCTTCAAAGACAATCTGAACGAGTGGATCGATCAAGCGCACTGGCATGCACCTGCCGTCATCATACTCGATAATCTGCATCGCTTGCTGCCTGGCGAAGTAGAGCATATCGACTCATTCAGGTCCTTGCACTATGCTTCTGTCTTTCTGGCGGCGTTCGACGCCGCACTCAGGCGTCGGCCGATCGTGCTCATTGCCACTGCAGATAGCTCGACGAGTCTGCACCCTCTCTTGCTGACTAGCCACTTGCTGGGCGAGAAGATCAATCTGCCGGCTCCGAATAAGATCGCTCGCAGAGATGTAAGCGCATTTCTACTAGTTCATACTGATCTGACAAAGTTTGTAGCTGCTGCGATCACTAGCAGAAGGCAAAGCAGTGTCTTCGGATCTCAATGTAAGCAGTCTGGACTATGTGACGCTCTCGACAACGACAGACGGCTACTTACCGGCAGATTTGAGAGACCTTGTCGATCGAGCTGTCCAGCAAGCAGCCATTCGATCGGCCTCGTCGAAGGCGCCTGGTCTCAGTCTACTAGTCTCAGACTTTGAGACGGTGCAGAAGGACTTTGCGCCTCTGTCTTTGCGCGACGTCAAGTTGCACAAGTCGGATGTCAAATGGTCAGACATTGGCGGCCTTTCAGAGACGCGCAGAGTTTTGCGAGAGACCCTCGAATGGCCAACAAAGTATGCTGCCATATTTGCGTCTTGCCCCCTTCGACTTCGCTCTGGCCTGCTCCTGTATGGTTTCCCGGGTTGCGGCAAGACTTTGCTCGCTTCTGCCGTCGCACAGGAATGCGGTCTCAATTTTATCAGCGTCAAAGGACCGGAGATCCTCAATAAGTACATTGGCGCAAGCGAAAAGTCGGTGCGTGACTTGTTCGAACGAGCATCGGCTGCGAAGCCTTGCGTACTCTTCTTCGACGAGTTTGATTCGATTGCACCCAAGAGGGGGCATGACAGCACGGGCGTGACCGATCGAGTCGTCAATCAGATGCTTACACAGATGGACGGAGCAGAAGGTCTGGATGGCGTCTACGTGCTCGCTGCGACCAGTCGACCTGATCTTATCGATCCCGCCCTGCTTCGGCCTGGACGATTGGACAAGTCATTGTTGTGCGACATGCCGACTTTTGGCGAAAGAGCGGAGATCATGCGAGCTTGTTCCCGCAAGATCGAGATGTCGCCCGATGTCGACTTGTATGAGCTTGCAGAAGCGACGGAAGGCTTTACGGGCGCAGATCTACAAGCGCTCATATACAATGCTCATCTCGACTGCATACATGCTTCGATTCCTGCTGTCAATGCTGTCGATAGCGAGAGCAAGACAGACGAAGGCGAGGATGGAGTGAAGTACATCACCTTTGGGCCTTCGAGAGCCTCAAATGGCACGACTGTGCTGTCTCGGGCGGAAAAGGCTAAGGTCTCTCAGCGATTAGAAGTGATTATGACCAATCTCAAGACAGCAAATGGCGGACAAGACCGACAGATCAAGGCGATCTCAGCACCGCATAAGAACATAGTCACGCAAGATCACCTTCGCAAGTCTCTGCAAAGTACACGACCGTCTGTTCCACAAGAGGAGATCTACCGCCTCAAGGCTATGTGCGTTCCCATTGCTATCGGCAATGACGCAAGCTAACGATCTACTCAGATATGAGCAGTTTGTGTCCGGCCGCAGTGCGAATGGACTGCAATCCGGTGAAGCGAGTGGCGAGATCGGCGGTCGCGCTACTCTGGGGTAGCGAGGAGAGTCGAATGCAGTCTCATGTCGCCTCGAGAGTGTCAAGTGCCTTTGAGACGCGCTTCCTACGCTTCTTCAATCGCGCGTCGAGCTGTTCGATATCTGCCAGTGTCATCTCAAGCTCATTCTCCAACCTCGTCATGATCTCGTCAAAAGTCAGGCGCTCGCCCTGACCGTATGCTCCATCGTCATCGATGCGCGCACGCTTCGATTGATGGTCTAATGTATCGTCTGAAATGACCGGTCGGGCTTTAGGATGAGGCAATGCTTGCGTATCATCTTGCGCTGCCAACTCCTTTCGCTGCTTCTGTACGCGGGCGTGTATGGCTAGGCTGACAGCATGCCTTCGCGATAGTATCTGACGAGTCAGATCACTGCGCAACTTCTCTAGACCGGGGTGATCTCTGTCAGTCGACTCTGAATGAGCTCCATCACAAGCTAAAGTGTGAGTCGCCGACAATTTACTAGACCCCTTGCCGAATACTTTCTCGCTCGCCGTCCGGACTTGCTTCTGCGTGACCGTGTCCACAAAGACAGACCGTGCGAGCAATGCAGAATCGTAGATACTCTTTGTAGACACTCGCTCTTCCATTGCCGCGAATCCCCGGGTTGACGTCTTGACGCGCGGCGCGTGCAAGGAGGAGAACGTGGCGATCTCCGCAGTCGGTGAAGTCGCCGCTGGCCTCGGCTTGGCTGCCTGCCAATCAATTGGGGGCGCGATCTTCGCCACTGGCAAATCGATTTCTTTCAGCGCCGGTACCGCCAAGCAACCCTTGCACGTAGTCAACAAAGGCGCAGACGTAGGCAAGTGGGCTCCTGAGCTGTCGTCTTGACTATGGGCTAATGCTGAGCCTCGCTCAAAGCTAAAGGCAAGAATCAAGCTACTACGCTCCCTCTGCACTCCTTCATCAGAGTGAGATAACCGGTCTAGCAAGCGTGCGTCGCTTTCTCATCGTCTTGTTGGTCTGCAAGCTCACGTTCGCAGTAGCCTAGCATCTCCAGTTGCTAGGATGGCCGCCATTGCCGATGCAACACTCAGGCAGCGTGGACCTGGCCTCAAGCCTGAAGCGCAGCTCTCACGTACTGCTTCCACCGTCTCCGTGACCTCAGACTCTGGCGCCTCGACAGGTTCGAGCGACAGCGTCGACTTTATCCCGCCCACCTTCACCATCAAGGAGCTGCTGGGCTGTATACCCAAGCATTGTTTCGAGCGCTCAGCACTCAGATCGGGTTCCTACATCGCCGCTGATCTCGCCCTCATCGCCATGTGGGTCTTTGCCGCGTCCCACATCGACGCGCACTTCAGCAAGCAAGGATCGGTCCTCGATGGCGTTCTTGGCCAGTTTGTCGGCTACGCGCTTTGGGCCGGCTACACGTTCGGCGCTGGTCTCAATGCTGTCGGACTATGGGTCATTGCCCACGAGTGTATGTCTGCTTGCTAGTACAAAAGCCTCTCTGACAATGACTGCAGGCGGACATCAAGCATTCTCGCCATCAAAGACGATCAACAATGCTGTCGGATGGGTTCTCCACTCTGCTCTCCTCGTGCCTTACCACTCGTGGCGCATCAGCGTATGTCACACGTCTCTTGTCAGTCCGTATCTGATGCTAATGCGCACGTGTCACAGCACGCAAAGCACCACGCTGCTACGGGACACATGACGCGAGACCAAGTCTTTGTGCCCAAGACACGTTCTCAGCGCAAGATTGCCCCTGCCTCAGAAGGCGAGCTCAAGGCACAGTCAGAATTCTTCGAAGGTATAGCACATGCCACGACTCAATGACCTCAACTGATTAGCTTGCAGGCAACGAGTCTGCTTTTGAGAAACTAGATGACTTGCTCGAGGATGCACCTATCTGGACACTTCTCAACCTGATCGTTCAGCAACTCTTCGGCTGGCCTGCTTATCTCATCGTCAATGCTTCCGGCCAGAAGCTCGGCAGATGGACCAATCGTGCGTCTCTGCTGCGCTCGTCAGGGGCTGTATTGAGAGATCTGCAGACTTTGACCCCAACTCGCCCATCTTCACTGCTCGCCACACCAAGCAGATCATCGCGTCTGACATCGGTATCGGTCTCACCGTGGCTGCGCTGACTACGTGGGCACACTACGCCAGCTGGACTGACGTGGTGCGGTACTACCTCATCGTCAGTATTCGCTTCTTACGTTATTTCCCCGTACTGACCGAATTTGCAGCCTTATCTGTGGGTCAACCATTGGCTTGTACTCATCACGTACTTGCAACATACCGACCCGACGCTGCCTCACTACCGCGAAGGCGCTTTCAACTTTCAGCGAGGCGCACTTTGCACGATGGATCGCAACGTCTTCGGTCTCGCTTTCCACGGTATCGCAGAGACCCACATCTGCCACCATCTCTGCTCTGCCATTCCTCACTGTATGTCTTGGTCCTGTGCGAGCAATGTACAATCTGATCCTCTCTTGCAGACAATGCGTGGGAGGCGACAGAGGCTTTGAAGCAGAAGCTCGGCCCGTACTACAACAAGTCTGACGAGTTCTTCCTTACATCCCTCTGGAATTCATACAGTCAGTGCCGCTTCGTCGAGGACGAAGGCGACATTGTATTCTATAAGAACAAAAATGGCAAGTCGATTCGCAAGGTCGCTCGTAGCGATTCGAGCGATAGCGGCACCGACTTGGCCGAGCCCGCTCAAGACGATATCATCTGAGCGCTCATAGACGCCTCGTGGGATCGTGGTAGATGGACGACCATTGCATGCGCATAGAGCAGCGCTATATCCAATGCATGTGTTGGCATGACAATCAGGCGCGCATCACTTCTCTTCACAAAGCGTTTTCAGCTGCGAGACTTCTACGCATGCAAGTGCATTAGTTTGTGCAGGTACCTAGATAGATGGATGGCCGGAGACTCGCGTGCCGACGTTGAGACGGTGGACCCGATTCTTGAGATGCACTTCGAAGTTGGCGAGCGATTCTCCTGGCCCTGGCACGTAGAGCTGTGCATGATACACCAGTGTCAGCGCATACCTACGAAAGAGCAAGGTTGTCGCTGACCTTGCCGGGACAGTCGAGACACTTGAGACGCCATTCTCGAGGTGCAAGCGGATCGGGAGGCTTCGGCCTCGGTATGATGTCGAACCGATCGTCCGGTTTTGCAGCCCGCAATTCTGCAGCTGCAGCGAGCATCCATACCGGGGGAGCGTCTTCGGTGATGAGCGATGGCATGGGCTTCTCTATCTGCGCTGGCTTGATATGTAGCGCAGTCTTGGGACTCGCTGATCTTGATGAGCCAACAGACGACGAACTGGGCGCATACGGCTGCAGATGAGGTGAGTGATCGGGCTTGTGGCTGGCAGCCTGCTTGCTCTGAGCCTTCTTCGCACCTTCCTCGTCGGTATCGAGAACAGAGCTTCCACGCGAAGAGCTCGCTGTCGATGCTGGCACGGAAGGCATCCCATTGACAGCGCGGGAGCTCGCTGTCGGCGTGATTTCTGGCTCTTCGACAGGCAAAGGCGTCAGCGGCTCGCTCACTTCTCGCTTGGGCTCGCGCTTGGGTACGATCGTAGGCGGCGCCGCGTTGCGAGCAGGCGGCTTCTCTTGCTGATACGGCATTGGCGTGGGTAAAGTCGGCACCGCTGTTTTGGCTTGCTTGGCTCTGAGTCTGTCCAATTCCGGCTTGGACAGCAAGCTCAGGTGGTAATCAGACGAGGTACTGTAGTCTGTCTCGCGATGTCGCCTGAAGCGGTTGTAGTGCTTGCCGCATGCGCCACAGAGCGATATCTGACCATCTGGACCTTTGCGTCGCCCCAGAGCAGCACCATCGGGGGCACCACAGTTGCCACAGTGCCACACACCATCGATGATGTGAGGATGTAGGTTGCTTGTCAGAGTGGGCGCCTTGACTTTCTTCTTCGCTGCAATTGCGCCCAGCTCCGTCTGACGTGATGGACGAGGCGAAGCGCCATTGGACATATTCGGCGGGGGTGACAGTGTATCTCGCAAGGCTTCCGAGTCTCTGGCGCCACGCTTCCGTCTGCGTAACTTCGAAGGACGCAGATCGTCCAGATCCGGATAAGCGTCACTGATGATCGATGCCTCGCGCGTGGGGTCGATGCCAGCTCGCCGCGCACGCCGCGTCGCTCTTGCACTGATCTCGCCATTATTGGCTACAGGCGGCCGAGCGATTGCAGACGCATGATAGACGTAGGTTTCGAGTTCGGCATCGTAGTCTGACCTGGCCATCGTCGCGCCTGGCGCGGGCAAGAGCGTACGGGCTGTTTTGAGTGGATCTCGGTCTGGCAAGCTGACGACATTGCGGCGACCCCGCGTTTGACGGCGATTGCGCCTGATTTCCTTCTCTCGCTCCTTTTCGTTGCGATCAAGCTCGTCGGGCAGAAGCTGGTCGAGCCTAGGAGTGAACTCGGAAGGATCATGTCGATACGGCTCAGTGACAGGCGCAAGGAAGGCGTAACGTAGCTCGTCGTGTGTCACTTGACTACCTGGCCTATGATCGATCAGGCCGAGCGATTTGACAAAGGCGTCGATCTGCTCGCGAATGCTATGCGCTATGGCCGTCTTGTAGTCGCCAGCGAGTCCAAGATCGGCAGCATAGAGCTCTGCAAAGTCTTCCGGTACGTTTTTCGGGTCGCTGATGTCCCATTCGAACTGATCCAAAAGCTGGATACAGTCCTGTGTGATATCAAGCTTGACGAGGATGCGTAACTCTTCATCGGCACAGACCGGCACGACAATGTCCGCGAGATTTTGCGTTTCGCCAACATGTTTGCTTTGAGCTGCTTGCCACCACTTCCATTCCTCGGCGTCGAGTCCCTGATCGGCTTCGTGGTCGCCATAGACATTGCCTTCGTAGCTGACGCGCCTACTATCTTCTAGTTGCTCATTGATGGCAGAAGCGATCTGCTGAGCAAAGAGGGAAGGCGGCAACTTCATGTCCTCGCATAGCGTGTTGGCAAATAGCTCTGGTGTGATGAGCGGGTCGCGCAAATTCCACGTAAATGTGTCCCGCAGCTTGAGACCTTGCACTTCGATATCAAGCCTGATGGGGCAAAGCAGCTCGTCTTCATCGGCAATATGCCGCAACTGTGCTTTGGTGCTGTAGCATGCTATCAGCTCGATGCCACGACGAATTCCTCGGAGCATGCGCACAATTTGAATTCGCCTCTCGGTCCACGCTTGCCTGCTTGTCTTTCTCGGCGCCGATCGGCAGGCCACTTGATACGCAGCTTGCGCTCTCGACTGATCTGGGCAGGATCCCCCAGCCAGTCATCTGAGCGAGCCCATATCTCCGATATCTCAGCAAATTGACGCTTCATCGCATTCTGATCGCGCGCCAGGACATGTGTGTACTGAAGATCCCTCGCTATCCACTCTGGCAATTTGCCCTTCTGGACGTCATTGAATTGTGCTAGCTTCTCGCCTCGCTTCATGGGCGTGCGATGAGTCAAGAAGGGCGCCTCAGGCAAGCCTTGGCGGGCTGGCCTGGCAGGCGCGTCAGGAAGAGCGGATGTAGATGCGATGGGTAAGTGTTGTTGCTGTTCTTCTTGGCGTGATATCGGTGGTGGTATGGCAGCGGCAGCATATGCTCCTTGTGTTTGAGGTATCTGGACATGCAGAGCTGGCGGCGGTTGCCGCACCTGCTGAGGCGCGCCTGCAGGCGGAACGGGCGCTTGTTGTGAGTACGGGGCGGCAGGTGAGCTCGATGACGCAACAGGCACCGGACCAGCATTGTGGAGCATCTGCTGTTGCGCCATGCGCTGACGCTGATAGGCTTGCATGGCGTCAAAATTAGGCCCGCCGTCAGCTTGAGCGCGAAAGCTTTGCTGCTGCTGTTGCTGCTGCTGCTGCTGCATCAGCATCATCTGCTGTTGCTGATGCTGTTGCTCGGTCGTCATGTTCTGCCTGAGCTGAGCTTGGCGTGCCATAGCGAGCAAGTGCTGAGTGTGCGCTTGCTCGGGTGACATGGCCGCAGTCGCGTCGCTCATGGCTCGTTGTTGTTGCTGCTGCTGCTGCTGCATTGCATAGTGCCTCGCTGCGTCTGTGAGACCACTCGGCTGCAGCTGCAGACTGGCAAGCGGTGGAGCTGGCAGATTGGGGTTCGAGAAATAGCGTTGAGCGAGCGCATCCGTGCCCAAGACAGGCGACGGGGCAGGCGGCCGGGCGCTCGTCATGCTCGCTGTGACTGCTCTACCGCACGACTGACCAGTGCATGCTCCTCCAAAACTGTAGAAGAGACGTACATTAGCTCCATGTCAGACCGTGAGACAGGCAGAGCGAGTCGTTGCCGGGGAGTGAGGTAAAGGCAGAGAGAGGGGCGAGGAATAGCCGAATAGTGAAACATCGATAGCGTCGGGCCGCGGCGATTGTCTGGTGAAGCTGATCGCTCTTCAAAGAGTGACGAGCCAAACGTCGAGCCATCATCGGCCTCGGCTGACGTCAAGAGGGGTGTTTGGTCGGACTAGCGCGTGAAGCGAGGCCACATGACAAGCACTGCGGCTTCTCCTCCTTCTCCTTCTTCTTCCTTTCTTCTCTTCTTCGAGAAAGCAGACACGGAGTCCGGGGCAGCATCGGAACGAACGAGCACAGAGCGCTTTGTCCCGGTCGAGGATATGCGTGGCTGTCTCCGAGGCAAGTGCTTTCTCTCCTGGAGGAGAAGCAAGAGAGAGAAGGAGAAGGAAAGAAGATCGAAGAGAAGGAGAAGATAAGAAGCACCGAGACCGACCTGAGTCACGGATCTTCCCTTTCAACAAACCGCCTCCGCCCGCTTTGGTTCTTCGCAGCTGTGCCTCGCCTCTCGACTCGACAATTCTCGGTCAAAACTCGGTTTTAATTAGGCCACACGCGCGCTGTCCGCGCCCCGGTGAATGCAAAATGGCCGATCTGATTCTCGAGCGGATGACGAATGAGCACGAGCGTCCGCCGAAGTTTGTTTGTTGCCGGGCTAGCTGTCCTCTTGGCTGCTGCGATTGCATTCTCCCGGAGAGAGATGGCGGGCAAGCAAGCTCTGAATGTATACGGACAGCAGCTAGCGAAATGCTCTGTCGATCCCAAGCTTACTACTGGATTTTACCGGCACGTCCGCCCTTATCTCTTTTCCTCGGCCCACACTGCTTACCTCTTCTCGTGATGCAACAGTGACGGCTTCTGTAACACCGGTCCGGAAGATCGAGGCAAGCATACCGTTGCTGCCATCGTCTCGGATGAGTGGCTCCAATTCAGCAAGAAGAGAGGCAACGATCTCACTCAGGCCTTTCCTCCTATGTTCCCCGGACTCAAGGACGGCTGCCGGTGGTGTCTCTGCCAGGATCGGTTCAAGGAAGCGCTAGATGCCTTTCGCGATCAGACAGATGGATCTCTCTCCGAACGAGTCGTTCCCAAAGTCGTCCTTGCTGCCACACACAAGAAAGCGCTAGAGACGATCTCGCTGCCCGATCTGGAGATGTATGCTATCGACAAGCGTCAGTGACGACCCTGCATGCGCTCCTGACGCGCTCTGTTGTCGCGAATCAATAATGCACAGCGGTTTGAAGGACGTTGACGCGCCGACGGTCACTCTCGCTTCTCGCCTCAGTCGTCCGCTCACTGCGACTGTCCGTCTCGCCCATGGAGGTCGTCCGATCACCGCACCAACTCGTATGCCCTTGCCTTTCAAGTGTCGTGCATACTGACGAGGCATGGCAGGGACATGTCTTGACGAGATCACAGATCGGTGTGCTCCTCGTGGGCATGGTCGGCCTACTGCTCACCCTCGGTCTTGTCATGTCCTGCTTGCGAGCCAGAGCTGCTTCCAGACTCAAGGACCTCGAAGCTTCGAGCGGTCATGCTCTCTCGCGCACAAAGACTTGCGGTCTAGACGGCCCTGACAGGATGACTTTCCGGCAACGACTTGGTTTCGGCAGACCTGTACAGGCGCAGGAGACGTACCATGACGATCTCAAAGCATGGACAGAAGCGACCAAGCTACCCCGATCGCTTTCTCGTGCTACTCAGCTCCAAGCTAGCTTTGTCCAACTCGATCGACACATGCAAGAGCGAGCAAGACAGAAATCAGATGACGAATTGCTCGATATGGCGTCGGATGTCGATTCACCTCGTTTCGCTCCTGGCTTTGCACCCACACGAGCGTCTCAGGGCGAGTCAATGCTCGATCTCGGATCGCCACCTCCCTATCCCTTTCACTTTACTGCCGTCACCCGTCACGCGTCAATGCAAGATCTGTCGCAGCATCAGACAAAGTCAAGTCGAATGCACAAGAGTCGCTCGGAAGGATCACTACAGCATCCTGCTCGTCAGTCTCAATTGTTCATTACTGCTTCTGGCGGAAGAAAGTACTCGCAGTCTTCACAGCTCCATCGCGGTACTCGTACCCTGCGTCAGTCTCTGGCCGGTGAGCCTCACAGTGGCAAAAAGGTCCAATCGCAGGTCCACTACGCCGGCGGTGCACCCCTTCGACGTACACAATCTGTCACTCGTGGCTTGTCAAGTCAGTCTGATCCGTCAGAGCTTACGAACGAGCTTGCAACGTCGATCAAGGCCTCGAAGAGCATGGCAGATCTCTCGCTCGGTCACCCCCGTCCTGTCGCTTCGCATCGCCGCGTCAGTGGACATCATGTGCCCGCGGAGCCTGCGAACATCCGCAAAAGTCGTTCTTGTCAATCGCTTCGCATGCCGCCTCGTTCACAGAGTGCAGGCTCGCACGCGCGTCTGTCCGCTTCTGTCAGTCCGACCCATCTTCACTCAACTCAGGCTAGCTTTCTCACACCTACTATCGAAGAGGACTAGGGCTGCAACGGGAATCTTGTCCATGTATGTCAATGAAACCAGATTAGGCTTGTCATAGTCGCATCGAGTACATATCGCTCAAAGCTAGACAACATACACGTACGGTCTAATACAGACCGGTATACAGATCAAGAGATGACCTTGACACAGCTGAGTGTCTCGCAGAAGGAGCAAGAGCCCGTCGGATTCTGCCTGAAGTAGACTGTGAAATTTCTCTGAGTGCCGTCTTGATGCATAAGATAGTATCGTTTCCCGATCTGCAAGTAAGCGTGCAGCTGACACTCTATCGCTTCCTCTCCCGCTAGTATCCCTCCTTGCCCTACGGGTGCAATGGCCAGATGACCCAACTCGCATTGACCTTGACCGGTCTCTTCATCCCAAGACTCAGACAGCGCGAGCCAGCCTCGAAAAGCGCCGAGTGACAGACTGTGCGCAAGCGTCTCGCCCGGTTTGGCAAAAGTGTAAAAGTAGAGCCAGGCAGTCCATCTGGCCCAGAACTGTCTGATGACGCTCGGATCGGCTCTTGTCTGCCTGGGTAAGCCCATGACTTCGCGGATCTCGGCAGTCTGGTTCGCATCGCCTTCGTCGCTGTCCTCTGACGAGTACGATCTCCGCCTCGTGCTGACCATATCGCGGGGCAGGTCGAGGCGTGGGCTTGCAAGGGAAGAGCACGCTTCGAGAGCAAGTCAACGCCAGTCGCGTATCGCGTCAAGAGCGAGAGCAGGCCAGTCCAGTCCACCATGCAGACACTCACCGTCTTGCCAGACTGTCAGTCTCTTCCCCTGGCCAGTATCTCTCAGCTGAGTCGTACACACAGATCTGCGCACTGCGGCTTGGACTCGGCTCGTGCGGCTACCTCATCCGAGTACAGGCGCGCCCAGTCTGCTCTGTCCGTCGCAGAGGCCTCTTACATGGCTGCGCAGGCGGACCTGCTCTTTTCCTGCTCTACAAGACCGCAGCCGGAGATGGCATACTCGAGCTGCAAGCCATCAAGCCAGACGAGCACGAGAAACGAAGTTGGTTCGTCGGCAAAGAGACCGTTTGCTCAGGTCAGACGACGCAGACCAGTGGGTTTTGGAGCTCACGAGCATTCGGACCTGACAGATGGTCGACTGCTTCTCTTTACGCCTATCGACGCGGTTTATCTGCTCGTGCGCGTGCTCGAGGCGGCTCAATCGACCAACAAGAGCTTCTTGCCCCTTGGCGACATCTTTGGAAGTGCAGCAGATCACCTCGGCTTCACTGGCAAAGAGGCTGAAGACTTTGTACTACAATCGAGTGATATAGCTGCACTCGAGCATCTCACTTGCGTCCAGGGCGCACTCGAGAAGCTATGCGACGCACGAGGTAGCTATAAATCGTGTGGATCACTGAAAGCTCAAGACTCAGCCGGCTGCGCAGATCTCGGAGGCGAATTGAAGGCGTATCGTTTATCAGAGAGGCGCTTGTGCGATTACTTGGCCGCGCGCGTCGAGATGATTGCCAGGTCGCCAGCTTTCGCGACATGTGGCGCTCTCGTCAGCGGCCTGAGCAAGGCAGGCATTCACACGAGTGAAGACTGTCTCGGCGGCCCAACTGACATCAGCGATATTGTCAAGCAACGTATGTCCCGACCGTGTCTGCTCGCATTAGCATCAGAGCTGACGACACCCTGCGCTGGTAGAGGCCAGAGAGCAAATCGCCATTCAACTATTGAGTCAGTATCTCTCGCCTGAGCACCAGACCCTGCTTCGTGACCGCTACAAGTGAGTCTTGTCTCTAGCGCCAATATCTCAGCGCTGATCAGAGCGACAGACACGAAGAGCTAGCTCAGCATCTCGAGCGGGATTCGATCACAGCAGAGCTCCTCACGCATATGCCAGGTCTGCGCAAACCGCTCGCGCACGAGAATTCGAATCCATCAGAGGGCTTGCCGGACGGACCCGCTTTTCACAAAACGTCTTCTGGTGCAGGCCTGGCTGCAGCGAAAAAGAAAGCCAAACCTCTGGTGTCGTCTGGTGTGGCTCGGCTCGCCAAAGTCAACACAAGTAGAGTGCACAAGCTCAGCAGTTTCTTCACGAAGAAAGGTACGCCGCCATCGGCCGGTGCGACGCCAGAGAGCGAATCGCAGAACCCGCTCGATGAAGTCAGAGATGGATCGCAAAGGAGTGCATCGCAAGACAGTGCGACGAAAGATGCACCCGGCTCATCGGCGAACGAGCCCACATCTTCCGTACCTATGACCGCGCCTAGCGCGGGTGCAGCTGCATGATTGAGACCTATGCATTCAGTGTGACATATACAAGTCATGATAACCCCGGAAAGACGAAAAGACAAGCAGAGGGCAATGATATACTGGCCGATATGTTGAGTCCGCATCAAGCGGGTGTATCGTTCTCGCGGTCGGATCTGTAGACGCGGAGCCTGACTTTGTCGATACAGATCTCGAAGCCATCGCCAGTTGCGACGGAGGGTGATGCCATGGCTTCGTAGGACGGCTTGAGGTTGACCGGGTCCAGTCGTGTCCAACCATATCTGTGCTGAACCTGCGGGTGCATCGACGTCCATCAGTCAAAGTCCGCACAGATGAAAAGGACGAGCAGACTTCGGGTTTCTTGTGTGGCGCAATGACGACAAGATAATCCGCTAGACGTGCGAGCTCCGAGCAGACCGACCAGAGCTGGCTGCTCGAGGTGATCAGGTGGAGTGCGAACGAGCAGAAGATGATGTCGAATCGTTTGTGCGAATTGGGCTGATAGAGCGATGAATTGGCATCCGATAGTGGCTCGCTCTCGAGTATGCCACTTGCGATCTCCATGAAACTGTGCTCCATACACTTCATGCCCGTCCTGGCTTCATAGGCTTTAGTGGTGTAGGGATCCGTCGCGGCGATACTGAGTTTTGCCCGCGGATAGTGCTGGAACATGGCCACGCCGGAGCCTGAGAAACGTGTCTTCTGCCAGTCCTTGAGTGCTAGCGTGACCTCGCCTGATCCGGCTGCCAGGTCGAGTATGCTGATCGAGTGTTTGGCTTGTGATGCCACTTGAGAATAATATCTGTCCATGAAGGCGCTGATGACCTTCCTGATACCTTCAGTATGATGTGCCGTGTTCTTGTACTTGCCGCCCGACTGCCTGTAGTACTCCTCGGGCCCGATGGTCTCGTAAATCTCCCTCATACTCGCCGCCGGCTCACTCGATTCGTCCTCTTCTCTATCGACCGCAGTGGATTCACTCAGCCGAGATTCGCCAGAGATCGAGCGTGCAGATGATCCGGAAGCCTTGGGAGACCGATAGGCATAGTCTATGGTGAGCGACATGTCGAAGGGATTGCTACGCCTGCCGGAATTACGTCGCTCTCCGTGGAGCTCGTCCCCGTCAATTTATATTTTTAGCTGTGCCTGGGCTCCGTCGCCTCTCCGCACTCTGAATCGTCCTGCGCCCGGCTCCTTGCTCTTCGTCCGCGTTCGGATCCAGCCCGCTCGACCGTGTCTATGTCTCCATTCAGCGATTGCATACCGCTTCTGCTCTCTCGTCGGATGGTGGCTCCGCCCGAGCTGCCAAGCCTGGATCCTGGCAACGGCCCTGACGCCGAGACGAGCTGACGTTTCATCCCTACATGACCTGGCGTCCCTTGTGTTCGTCCTGTCCGCCCGCCGTTCAGCGCTTTGTCCACCGACCTATCTCATTAAACCGTCATGAAGTATCTCCCGCTGCTCTCGCTTGCTGGCCTCGCGACTGCGCGTCATCACGCCCATCATCGCCGTTCGCCTCAGCGATCTGGCATGTTGCCCAGCGGTCTCAACGGCAACAAACTCGCAGCTTTGCCCAGTTCTTGCATGCGACCACCCGTCGTCGGCTCGACGATCATCGTACCCGAAATGCAGCCCATCGTGGTCAAGTCAGTACGTGTCCGGTTTGTCGCTCTCCGGCTTCGATTGACATCTTGTTTGGCAAGGGCGAGGTCTTTGATGGCAAGAATCAAATGTACCAGTATGCCAACTCGGCCTGCAACATCAACGTTGAGGTCAAGGGCCTCAATGCTGCACCTTTCGTCATCCAGCCCGGCGGTACACTCATGAACGTCCACTTGGGTCTCAGTCAAGAGCAGATCCACTGTATGGGTAGCTGCAACATCACAAACGTGCATGCACATCAGCTGTGTGACGAGACCGTCTCCCTGCAAGGCGATGGCACGTCCTACATCACCTCATCAAGCTTCAGCCACGGCGCCAACAAAGGCATTCAGGTGAGCACTGTCGCCTACGTTGAGCGCGTCACTCACAACTGTCGCAGGTCGATGGCGATCAGACCGTCTACGTCAACAACGTGTGCTTTGATGATCTCAACATTGGCATTGCAACCTGCGGCAACTGCCGCAAAGAGAACGCAGTGACAAAAGGTCCGCTTCGCTTCGAACATCATGCGCCGGGGCTCACGACTTTGATTTAGGACGACATTTCGTCCTGAAGAATATCATCGCCAACGATGTTCATCAGGTCTCGACTTGCAACGAGAACTATCACGATACGGTCACGATCACTGGTCTGACCGGAAACTACCGTTCTTCAGTCAGTCAGACCACCTCAACAAGGATGGCCTTGCTGAGCGGGAGTCTTGCGATTGACAGTGCGATAGCTTCATTGGTAACTCCGTCGGCGCGCAACCCAAGAAGATCGGAATCGATATGGCCTCATCATGCTGCCTCATCAGCAATCTCAATTCGCAACACAGCCGCGGACCGAGCACGCCCTTTGCTGGACATCTAGGAGGAGGACAGCAGCCTGTCACGCCAGACGACAGTCCCAGCACGATTACACCCGTGACTAACACTCCGCCAACTCAAACAGCCAGCCCTGCGACCAAGATCCCGCCGACGCAGTCAGGCAAGCAATCCGGCACTACACCTCCAAAGCAGCCCTCAGCACCGGCCGGCAAGACGCCGCCGACCCGATCAGGCAAACCTGGCGGTGGCTCACCACCGACACAACCCATTGCGCCTACTGGTACCACGCCTACAACTCAGGCGGGCAAGCAGCAGCCTAGCCAAGGCGATGGTGACAACTGCGACTAGTCTGTATTCATCTTTCATACCGCGAGCTGGTCTCGTAGCAATAATGCATCTACGCTCGTTGATCGTACGCCCTACAGATCGACAGCAAGCAAAGCGCTGTGCTGCGTGCCGCTAGCCGCCCTGAGTACTTTCCGTGTCGTGAGCGCCTTGTTGCTGATCTTGGTAGGGGTAGCGTAGCGCTCCTGAGGTGCACCAGGCTCGTCGTCTGGCTCGCCCAGACCAAGCTGACCTTCTCCGTTCAGTCCGAAGCCGTACAGAGCACCGCTGTCTGCGACCGCGAGTGCTTGCCGTGCTCCTGCTGCGATCTGCACAAAGCGCTCCTCGCCAGGAAAGGTGATAGCGGTCGGGTAAGGCACGCACTTGTTGGGCACAGACACTGTCATCTTTGCCGTCATCGTAAGGTTGAACTTTTCGACTTCTGTGAGCGCCGAGCCGCTCGCTTCGAGCGAAGCGATTCGCTCTTCTTCCTTTTGTCCTGCAGCTTCCTGTGCTGCCTTTGCGTCTATTTGTCGTTGATTGGCATTGATCATCGCCTCGTGTGCGTCGGAAAGACCGCATTGACCATCGTCGCATCGACCACAAGCAAAGACGCGACCATCATCGAGTAAGAAAAGACTGTGATGCTCTCCGCCACTCATTGCGACCACTTTGGCACCATTCAGATTGTCCGGTAGCAGTGCTTCGATGACCGTCGGCTTGCCGATCGAGTCTTCCAGACCTCCGTCCTTGTCACTCAGACCGAGCTGCTGAAAGGTGTTGAGGCCCCATCCGTACACCTTGCCGGACTCGTCGAGCGCAAAGCTATGGAAGCTGCCGGCACCGACTGCGATGATGTTCTTGAGCCCAATCCCTTCCGCTCGAAGGCCATTGGTCGTCCGTCGTGCCATGATCTTGCGACCGAGCTGAGCTTGCTGACCTACGCCCCAGGAGGCTACTGTGCCATCTTGTAGCAGAGCAACGACGTGGTTATCGCCCGCTGCTACGCTGACGCATGGACTGGGCATCGCAATCGTGACGGGTGAGAATTGGCGAGTAGGATGCCCTTCTACGCCATCGAAACCGGTCGAGCCGTCTTCAGCCTGCCATGAGCGTATGAGTATGCTGTCAAATACAGGCAAGACATGCGTACGCGAAAGCTACCCCATGCTTTCAGCTCGCCTTGATCGCTGACGGCCAGACTGATCGAGTCGCCCGCGGCGACAGAGACTGCCTTGAAGCCAGCATCGCTCAAGCCGGTCACCACCATGGGCACAAACTCGTTCTCTGCCGTAGCATCCTGGTCCACCCGCGGCCCGCTCTCGCCTTCCTCTGTCTGCTCATCCGGCAATCTGTCGCGATAGACTGCTGTTATGCGTCCTAGTGCTGCATTGTCATTGGCGCCCCATGACCAGACCTGTTGGTTGTCCTGGCGTCAGCAGAGACATACTGCCGAAGCGCGGAGACCGACCTTTCCCTCTGAATCCGTGGCGATGGTATGGAAGCCGCCGACGGCGATATCTGCCAGACCAGATGGACCCAGCTTGCCCTCTGTGGCTAGCTTCTCAAAAAGGGCATGTAGTCTCGGTCGCCAGACTTGTGTAGCGTTGTCCGCCGTGCCCAGACCGAGCTGACCACTGTCGCCTGCGCCACAGACAAGGGCAGCATAGCGTGTCTGAGTAGCAGAGGGTCGTGCTGAAGCTTCAAAGCTGAACGCTGGCGATAGCTCTGCAGGAGCTTGGTGAGGGATCGCATTGACGACTCGAGCAGCACGACGTTTGTTGCCCGTGACGGACGAGACGGCGGAAGCGCTCCTCTTTAAGCTTGATTGTGAGTTACCGGGTAATTGGAGATGTTTATTGAGTGCGCCATTCGTTTGATGTGATGCAACAGGAGCTGACGGCACATCTGCAGCTGTTGAGGATCGCTGCAGGGGATTGCCACGCTGGCTTTGTCTGAGCGATGTCGAAGTGAGGTTCTCAGACAAGCTGTCGACTTCTTTTGTGACCACAGAATTCGCTGCGCGCTCGTGTCAGAGTGTAAGAATCAGACACAGTGTGGCGCACTCTTTTTGGGTCTGGGAGGCATGCTTGCTGCCCAGTCCAATGATGATTCGTCGCGGTGCTGTTGCGCTGGATTCATCTGACGCGCAAATCTCTGTTGCGCGTCCGAGCGCTGAGCAGACGCGACTCGCGGCGTCGTCGACGTTCGGTCGCACCGCCTTGGTCGACCAGAGGACGAGGCAAAGACCTTCGTATCAGTATGGACTCATTTACGAGCAGTCTATCAGCGCTGGTACGCTCCAGATCGTTCGGCATGCCCTGCAAGCTGACCCGACTCTGTTGGCGAACAGCCTCGCAGCGTCAGTGGCGAACAGAACCAGGTCAATCGACTTTGTAGTCTCCTGCATGCTGCACGAACTGATCTGAGCTGTGTAGATGGTCGCATCAGCGCATACAATGGCAGTGCAAGTCGACGAGAAGTAGGCGCCACTTGCTTCAAGCACAGTGGCGACGGTATTGATTGCTGCACGTCGGCAGACGACATCGTATCGATTCCGCTCAAGCAGAACTCGACAAGCTCAACTCAGCCATTGCTGCGACGGAGCAACGGCGCCAAGAGCTCGAGCGTCAGCTGGTCTCCAATCAGACCGGTCAAGCATCATGACCACACCATCGCCTTATGCGTCAGACATGTTCGCGCATCTACCCCCCCTTTGAGTCACCCTTCATCATCATCATTGTGCCAACGCCACCAGATCTGCTGCTTTCGTCATGACCGTTCATCATCCCATCAGGAGTTGTATGCAACATTAATGTAGCTTTTGCTCGACGACAACAACAATGGTTTCTTGCAGTGAGATCATGCCATCTTGTCCAGCGGACGGTTGAACCCTCCTCGTCTGTCATCGCTGCGTCACGAGGGCGCACAAGCTGCAAGGGAGGGGCTGACCTGTTCATGTACTGACGGTAGACTCGCTCTTTCTTGACGTCTGCCGTGCCAATGTCATTATTACCCGCTACATGATGACCCTGCGCGACTGCTTGTGTGAGTATACTAGAAAAGTTCTCGAGCCAGCGGGTACGCACCTTTGTTGTGCCGAAGCCGCCGAATCCCATGAGTGCAGCCATTGCAGCTGCATCATCATCGTCATCATCTTGCGCCTCCATCTGCTCGTCCTCCTCCTGAGCCACATGACCCTTGTTTGCATGACGTGCAGGCTCAGGTGTAGCAGACTCGGCCGGCTTCGAGCCCGGGGTGAGTTCTATCCGAACGGCGCGGTGTGGCTCATCTTTTGCTCTCTCGCGCGCAGGGACGGGTGAGCGAGCTCGCGGAGGCGGCGGGGAGCGTCTGTGCGATCCAGCGGGCGATCTCCGACCCTCTTCAACTCTCCTGCGTCTTTCCCTTGCAGGAGGACTGCGACTCTTGCGCGTGACGGGACTCCTGCTGCGTCGTCGAGCAGGAGGACTCCGACTTCTTCGAGGGACCGGACTCCGACTGCGGTGTCTCGACCGTCTGCTGTCTCTCTCTTGAGCGGGCGGGGAGCGTCTGTCATCTCTCTGCCGCCTCGAACGATCGTCATCGTGTCGAGAGCGATCATTGTCGTAGCGTGAATCTGATCGCGGCCTCTCCCTGCCGTGTGAAGGCGGCAGGGGAGCTCTGCGCTCTCTGTCATCGTGAGACCGTCTATCGCGCTGTCGGTCGCTCATAGCTCGACGGAGTAGGCCGCTTCGTCGATTGGCTTTGACTCGGGTCGCGACACACTTCGGCGGCAAGCCGGTAAGCCGGACGAGCGAGAGGACGAGGGCGGGAGATGGCGACGCTGCATGTGTGTCCACAGCTGGACAGCACGTCTGGCTACAAGGACAGGCAGTCCATATTGAGCTATGAGGATCAGCAAGCCAAGCTGGCCAGCTCCACGACGCTCTACGTGGGCAACATGTCTTTCTTCAGTCCGTCGTTTCCCCTTGCGCCTCAACTTGACGCACTGAGCTGAGCCCATGCGGACTCGGACAGCTACGGAAGAACAGATCTACGAGCTCTTCTCGCGAACGGGCAGCATCAAGCGGATCATCATGGGCCTGGACAGGATGAACAAGACTCCCTGTGGCTTCTGCTTTGTCGAGTCCGTCCTTTCCTCGCTCCTTAGCACACACACACTCTCTCTTGTGTGTCCTGACGAATGAGGTATGGGCAGGTACTATACCAATCAAGATGCACGAGCGGCAATGAGGTACATCTCGGGTACCAAACTGGACGACAGAGTCATCCGAGCCGATCTCGACCCCGGTTTCATTGCCGGACGCCAGTACGGTCGTGGCAGGGCAGGCGGTCAAGTGAGGGACGAGTACAGGGAAGACTGTAAGTCATCGAGCTCATGTTGACAACGATCCTTGCTCAGCCAGCGAGGACCAGTCGATGCTGGGCGAGGCGGATGGGGACACCTGAAAGCGCAACAGCAACGCGAAGCTGAAGAAGCAGAGCGGGAGAGACAGCAAGGTGCGCTCTACAGGAACGATCACGATATGCAGGGCATGCGAGATGTGCCCATGGGCGAGCAGACGGCCGAAGAAGTGAGTGTCTCCTCTGATCCCATGCGCAGATTCTTGTCTGACGAACGAGCAGAATATGCGTTTCAGAAGGGAGATAGACGAAGAAGAAGAAGCATAAGACTTGCAAGTCTATGCATCGCGCTGGCCTGTACAACGCCTTTTGTCTGTTGTCTCATCACTGCACACTCTTATCAGACTCGTTTCTTCGAAAGAGCAAATCTGAAAAAGGCTCACAAAGATAAAGTGGAACGGGTAGCCTGGGTTCTTGATCCTGAAGATACCCATGAGAGCCCCAAAGACGACCAGGAAGATGCCCAGCCAGACATAGACGCCCAGTCTCTGCCTCAGCGGGTCTTGCACTTTGGGCAAGGTCACCCCGATCGTATACGCCGAGAATGCGAGCAAGCCATCTGCAAGCTCGTCAGATCAAGCAGTGTGCAGCCACAGCTTCGCGTGAACTCACAGAGGCCCATGACGATCTGGGTCTCGACAGCGTACTGGCTCGAGAATCCTCCCTGGACGTATTCGATCTTGCCCGGCTGACCTCCTGCCCACAAGGGGTGCCTGATCTGGTTCCACATGTGTCCAGAAGTAAAGAGTAAAATCGACGCCTGCTCTCCCTGCGCATGAGTGCCCGACCTGGACGCACGGAAAAGCAAGACTGACGATCGTCGTGGCAGACCAGAGCGCTTTTGAACTGAGGATGAGCTTGACGTGTGGCCAGAAAGAGAAGGACAAGCCGATGACGCCGACGAAGATGACGACGAGACTGCCGATCTTGTTATAGTCTGGCGGCCTCCTAAAGGGTATATGGACGCCAAGTCGCGCGTTGAGGAAAGCAGCAAAGGGTTCAGCTGTCGGTCCGCTGCAGTGGCGAACAAGCTCGTCAGCCGCATAGACAACCTGTCAGATCAAGCACGACTTGCTTTCTGTTGAATTCGTACGTGTCTGGCTTGGCGAGCGGCTTTGCCTCTGGTCCCTCGGTGGGATAGTATAGCAATCCGTTCGGTGCAGTCGATAATTGCAGCTGTCGCCTTGCATTGAGCTCCTAGTCTACTGGATCAGAGCATGAAGGCACCCTTCTGAAGATCTCTTGGCCATCTTCAAAGTCGAGCACGCCGAAGAAATGGGGATGGACGGCCGACCTGACGCCTTGGAACGATCGTGCAACGAGTCGATGTTCGCCGTCAAAGATCCTGCCGGGCGATCAGCGCAACCTCACCCAGAGCAGCCCAGATGAAGACATACTGGCAAGGCTTGCAGGAGAACTGGGGGCCTAGGGCAGTGATGATGACGCTGGCAGAATAGTTGCGAGGTGAAGCCACGAGCTCGTCATAGCTTGCTGATGTCAGCTTGACGACGCCCCCATTGGCTCGTGCTAGGCTCTCAAATTTGGCGACCTTGTCAGCTCTTGCTGTCGCTATCGCTGCTGCCAGAGTGAGCCATAGCAGACGCATGACTCGGGCCGACGAGACAGTGCAGCAGGACAATCGCGACGGCCTGCAGCAGCGCGACTTGCCAAACGTCAAACTGCTTGGCTTCGAGCCTGCTAGACATTGTCTTGCCCGCGATCCCACGGCTCACAGCTCATCAATCATCGACAACATCAACATCGTCAGCTGGTGTACCCCTCCTGACCATTCTATCTCGCGTGCAGCGCGTTGCTCACTTCCTCATCAATGGCCACCCTCTCGGATTGACGATCTGTCTGTCAGGCATCCATCATGCTGCATCCTTCTTGCTTCCCACAACAAGAAGACGATTGCACATGAGCTTCATCATCAGACCAGCTGACCGACCTGCTTTGCCCCCTTCTCAGATCGATCATGCTCGGCCATGATGATGGTGATGATGGTGTCTGAAGTTTCGGTGGTGCTCAACTTCCCAGATCAGCTTCTTGCGTCGCTCTTCCTTCTCTTTGCGCAGCTGGTTGGCCTTCAGGCTGACTCCCGGTCCGGTCTTCAAGGGCGGTTCGCCTGATCCGGTATGCTGTGCGGGCGGGTTAGGTGCTTTACCCTTTGAGTTGCCACTCGACGGTGCTGGTGCTTGAACAGGTGCCTTTGAAGCCGAGTTCCAGCCGCCGTTGCGATTGTTCGGTCCAGCTCCGCCACCGCCGTTAGTCTGACCTGCTGCTGGTCGGATCGAAGACAGGGGTTGCAGAGCGGCCACAGCCTTGCAGCAGCCCGTCTGCTCGTTCACAGTCGCCTTGAAGGGTTCCGCCTGGTTGTCATTGCCATGGAAAGTATCGCAGACAGATCGTGCATCGCCAGCAAGCTTCGAGATTGAAAAGCTGTCGCCATAGTTGGTATTGCATGCAGAGATCTGGCGCACGCCGTGGCTTTCGATGTTGTCCATCGTCATCGTACGAGGACCTTGGACGACACAGTTTCCGCAAGAGGCCGCACCGATATCGATGTTGCTGAGGCACGAGTTGCTAAGCGACACGATCACGCCGCTGCCATCGAGCTGGAGAGCCTTATTGGGACCATTGCTGAAAGTGCAACCGCTCACGACGACCTTGCCAGGGCGCAAAACTGCGATGGCTTCGTCGCATACCGACATCCAGTGAACGTCGGTGATTGTAGCACTGCCGAGCAAGTGCACACTTTCTTGACTACGCCATAAGAAAGCTCTCGTCAAGCTAGCGCCATCCTCAAGAACGAACGGTGCCTGGTAGTCGCCCTTGACTTCGCGATTGACGTCGCAATGTTCGTCGCCGTACTTGTAGATCTTGTAGCCACCGTCGAACGTCTGACCCTGCAACAAAGGCGACGATCCTTCTTTCAGCACAATGAGCAAGCGCAGAGGGCCTGACGTACAGCAGCGACGATGATGGGCTTGTCCACCGGAATGATGACGACCTCAACAGACGGCGTAGGTCGCGAGGAGCACAGCGTGGACGTATCCACGGTAGAAGCATCGTCCATCGTACCATCAGGATCCGAATTGGTCTTGTCCTGACGTCTCTGGATGGTCATCTCGCCCTTGACCAGCAAGGGCGCCACAGCGCACACAAAGGCTATCAGTACAGACCCTTTCATCGCTGTCTTTGTGGCTGGAAGGAAAAGCGTTGCGCAGTTTTCTCGAGGTCTTATCTCGTAGTTACATCGCCTTGCGATCGCAATTTACAGTGTGACAAGGCGACGCAGCCTCGGCAACGCTTTTTTCGTCGCGCTCGTCGACGACCATTGGAGCCGTTGCGTTTTCAACGTTTCTACATCTACATCGCGATCAAGACCTTGCCGGTCATGGTCCGGCTGCTCGCGGCATTATGTTCATCACTCGCGTTGACATCGAGCCTGTAAGCTGCAGCTGCTCGGAAGTATCTGCAGAGGTGTTCTTACAACGACGTTGACAATTCTATCCTTTGCTGAAAGCGAGTACGATCTGCTTGAAGAAATGCACCGAGTCAGACTTGATGACCGAGGCAGCGTGCGCAATGAGCGCAGGCATAGGCTGAGTCGCGCACGAAAAGGCGATCGAACCCTCTGTGTGCAAGATGCCCAGTGCTCGCCAGTGGAGCCATATAGCCAGACAGATTGCGAGATGCCAGAACTGGTGGCTGTGACCAACGCAATCGAAAGCACCTTTCTTTCCTATACTTTCTGGCCAATTTTGCGCATACAGGACCAGCCCAGCGACGTAGGCTGCAACTGACCACAGAGCCGGAATGAAAAAGGTGATCGTCTCGACGAGTCCGTACATCCAAGCCATGTGAGCTTGAGGAGCAACGGCAGAGGCGCACATGCTGAGGAAGAAAGCGATCCGCCAGCCTTTGTTCTCGCGCTTGTTGAACCATTCTTTCCATGGCAAGTACATGCCCAGCAGTCCCACTGCGCCAATAAAGTAGATATAGGGCATCGCAATCTCTTCGTTGCATCGTAGGCCGTACCATGTGAGCGAGATGACAGAGGCAGCGATGAGGGCGGAGATGCCGATATAGTCTAGACAGGCTGTGCCGATGAAGACACGACGGGATGCGCAGCCTGCGAAGAGATGCCAGATAGCTGACAAAACGAGACACTTGATGGCTGCGACGAGAAAGAGCGCATTGACGAATCTATCCATGGGCGAGTAGGGCAAGTCGGTCTCGATGGGCGCAAGACTGCTGAAGTTGGCCAGCAAGTATGCCACGAATACCGAGCCGACCACTGCTTGACCATCAGTACAAAGCTTGCACGTGTGAGCCGAACATACCGTGCGTGTGAATATTGAGAGTCTCGTTGTGCCAGCCAAAGAAGCTTGCAAAAAGAGCACGCCAGCGTTCCATGGGTATAAAGCGATAGCCAGAGATGATAAAGGCATTGTTTCGCCACTCCTGAGGTAATTCGTCATAGACAAGTAGTCTCGTCTTGCCCAGTTCTAGAGCTCTAGCGTATAGCTCGTCCTCTGCACGATCATAATCATGTAAATAGTGTCTGGCCGTCTTTGCCGTCTTGAGCGCATCGGAGAGCGGATTGTGTGGTATATGTATAGTATCAATGTCCGGCAATTTCGATATAGCTCGAGCCAATCGGTCAGATTCTGCTCGAAAGTAGGCTTGCACTGTCGAGATGGAAGGCACGCGGGATTGACCAGGCGTGAGCGGAACACTGGGCCACTGCCATTCCGCCCTGTTGCGCACATCGACTGCATCGCGCAGTCGCTCGAGATGAGCGGTGAGTGAGGTGACCATTGTCGCACGGGAAGCCGAGGCAGATGCGCCGAGTGCTTCGAGGCTTGTGACGAGTTCTTCTAGCTTTGCACGGGCTGCTGGACCTGCAAGCGTGATACTCCCCGGTGTGGCGGGTATGCTGGTCGCAGACAGTAGCTCAGACTTCATGGATGCGAGGTAGGCAGATAATTGATCCATGAGTGCGTCTAAGCTCCTTGGCGCGGGCATATTGGTGTGCAGACTGGATGATGAAGGCGGAGCACTTGCCGTACTATTTGCTCGCTCTTCTCGCCTGCGTCGCCGACGCCGTAGCGTCGAAGGCTGTACTGCGCCCTCTGTAGGATCGATGATGACGTTGGCTCTGATCGGATCTGAGTGGCCATTGGTCTCGTTGTCCGTCTCGTCGCTCTCGCCTTCCCCATCAGACTCATGCGACCACTCGTTCTCGCTGCCCGAAAACTCCTCCCTGACCGTCTTGAGCGTCTCCTCTGCCTGATTGACATGACCGAGCAGTAAAGCGCGTAGGCCGGAAAAGTCGAGATAGTCCAACGCGAGCGGCAAGGCTGCTTGTATCCGCCTTGGAAACGACGTAGCAGAGTGAACGTACATCGAGCTCGACCGTGGACGCTGTCCTAGATTGCTGGGTCCCGTAGACGTCGAACTGCTCGTCTCTGAGCTTGCATCGTCGGCAATGACCGAGCTGGTCGCGTGGCTCTTTGTCCGACGATCGCTCGTGAGGTAGGGTGACAAGCTGGACGTAGATTGAGACTGAGGGAAGTACGAGCCTGGTGCAGAGACAGGCGGGAGCACATTGAAAGCAGGTGGGATGTTGCTCTCATCTGGCTCCTGATTCGCTTGTCGCTCCTTGCCCTTGCTCGATGTACGAGCAGATCCGTTGGATGTCATCCTCTTGCACTCTCTGCTACCTCATGATTGGCGAACAGCGTCGCTGCTTGAGGTGACGATCAATTGGAACAGCGTGACGTCGGTCGGGTCGGCAGTCGACTGGCCACGCGCCTACCCAGCAGACTGAAGCCCAGCACTGCGGGCATGCCACACGCCGACAGCTCGACCGTGCCGTCGAGTGTGCAGACAAGGGAGGCCTTCTACGACCATGTCTGCGAGCAGCTGCATCATCTCCTGTCAGACGGCTCAACAGAGAACAATTGGGTCTCCGCGCTCGCCAATGCATCCTCTCTGCTCTTTGCAGCCTATGCGAGCTACAATCACCCTAACGTCAACTGGTGTGGCTTCTATGTTCACGCACGCTTGTTCGGCTCCGAAGCGAACGACTTGTGGCTCGCGCCCTTTGCCGGCAAACCCGCTTGTCAGCTCATCGCGCTTTCGTCCAAAAGGCCAGGCGTCTGCGCCCACGCGTACAATTCACGCCAAACCATCGCTGTACCCGATGTAGAAGCACATGACGGTCATATCGCTTGCGATGCTGCAACTCGCTCAGAGATCGTGCTGCCCGTCATCGTCCAAGACGAGTGTATCGGCGTCTTTGATCTTGACTCGACAGAGATCAACGGTTTCGAGAGCGATAGCGAGGGTCTGCAAAGGTATCTGGCCGTTCTGCTCAAGCATATACGCTGGCCCGAGCCCAAGTCAAAGCATGCATAGACGCTACTGCTCCCATTCGCCCGCGCTGGCAAGTTTGGCAAAAGCGCCTCGTTTGGCCATCAGATCGTCGAAAGAACCGTCCTCGATGACTTTGCCATCATCGATGACGATGACACGATCGCACGTCTTCATCACCGCCGCCTTGTGCGTCACGATGACTGTCGTACGACCGACTTTGATGTCTTTCAGCGTCGCCATGACTGCATTTTGACTGACCGGATCCAGAGCGCTGGTGATCTCGTCGCCCAGCAAGATCTCTCGGGGCCGGAGCAAAGCTCTGGCAATCTGTATACGCTGAGCTTGGCCGCCCGAGATCAAAGAGGCATTCTCGCCGAGATGCGTGTCGTAGCCTTTCGGCAAAGCGCAAATGAACTCGTGTGCTTGCGCCGCCTCTGCTGCTGCCCGGATCTCATCGTGTCGAGGCAGCCTCTCTTCGCCATAGGCGATGTTTTCCGAGATAGAGCTATCGAACAATGCAGGATGCTGGCTGATGACTGCGAGATGATTGCGAAGATATGTTGTGCTGATCCGCTCAAGAGAGCGATTGTCGATCATGATGTCGCCTTCGTCTGGCACGTAAAGCCTTTGCAATAGAGAGACGATTGTCGATTTCCCCGACCCCGATGCACTGCAGGCAACAAGGGTCAGCTCTGATTCGCTATGCCAACGCTCGACGGACCCAACAATTGCGACCGACTCGCCTGGCTGTATTTCGAAGTTGACGCCTTTGAGAACCGGCACGTGGGAGGCCGCAGGATAGGCAAAAGTGACATTCTCGAATTTGATGCAACCTTTGATCGGAAAAGACATGGCGCCTTCACTCTCTTGTGTGTCCTCGGTCAGCTTGAGGAACCTGACCAGATCAATTGACGCCTGGCACGCTTTAGCAAGTTGCGGCACTGGAACACATGTCAGTTGAGCCCATGAGATCAACCTCGGACCCACCGAAGCTCATGATCTGAGCAGCAAATGTGACGGCAAACACAATGAGCGTAAAGATCTGGACCATCTGAGGGAAGGTGTAGTTCTGTCTGACGATCAAGACGGCGCCAACGTAGAACATCAGGCCTGGGCATCATCTGCCATAAGCTCTGTCTGCGCTGAAGGTGCATGGCGTACCTTCTGCGATATAAGTCATTCCGTTGGCGATACCGTAGCCAAGCGAGGCAATGATGACTGCCTTGCTGTCGCCGCGATAGCAGTCCTCGACGGACGTCGCGAATTTGTCGACGAAGACAGCTTCCAGCGACATGGCTCGCAAAGCGCGAATGTTGGACACACTCTGCACAAGCCGTTAGCATCTTACGAGGACACAAGCGCTTGAGCGCACGACATGGAAACGCTTGGCGCAGTCTTCACGCTTCCGCTTGTTTTCGGCTTCGAATCGGCTGAGAAGTGTCGTTTGCATCGATAGGCACGCTATGTAAATCGGCCCAATAGCCATTCCGACGAGCGTGAGCTGCCAACCGACAGCAAGAGCCCATATGAGGGCAAATGAGATCATTGCCACGACCACAACGATCTGGCCGATGATATTGCCGACCAAGTTGCGCGCGTCCTCTGCATCTTTCACGAGACTTGTGACGATCCCTGTTAGGCTATTGTTCGGATCGTCAAAGTATGCCTTGTCTTGCTTGATGATGAGGTGAAATGCTTTACGACGGATAGCGGTGATCCAGCCCATCGCTGTCCATTGCAAGAAAGCAAACTTGAAACCCTGCGAGCCTGCGTCTGCTGCTGCGACTAGCAGAACGAGCAACGAGGTCTTTGTAGTGCTAGCTGCAGTCGAGTCTGGCGCGCCTAGACTAGCAATAAGCTTTGCCAGTAAGCTTGAGAAGATTGGCGTCATCGATCCTGCGACGCAACAGAGGAACAGGCCAAGAAAGAGGAGAGGTTTGTTAGGAATGGTCGGATAGATGACACGGAGCAGACTGATCAGACCCGTCGGGCCGGCCGCTGGCTTGTCGCCATCCATTGCAATCGCAATGTCGGCAGCTTTGAAGGCTTCGAAGATAGTCACCGGTCGGCCAGATCGTCCACCTGGTCGCCGCGAAGAAGCAGAAAGACCGATATTCTCGAATCCTGCAACTGACATAGGCCCCAGACGTGGCCCGACGGGGGATCTGGGTATTGCTCCACCGAAATACGCTAGAGATGTAGGACTTGTCGAAGGAGATCGCGTCGAGCTATACGAATCACCTTCGACAAAGGCAGGACGGGAAGCTCGCCGAGAGCTAAGATAGACCTGCGCTTGCGAAGTTGCTTCTCCCATGTCCGGCAAGAAAGACAAGCTGGCATTGACGAAGCTTTTGCGACGGGTGAAATTGACGACAGAGACGCGCGGCATCCAGTCGCTGACGGCTGATGATGCACGATACAACGAGGGTCGCCAACCATCTGCGAGAGACTTGCGGTCATCTGTCGGTGGAGTGCATTGGATCTCTGGCAGGATCTCTTCTTTCGGTGCGCCCATAGCAAGCGCATTGAGCTGCATCATCTCTGCAAAGGGACCGTCTGCCTTGTCTAGATCACGTCTGTAGCCCTCTTGCATGACTTTGCCGTGTTGCATGACATACACAAAGTCATCCTGAGCAATCGGTGTCAAGTCGTGTGTAATCACAATCGTGGTTTGATTCGTGCGCCATTTTTTGATCGCTTCAGACACAAGGAAGCGCGAGGTTCCATCGAGTGCAGACGTGGCCTCATCTGCGGTAAGAGTCAGTACGGATGACGGTAGGCCTTGTTGAACGCACCTAAGATGAGCACGGTTGGATTTCTGATGGAGGCACGAGCAATCGCAAGGCGTTGGCGCTGGCCACCACTCAAACTTGCCCCCTTTGCGCCGCTCAGCCATGTGTCATAGCCCTCCGGTAAATCCGAGATGAAGTCGTGAATGAGCGCAAGTCGACAGGCGGTGATAACTTCTTCGCGCGTGACGTCGCTCGGCTGGCGATCACCAGAGCCGACAACGCCGATTGCCACATTGTCGTGCACAGACCCATCAAACAAGACCGACGCGCCTTGCGAAACCATGCCGATCTGTCGACGGAGCCATGTCTGGTCAAGAAAACGCGTCGACTGCTCGTCTGCTTCGATGCGACCCGAGTCTGGCTCGTACAAGCCAAGCAAGAGCGCGCCGACCGTTGATTTGCCCGATCCTGACCCACCGACGATGTATGTCGTCTCGCGAGGAGCGAAGTAGAGCGAGACATCTGTGAGGACTGGATCTGCAGGAGGCGGCCGCGCAGGATAGTGGAACGTGACTTCGTGTAGCGCTAGCTCGCCACTGAATGAGCGAGGTTGGATGCGTTTAAGTTCTCTGATATGACCGCTGCCTTTACCACCGGCAGGAATATAGTTCAGCGCGTCTGGCTCTGGGGTAGCAGCAGCTACGCGAATTTCTGCCTTGTCAAAAGTCGTGTCGAGCTGCGGTGTAGCGGGGAATGGGACGGCGACTGTGCTTGGCCGTTCGCTCGGACTTGCGATCAGAGTGAGCAAACTGGCCATGGCGACCTTTGCCTTCTCAATGAAGATGAGGACAGGTATGCAGCCTTGTAGGTTGCTGCTGCCAAGCAAGGTTGCCCAGAAGACCTCATTGACCGTGCCGCCTGTGATCTTGCCTTTGCTGACCTGATAGTGGCCGAACCAGAAGCCTTGTACGAACATGGCCAGTAGGACGAAGTGCGAGCCGCCAATTCGGACTCCCCAGACGGCAGCCAGCCGGTTGTACGTCGACCTGACTTTGTCAACCGTCGCTACAAATGCGTCTTCTTCCTTTTGTTCTGCGTTGAATGCTTTGACTGTCGTAATTGCGCTGAGAGCGCGTTCTGCACGTGTAGCTGCAGCAGAAGTCAGATCGCGGTCATAACCGATCAGCGGCTCTGCCATTGTCTCTGTGACCGCAGTCAAGACGACGACGAGTGGCACAGAGGCCAGGATGACAAGAGTGAGCTGATAGGACCTGAAGAATGCCAATATCAAGCAGGACAGCATAGTCGACAGATACTGAACGAGCATGCCCATATTTTGCGAGGCACCCATGCGTACGTCGTCGATCTCTCTGCAGGCTCAGCTTAGCTCGCTAATGAGGCTGGACAGGTAGGCGCACCTCTGAAAGCGACCCATCAAGCCAGCACTTGCCTCGCCGCTATCCTCGCCATCGTCATTTGTGCTGCCACACATGCCAGTATCGAACCAGGTCATGCTCTTGTTCGTGACGGAATCGTAGACATTCAGTCTGAGCGAGCGAGCGATCTTTTCGCCGTTCCAAGACCACAGCGTGAGTGAGACAGTCTCTCCGGTGAGCGTCAATGCCGCCAGGAGGAACATGATCAGTGCGCTATGGAGTGTCGAGGTCAGTAAAGCATGCTGAGCAGGCTTGATTGCGTCGGGAGACGAGGTAGTCTGCTGTATAGCCTGGTATTGAATGAAGGCATCGAAGAATTTGCTCATGACGGTCGTCATATACGTCGGAATAAGACCCGTGGCGACTGAGCAGATGAGAGCAGGCAGAATCAGCATGAAGAACTCCCGCTTGCTCGTCAGAGCAAAGAGCAGCTTGATAGTTGGTGCAATCTCTGGCGTCTTGGGCGGTGGCATTTGACTATAACGCGGAGGAGCCTTTTCGAATGGAGTGCTCTCAGATGCAGCCGTTCCTGGCAAAGGTGATGCGCGGGGCGTGTTGGCGCCATAGAAGCCTTCGATATCGATTGCGTCCTGATCCGAGCCGAGATATGATCGTGGCGTCGGCAGGGGCATATCTCCAGCAGAAGAGAAAGGCGAGGTTGACGGGCGGCTGACATCAATGGCAGACAGCGCGCGTGACTTTGTGCGCTCTCTGTGCAAGTCGCGAACACTGAGAGCCCTTGGCTGCGCATAGTCCGACATAGCATGTTGCACCTCGGCCAACGTCAACGTGGGTTTTGCAAGCATCTCTTGTGCGAATTGGCCGTCTGAACCATCGTTGAAAGCGCTGCTTATTTGATTTTGCAGCCGACTCGGCGAGCGCGACACCGGCGTGGAGTCAACCTCGGACAGGAATGCAGGCGCAGAGAGTGTAGGCGAGCATGCTTGCAGCTCGATAGCTTCGTACCTCTCAGGCCGTACTGGCACCCTGCTCGTCAGGGAAGTTGCCCGCTCGCGCATGCCGCGAGAGTCGAAGGGGAGGTGACTGGCTGACGATATCGCTGAGCGAGGCAGACTGTCCAGGCACCAGGATGTCCAAAAGAAGCCATTGTGTTGTGCTCATTGTGTCAATCTGCTAAGACTGGGTTGCTCTTTGCCCTTTGTGTGGCGATCAGGCTGTCCTTCGTCGCTGTCGATCACTTTTCCAACCGACGCGACCACACGCGACTCGAAGTCGAGTGGCGATCCAAGCGCTCACCGGGTACCTCATCGGAGCCCAGCTCGAATCTGACTCTGTCAAACGTGACTGCCTGAGCTTGCTGAGCGCTCGCCGACCGGTGCAGTGACCGAGGCAAGCCATGGCCTACCAACAGTCGTCCGCGGGCAACGGCATGGTCGGCACGCAGCGAGAGCAGCTCTACCATCAGCAACAGCAACAGCAACAGCAACAGCAGTATCAACGCCAGCTGATGGCTCAGCAACAAGCTAGCCAGTACCAACAGCAGCAGAACGCTCAGCAAGTCATGCCAGGTCAACAAGCCGATTCAGCCAATTATGTCTACTTTGATCGCTCGACTGCTGGCTTCTCCAAAGCGACACTCGAGAAGGCCATGGCCACCAAGGTGAAGCTAGAGCACGGGTATCGCAAAGCGGTCGAAGAGATTGTCGAGCGCAACACGCGGTAAGCGAATTGCAGAAAATGGGCATACACGCAGATCTGACAGTCCCTTTGTAGCCGAGCTGAGCTAGAGAAGCGTCTTGCGACCGACACATCGATCAGTGATGACCGAAAAGTCAGGCAACTGAACGCACTCGGTCGCACCGAGTCGTCTTTTCTTCGATTGAAGCGCACCCGACTCGGTCTCGATGACTTCAGGACCGTCAAAGTTATCGGAAAGGGTGCCTTTGGTGAGGTCAGGCTGGTGCAAAAGATAGACACCGGTAAGATATATGCCATGAAGACGCTCCGCAAGTCGGAGATGTTCAAAAAGGATCAGGTCAGTCGTGTATCCCTCTGTCAGACTTTGCGTGTCTGATGAGGTATGCTGCTGGCAGCTCGCCCATGTTAGAGCAGAGCGCGATGTCCTGGCCGAATCGAATTCGCCATGGGTCGTTCAGCTGTACTACTCGTTCCAGGACACATTCTATCTGTACCTGCTCATGGAGTTCCTGCCTGGCGGTGATCTCATGACAATGCTCATCAAGCATGACACCTTCAGCGAGGATGTCACACGTTTCTACATGGCCGAGTGTATCCTCGCTATTGAAGCCATCCACAAACTCGGTTTCATTCATCGCGACATCAAACCCGACAACATCCTCATCGACAAGGACGGCCATGTCAAGATGTCTGACTTTGGTCTTTCCACTGGCTTCCACAAGCAGCACGATTCAGCATACTATCAGCGTTTGCTAGAAGGTGGCGCGACAAGTGCTGCTACCGCACAGCAAAACTCTCGCAACTCTTTAGCGATCAACGCAATCAATCTGACAGTGTCGAACAAGGATCAGATCGCGACGTGGAAGGCCAACAGGCGCAAGCTCGCTTACTCGACTGTCGGTACCCCGGACTACATTGCGCCAGAAGTCTTCTCGCAGCAAGGCTATGGACGAGAATGCGATTGGTGGAGCTTGGGTGCTATCTTCTGGGAGTGCCTGATCGGCTATCCTCCTTTCTGCTCAGAGAATGCGCACGACACATACCGCAAGATCATCGCATGGCAGCAGTACCTCGTCATCCCAGATGATGTCCATCTTTCGCGCGAAGCCGAAGATCTGATCAAGAGGTCAGCCAGCGCAGATCTGAGAAAGCAAGGCTGACACGCTCGCAGGATGATCACCTCGCCCGAGCAACGATTGGGACGCAACGGTGCCGATGAGATCAAAAACCATCCGTTCTTCGCGGGTGTCGATTGGAACACCATCCGCAATATCGAAGCGCCCTTTGTGCCTCATCTCAAGTATGCCCCTGCGGTCCCTCACGAGATGGTGCTGACAGACGAGAATAGGTCTACTTTCGATACATCTTACTTCCCGACTGATGATCTCAACGATGTAGCGACAGAGCCTGCAGGCGACGGTACAGGCGTCGGATCGAAAGAGTACGTTTATACTCTTCGCAGTAAAGCGTGCATTAGGCTAACAAGCGGATTATAGTCTGGCTTTCATTGGCTATACGTTCCGCCGATACGAGAGTAACTCGCATGCTTTCTGATTGCCACACGAGGAGCCCAATGAAGAGCCCGAACCTGTATTCAGACAATGACAGAGACGATTAGGTGGCTTTAGACGGCTTCGAGCGATATGAGTGGCCGCATTCACAATCGTGTGACTGTCCAAAGCGCCCAGGTGATCTTTACGCTAGCTGCGCCGCGAATATGCGACGAGAGATAAAGATCTGTTACGGCCTCAGCTTGATTCAGACGTGCATGAGCAACAGGTCAATCACCATCCTCGGGCGTGTCGATTTGCTCGAATGAGACTGTGCCAGCGCCAAGCGCATCCTCCCAGGCTGCCTTTCGTTCGCCGGCCGACATGGCTGGCATGTTGAGCATGACGCGTTGACCGGCTGGGTCTAGCAAATGTGCCGTGCCGGGGGTCACGCCGTTTGAGTCTCGTCCGAAGACTGTAGCGCCTTTTTCTGGTTTGAGTAGTGCTGCCAGACGCTTGATGGCTTCACGTTGACCCTTGAGATCGAAGAGATGAATGAAGAGAGCGGCATAGACGAATGTGCATCGGCCAACAAGAGGCGTCAAGCTATTGAGCTGCTTGAGATTGAGCTTTTCGTCAGTGAGCTCGGATACGGGCGAGGAAGCATCGAGATTGAGCAAAGCAGAGTCGAAAAAGTCGCCTGATACAAATGCTGGGCGTTGCCCGACGCGATCACCAAAGAGGCTAAAGCCCGCATCAATGAAACCTGTTCAGTCATGAACGCCGTGACATAGCGCGTCAGAGGGTGCTTACCCTGATGGAGGTCAGTGCCGATGATGTTGCTGGCAGGGTAGCCATCCATGATGGCCTTGCGAACTTCGATGCCCATGAAAGTGGCTACCTCGCAAAGCAAGGCGTCGCTCTTTTCAGCTTGCCCAAGCATTGTGCTGTAGAAAGGGTGGTTCTTCATGTGACCCTTGAGGAAATAAAGCCCCTCGACGCAAGGCCACGGACCAATGGCGTATGCCTGGTTTTGTACATTCAGGACGTGATCCTTCAGCTCTTGGCCGCAAAGGCCGGTCAAGCGTTCGAGTGTAGCGATATCCTGAGCTGAAACCTCATTGTACAGAGCAGATGAGTGGTTGCGGTCGAGTACGCCCTGAGTGTCTTTGAAGTTGACCGAGTAATTCGCGAGCTTGTCGCGAAACAGGGACAATCGGCCGAGATTGCCACTGTAGGCTTTGCGCTGACGCCGAAAGAACTCGAACAACGATAGCATATTGGTCTTGTCTGAGTGCTATTCTGATCTGGGCACAAATTGTAGGAAGCTGATACGCTGGCTCATCTGACAGGGCGGTCCAGAGCCAGTAGTGGCAGACGTCGATGCGACTGTACTTCAGGCGAGGGCGGTGCATCGTCGACGCCTTGATACCGTGGGTAGTTTCGTGGAAGGAAGCTAGCGGAATGGATCCAACGGGGGATTAGGCATCGATGCAAGGCTGGTGCGCAGCGTGCGTGCACATTGGCCGACGTCGCGTAGCAACCACGCGACTGACTGACTGGACTGTCTTTGTCAATTCATTCGAATTCATTTTGGAGCGTTTGATCGGAACAAATCTCGTGCCCAAGTCAGAGTGCCCCTCCCCCCCTTACCAGCCGGAGGGCTCGGCAAGAGGGTCAGGTGCGTCGAGGCGTGCAGCGTGGGCAAGCGCAGGAGCTCAAGGCGCAAGCAGTCGCGTTGCCGAGCGCTGCACATGATCAATTGATCGGTCGCGAGGGGTCAAAGCAAGGTCACGCTAGAAATTGGCGGTGCACGGTAGGTCAGCAATGTCAACGAGTGCGACTGCAAGCGCAAGCATGAACGGCATGCCGGCGATGACCATCAAGCCTTCGCTCTCGCCAGGACTGAACCATCTATCTGTGCCAGGCACGCCTCATCGCGTCGTCTCAAACAGCTCGGGATATCATCAGAGCGTGTTCAAGGCAGCCGATAAGAAGCTACAAGCTACTCGCGTAGAGGAGCTCGTCAGAGTAGGCCACCTTGCATCTACACACACGCTATGATGCTCACGCGCAGATGCAGGAAAAAGGATTCATCCCGGAAGCGCTCGTACACTCCGAGGTCTCGTGGTACACGCAAGACCTCGGCATTGACGACGCCTACTTCAAGACAGAGAGTGTACGTACTCGTGCTTGTGGTCATGCACAGCTCTGACGAGAGATGCAGGTCGAGACAATCGCGTCACATATCATTTCGCTCTATGGCAGCAAGATCTTGGCGTACGCTCGCGGCGACGGCACGCTCGACATCAATCTCGAAAAGATCCATGACGATGGCGCAGTCTTCATCCACACATCCAATCCAGGCGTCTCTGACCCTCACGGTCCGCTAATCGAGCAACGTATCGACGAAAAGTATCTCGATGTTTCGACGCCCAAGGAGGCATACCGACTGGAGACGTATCGATCAGCAGGTCATGTATCAAGCAGTATCAGCCAACAACTACGCTGCTACTTCCTCGCTCGTTGTAACTTTGTCGAGCCCAATCCGGATGCAGAGGAGACGGACATCACCAAGCTAGGCGACCGCGCTTTTCTCGAGACCGTCTCTGAGAACACGCTCGAGATCTACCAGGAGGTCATGCTGGCTACCCTCGAACGTACCGGACCCGTCGTAGAAGCCTTTGATGTTGAAAACTCGCAAGAGAAGCGACTTGTCATTGGCTATCGCATGGGATCCACATCTCACTTCTTCTCGGCCATCTCAGATCTCTACCATTGGTATGGCATCTACTCGAGTCGAAAGTACGTCGAACACTTCAGCAACGGCGTCTCGATCGTATCGCTCTACCTCAACCCACTTCGCGGGCCACCCATCAATCAAGCGATCTTACAGATCACACGCGAGATCTCGCTCATTTTCTGCTTGCCGAGCAATCCCTTCTTCGTTGCGGGCAGCGGACATGCAGTACAAGAATCGAGCTATGCTTATGCTGCTGCTGTCTTTTGCCAGCACTTCCTCAATCGCCTGGGACCATCCTTCCTCAATCTCAAAAATCAGCTAGACGAGAATGATCCTACGCAGGCAAACATCCTGGCCGATATCAGGAAGCGTCTTCGAGAACAGACTTTTACGCGCCAATCGATTAGAGACTCGATAGAAGCCTACCCGGAACTAGTGAGATTGCTCTATGTCAACTTTGCAATGACGCACTACATTTCGGGTCGAAGCCAGCTCATGCCTACGCTCTCGTACCAACGCATTCAGACTAACGCGGCTCTCAACGACGAAGAGCTGTACACTAGAATCAAAAAGACGACGCAGAATGCGCACGACTTTGAGGTCTTCGAATCTATGCTTAGCTTCAACAAATCGATTCTCAAGACCAACTTTTACCAGCCTACAAAAGTCTCGCTTTCCTTTAGACTCGATCCTGCCTTTTTGCCAGAAGCGGAGTACCCCACACGACCTTACGGCCTCATTCTCGTCGTCGGTCCTGATTTTAGAGGCTTCCACGTTCGCTTCAGTGATGTCGCTCGTGGTGGCATCCGAATCATTCGCTCTCGTGACAGAGAGACTTTCAGTGTCAACCAACGCAACCTGTTCGATGAGAACTACGCACTGGCACTTACGCAGCATCTCAAGAACAAGGATATCCCAGAAGGAGGTACGCCATGCGCTCCATGTTGCGACTTGAGCTGACCTGGGTGACAGGCTCCAAGGGCACAATCTTGCCAGATCTCGGCGCAGATCCAAGGGCTGTCTTTGAGAAATACATCGACAGCATCTTGGATCTTCTGATCCCAGGCAATTCTCCGGGCGTCAAGGAGCAGATTGTCGACCTCTATCAGAAAGAAGAAATCCTCTTCTTTGGCCCCGATGAGAACACCGCCGGCTTCATGGATTGGGCCTGTCTGCACGCTCGTGAACGTGGCTACGGAACGTGGAAGTCGATTACGACTGGCAAGTCCAGTCTACTCGGCGGCGTTGCTCATGACATCTTCGGCATGACCTCGCTCAGCGTCCGTCAATACGTCATTGGCATCTATCAGCAGCTCGGTCTGCGCGAAGAAGAAATCACAAAGATGCAAACGGGCGGTCCAGATGGCGATCTTGGTTCGAACGAGATCCTGCTGAGTAAAGACAAGACCATTGCTATCATCGATGGCTCCGGTGTCCTGCATGATCCCTCTGGACTTAACCGCGAAGAGCTCACCCGACTGGCGAAGGAGCGTAAAATGGTCACGCACTTTGACCGCTCGCTGCTTTCCTCGGAAGGCTACCTCGTGCTTGTCGAAGACCAGGACTTCACCCTGCCATCCGGCGAGATTGTCAATGACGGCACAAGTTTCCGTAATAGCGCTCATTTGCGCTACAAGGCCGATATCTTTGTTCCGTGCGGAGGTCGTCCAGAATCCATTAAGTGGGCGATCCGTGCTTCGTTTCACTCACGCTGTAGCTGAAGAATGTCGTCGTCGACAGCATGGGAAATATCAAGCAGCTTTTCGATGCAGACGGCAAGCCCAACTTCAAGTATGTCGTCGAGGGTGCCAATCTCTTCATCTCACCGCAAGCTCGCTTGGCTCTCGAGAAACGCGGCGTTGTCGTGTTCAAAGATGCTTCGGCGAACAAAGGTCAGCATTCTGCTTATGCATTGATGTCGGGCTAATGCTTTAGGCTTATGCGGACAGGCGGTGTAACAAGCTCGTCTCTGGTCGGTCGCTGCTTACTGAGGATGACCAAGCTGACCACAAAGTCGCGTGCAGGAAGTTCTCAGCGGACTGGGGCTGGATGACCAAGAATTCCTTGAGCTCATGACGAACAATGGACACGAAGGTTTCTCCGAATTCTATCGCAATTACGTCCAAGAAGTGCGCGGCTACGCTGAAACTCTCTTTTTGGCTGACGCTGTATCACAGATCCAGAAGATCATCAGCTACAATGCGGCTCAAGAATTCAACTGCATCTGGAAGGATCATGCTATCAGCAAAAAGCCCCGTCCGAACATCACCGATGAGTTGAGCAGAGCCATCGTACAGCTACAAGCCGTCAGTCTTGCATGTGGTCGAGTCCCGGCGACGTTGCTGATATTGACCGCTAGGATTTGGAGCAATCGAATCTCTGGGACGATCTCGGTGTCCGACGCGCTGTCATCAGTCGTGCAGTTCCCAAGACCCTGCTCAAGCAGGTCGGCCTCGACAAGCTCATCTCCCGACTGCCACCGACCTATCTAAGGTCGCTCTTCGCAGACTTTGTTGCCAGTGTACGGCAGCTGCATTTTCCACGGATGCCTTGGCTGATACTGCACGCTAGCATTACGTTTACGAATACGGCCTGCAATCCTCGCTTGTTGCGTTCTACAGCTTTGTGTCAAAGTTCAAGGAAGCCCAAGCGTGATCACGCGGCAGTCATGCATGTTTTGTATTGCAACGCAACAAGTGTCTGTGATTATAATGTTAACAAGTAGGATCCGACCTAAACCCTATCGTGCATCCGACTGCTCAAAGTCATCAAGGAATAACTCTGCGCCGCAGTCAGCAAGAGCTACCAGAGCGACCGGAAAGACGCACTCGTTGAGGATCTCGTTGATGAGCTCGGTAGAGATCGTGCAAGGCACCTTGTCTTGCTCTAGCCGGACTGTCATGGCATACTTGCCAATCGATTCGGAAACCTCGACGGAGAAACTACAGTCAAGCTTGCCCAAGCACTTCTTCGCGACATCTTGCAGCTGCTTCCTTGACTTGTCGCTCACCGACTTTGTACTCGAGCTGCGACCGGCGATGCGATCGAGTACGTCTTTGACATCGCTCAGGCTTACACGTTTCGCCTTTGCAGCTGCTTCGAGCAACTTGACGAGCGTCTTTGGCTCCCGCACAATATCGATATCATATTCGGGCGTCTCTTCTGTTCCATTGCCTTCTACCGTCGTATCGTCTTCTGCGACATCAATCTTGCCAATGACGATACCAAACGCGGTAGCCTCTCCGTGGAAGCTTGTGACCGTATAGGCTGTCGAGAAAGGATTCGCAAGTGTCAGAGTGATTGAAGCAGGGTGAGTGTCGGCACTGCCAGTATCCTGATCTTCAGAGGTGTCGACGGCGGCAGACTGGACGAGCAATGTAGAAAGGATAGGTGTGGACGCGATGATGGTGTATTTGCCGAGCACACGCGGGAGCCAGCCCTTTGAGTCTTCGGCCTGAGCGTACACGATCGGCTGCAGACCGTTTATGAAATCGCTGACGAATTTGCGGCCGTCTTTCTTGATCCTCATCGGATCAAGGGTCATCTTTACCGAGATAGTGTTCTCCTGACCAGCTTTCAGAGCGAGCGCACTTTCCATGCTTAGCGAGCCCATATCGACAAGCTTGCCTTTCTTCGAAGACGAAGCAGATGGGATCATGACGTCCATTTTGAGCTGACCCAAGTTGAGCGACATGAGATCTTGGGGATTATTGAGCTTGATCTGGGCGGTACATATCAACGCATTGCGCGTGCCTTCTACAATGTCGAAGGATTCAACTTTGAGAGTATTCGTCTTGCTAGAAGGCTTCGAAGAGACAGAAGGCGACATTTGAAGCGCGCCATCGAGTTTGTTGAGGCCGAAGAGCTTCACAGTCTTGACCATCGTCACTTTTGGGATCTTGATGCCGAATGACTTAACCCTGATGACGCCTTCGAGAGTCAGATCAATGCCGCCTCCTCTGCCTTTGCCAACGTCGCCGGATTCCATGATACTGCGAATGAACTCGTCTCCGACTTTCTGGTCGACAAAAGTTGCCTTGAAGGGTCCACTGTGGACATTATGTCAGATAATAGATCAATACCGTCGAAGAAGCAGAGCTTACAGAGAGAACATGGTCGGTGCAAAGCGATTGACGCCAAGTGAGATCTTCTCGTCAATTCTGTTGATGTTGGCGACAGTCTTGCCGCGCCAATTCATCTTCATCACAATCTCATCGTCCGACTTCGCTTTGGATGAGTTGAATTTGATGCCGGCGGGAAAGGGCCCCTGCGTTCGTCATTATGATCAGCAAGATGGCACGATAGCATCCTCGCTGTGTCACGCACAGTCTTGCTTAGCTTGCCGGCCACTGTCATTGTGAAGCCATTGTCAGTGGGATCTGACATGGTGATTGAGTTGAGATCGAGCACCGCTCGTGCGACGATCTCATTGACGATAGGTCGAAGTAACGCGGCCATTGTCAGACGACTTGGCGTTCGGTGCTAGCGATTGACGGTCTATGACGGCGGAAGCTTATATCGACGTCGTGAGCACTGAAGGGTATATCGTAGATAATGAGCGTCAGCCGGGCACCCTTTGTATAGCTTTTCGACCAGAGCAGCGCTTTTGTGGAGCCATAAAGGGCGCGCGCTACCCCGGAATGCTCGGCGACTTTGTCGGTCCAGAAGCCGCGTTTGAGAATAAGAAAATTGAAAAAGGTTCGATCGGTCTTCAAAACGAGACAGTCCCAGGTAGATCTCCCAGCCAGCCAGCGAGCCCAGAGAAACACGTCCGATGATCAAGATAACATGGAAGCAAGGTGTCGTGAATGATTAAAAGTAAGAGAGAGGATCACATGGCATAGCCTTGGCCGCTGTGGCCTCCGGGGCTGCGTGCATCCCGTGTCGAATACTGCTGCTGAGGCTGTTGTGCATACTGCTGATAGTGCTGTCGAGACTCGCGAGGTGCATAGGCTTCGGCTGCGGAGTGATAGTCTGAGCCCGCCTGAGATCGTGGTTGTGAACGGGCCTGAGATTGCCTGTATTCATATTCACGCTGTCGCTGCGCATGGATCTGTGCTTGCTGCTGCGCTTGTTGGGCCGCCAGCTGCTGCGCTTCGTACTGCGCCTGCCTTTGTTCTTGCTGCTGAGCGTACGCGCGGGAGTCGTATGTCGATCCAGCGGAAGACGGTGCATGCTGTTGACGCGATGCCGCAGGTGCAAACTGTGAGCCGCTCAGGCCAGGCGGTGTGGCGGTGTTCCGACTGGACTGTGCAGACATGTAGCCTGCCTGACTGCTTGCACTCGACCGAGGTAGACCGGGTGAGCTAAGCGGCGAAGGTGATGGCGGGTAAGAATTGGGCTGGCCTCTTGCCTGACGGGACGCGCCCAAGTGCGATGCAAGGTAGCCGGTATTGACGGCTTGTTCGCTCGCCTGGAGTGTCGTCGTCGAGACATTGGGGTCCATGCGTCCACCACTGAGTACATAGCCAGATCAGGCACCGCATACGCCATTCATTCAATGGAACGTACACCCAAGACTCGCGCATACGAGAAGCCGCCGCTCGCTTCTGCTTCTTCCGTCGGACCATCACAATCATGATCTGTGCAAGCCGACATATCAGCTCAGAGTTCCCAAAGACAGAGAAGGGACACACAATGGCACCAATGATGATGACGGCAGCGACGGCGGCGATGGCGGCAATGACGCCTGTACCAATGCCGCTCGACTTTGATGAACTTGAATCATCGGCAGAGACGGCATTGGAGCCAGATCCAGTGTTGGCATTGCCGGCAAGCGTCGCTGTGGCCACAATGCCAGATGTCGCTGTCGGAGCGATCGTGTTGGCCCAGACGCCCGCGCCATCAGTGCCGTAGCTATAAGTGAGGGTCGCGCCGATTGCTGCAAAAGAGGTTGCCATCTTGACTCGCGCGAGCGCTGTCCGATCAGATCACGAAATCGGCTAGCCTCACTCGATGTCTGCTCTGCTCTGCGTCGTGTGCCGTCGGCAGCCTGACAGTGAGGGCGGCGTTGATGCGAGACAGGCTGCCTCGAGAAAACAAAGGGGACGCGGGAGATCTGATGACGTGTCACTCCTGCGCGTCTTCGCAGGCCTGTGTCCTCTTCTTTTGTTAGCGGTACTGAAGGTGAGTACTTGTCTTCTCCTGGAGTAGCAGCTTCTTCAAGATGAACAAACAACGAAACGAACAATCCAACACGATGAGGCAGACCTCGCCGCAAGCTTGGTCGGCCGTTGACGAGACAACTTACACTTGACCTGATCTTTGCCCCTGTCTGCGAGCATCCGAGCTCATACTGACCCGTATTGACGCACAGATGTAGCAATGAGATCGTCATTAAGGTTTCGACGCAGCGATATGGTCAGTCAGCCCGCTCCACATCCACTCCTGGCGCGATGAACAATGATCCTACAATTTTCGTCGGAAGACTACATGTCGACAATCCAGATAATCCAAAAGTTTCAACCTTGTCTGACCTTCCGCCTCTTGCAAGCGTCTTTGGGCTCTATGCTGACGTGTCACCTGTACCCAGTGACTGTTCGAGGCGAAAAGCACGGTAAGTGACCCCTCTGCGCGAAAACCTTCAATTCTTGATGATAATCGCACTGACGGGCGGACTGAACGGCATCGACACTCGGGCCTGCTCTGGAGCCTTACAACCTCTACACAAGGAGCTCGTCCGAGTGCTTGCATTTACTCGTTGATATTTATTGTCGGTTTTCTGAAGACATCCCCTGAGACGAGAAGCGCTCGAGCAGAATGCTTATTGTCATTGGCAACAACAGGTATTTGCGATTGCTCTGCTTGTTGTAGCAACATCTGCAGATATGTCGCTGAATCTGCATCAATCTCTTTTGCGTGCTTGCGTCGTAGTTGCCGATCATTCATCAGTTCATATTGACATCACCGTCATCGTCACTGTCAGCAAGTATGCTCATGCGAATCGGACGACTATCAATATCCATGCGGTTGTCGGCACGAGACGAAGCCGGCGAAGTCTTCTGACGAGGCGAGCGAGATTCCTCGGAAGCGGCCCTCATAGCTTGCACTGCCTTGCGACGCTCGTCAAGTTCGTCGACACGAGCCTGATAAGCGAGCTCTTCCGCCTCGAAGAGTTCTCCTTCGACTTGCTCGTCGTTCCACCATGTGTCGTTCGCGATGAAAGGCTTTGCTTCGAGCACAGGCCCAATAACATCGGCATAGTCTGTGCTGGCATACTTTGCGAGCAAAGCCAAGCGACGCGCTTCTATACGAGCCGCTTTGTCGACTTTGCGCTGCGTACGAGCTTTTTCGATAGCGGCGAGTGCTTGCACTTGATCCTCGACGAGCTCCTCCGTGCAGTACTCCGGCGACCATTTGTAGATGAACTTGTCCCAAGCACGCTCGAATAAATCTGCCTTGTCTGTTGCAGCATAGCGAGTGCTGAAGCTAGCATGAAGCATTCTCATTTGGTGGCCACGCAAGAGAGGAGTCAGCACCATGTCGGCAGTGCAGCCTGGTGCAAACGTGCTCATCAGCAGAAGTCTCGCTCATACCGCGACCCTCTTACCTTTGAAACGAAGGCAAGTCGACAGACGAGCTTCCCAGATAGCACGACTCTCTCCTGTGAGTGCTTCGATGAGACAGAGATGCTCGAGGCGCTTCTCGCACTCTGCGATGATGCGTTTGCGTCTGCCAAGCTCTCTGACGATCTCTCGAGCCTGTTCTGGCGTGGGCAACGTCTTTTGAAGGGTATATCCAATGTAGAGCTGACGAATAGGATCATGCTTTGCATTACCGAGCTGCTTCGTTGCGATGTAGGACCTGAGCTCGTCTGCTCCATCGCCGGCAAGACGATATATAGCATCCTTGTTGCGATTCTTGCGCAGCTCGAGAAGCTCGTCGAACCAAGCACAAAGGTAGACTGTCTTGGCTTCGCGGACGACGACTGATCTGCCATCTTTGATTTCGGTCTTTTCTGCCAGAGTGCGACAGGGAACGTCCTCTATCTCTTCTTTTGTGAGGCCAAGACGGCGAGCATACTCCTTTGGAACCATCTTGAATTCCTTAACGTACATCTGACAGCAGTAGCAGACCTGAGCATGCTATATCATCAGCAACCCTGCTGGCTGATCGGGGTGCCATCCTACCTTGACCCATGATGGTTCACCGCGCGATTTGGGCAAATACGGGAACCAAGGTCGGTACTCTTCATTGCCGCCTGGACCGGTGGCAATGGCGCACATGCACTTGCAGCAACTGTTCCGATACTCGCTGATCGCCGTCTGACGCCAGGTATACTTGACTGCGTCTCTGCTGAGTTCGCGACCTGTTGACAGAGGAGCAAAGCCATAGTAGCCACGTTCGCGCGCAATGCTTTTCCATCTGAAGATGTCAAGATCTGTTCCGATGATCAGACGATACGTCAGACGAGAGAAGAAGGACAACGAACAGATAGCCACACGCCAGCTGCGGCTAGCAGCTTCGAGGTTCAGGAGATCACCCAAGCGGCCACCAACGGCGACATGTTCCGCAATACGTCGCTTGAGCGCAATTGGCAGTTTATCGCGACCGTAATTGTCCATAGCGGGCGTCATCTGGCTGAGGATGGCTTTGTTGGAGTCCTCGATGAGACGATTGATCAGTGTAGGCTTCGAGCCGACTTTGTCAAGACCACGGCGGTCAAGCTCGACTTTGATTTCCGAGAGCTGCAAGCCATTGAGCTCGTGCACGCGCCAAGCGAAGACTGGTACGCCAGGAGCGGGCTTGGAATTTTGGCGCCATGAGGCTCGGACTCTACCGAATAGTTCGAGCGCGACTTTAGCTCCCTCGCCTGTTCTCTTGGCATATTCTGTCGAGCTGCGGATCTCGGCTGCCTTGTCTGCTGCCAGCTTGGCGGCACCCTTGACAATTCGCAGTCGTTGCTCCTCAGTGATCGGCGAAACGCTCTTGCCGCTCGAAGCAGCTTCGGCCTCGGCTGCTCGACGAGCCTCAAGGATGCCTTTGGCGATCTGAGCTTGACGGAGTTTCTCCTCAAAGTCTGTGATGAGCCTTTCGGCTTTACTGCCTGCCGCATTTGCATCTTTGCGCAACGTGTCGAGTTTGTGAGCAATACCCTTTGCATCGAGGTGTTTGAGCTCGTCCTTGATCTGTTCGAGGTGCTGCTTCTGCTCAACCAGTTTCTGTTGTTGCGCTTCTTTGGTCTTGAGACCGAGATCAAGACGGGCAATCAGTTCGGCTCTTGCGCCTTTGGTGACCATGCCAGACTGGCGCAGACGAGTCTTGAGCTCGTTGACGGAGAGCTTCGAAATTGCTTCGAGCGAATCAGGATCATCTCGGCCCGTGGCGGCCATCGTCGTGCCACCTTGTGTAGCATCAAAGTCTTCGTCGACGTCCATAGCAATGGGAGTGGCGTCCAATTTGCGGGATGCGATGGCTGCAGTCAGTCGTGCAGTCAATTCAGCTGGAGTCCCTTCTGTGTCGAGATCGCGATCTTTGAGGGCCTTTTTGGTTTTGGTGGCTGACAAGCCGGCAATCTCGCTGAGCTCAATCGAGTTGCGCGTGTCTAGTTCATCGTTTGCGCTTGCCTGAATCATGTTCTGTGCCGCAACAGCACTTTGACGCTTCGGCCTGGCCATCTCATCGACTCGTGCTTATCGCGTTGCGAGGTAAGGTTTGAGCAGAAGCACACCACGAACGCAAATGGTCCACAAAGCGGTGAAGTCTCTATTTGGACGCTGATGGGATGGCAGAGCTGCTGAGCACTCAAGCCGTGGACGCACAAAAAAAAGGCAGGGGCTTCGATGCAAATGTGACCTCTGCGCTGCTTTGCGCTGCTAATGATACACCGATGCGTTGGCGTGCCTGACAAGCAAGTGCGGCTCCTGTCGTCTGTTGGCGAACGGACAGAGACACAGCTAGAGATAGCCGTCAAACGGCACGAGCCAAATTCGAAGTTCGAATTCGATCACAACGCGAACGACGCGCAGCAACACCTGCCAAAGCGGGCGCTGAGCAGGCAAGCAAAGCTGGGCAACGATGCCGTCCTCAAACGTGAGTCTACGTGTCGGACCAATAGGCTGTAGCTCATGTGAACCGCAGAGTGACATCCTTTTGTACTTCTTGGCAATCTTCGTCCCGCCTATTAGTGTCTTTGTCAAACGTGGATGTCACGCTGACTTTTGGATCAATGTCTGTCAGTCGATCATTCCTTCTTCTGCTCTTCATCAGCTCACACGAAGCTGACTATGCAGTGTTATTCATCCTGGGCTGGATCCCCGGCGTCATTCATGCGTGGTACATCATCTCAAAGTATGAGACACCGGCCTAGCGAAAGTAGATTGGCATGCATTCGAATGAATTAGATAGAGCAGAGAGAGGCATACACAGCGCGCGCCTGCAAAGAGTTCATGTCGTTCTTAGTAACCTCCGTAGCCACCACCTCCTCCGCCGGAATTGCCTCCGCCGTAGCCACCTCCACCTTGAGGACCCGCACCGCCGTATCCGCCAGAAGGAGGTACAGCACCGCCGAAGCCACCCTGGGGCGCACCACCGCCGTAGCCACCCTGAGGCGCTTGACCGCCATAGCCGCCCTGGGCAGCCTGGCCGCCGTAGCCGCCCTGGGGAGCTCCGTAACCGCCTTGTTGGCCGTATCCGCCATTTTGACCTCCATAGCCACCTTGCACCGCGAATGAGCTCGATCTTGGGCCTCGAAAAGGTGATGAGCATACCTTGTGGGCCACCGTAGCCACCTTGACCTTGACCACCGTAGCCTTGAGCAGCACCTTGCGCGCCGTAGCCGCCGCCTACACAACGCCATGATCAGCTCGCTCGGATCGATAGACATGATCACGATGAGACTTGCCACCGCCGTAGCCACCCTGAGGTTGACCATAGCTTTGCTGTGGCTGACCGTAGCCTGCATACACTGCTCGTCATGCATGAGCGAGACCGCAAGGAGTCTAGTCTGATGACCGACTGCCGCCGCCGGGAGCAGAAGCATAACCGCCGCCGCCGCCTGGCCCGGTTCGATTGTTGGCATAATTCACACGAAGGGTGCGACCATCTGATACATCCATATAAGTGAGATCATCTCTATAGAGATCAGGCGGCCCACCCTGTAGTAGATGAGTGCGTGTGGCGAGGCAGAGGACCGACACGAATCAAGCCGATACGTAGCGGGACAGAGACAGTCATGTAAGGCCAGACGATCCCAGTAGACAGCCAGCACATCGACAAGCAAGACGCACAGATCGAGCCGAGCAACCCGAAGCCAAAGCCAGACAGAGCCCGAGCAGACCGAGACAGAGCCAGCCAGTCGGTCCCACCGAGGGCGATCCAAGAAAACGAGCGTTCGTTGCGCAGACCGAACCCAGAAGTCGATAAATATAGCCAGCAAGAAGCGAAACAGCGCAGCGCATCCGTCGAGGCAGAAGCCAAAAAAAGAAAGCAGGCGAGCAAGGCCAGTCAGAATCCGGCCATTCGAAAACAGACGAGAGCGAGCATGAACGAAGCGGTAGCCATGCAGTCTTGAGAACCGATAGCGACCACTGAGCGAGGCCCTCGGGAGACCAAGGGAGAAGGAGTCGGACGGGCAAGAAAAAGGAGGCACATACGAGCTGTTGTTCGTTCATGTTGGCGATTGCGACCTCTGCCTCTTGTGGGTTTGCAAACTTTGAAACGGCAAGGCAAGACAAACAGAGAATCAGGACCAGTCCAATGCGCAACCCAACGCACACGAGCAACCGTTCGAGTGGATAGGGAATGTCAACTTAGGAACTGACAGTGACGAAGCCGAATCCGCGAGAGCGCCCGGTCTGAGGTTCCTTCATGACAATGACATCGATCACTTGTCCGTGAACTCCGAATGCTTGTCTGAGGATCTCCTCATCTGTCCCCCAGGCCAGATTGCCGACGTAGACCTTTGCTGCCATTTCCTTGCCTGCCTCTTCTCGGCTGTGCGCAGCTTTCCAGCCCAGCCAAATAAATTCGCGTGACTTGGCCAGGCAGAGACCGCCCCAGGCCAGCTCAGACCGACCGGGGACGAGCTCGACAGACGCCTTGGTAAGCGGCTGAGGGTCAGAATCGACGGCTCGGTGTCTCCTTGAGCGAGTCAATCGAGTCGATCAGCTTCGAGATGGCTCAGAATGGCCACTTCATGGCAGGCTTGCAGCAAGGACAGGCGCCGAGTCAGCAGGCCAACGGACAGCCTAACGCAGCCCAAGCAGGCCAGATGAATGCACTGAACCAGCAGATCTTTGCAGACCCGGCCGTACTGCAGAGACTGATCCATGCCGCTCAGAACGGACAGCTCGGTCCCGAGCAAGTCGCTACACTCCGACGATACCTCGCTCAGGCGAGAGACTCACAGCAAGCACAGCAAGCCGGCGGGTTCCCCAACAATGGACAGAATCAGCCCAATGCTGCCCTCTTGATGCAGATGCAACAGCAGCAGCAGCAGCAGCAGCAGCAGCAGCAGCACCAACAGCATCAGCAGATTGCAGCCGCTCAACAGACTCAGCAGGCTCGCCAACCCGGACAGAATGCCAATGGAGGCACTGTCCCGCCAGACATGAACCAGGCTCGTGCAGTCGTCACCAATCTCGTCACACGCATGGCCAACCTCGAGGCAGTCCTCGCCCAAGGTGTCGGCTCGGCTGAAGAGCGAGCGCGCAATCAGAGTCAACTCGAAGAGGCCAAGCGTGCCTACAACCTCATCGCTCAGAGGCCGGGAGGCAGCTATCTCCTACAGAGTATACCCGGCTTACCGCAACCGTCGCAGTCCACTGCTTCGACTCAAAATCAAGCTGGCCAGGCCATCAACTCGCCACAGTTGCAGCAGCAGCAACAGCAACAGAATGCCGCACTCAACTATCAGAGACAGCAATCCGAGCTCATGCGCGCCAACCTTGCAGCACAGCAGCAACGACAGAGACAGATGGGCGCGCCTGCCCAACCCGTTGCACCCGCTCCTTCCGGCTCACAGCCCTCACAGGCAGCCAACGGAGCTGCAAACGCTTCCTCTCCCGCCAGCGCTGCCAGCCCAGACAACGGCAACGCAGGTGGCAGATCTGACCTGCCAAAGCGAGCAAGACCACCGCCTCGCAAAGCTGCCGCCGCCAACGCCGCCGCGCCCCCTCCTGCTGCTGCAAGGCCTCAACCTTCACAGACCGGTCCGCCCCCAACCACATCGATCATGTCCCAGAGTATGGCAGTTCCTGCAGAGATGAAGATTCCACCGCCTCAGCCAGAGGCGCCACCGAAGCAAGGATCAAGGCCGACGCTCTCGCAAGGCTTCGCCGCTCAGCCCATCCTGGGTACACCCGCCATCACCGACCCTCCCTCGGGACCAGGAGGCAGTCGACCTTCGCTGCCAAACACGGCGACACCGGGCCCTGTCAATCGACCGCTTCTGCCGCAAGAACGCCCAGATGGAAGAATGCTCAACAAGAGGAAGCTCCAGCAGCTGCTCGAGAGTATTGATCCCGACGAGAGTCTCGACAGCGCAGTCGAAGACGTTAGTAGATCGTATCTCTTCTATCTCGTCCCCTTGCTCATCTAGGTTACGCTATACAGCTGCTTCTGGATATTGCAGATGAGTTTATCGATTCCGTCACTCGGTTCTCCTGCCAGCTCGCAAAACATCGCAAGTCCGATCGTCTCGAAGTTAGAGACGTTCAGCTTCATCTGGGTATGCATATGCTTCTCCTCTAAGTGCAGACGCACCGTCTGAAAGCGAGAGAGCAGAGCGAAACTGGAATATCCGTATACCTGGTTTCGCAGCAGACGACGTCAGGCTCAGTCAATCTCGACGAACCGTCTTGCCCGCTGGCTACGCGACCCGTTTGGCGGCAGTGAGGGATGCTGCACGACGTAGGGTATGACCCTTTGCGACCTCAATGCATTCGAGTGTAACACATTCTTTGCACGGCCTCAGCGGAAGCGAGGTCGAGCGGCCAAAGCTTTCTCTTTAGGTTGACCTCTCGTCAGCTTTGGTGCTTCCGACTCTTTCTGCTGTGGTTGCGAGACTTGACGCGAGGCGCGCAAGACGGGTTGAGGAAGCGACGAAGTCGGAATGCTCGTCGCACTTCGTGTTGTTCGAGGCAGACTAGACGCTTTGCTGCTGATCGGTTCTTTGACTTGCACCTTGACAGGTACAGATCGAGGAACCCTGCTCGGCAATCGCGAACGAGGAGGTTCAGGTGCCGGGCCGACAGCGCTCACTTGACTGAGGCCTTGTTCGCGTGATCGTGATCTCGTCATCTTGACAGACGGCTGCAGGCGATTTGTTCGCGTTGCTGTCGTCGTCACTGATGCAGCTGGCGTAGCTAGGCTCGTCTTGACCGGTGCAGGCAGCTCAACGGGATTTTTGATGGCCTGGCTCACTGAAGCAGCAGATGACGCGGCGGGCGTGTCAGGCATAAGGAGCTGCTTGACGCCGCGGAGATCAGGCGTAAAGGAAGTGTTACTCGGCAGCTTGTACAAGCTCGAGACGTCGCGTAAAGCGGCAGGCGTTGCAGCAGACGACGGACCCTGCTGCTGGAAAAGATGACGCAAGCCGCGAAGATCTGGTGTAGTCATACTGTTGGGTGTGGCGGATGCAGGAGTGGCGGAAAGATGAAGCCCGTCGACGAGACTCGCTGCGTCAATGGTAGGCAGACTGGACTTGATCGGGCTCGTTCTCTCGATTGTTGCGAGCTTCCTGATCTCAGATTTCAGCTCCGAAAGTGCTATCGAGGCTTCTTCCGGCTTTGGCGTGATGCGCGCCAAGAAAACCAGAGGCTGAGAGACCAGTCGAGGAACAGGCGTCGCTAACAGTCGCTGCAAATCGTCTGCAGCAGCTTTCGCGCGTTGTGCGCCTGCGACGTTTTCTGCGATCGATGCAGTCGCCGCTTTGACAGGCTTCCGTGAGGCTCGCAAGGGTGTCAAAGCCATCATGGCTTGAGCTTTCTGAGCATCGACAATTTCCTTGACTGCGCTCGGCGGGCAGTCAGTCGCTACCCGTCGCGCTCGCATCGAGCTGGGCGTCGAGACAACGGCTGACATAGGCGCAGCCGTACTGCGAGGCGTGCCCGCCATTGACTGAGATTTCGCGGAAGGGTGCTCCTCATCTGAAGACTCTTCCGATGATGCTGACGCGACAGAATCAGAGGAGCTTTCTTCGACAGCGCGCCATCGCGTGAGATCGATGCGACTCTTCTTTGGGCTCGGCGGCTTCTCCGCGTGCTCGTATAGCTTCTTCTGGAACTCGCGAACGTGCAGCTTGTCGCTGAATTGGACTTTGCGTTTGGCAGACGCGTTCATGCCTACTCGGGGCGTCTTACGAGCTGATAGAAGCGAGCTTATTGATCTGATGATACCGACGGGCGTCGCTGGCTTTCTCTGCTCAGCCTTAAGCGCTTCAAGCGAAGGCGTTTTCCGTAAGATGGTGCGCGACGGCGAAGCCTCGCGACGAGGCAAGCAGATACTCTGTGACGAGGGTGGACCATACTTAGCTGGGCATAACATTGCATGCGATGAACGTACATCATCGGACAGCTCCTCACTGTGACCATCGACAAGCGCGGATGTCGAGCCGGGCAACAGATTCGCTTCGAACTGGCTGTCAATCTCGGTCCATGCGATATTCTCCGAGACGGCCTTGTTCAGATACGTCGGGCTAGCCCACTGCCCGCTCGTTCGACGAAGAGCTCTCGCTGCACGGTCAGAGGAGCTCAGAACAGGCTCCGGTGTGTCTGGCGGCGTGATCGAGCTTCGAAGCGAACGGCTTTGATCTGGTGAGACAGATGAGCTTTCAGCATCCGGTGCTACTTCGAGCTCGTAATGATCGTTGTGCTCCAATGCCTCGGGCTCAGCCGCACTTGTAGACGGAACGTTGGCGGAAGCGGCGTCAGGAGATTGTGGCGCGTCCTGATCATTCTGTGCGCTTGCTATAACTGCCGGCGCTGCTAATGCATCGAGATCTCGCGTGTCGCCGAGATGAGCTTGTATTGCGCTCTTGAGCATGACACGCTCGCGGAGTGACGATCGTCTGCTGAGACGTGGAAGACTGGCTGGTCGCGGCAAAGGAGGCTTGGGAGGCGTTGACTGAGCAGGCGTCAGCTGTGCTAGCCCTGTGCTAGCAGGCGTGCGAGGCGTAGCGTCAGGCAGGATACCAGGCGAGCTTTCGGGAGCGGGCGCTGCGGGCGGGGCGCGAGTGGCAGGGCAAGGGCCGATAAGAAGCGCAGACACCTCCTCGTCGCTGTTTGCGATGCTGCTGTCGCCGCCCGACGATGCGCAGGGCGGGTCTAATGGGGGTACCGCAGTAAAGGCTGGAGACGGCGCGGGCTTGACGAGAGCTTTAGCTCGGACAGGCTGAAGAGGTCGCTGATTCGCAAGCAGGCTTGCTGTGGGACTGTCCGGCGCGAAAGACTGAGCACAAATTAGCTGCCACCTGCATTCGACACGCAAGGGAACTCACAAAGAAGCTTTTGCGAGGCTTCGCGGTGACTCTGGCATCGACCAAAAACGCAGGCTGAGCCTTCTGGCCGCTGCCCGTGCTATCAAAATGGATCAGATCGCGATCGCTCGGTGGGGTCGTAGACGCGCTCAGATGCTGCTTTTCGAGCTGCTCGAGATGCGGATAGTGTTGGGCATCCTGAACGGCCTGTCTTTCTTGCTCGAGCGTCTGGACCAATTGGTCTGCCATCGAGGTTCGTCTGATGCTTTTGCGTGCACTGCCTCTTGCAAGCGAGCTGGGAAGAACAGAGCTCGACGGCATTGGCTGAGTGAGGATGGACTCATCGACTGATAGGAGCACGTCCTGACTGCTCTGATTGAGAGATGAGAGTTCGATCTCGCTTTCGAGCTGGAGATTGTCTGTCAGATCTACTCGCGAGTCTGATGTCGAGCAATCAGATACGCGCAAGGAGGGACTCTGCGATGCCGATGCTGGTGGCCGAGCTGACAGAGGCGACATAGCTTCGCTGCTGCCAGAGAAAGAGGAACAAGACGAAGGAGATGCCCATTGACCAGGCATACTGTGCCGCTTGCGGAGTGTACGCTCTTTCGATTTGACTGACACTTCATGGCTGAAGCCCGGCGTGACGATATCGGCCGGTGCATCTGCTGGCATTGAAGTCTTCTCCGCGCGTCTTGGTGTCGAGGAGATTGTACGTGAAGGCCGTGGCCGTGGGGCAGAAACTCTGACGTCGTTCTGAAGGGCTTTCGGGCAAGGCATCAAGGAAGTAGGTTCGTCATCGTAATCTTTGCAGAGCTTGGCTGGTATTGGTGCTGCCAAGACTCCATTGGGCTTCTGCGCTGGCATTGGCCGACTCGAGGGCGTGTCGAGAACGACCCGGTCCATGACAGACGGCCGAGGCTTGAACTTGCGCGCGACTGTTGCAGGCGTGGCCTGCGTACGCATGTCAGTGCAATTCAGGGGCTTGTAGCGCAACGGACTACCTGCGGCGCACACATCTTGGCTGGCTTGGATGTAGGTTGCTGCCATTTGAAGACACGCTTGGCTATCTCGATTATGTCCTGATCGTACAGCGCATGCTCCGTATTCTGTTGGCAGTGGATGCCGTTGAGCACAAGACCGTTGACGGAGTGCACGACAAGTGCTGCCTCAATCGAAGTATCCTTCTTTCGCGTGAAGAGGAGCTCGGCATGGACTTTGCTGACGTTGCTGAGGTGTAGCCTGACATCGCAAGACTCCAAGCGACCGAACGAGCATGTCTCCTTGGTCAAGGGAAAGCGATTGCGCTCGGTCTGATAATCCGCTTGAAGCAATATGAGCTGTCCAAAAGGTGCGTCCAGGTCTTCTGCGGTCTGCTGAGGTGTCTGAGGGGTGCTACCGGTGGCCTTGTGCTTGGATGACGGCTTTGTCCCCGACTTTGCGATCGCACGAGAAGAGTTGTCTGGCGTCTTGCTGAGCCGCGCCACCATGGCTAAGGCTAGAGTACTACTGTCTGGCGGTGCCGTTTGCTCGCCAGCGGACTTGGGGCGTGTAGTCGATGGGGTCTCATGCCGTTTCGATGCGTTGTTGGTCGAAGTCGGTCGAGATGCGAAGCGGTTGGCAGAGATCTCCCGTGGAGTCCTCGCGCACTCCGAGCTGACCACTTCCGCCGCCAAGTCACCCATCTTGCTGCGTGCCCGGCAGCCTGACTGCTCTGATGCGCTTGTCCGCTCCTACTTGTCGCTTGTTTTTCGCGCGCCTTGCGTAGTCACGTGATTGCTCTCCTCGCCGACTACCGTCAAGATCTCAGCTCAGGCAGCCGGACAGAATACGACAGCACAAGACAAGCGACACGATGCAGGCCGCCGTGCCCCAGGCTTACATCTTGTGCTGCCACAAGCGATGCACACACGCGATTGTCAGGCATGACCGCATTCTTGACAACGCCAAGCAACCTTGGCAGATCCCAGCAGGACATGCTTCAATTGCGTATACAACTTTGTCACTGCAACGCATAGCGACATTGTATGACTCTATATTTTGACCTGGACCATGTCGGGCCTGCTCCTTCCTCAGCCTCATATGCCTCAAGTCGACAGCCAGACCTGGGCTGTCCCTTCCGTCCAGAGACGCTATCCCGTCCCGACATCCGCAGCCCGTCATTGCGCCTCTCCCTGACTTGGCTGTCTCGATTGCACGACAAAAACGCGTCGCCGTCGCGTCCAGCCAAGCAGGAAAGAAACGCTCGATCGGTCAGAATGGACGAGTCGTGCCCAAGCTCAGAACGGTCCTACGAAGCAACAGAGAACAGCAAAGCAGTGCAAGCTGGTACTTGCTGCTCCATGCGTTCAGCTTGAGCTCCGACTCGCTTGTCAAGCATTCGAGACAAGTGCCACGCTCGTTTCATCAGCGCGGCAAAACAAAAGCGTTCAGGCACGGTCCGCCATAACAGAAAACGCACGGATCTCGCGCAGTCGCACGGACTCGTGCAGCAAGGAAGCCAACGTCACTTTCTGTCGGTCGAAGTCGAGTGAAGCAATACTTGAGCGCACATCCGCATTCAGTCACATCATTATTCGCCCACACACCACACTCTTTTATTGACGCATTGATCAACAAGTCGCAAGCATGTCGGAGCGACCCAGCTGGCGCAAGCGCGCCCTCTTGGCTGCGCTTCTACTGTCTGTCGCCGGCTTCACCGCAGCAGAGTCACACAATGATCCTGAAGCGCTTCAACGACGGAGGCACCGACACCATGAAGCAAAGCATCACAAGCACAGGGAAGGCAAGCGCCTGAGAGCGAAAGCGTTCAGGTCAGGCACGACACCACCCACCTCATCGCCGGTCGCGAGTCTGCCGGCCGAGACTGCGCTCGCACTGGCCTCTCGCTTTGGCTCGAAAGCAGTCGTCTTGCAGGCCCTCAAGGCCGATGGTAAGCACATATGCCTGTGCGCAGCCTTAGCGCGACTAACAGTGTCAGCAGTCGTCGTAACATCGACCTCGCTTATACCGACATCGACGGAAGTTGTCGAGACTAGCACGTACACGACCGACTCGACTTTCACAGACTCGGACGGCACCGAAAAGACCACCTCTATTGAGACAACGACAGAAGTCACGCGTACAGTAGACACTACTCTGACATCGACCTTCGAGAGCACTTCATACGCGCCTACTTCGACGGAGCAGGCCACCACGAGCTCAAAGACAAGCGACGCGTTTGTCAGTGACAGCACGAGCAAGACATCATCAAGCTCGAATAGCGCCAGCCTGACATCTTCGACTCGGTCAGACAGCAGCTCTTCCGAGCAGCCGAGCCCCACCAAGACTAGCAGCGATCCCGCAAGTAGCACAGACGCGTCTACCTTGACAAAGGATGATCAGACTAGCAAACCAGATACGGCCACTGCCACGTCAAGCAAAGCTGCTCCGAGCTCCACAACAGATCTCGCAACATCAAGCAAGGCGAGTGCCGTCTCGAGCGACGAGAGTCCGTCCATCGCCTCGACGAGTAACGCAGTCGCTCGCACGTCTGCAAATAGCGCTAGCGACTCGACATCGTCATTGCCTGCGTCCGGCACTGATCGCAGCTCAAGCGATGCAACGGTCGCATCTCGCACCGATTCAATAACGTCTACTGATGCTGCACGGTCGTCTGCCAGCTCGAGTTCCTCATCTTCAGCAACAAGCAGTTCAGCGCGCACGACTCAAGATACCTCCAGTACCTTCGTACCCAGCTCGACGGCCAATGCACCTTCGACAAGTACTTCTGCAGCAGAAAGTTCGAGCAGCGATGCTCCGAACACTGTTACCAGTGTGATTACCAGTACGCCAGCTCCTGCCAGCTCCTCTTCGGTACAGCAATCGAGTGCAGACAACCCCTCTACTGCAGATCTCCCAGAGAGTGCCAGCAGTGCCGCTACTAGCTCGAGCGTTCAGTCGTCATCGACCCCCGACAGCGTCAGTCCGGCCAGTACTACCTCTGATCCTTCGCCTGCAGCGAGCGCTTTGCCGGACGGCGGCAATTTGCTGTCCTCGGTCTTGAGCGTGACCAACGCCTTGCCGACGCTTGTTCCCACTCCCACAGGTACGTTAGCACTCGCCTTGCATAGTGCAGTGCTGACATGGTTGCAGACACACCTTCAGCATCGCCTACGATTGCTGGCACCTCGACAGATCCCAGCAGCGACGAAGTGCCTCAGACTTGGTCTGCGCCGACGCTGACGTCAAGCTCTACTGACAATACGACTCCTGCCAGCGCTACTGTGCCTGTCTCTGTTGCTCAGTCTGACGTCACGAGTGCACCACAGAGCAGTGATGCAGCCGTTGATACTTCAGTCCCATCTACATGGTCTGCGCCAGCTGCCAGCGATGTTCTGCCTACTTCGGCGGTTGCGTCCGTAGTCTCGTCGATCGTGCCTGTCGACTCAATCGTGCCTACCGACTCAGCGCCGGCCTCCGACACGGGTGCTGCAACGCCCACAGACTCGACGGCAGCTTCACCTACTGACGCACCTGTCGCGTCATCAACGGATGCCGCCAGCGCTTCGCCAACGGCTGGTGGAAGCGCTGCAGCAAGCGGGACGAGCGCGGCACCAGCAGGGTCAGTCATAGATGGCTCGCAGCCTACCGATTCAGCTTTACCCGGACAAACTGCTACGCCCACCGATTCAGTCGGCCCGGTCTCATACACACCTACTGAATCGGTCGGACCGGTATCGTACACGCCCACTGACTCTGTCGCGCCCGTATCTTACACGCCGACTGACTCTGTCGGTCCGGTGTCGTACACGCCGACAGGCTCCGCGAATCCATCCGGCTCCGCAGCGCAAACATCGGCACAGTCAGACTCGCTCGGCACGTTCAGTTCGAGCGCGACAAACACGCCGGCTAGCGAGAGTCCAGCAAGCGCGTCAGGTGTGCCTAGCCTAGCTACCTCTGTTGCAGTTGGGGCCGCGACATCCGTAGCCGCTTCGACAGTAACTCAGGCTCCAGTCTCGAGCCAACCGGACTACTACTCCGACATTCCGACTGCCTTGCCGTCGAGCGTACGAGCTTCTATAGCCTCTGCCGTCTCGAGCGCTCTCGCATCTGCATCATCAGCCATTGCAGAAAGCCAAGCTGCTGCCGCTTCGGCTGACTCGCAGCCAAGCAATTCGTAGGCTCTTTCCGGGTCAGGACTTCACTCGCTAACGTGGTTTATGCAGATTCTATGACTTTGTGCCTACTTCCACGCTCCTTCAAGACGGACCTGCCACTATCAGCACGCCCACGCCAACAGTGACTGGCTTGCAGGCGACAGCAACAAATGACGCGGAAGCTGGCTTCACGTCATCGACAATCACCATCGCGTCAGCCGTCGCGTTCCCTTCCGCATGGCCGCGACGTATCGTGCCACAAGATGCGCCCTCTACTCCACCTAGCGGCACTCAGATGGTTTCCATACTCTTTGGATCATCGCTCTCCTGGCCCTGGCTGGTCCAGACGCCAGATGCATCTGCCCAGATCTTTGCTTTCATGCCCAATTTGCTATCCTCGGCGCTCAATCTGTCGACTGGCCTCATCTCTACAGTTGCGCTACAAGCTTATCAGCCGCAGACATTCAACGAGACGAACAACAACATGCTGTCATTATGGCTTGGCTATGTTCCCGCTACGAGTGTGTCATACCTCGCTGCACAAATCAAGACGCCAAGCAGCCCGTTGTATACCAACTCGAGCGGCATTCAGCACGAGCTCGCCATGGCTATCAATCCAACACTGCCCATCACAGCGTTCTCATCGACGTCAGACTCGAGCACGCCCTCTGACGAGTCAACAGGCGGAGCATCATCATCGTCGAGCTCTTCTGCGACAACGAGCACATCTACTGTTGGCGCAGTTGTTGGCTCGTTCGGCGCAGTTGTGCTACTTGTAGGTGCAGCGCTCACGCTCAAGACGCGCCGTCGACGAATGGCAGAGCAAGTGTCATCGACCTCTCAGTCATACGGTGCTACAATGTCCCAACCCGCCACAGTCGGAGGACTCCGTCAGCTTGTCCTTGGCAGCGACGGTCGACGGATCTCGACAGCAGGCGCACCCGTAACCTCGTTCGCGCATTCTCGGACAACGTCAGCAGAGACACGCAATTCTTGGTGGCGGTACAGCGATCCGTCTGATCAATCGCATAGCGAGACGAGCTCGTCATCGTCACACAATCAACCCAGGCGGATTGGCAGTAGTCGGATCGCTGCAGGAGAAAGGCCCGCGATTTCGAAGCCGTACATGAACATGAACAGTCTCATGCTATGAGCGGTCTTGTAGCTTGAATCACTGTAAGAATATACACTGTTTGCATGCATGCTTTCTATGGGGTCTCACACAAGGAAGGGAGAATCTATGACGCTGAACCCGACCGCTACACCGCCCTCGTCGTCTTGCCTTCCCTTTGTGCGCAAAAGATGCCCGCCCACTTCGCTCGAAATCATGTCTGCTTGTTTTGACCCTGGCTTGCTGTCGAAGAGCGAGATGCCATAGATCCCAAGTTCGCTGACTGTGTCGCCAAGCAGACCTTTCCCTTCGCCTGTCCGAACCATGATGTTCTTCTGCTCTGTTGGCGGTAGGATGAGCTCCATAAGGATGTAGCCTTCGCGTCCTTTCGGCTGGCCGGGCCGATCACGTTTGTTGAGCTCGTCTAGAAACGGTGGTATCTTTTCGCGATAGACATTATTGCCGCCGCCTTCTCGCTGAGGCTTCAACACGAAGCGCGAAGGCTGATCGCGTGCTAATTGCTCGTTCTGATCGCCCTCTGTTCCCTCCTCTAGACTGTATAGCGCAATGAAGGTACGTCGTAAGTCTGCAATCTGGCGCTGGTCGAGGTGTTCGCTTTCGAAGCGTTCTAGCATGCCCGGCTCGGTCAAGACTTGCTGTATCTTCTTTGCACCTGCTAGTTGTAGGGCGACACTGGGACACTTTACGGCTCTCGAGCGTTCTAGCAGTAGCCGAGTGAACCAATGCTCTGCAAGGGTATAGTCTGCAGGACCGTAACCAGCCCGATAGTACACTACGCTGATCTCGCGAGGCCCGGCGCTGATAGGTTCTCGGAGCAATAACCGTTTGTCGTCTGTAAGGGAGCATTGCTGCCTTACTTGCGCCAAGGTCAACCGCCGCACGCTCACAGACATCCTGCGAGGCTCTTAGCGGTCTTCTCGACTTGGCTATCATAAGTATGGCACACTCTTGAAGAAGCCACTCTATCGCGCGTTGATCAAAGGCATTGCGCTCCGGGTCTTGCACGACGAATAGGACTACGGCAGCCTTTGTACTTTGCTGCTGCTGATAATACTGATGTGCGCTGGCGATACCTTTCGATATCGCTGACAGTGCGTCATTGCGAGGTAGCGCGCTTGCGTCTATTGCAGCCGAAGAAGGGTAATAACCCGAATGGAGCAGATGTCTGATTCATTTCCATCGGGTCAGCATATATATACGCTGCACTCGTGCAAGCTGACTGATGTAGACTGGTGACTTTGCTCGACAGAGCACCGAAGGAGCTAGAGATAGTATTGAACTCCACTTGCTTGATCTCGAGCGGCAGGGCCGCGTCGCTCGTTGGCGCGTGCATGAGATAGTCGGACCTAAATATACCCAAGGTGACAGTCTGCTGCCGAATGAGCCCATTAGCTCACAGGAGTCGTTTTCAGCTTGCCTGCTCTTGTCCGTCTGCTCGTACTTGCTGCCAGATCTCATAGAGTTTGCCCTGAAATTCGTCGACCTTGCTGACCGCACCACCGATGACTTTCTCGAGAAAGTCGGCATTAGACGCGATGGCGCAGTAGAGAGCGCTGTAGCTGCCTTGCACTGAGATGGCTTGCTCGTAGAGCGTTTTGGGAAAAGGCGTGGGAAAGAGGCTGAAGGGCGCATGGATGACAGTGGTTGAAGAGACTTCATTGTCGACTGCCGCTGGCCTGAGGACGAGCCCGTTGGAGAGTGCCCAATCGATCGCTTCGTGGAGGAGCGCTACTTCTCGCTCCTCTGTTAGCGAGGGCGGCCATTCTGGCAGCTGACTGACAGACATCAAGCTGATGCTGGGCAGGCAGCAGGCTTTATCGGTCTATCGACTCGGCCGACTTGGCCTTTGGACAATTGGACGCGACGTCAATTCAGCCAGATCAGAGTCTCAGGCCTCGTTCGACAGTCAGTTAATGAAGAGCAAGTCGATCGACACTCAGAAGCGACACCGTCCTCAGCAATCCATGTCCCGTGACCGCAAAGTCTAGTTTGGTATCACAGCTCAATCATGCTAGAACGTTTCGTGTGATATGCATCGTCATCGTGTACAATGTCGCGTTGAGCGAGTGCAAGCTAACACAGATCGAGGTTCTCGCTACGTTCAGCGATCGTCACTCGATTGCTCCTTGAAAGTTTTGCGACGGCCGAGAGTGAGACTGTCAAGATCATGACGAAATGACTGCCGTGAGTTGCAAGGCGGGATGCTTGGCATAACGAACAGTCAACCTCGCGCAGCACGCATAGCAAGCCTTGATATTTGTGCTGTCTCGGACCCGCCGGACGTGCGCAGGGCGTGAGGCTTGGTGGCGAAGATACCCATGGCATAGCTCCAGGGATCAAGTGCAATCGCCAATAGCAGAAAAGCTAGGAACTCTGCGATAAGGTGAGGTAGATGGCGGCCAGAGTTCTCGCCAGCTTATAGGCTCGCGAAGCATCGTTGCACAAAACAGCTTGACGTGACACGGTTTATCCCAAGGCGCATAGAAGCGGTTGAACCTCATTGAGGCTTGATGAGCCTCCTTGTCGCCCCAGCATCACCGGTCGTCCCCCTCGAAAATTCGTTGTCTGTATTTCTCGCTTTCGTGGGGTGCACATGGCCTAGCGCCAGCTTGAGCGTGTCCTTGTCGATGAGCTCAAAGTCGAGACATAGCCTGACGAAACGAGCGTAGAGTGAAGATGCCATCTGCTCGTAGTCTTTAGCGCTGCATACGACAGGCAGAGGCGGACGAACCTCGCACGAGTCGAATAGGTCGCGATGGGAGTAAAACGTGTGAGCGAATAGGCGGTAGAGCCGTCTCGTCAGCGCTGAGAGCTGCTTGACAGACGTATCCGGTATGACGAGTCTTCAACATCAGCCTGCTATTCAGCGGTGTTGTAGGCATAGCGGCCGCGAGCTTTACCTCGATGGAAAATGTTTGGCTGAATTGAGGAGCGCGAAGGCGGCGTCAGCAACGTGAGTCATGTAGTCAATAGCGCAGCACTCCGTCTGGCAGCCTTTCGTATCAGCAGAGTTACGTGAGCAGACACGAAGGAAGCATGCATCAGAAGCAGTCGCGTGAGCTGCGCAGAGGAACTGAAACGAGTCGGCTTTCATCTCTGGGCAAGACGTTCGAGTGCAGTGCTCCTGCAATTGACTGATCCAAGGATAGCTGAGATCCAGGACGATACGTCTGTTGAGCAGTACTTGCTGGATTGAGCAATCCTGACAATCTGAATCTGCTCGAGAGGTGTACCGACCTGATCTGCTCGTAAATCCAGACGGATCGATCGACCGCCACGGTCTCGGTTGGTCCATCATCCTCTTCGATTGATGCGCCGGTAGTGCTGGACGGAGGATCACTCGAAGCTGTGGACTGCGCTGCCGCAAGCTTGGCTTCATGAACGCGTGCTTGGGCCGTGTTAGTGACCACGGGCGAGGTTCTGGTCAGACGAGGCAGGGAGACGATGGCTTGTACGTCATAAGGGTCTCTTGTGACGAGCTGGGCGATGTACTCTTGGACTTGAAAGGGAGACTCGATCTTGTCGAGCGTCACAGACTCGACGGCCGAATGAATGTCCTGCGATTGATGCCGCATGAGCGTGTCGACGAGCTCAGTCAGGCATAGCGACGCACCTCTAGTGTCGATCCACGGCTGATGCGCTTGCTAGCCGGGCTTGCTGCCTTCATGGCAAGTCGCCCAGCTCGGTGACCGGTGACATCGTCGACAACGCGTCAGTACGTCGTCGCTGGTGTTACCGCTCCATCTGGACTGCTCAAGCTCGCTAGCATGCCGAGCGAGAGCCCTCTCATCTCTGTGCCGCGCAAGACGACGGTGGACGTCGATTGGACGCCACAGATCTACCACACCATCAGCACAGTCTACGGCGAGACACCCTCGAGCTACGCGGATGAATGCAATGCACTCAACCGATGCAGGCAGGATGCCGTGCGGGGAAGCGCAGGCAGCGATATCACCGGTCAGTCCCAGTCTATCAGACGGTCCGTCCATGCTGATCGTGCAACTCTGCTGCGCGTGACAGGCAGAGACCTGCTCTACAAATACTTTGGCCAACTCGAGTTGCTCGAGCTCAGATTCCCAGACGTTCGAGTCGGCTTTCCTTGGTCAGTCATCTGAGCGTTATCGCCGTCGCGCTGACTTGTCTGCACGACCGGAGCAGGAATGACGCCTTCACGCTGAAGCAGATCTCTCAGCACTCGTTGGCGTACGAAAAGGCGTCCGTCATTTTCACCATTGCCGCGACACTCAGCTCTCTCGCGGCCAGCCAGAACCGCTCTTCGCCCGAAGGTATCAAGCGCGGCTTCCACTTTTTTCGCTGCTCGGCCGGCATGTTCACGTATATCAACGAGAACTTCTTGCACGCGCCTTCGACTGATCTGAGCAAAGAGGTCATCAAGGCCCTTGTCGAGCTGCAGCTCGCTCAGGCTACAGAGATTTTCTTTGGAAAGATGACAGAGGAGAAGAAAGGGGTCACACTAAAGGCCAGAGTGTGTGCACAGGCAGCACACTTGTATCAAGGTTTGCTAGAGCAAGCAAAGGACCTCGTGGCAAAATCCATCTTTGATCGCACTTGGTGGATACTGCTGCAGGCGTGTCATTCTTTTCGCCTGGCCTGATTATCAAGCTGACTCGTGTCGCCGATGCAGGTCAAAGCCAAGCACTTTCTTGCCCAAAGTCAATTCCAGCGCGCTCTCGCAGACGTGGCCGCTTCGAAGCACGGCGATGCTCTGACGCGCCTACAGATAGCTGAGACGACAGCCAAAGAAGCCCACAGACTCGCGCAGACTTTGACTGCTACCTTCTTTCCTGTCAAAACGCCCTCTCTGCCGGCAGACGCTGCTACCGCGCTCGAGGACATTACAAAGACTCATCTGGCTCTCTGCAAGGAGATCAGAGCCTCTACTGCTCGCGACAACGATCTCATCTATCATGCTACTTTGACATCAGAGGCCTCACTGCCCCCCATCGACAAATCTGCTGTCGCTACCCCTATCCCGATACAGGAGATCTATGCGACCCCGGAGGTCCAGAAAGTCGTAGGAGCAGACATCTTCGCCCGACTCGTGCCGCTCAGCGTCCATGAGAGCGCTAGTCTCTACAGCGAGGAGAAAGCTAAGGTCGTCCGCTCCGAGACAGAAACGTGCGAATTGGCGAATACCGAGCTCTCGGCAGCGCTCGAGCACATGGGTTTACCTAGCTCACTCTCAAAATATAAGGCGGGCAATACGGCAAATCAACAGGCCGTTCTCGCTGATCCTGGACCTCAAGTGCGCTCATGGGCGAGTGACATCAAGAGGGATGAAGGCGAGTCTCGCATTGTCGACATGCTCGAGATACTCTCTCGATCGCGTGCCAAAGTCTCCGCCGATCTCGAGTGGATCCAGAGAGAGCTCGATAACGAGACGAGGGAATGCGAGCAAGGCAGACGAAAGTACGATCATCTCTGGGAGCAGTCGCCGTCTGCTAGTCACACAAGGCAAATGCGGCAAAGCCTGAGAAATCATCGCGATGCTTGCGAGCGTGCGGCACAGAGCGATCGACATGTTGCAGATCTGTGGACTCGGATATCGCCTGAGGTCGCTATCTTGGCCGATCCCACTGGAGAAAGAGTCGAGCGAGTCTTTGCTGAGGCTGCTGCTGCTGCATCTGGCACCCGCGAGTCGAACCTGCTCGACGCGGATGTCGACGAAGACGAAGGTGACGATACGAAGCGACAGATTGCTGCTATCGAGGATGGTCTGAGCCGACTTCAAGCCATCCGCCGTGAACGTAACGACGTACTCAAGGATCTCAAGGAAAGGGCAAGCTCCTAGTGTGTTCGTATCCACATCCTTGGGCTAACATTGTCCTACACTGCCAGATTCAGGCGGATGACATCTCCCACCTCTTGATACTCAATCGCAAGTCGCAGACTGTCGAGCCTGCGCTTTTTGCGGCCGAACTGGAAAAGTTCAAAGGGCACCAATCGCGCATTGCAGCCACACAGCACTATCAGCAGACTGCACTGAAAGACGTCACCGATCGATACGATCGTCTTACGCAGAGTAGAAGGTCGCAGGACATTCAGGCCAAGTGGGCCTCTGTCGATCGGGCTCGCAAATCAGCTGTAGCTCGCTTTAAGCAGGCTTTCGAAGCGTACGGAGACGCTAGAGCGGGTCTTGGCAAAGGGTTGGCGTTTTATCAAGACCTCACCGAAGTCGTCACGGGCTTGCGCGCTGAGGCCACTCAATACGTCAACGCGCGAAGTCTGGAGCGTACGCAGATGGCTTCACAAGCTGAGCTTAACAAGCGCCTGAGCTCCAGCAGCGCATCTCAGCCGCCGCCAATGAGCCCGCCGGTGCAAAGCCTTGAGCAGTCTCTGTCAGGCATGAGCTTCGGGTATGGCCCGAGCTCTGGGCAACGACAGCCAGCTCAAGTCAGTGGCTATGGCAATTTCTCACCGACTGCATCAACATCGCCATACGGACAGCTTGGCTCGTTTAATGCGTTTAGCGACGATCGTCAAGGACCGTCGATACCAACGCGGCAGGACAGCTATGGCGGTGCCGCTCCTTCTTCATATTCGACAGTGCCGCCTCGTCCTACACCGCCAGCACAGTCATCGATGTCGCCCGGACTGCCGCCTCCGCCTTCACGGCTAGCATACAGCTCGAATGCGTCGGCGCCGACTCAGCCTTCATACGTATCTACTTACAATACGTACGCCTCTCAGCCCACGGGGTATGCGCCGGCTGCGGCCACATCAGCAGCCGTGCAAAATCAGCAGTGGCAGCAACCGCAGCAGTCACACCTCCGACAGTATCCACAGCCTTATGCGCAGATGTCTCCTCCTCACCAACAGGTCTACGATTCGCTGCAGCAGCCCAGCAACCCATTGGCGCAGCGCAGTGCGCCACCGCCGCCATCCTCAGCGCAAGATCGACTTTATCAGCTGCCACATAATCCATATACCTCACGCCAATGATCAGTATGAAAGCAAGAGTGTACTAGTAACACTGTATAGAGGCGCGACGCGCTGGATTGGCGAGCCGGGTTTCGATGTGCCGAGGTTGGTCTCGTCGTCGGCGTCTTGGCCCTCACTGGCTTTCAGCACCTTTCCGTCGAGTTTGTCAGCTCTTTGCCCTTCGACGCTCGCTTGATGAACACCAATCAGCAGAGCAGATAGGCAGCCAGCACAGATAGCGCCGTTCCTCATCGTCCGGTGGAGCGACTCGGACATGGGAACACCGATCTTGTGCAATACTCCTCACGTGCGCAAGCCCGGCGAACGTCGCCTACACGCCCCATATCGCCTTTCACTGCGTTAGTCGATCCTGCTGCGACGCGCGAAGTCCATTGGGCCATTCCTCATCAAGCGGCCCATCAACGAAGAGACCTCGCTACCGATGGCCAACGGTATCATCCCTACGGGCGAGCCTGGCGGCTAACGCCTCATTCACATCCGTTTGAGCTTCTGCACGCCACGCGCCATGCTACGACGCAATCTCTACGGCATCCCCTGCCAGTCAATCCGACTAGGCGCGTGATGTCCACACAGCTCGTCGACGCGGAGCCAGCCATTACGCTATTGACCCAGCTATGATACTGCCTATCCCAGCTACCGTCAGTAGCATCGTCGCTTCGCAGACGACCACATCGGCGGCGAATCTGATGCCTGCAGTCTTTCGACTACCTGTGGAGCTATTGACCACCATTGCAATCGAAAAAGCAGGCTGGCACGACATTTACAGCATGTTCGCCCTGTCTTGAGCCTCTCAACACTGGCGAGCAGTAATGGCCCAAGACTTCATATGGTGTACTGCTCTCGGCATCGACATGCAAGATGATCGCCATCCCATGGGAGCCGGCGTAGATGCGCGGGAGCAAGCGATCAAGCGGGCGCAATGTGAATGCTCTAGTCGTGGTACGTTTCAGGAGGACATGATATACAGCCATAGAGAAGGCCCAGAGGCGAGGGGGCCGCTGGCGGGAGCTCTTCTGCGACATTGCTATCGCGACGGCATATTCCAGCCGTATAATTCCTCGCGCAGCAATTGCAAAGCAATACTGGCGCTTGCGGGCGTCTCTCAACAATCCACCGCAACGCTCTAATGATGACGAGGTTCGGCAAGATGCTTGGGGCAGGCAAATGCAACTGCGGCGCTTTCTAGACAGTTTGTTTGGGATCACCTAGCGCAGCCTCAACCACGCTCATTTCGGTGAACATCTTACAGTCAAATTCCGGCAACTCTGCGTCGACTTTGTCTTTCCTTCCGGTCAGCGACAGATCTATCTCGAGGAAATCATAGAGGCTTGGACTTGTAAGCTTCAGTCGTAAGAAGCTGAATCTCATGGGCTGACGAGTTAACAGTGCTGCTGCGTCGGCCCGAGCGCTTAGTCGATTGAGAAGATGAACATGAAGGCAAAGTGAAAGAGAAGCAGGGCAGTGCTACATTCTGGCGCGAATACGCCAAGGTCTGCGAGCAACAGCACGGGCTTGACGTTGTCAAATTGGCTACAAGCTTTCCGTCAAGGACGGCAGGCGAATGCGCCGAACCTTTGATCGTGCTGGCATCGTCGGCATCGCAGACGACAGGTACCGCATCGGGCCTATTGTACTCCTTGTGCACAATGAGACCAAACCATTCGAGGAGCAACTTCGCCATCTCCCAGACTGGCTGGCCGGTTTCGCTCGCAATGTCGAAGCGCAAGTAGCCTGCATCAAGCAGGATTGCAGCACTACGGCAGTTCCGGGCTGCGACGCCTGTCTCTGCGGATCGCACTGCATGTCGACGACTGCCGCCTTGTCGACCGTTGCCCCGTGCACGAGCCGGGACAGGCTACTTCAAATTCAAGCAGTAACATCGCGCCATTGGGCCTCTCACTTGGACAATGGCCAGGAGGTGGATTGTAATCTCGTCTGTGACAAGCCGTGCTTGCAAGGATGTGAGCGTCGTCATAGCCAGAACGTGCAGCCTCGGTGTGGATTGAGCGACGCACATCACAGGGATCAAGCAGAGTCAATGCAGTCTTTACAGCAGCGATGAGTCTGAGCAGACGGATATGATGCGTCTCTAGCACGGTCGCTAGGAGCACAACAACCTACAAGGCGACAAGGCGCTGTTCCATTATCTGGACAGGAGGGCACTTCTGCAGTGCAAAACCGCGGATGTTTTGAGCCGACTGGCTCATGACGTCCGTAGGGCCGCAGATAGTTTGGGCAAGGGTCTGTGTTAGGCCTTGCCGGTGCTATTCGGTCCGGCGGTTTTAGCTCCTGGAGGGGGCCGGATTGCCGAGCGTGCGACTCTGCCTGCGTTCAGCCTTGCTACTCGTAGCGGTAGGCGTAATCGCTCCTTCCCCCTTGTCCACAATCGCGCTCCTCAAGACAATTGCGTCCACAATGGGAATGTAGTCGATTGTCGCTCCGACGGTCAATTACGGCATCTTTCTGCGTGATTCGTCGGCTGTACTGTCGCTTCACGAGCGATCCGGCCCTCCAAGATAGGCCTGACAGTGAACGAGTTCGCCAACTCGAGGAGCTGAAAGGAGACCTTTCCTGCCAGCAAAGGCATTGACACCGATCCCGGCACGCCAGCAGTGGCCTGATTTGTTCCCCGCATGGCCCCAGCTGAGGCAAGCAAAGCTGCAGCCGCGCGTCGGTCGCGCTCGGTAAGACTGCTGACCGGCCGACTAGGCCAGCGAGCGCGGCCGGTTCGCTCTCGCGCTGCGCTTATAAAGCGCCATGTCTGCCTTCGCTCCCTCTCAAGCAGGTACACGGCATGCAGACCTTCAATAACTTAGAGGAGGCTTGCAGCCCTCCGATGCGACAGCACCGTCTCAGCGACCTCACAAATGCAACCAAAGTCGATGACGCCTCCATCAAGGAGCTTCATCAAACTGAATCTTCAGCCTCAGTCGCGCGCGTATCTGAGAATGCCCCTTTCGAAAGCCCGACATCATGGTCATTTAGCAAGAAGCTCAGAGTCAACACGATTCTGTGCTTTGCTACTTTGGCTCTGACGTACTCCTCCAGCGCCTACGCGTCCTCTGTGACCGACATTGTCCTTCACTTCAGGGTCTCAAGAGTAGTAGCAATCCTTGGCGTCTCACTCTTCGTACTCGGCTTCGCGATTGGTCCCTTGCTGCTCGCGCCTGCATCGAATGTCCTCGGCCGAAAGCCCATCTATGTGATGTCCTATCTTGCCTTCTTTGCCTTTATGATCGGAGCAGCCGTTTCGCCCAACATGGCTAGCCTTGCGATCTGTCGCTTCTTTGCCGGCATGTCGGGTTGCACCTCGCTCACTATCGCTCCGGCTTCACTGAGCGAGTTCACGCGGCCTCAAGAGCGCTTCAAGTTCATGATCTGGTTCGCTGTCGCAGCTTTTGGCGGACCGTCTTTGGGTCCTCTCTTCGGCGATTTCATCTCTTATCATACTCGCCCGATCCCTGGGTCGTCTGCGTTCGCCAACAAAGGACCGACTGCGCAGTGGCGGATCAATCTCTGGATACAGGCCATCGTAGTTGGCCTGGCGATGCTCATGCTTATCTTTGGCGCCCCGGAAACATCTCCTCTGATATTACAGGAGCGCGCAAATGCTGAGCGAGCGAAGTCCCTAGGTCACATGACCGATCACGTCAGCTTCAAGTCGAAAGCTGTCAAATTACGCAAAGATTTGACGCATGCTCTGGTCATGCCAATCATCTTTGCTTTCACTGAGCCGCTGGTCATCTTCTGCTCGCTCTTTCTTTCACTTCTGTACGGTATTGTTAGTCTTTTGCCTTTTGCCCCCCCCCCCCCTTCCAGATCCCCAAGCTGAATGCAAGGCGCAGATTTACGGTCTTTTCGCCGGCCTGCCGTATGTCTTCCAGGTACAGAGGGGTTGGACCCAGCAGGATGCTGGCCTGGTCTACATTTCGCTGGCAATTGGCTTCCTCATTGGCGCGTTTATCCTCCGAGTCTTTGGCGAAATGTCCTTCGATCGAGAGTTCAAGCGACTCGGACATATGCCTCCACCGGAATCGAGACTTGTAGTCATGAGCTGGCTCGTCATCTTCACGCCTTGCGGCTTATTCATCTTTGGCTTCACTTCATACCACAACTTACACTGGTTCGGCATGCTCGTCGGTCTGGCACTCTTCAGCATGAGCACAATCTGCGTTTTTGCCTGCCTACTGCCTTACCTCGCACTCGCTTACCAGAGCAATGCTGTCGATGCATTTGCCGTCACTGCGGTCACGCGAGCAGGTTTTGCGGCCGGCTTTCCTCTCTTCTCGTATCAACTATTCGAGAAACTCACCCCGGCCCGCGCTTGCGGCTTACTGGGCGGCTTGTCACTGCTATTGACGCCGTTGCCGTGGATCTTGATCAGGAAGGGACCAGCGATGCGTCACAAATCAAAGTATGCTATCGGCTGATGTTCTTAAAATAGCCGATTGCCAGTAACGTGTATCGATATCGCTTCACTCGAGCAGATCAGGCGCCATGCACGATGCAGACCCGGACGAACAGGCTCAGACGCCTTGAAGCCCTCTGCGCGAAGTATGCAGTCACCGAGACTGCAGACCACTGCTTCGATTCACGATGACATCGCTCTCTTGCTCGTGCTTTCTTTCTTGACGAGGACATCTCATGTCTAGAGACTTCAAAGCATGACATGCATCGTGTGAAATGACAGGCTTGCATCTTGCGAATGAATAAGTACGGATAAGGATCAGCACGCTGATTAGCGAAGCTTGGGAATCGCTAAGCTTGTCTAGCTCACGGACGTGCATCGACAAACCATCTCATGCACACCCTCGCGCAGATCAGAGCTATTAAGCACTTGTACCTGAATATGAATGAAGAGCCTTCTCATCTGCTCGACTGTCACGTGTCACCTGCCTCTAGTCTCGTCATCGTCGCGAGTGCGTGCGAGGCAAACTCGGGCAAGCTCCCAGCGGCGAACGAGCAATGCAGGGCTACGGACAACAGCCGTACTATGGACAGCAGCCGCAGCAACAGCCGCAGCAAGCCGGGCAGGCGTATGGTCAGCCGATGCAGCCCCAGGCGACGGGCTACCCAGGCATGCAGCAACAGCCCGGCTCATTCTACGGCGCTCAAGCCCAGGCACAGCAGCAGCAGCCTCCGCCAATGCTACAGCAGCCTAGCTTCCTCTCGACTCAGCCGACCGGCTATGGTGCGATGGGCATGATGCAGCCTCAGCCGACGGGCTATATGAGGCCTCAACCGACCGGCTTTGGTGGTTCACAGCTTGGCTCCAACTTGCCAGCGCCAGGTCAGCCCTCGATGTACATGCAGCAGCAGCAACAGCAGAGCCAAGCTACTCGTCCCAATGTCGTCTCTGCCCAGGGCAACTTCATGAGTGGTCCCTCGACCGGACAGCTCACGCCCATGCCTCAGATGCAGCGCCCAATGTCGACCGGCTACCCTGGTCAGGCAACCAACGTCAGCGGTCTCATGCCGCAGCAGACGGGCTACCCTGGTTCGTCTGTCTTTGGTCCCGGAGCGATGATGGGCGGTGGTATGGGCGCCATCGGCTCGACGTTTGTCAATACGTTCCTACCCGCCAATCCTGCTCAGGTGCCTCAGTATCAGCAAATGGGTGGTCATTTACAATTTAATACGAGCGGACTGGGTGGACAATCGCTTCAACAGACTGTCGCGCAGAGGAATGAGCAACAACTTGGTACTGCGAACGTCAAAGTCCCGTGGGCGCTGACTGCGGACGAGAAGAAGAATTACGATCAGGTCAGTGCCTCGCTCGTGGCCTCCTCTGAAGACTAAGTCTGGATGTGCAGATTTTTCGTGCTTGGGATGTGCAAGGGACGGGCTTCATTAGTGGCCAAATGTCGAAGGAGGTCTTTGGTCAGGCTGGCATCGACCGCGATGATCTTATGAAGATCTGGTGAGCCAGTGCACTCAATTGCTTGCTCATACTCATGCGTGGAACAGGAATCTCGCCGATACAGAAAATCGGGGCAAGCTCAATCTAGCGGAATTCCACGTAGCGATGGGCCTGATCTATCGACGACTCAACGGCAATCCTGTCCCGGACATTCTGCCGGCTGAGCTTGTGCCACCTTCAGCACGGGACTTGGATACATCTGTCGACTTCCTCAAAGATCTTCTCAAGAATGACAACCAACAAAGAGCGGCGAGCGCATCCAAGTTTCCAGACATTTCAGGCAACGGTAGCGTCAACAAAGCAAAAGTGCACTCGTTCAGAGATACCGCCTCTCCTCCCACTCGCAAAGACGCGACAATCTACAAACATGATGATACAGATACGACTACCTATCGCTCGGGTAGTCGTCATATAGACCGCAGCCGCGTACGCTTCGGCGGCAATACTTCTTCAGATCTAGACGACATGAAGCGACAGCTCAGCAGCAGTGAAGCAATGCTTCGAGATACTCGCTCGAACGAAGAAGAGGATGAAGCGCTGCAAGACGAGAAAGACGAGCTTATGCTGCAGATCCGCCGGGTTCAAGAGGATATCGAACGCAACCGTCGTGCGCGTCCATCGGATCGCAAGGATACGGAGCGACGCAAGCTCGAGCGTGATCTGGATTATCTGCGCCTAGACAAGCTGCCCCAACTCGAGGATAAGATCGCAGAACGAGAAAAGCAGAAGGCCCGCGAGAGGCGGAAAGAAGCGATCGAACGCGACGAGCGAGCCAATCGCAAACGATTCGATTTGCCTCCGCGATCGAGCCGGAAGAAGCCATCGTCACGTTACGACAGTGCAGACGATGATGATGACGAGGACTATGCCTCGAGACGTCGCGACGATCGCCGGTCCGCGAGATCCTCAAGGCGACGAGACAGCGACTCTGGCGGATCCAGCCCGGACAGACGTGACCGTCCGCGCAGTAGAGATCGAAAGCCGGCCTCGCCGCCGCCGAAAGCTCGCGAAGCGCCAGCGAAGCCGGCACCATCATCTCCAAAACCAGCAGTAAGCTCGCCGCCGCCTCCACCGCCTCCCCAATCACCGCCAGCTTTGCAGACGGCAGAAGACCGTGCTGCATTCATTCGCGCAGAAGCCCAGCGAAGAGTACAAGAACGACTCAAAGCGCTTGGTCTTTCGAGCGGTAGCGCAGCAGCCCCCTCACCGGACACGAGCTTGGCCGCTCGCATGCAGCGAGAGCAAGCTGAAGCTGCAGAACGAAGCGCGCAAGCGGACAAGGACGCATCTGAGCGTGAGGCTCAACGGCAATTGCGACTCGAAAAGGAACGCATGAAGGACGTCAAGGCGGAAGAAGCTCAGATCAAGCTGGCTAGTAATGCGGTCCAGCAAGTCTCTGACGAGGTCACAGGGTCGAGCATGGCCGCTCCTTCAAGCACGGGTGCTGTGCAAAAAGCTGCTCGCGAAGCCCTCGAGCGCGAAGAAGCGTCTGTCAGAGAGCAAGCGGAAGCTCTCGAGCGGGAAAAAGCTGCTCGCCAAGCTCACATCGCCAAGCTGGAGGAGGAGGTAGCCGCTGCCAAGGAGCAAGAGGCCAACTTTGCTCGAAGCAAAGCAGCTTTCTCTGCGAAGCCGGCTGCTAAAGCTGCACCACCACCGCCGCCTGCCTCACGCAAGCGAGCGCCACTTGCGTCAATGGCTACCGCACCCGCGAGCGCGCCTGTACCGCCGCAGGCACCTCCTGCGCCGCCCGCCCCTCAGATACCTGCTCCATCACCGCCGGCGGCAGCGCGAGCAGTCGTCGAAGCGCCTGCCGCGCTACCTGCTCCATCTGCGCCCGCACAGCCTGCTGGAAGCAGCTCAAGCAATCCGTTTCATCGCATGGGCGCTAGCGTATCGCCACAGCCAATAGCCAATGGTACAGGCAGCAACCCATTTTACCGGCCGAACGGTGCCTCTCCGGCACTGTCCAATACGCCCTCGGAGCCGCCCCGTGCGCCTGCTTTCAAGAAGCCTGCGACAGATGATGATGACGGCTGGGATGCGCCCAAGGAAACCAGCGACAATGACAGCAGCGATGACGAAGGGGCTTTATCTTCGCGCGCCAGACGCGCAGGCCTGGCCAATGTCATCTTTGGCGGCATCATGCCTCCCACTTCGCGTCCAGCCTCCAGCCAAGCGACGGAGGCGCCGAAACCCCCGCCTGCGCCCAAAGCGCCTGTAGTCATTGCAACTACTAGCGAACCGCCGCCTCGAGGCGCTTTGCTGGGCGAGATCCAAGGCGGTCTCAAGCTGCGTAAGGCCCAAACGAACGATCGAAGTACTGCTGGTATCGCAGGCAGGGTCATCGGTGACCCTTCGCCACCCGTGCAGACTTATGTCCAACCGCCTTCACCTGTCGCGCCGCCAACGCCTATTACAGAGCAGCCAAGAAGCGTGCCTGCTCCCGTTCTGCCATCAGCGGAGAGCTCAGATGACGAAGCCGATTTCGCTGACGCCTCGGCCGGCCTCCAAAGGTCAGCGAGTCCAGACCCCGCTCCGTCAGACAACTATGACCGTTCACGTAGTGAGTAGCTGACCACGAAAAACAAGGCACGGCTCATATAGGAATGCAGGCGAACGGTGCTATGCAGTCTACCCTTACGACGATCCGAGCAAACCAGGAGACATCTCTGTCGACGAGAACGCTGTCCTCAAAACCCATCGCGCGCTCGACAACACAGACTGGCTCTATGCGATCGCAGAATCTGGGTCTGCAAAGGGCTGGCTACCGGCCACATATGTCCAGCCCGTCACAAATTGTGCGCTTTTGATCTAGCGCGTTGATGCCTTCTCTGATGACGATGAGTAGCACGACACACGAAAGCATTATACGCATATCAAGCAACCTCGTCAGAGGAGATCGATCTGAATGAAGGCGAGACCATCGAGGTGTTTGGTGATTCGGACTCGGACTGGACGAAAGCCATCAAGGCAGGACGAATAGGCCTCGTCCCCTCGGCTTACCTGGAATCAGAGGGGAGCAAAGGTTAGTACTTTGCTCCCCTCTGCACGCTTGTCGCGCTGAGATTGCATGCCTTTTGATTCTGCTTTGTCAGCAATGGACCTTTCGCCTCCTATCCAAAGCCGGTCAGACTCTGCTTCGTCTGCCGATGACGACGACGAGGAGTCCGACTCGGATAGTGAGGACCGCCAAGCTGATGCAGAAGCAAGGCAGAAGGAAAGGATGCGCGTGCTCGAAGCGGCTGGCCTGCTGCAGAAGACGCGTCTGGAACGGAGAGCTGCACCAGAGCCGCCGCCCAAATCCTCCCCGCTCACAAAGCCCATACGTGCGAGCAGTGCGAGCGAAGACGCAGCGAGAGCGACGGACGATGCTTACGACCGATGGCAGAAGCTGCAAAAAGATCTACCTGCTGTGCCGCCCATCGCATCCGTGCCTGTACTGTCCACGCCACCCGCGGCAGATCGCACGAGCCCAGTACTATCGGACACGCACAAGTCGAGTCGCACAGCCGCGCTCTTGTCGTGGGTCACTGGTGCCACGCAAGGCAGGTCTTCAGCAGGCTCGCCATCGACTGACAAGTTGCGCGTCAGTGGGCCACTCAACCGCTCGCGTTCGGGCTCAGACGTCACAAGCATTCCTGCTGTTACGAGCGCAATGGGCCGGTCGTGGTCGAGCTTGATCGAGCCAAGTGCATTACAAGATGTGCCGGACCAAGAACGAAAGCGACAGGAGAGCATCTTTGAGCTCATTGAGACGGAGAAGGCCTACGTGCGCAATCTACAGCTGACCGTTCAGACATTCTATGCGCCGCTGGAGCCTGTGCTGGGAAGCGAAGCATCGCAAGCTATCTTTGCCAACCTAGAATCCATTCTCGTCTTCAACACGATGTTGCTGAGCGATCTCGAGGCACGTCAAGCCGACGCCCGGCTTTACGTTGACAGGATTGGCGATGTCGTCTTGCGCCATGCCCAAGACCTCGAAGTCTATTTGCCGTATTGCAGCAATCAGAGCAATGCCAACACCTGTCTGACGGAGCTGAAGCGGTCCAACGCACAAGTCGCAAAGATTTGCGAGGAGTCTCGCATCAAAGACTTGGAGCTCGAGCACTTTTTGCTGCTGCCCATGCAGCGGCTGACACGCTATCCGCTTCTGCTGCAGCACATCCTGCATTACACTGACGAGCATCATCCGGACCAAGTCGATCTAGCAAAGTCGACTGCCATTGCGGAAGCAGTCCTGAAGACGACAAACGAGAATATCCGACGTCAGGAGAGCGACAGCGTGCTTGCCCATCTATCGCAGACGCTTCACTTTGCAGGCTCGTCAACGGGCATCGATCTGACGGGCAACACACGTCGACAAGGGCCTCGCTTGATGTTGCAAGAAGGCACGCTGACGAAGATCAGGAGTACGCGCTCGAGCAAGCTGCAAGCCTATCTCTGCAATGATATCCTGCTTCTCGTCTCGCCGCCCGACCAGATCTACAAGAATCCCCTGCCACTCGAAGAGTGTTCTGTCCATGCCGACAATCGAGATGACTGTACTTTTCAGGTGCGCTATCATGGCACGACGGTCAGACTGCGCGCGGGAACGGCGAGGTTGGCCATGGCCTGGCTCAAAGACATCACCAAGGCTCAAGCCGACTGTCTGGCCGCTCGGTCAAGCTAGACGGAGCATATGCGGTTGTATGTAGCGTCACTGTTGTCCGCGAAGAAGCGATTGACGTCCGGCCATGCCGCGAAGAGGCAGGGAGAAGAGAAAGTCGCGCGGGTACTGATGTTCTTCGATGAGATGCACCTCGCGTTGTTTGGGCGTCTGTGAGACATGCTTACACGCGGCTTGGAAGCAAGCAAACTGCTGTACGCTCAGCGGTCAACTCAGGTGCGGTACAAAGCGGTGCGCACAGTCTTGTCGCCTCTTTCTCGTTTGAGCATCGTCATCGTGTCGTGTCGCTCGGTAAGATGCAAGCTGAGGAAATGCTCATCGGGGAAGGTCTTGCGGCATTCATGACATATGTGGGCGTGCCGCTGACGATGGTGCGAGGCTAGCTCTGCTGAGCCGAAGGGCGTACGCACACCGCAAGAGGGTACCATGCAGAAATATGTCTGAGCTCTGCGCAGCGTCAAGCGTGCTTCCCATCCAGCTGGCCATCGACATACTGGACTGGACTGGCTCGAGCGAGCTTGTCATGGTCACTAGCAGGCTCCTCATCGTCGTCTGACGCTCGTCGTTTGCTCATCGCCTTGCCAGGCTCGCGCGTTCCTAGCAGCTTGGCCGCCGATAGCTCTGTGATCTGCTGCATGCTACAGCATCTCTGCGACAGTGGTAGCTCGAGCATCGTCAGGAGACCGTACAGCGTATCGGCCAACCCGCCCAAGCCACCCAAAGGAAAGCTCAGCAACTCGCCGGGCGTCATCTTGCTCGGACTGCTCGGTATAGGCGGGATCGCCTTTCTCAGCTTCACTCAGGTCGTCGGACGGAGACAGGGACAGTCTGTCGTGCCAGACGCGGAGAAGAAGCCCTACAGACAGTACTGAGTCATGTCGGTGAGCCAGTTCGACTGCTCATCCATCCCGACAATAGCTCAACATCTGAAGAGCCCAGACTGCATTCTCTCCCGAGGAGGTCACGGTCATCTTCGTGCTGGGCGGTCCTGGCGCTGGCAAGGGCACCCAGTGTGCCAAGCTGGTGGACAAGTACAACTTTGTGCACCTGTCAGGCAAGTCATGCCCGCTTCGTGCTTGACGCGCCGTCGGCTCATCTCGTGCAAGTGTAGCGGGCGATCTGCTACGAGCAGAGCAAGATCGGGAGGGGAGCGAGTATGGCCAGATGATCAAAGACTACATCAAAGAGGGGAACATCGTACCTATGGAGGTCACCATCAAATTACTCGAGAACGCAATGAAAGAGGTCAGTAACGATGCATATGTCGTTCATGGCATCACTCATGGCCTTGATGCCTTGCAGAGTATCAAGAAGGACGAGAAGCAGGAGTCCCGCTTCCTCATCGATGGGTTTCCTCGCAAGATGGACCAAGCCGTCAAATTCGACGATTCGGTCGTGCCGGCCAAGAAAGTGCTCTTTCTCACCTGTCCCGAGTCGACGCTGCTCGAGAGATTGCTCGAGCGGGGCAAGACAAGCGGGAGAGCGGACGACAACGAGGAAAGCATCAAGAAACGTTTCAGTAGGTGTAGCAGCCTGACCCGGCGCCGAGACGCTGAAGCAGGCTGTTGATCTGCAGAAACGTTCATCGACACGTCGATGCCTGTCGTTGATGAGTACAGGAAGCAGGGCAAAGTTATCGAGGTGCGTCCCGCGCATACCCTCTCGTGATGCTTACTGACAGAAGCAAAGGTTGAATCGGTCGGCAAGATTGATGACATCTTTGAGAAGATCTGTGCAGGCTTAGATCCTGTTATCTCATGAGCGTCCGTTGTACTCCATTGTAGATTATCTGCATCGATACACTTGATCACGACCTAGTAATGTAACGACACTGTTGCACAAAGCTTATGTAGACACAGACGAGTGCTCTGGGTTGAAAGGCGAGCCCATCAGCCAGACATGTACAGCAGCATCGTCGCCTCCTGTAATGATCTTATCGTCCAGCAGACTGATACAAGTCACAGCGCCACGGTGTCCTGTCAGTGTGCGCTCGCACTTGCCGGATTGGCGATCCCAGACTTTGATGGTCCGATCGTGAGAAGCAGAGACGACGCGCAATTTGTCCATATCGACCGACCAAACCCCTTCGACATGACCGAACAACGTCTTGGCACAAGTCGATTCGGCGACATCCCAGAGCTTGATGGTGTTGTCGAGTGAGCCGGACAGCAAGAGAGGTATAAGTCCACTGCCAAATTCGATATGAGGCAGCATGGCGGCATTCACAGGTGAGCGCAAATTGGACATGTGACGCAAAGCTTGACCGTTGGCTAGCGCATCGATGCGATGAGCAGCTGAAGCACAAGTCGCGTCATTGCCAGATATGTCGACTTCGCGAAGACGAGAGTCCATCGAAGAACGACCGGTGAGATTGGCGAGAACGGCCTGATCGATACTGATGACGCGCAGAGACTGGACCTGAGCGACGTGTCCCTCGAGCACGCGGAGACACTCGCGCTTGCTGAGATCCCAGACTCGACAGGTACCATCATCCGAGGCAGAGAAGAGCAGCTTGAGTGGATCTTCTGGCGGTGTGGACAGGCTCGCCAGACTGCCGGTCGAGGAGATCATGTCCTCCACCTTGGTGGCAGGATTGCTCGTGGGTGACCAGATCCTTACTGCGTTGACCCATTCGCGATGACCACGAAGAGTGAAGCACTCTGCACTGCTGAAATCCCACACTTTGATCGTCGAGTCTGCACTGCCGGACACAAGCAGCTTATCGTCGTAATGCAGACTGATGACGGCATCGCGATGGCCCTCTAGCGTACGAATGACCTCGCCAGTACGCCAAGACCAGATCTTGAGGGTGTGGTCCATGCTGCCGGTGATCAGCTTCGCAGAATCGAACTGTAGAGCTCTGACGCCTCGAGTGTGGCCGATCAGAACACCAATCGTCTTCTCTGTCTCGAGATTCCAAATGCGGACCGTTCGATCCCAAGAGCCAGTCATAAGGATCGGGAAGGAAGGATGCGGTAGGTTCTCTTCGACTTGCAAGCACGTAACCGCATCTGCGTGTCCTTGTAAGACTTTGACCGTCGGTACGCCACGTCGCCAGTTGCGCTCAATGACCAGACGCTCGCAGTAGACGGTCTTCCATGGCCGTGTTCTGCGTGTCCGCTTCTCTTCGGTGCTAGCATCTTGTTCGAGTCTGTTGCGCTTGTGTGGTCTGTGAGAAAGATCAGACGTGTCCGGCTTGAGAGTGAACAAGCTTACCTCTCCATATGACTGGCACCGGGTAGATGGACATGCTCGTGATCGTGCGCTTCATCAGCAGGAGATGTGGTGCCGCTGGCCGAGGACGGCGATTCGCCCATAGCGAGCGAACGAGACCCTCGCTTTGCTTTCTTGCGACGTTCCATGAGCGGTAAGCCCCATCCACACTTTTCGCATTTCTTCTCGATATGCTGCTCGCACATGTTGCGCCATAGTATATCGTCATCCGCCAGCGACTTCCAGACCTTGCTCACTTGAGCCGCTCGACCGAGTGAGATGGCATCCAGATAGCCCAAGGCGCGTAAGCAAATCTCGCGCGGCAAGAGCGAGAAGGGGTCTAGGCGGCATTCGGCTTTGAGCTGCTCTGATAGAAAGGAAAGCTGAGACGGACAGCAGATGGTCAACAGGCCCCGCAGGATGAGAGTACGTCGTGAGCCGGAACTGGACGAGAAGAGCGACCAGACCGAGTTGACTGCTTCTTGGTCGCCTAATGGTAGATCCTCGATACTCTGTACACAACCGCAGCATCAGCAGTGATACTCTGCTAAAGCACAGACATCGCACCTTTTGCAGCCCTCCCATCAGACCGCCGTCGACCATACGCTGATGGCGCAAGCAGAGTCTCTTGCAGTCGCCACCTGGGTTGCCTTGGACACCGAAGCCATGCTCAAAGTCTACCGGGAGATGGGGATGATGTGATCTGCTGCTATTCCTCGAGGAACTATGCTCAGGTTGGCCCGATAGCGACGGCATGGGTGAATTGGGCACAGACGAGTCAGCTGACTGTGCATCCTCAATCGCTGTCTGACGAGCTGATGCCGTCACTTGAGCGTGAGACGACGAGGCTTGGTTGAGTATCGCGGAGACGGGCGTGGATGTGCTGCTTCTCATGACCATCCCGTCGAAAGGTCTGGCCAAGTCGTCTACGCCAGCATTGGCCAGATTGATCTCTGTCGAGTCTGTGCGGCCATAGCGGGGTACGGGCTGGTCTAACGGTGCAAGTACAGCGTTTGTCGTCTCGCCGGAGGATGCGCCCGGCAGTCGTAGAGAGGCAGCGTCGCCCCAGAGCAAGTTGGTCAGTGGATCTGCTTGCGGCGTCGCTGCGGGGGATGCGCTGTAGAACGCTGTAGGTATGGCCGAATTGCCTCGCTCGAGCGAAGGCGACATGGGCGCTACGCCGACTGGCTTAGCTGCTGGTCCAGTCATCACACAATGGAGCCTCGACGACGTGCGACGGATTGCGTCAGTTCCAAGATCACGCACTCGGGATGAGAAAGACACGTGGCAAATTCATGCATGGATCCAGGCGATCTGCCTACGATCAAGTGGAGACAACGGCCTCTGCTAGGATGCGCTCGAGGAGTGCGGCATCGCTATCTGACCATGCATCAGTCGCAGAGCTGAGCTTACCCTGGTAGCGCCCCTTGCCACCGCCCCGTACACGAGTAGTAAAGCTAGGCTCGGCCTTGATGGCCTTTGCAGCTGCTTCTACATGTGCCGCCTTCTCGCCGAAGAGGACGAGACAGCCTCCGTTGGTATTCCACTGTGCAGAATCGCAGACAGCGAGAGCGACAAGTGACGGCGTTGCGTTTGCCTGTGAGCCCTTTTGCAGATCTCGCGTCAGGTCCGCGAGGAACTCGTTGTCATTCGTCGAGCTTGCATAGCGTACGAACAAGGCATAAGTATTGCCATTCTCCGCTTTCTTGGCGCTGCTGACGATCTGGTGCGAAAGAAAAGGTAGCAATTCTTCCCGTAGCGATCTGGCATGCTTGAGCGCGTCCTTTGCAGTGGTCATCTGCTGTTGTACTCGTTCGACAAGCTGCTCAGGCTGACAGTACAGAAGGCGTGTCAGGTCGCGCTGGTGCTCCAGTGCGCCCGAGAGCTGTTCCCTGACTCTGTTGCCAGCGCAGAAATAGAGCCTGGCGTTTGTGCCTCGGACTGATGTGGTGTGCGGTGAGAGATAGAGCGAGCCGAGAGCAGCTAGTGAAGTGTAGTGTGTGCCACAGCACGGGTTCTCGTCTAGGTCTTCTATGATGACAGTGCGAATGACGCCGCCACGATAATCCTTGGGCAACGAATCTGGTCGGGTGCCGGATGTATCGTCATTGAGGGCGATACTGACTCGAATCTTGCTGTTGCTGGCAATGAGATCGTTACACCGCTTGAGAGCGTACTCGATCTCTTGTGGTGTTGGTATCCTAGGCAGCTCTATGTAGGACAGCTGAGGTCGTGGACACAGAGACCAGCTGAGCGTGTCCAGCTTGACCTCATGCTCGAGCACGGCGGAGAGTAAATGCTGACCGGTGTGCTGATCCATCTGTCCCGTGCGTATCGTGATTCAGCAGCACGCAAGCCACTGTACTGTGGGTGGCACTAACCAGATCTGTCCGTCTATCCCAGTCGACGTCAACGCGAACCCTTTGGCCGACAGCCAGAGGCTTGTCGACGTAGTGCACAGCATCCAGACCATGTCTCTGTACTTGAGCCACGTTCACGATGATCTTATCACCATCGAGCGCCGACAGCCGTCCCTCATCAGACGGCTGTCCGCCACCCTCGGGAAAGAGCACAGTGTCTTCTAGCTCGATCAGCCAGGGCGAAGCATCAGCTACGAGCGCGGCTTGTTGCTTCTTGTCTGCCGCCTTGGCTAGCTTCTTGATGTTGTTGGGCTCACAGCGGATGACGGTCGTGTCGAGCGTACGCAAGGTCGGATTGCACTGGCAGGCTAGCAGACCGACGAAGCGCTTCTTGGGCAGCTCAGGGAAGCCGTCGGCAAAGCTGAGATAGCCATCGTAGACCTTGCTGCGCTCTGACTGTGTGACGACGCTCATGGGATCACCTGGATTTCTGCAAAGGCAGAGACGCGCTTCACTAGCCAGAGAAGACGACGCTGTGGCAAGTTGGGCTGTGAGATGTAGCGAATGATATCCCACTAGACGCATGCATTGGAGTGCAGAGAGATGGCCATCCAACAGAGCTCCTCTTGAGAGTCTCATGCAAAAGGCCAAGGGGAAATAAATCATGGACGGCCGAAAAGACGACCTGCCTCTGGACCCCCTGACGCTGTATTGCGACGAGCAAAGGCAAGAGCCTGAAGGACAGGATGAGCCTCTGACACGAGTGGGACAGCCGTATCAGGGCGTCGTCACTCGGCAGATTAATTTTATCTCATCCTATCTTGCTCTTGGAGACCGGAACGCGAAAGCTGACATGTCAAGACAGTCTCGAACCTTGACACTTCTATTAGCTGCTTTGTCTGACTCTGTTGAAGCTCGACGACCCACTTTGGTGTCTCCGAAAAGTTCAAGGCAACCTCAAAATTTTGCTGGCAAAGACGGGTTTTCATCTGATACCATAGACTCTGTTTGCCTTCGACAGATTTCATTCGATTCGTGCCGTTCATGACTTTGCTGGCCAGTGTGCAGTCCCTGCGAGTCTCCCTGGAGCAGATCAAGGCCAGTGCAAGCAATCAAGATGCGCAGCCGGTAGCAGCCAAAAAGGCAGACCGGGTCAGACTCGCTGCTAGCAATGCCGCGACATTCTTGCAGTCTCACGAAGCAGATGCCCGCTTGCCTCGCTATCTCAGCCTGTTGCACGAGTCAGCTACAGTCACTGCAAGTACACACAAGCCTAAGCGTAGCGCAGACCAGGCGCGCTATCCAATCTTGTCTGCTGCGACGTGCTCCCAGCAGGATGGCCTCGCGCGTACTCTCCACATCCTCGAGCAGCTCGCAGCGCAAGAAGGCCTAGATACATACAAAGAAACACAGACGAGCTCCCACGTAGCAGACACGATCACGTTGGCAGGCAAGCTCGTCATTGTCGACATCGATGTCGATGTGTCCGGCAAAATCGATAAAGTCAGGTTGACTTATGGTCCGGATGCCAAGCCAGATAGCAAGCTGTCCGCCGTGCTATACACGCCATTGTCACGGCTGCATCTTTTGCCAGCTGAGCGTGCAGGGGTCGAGAAGGACCTCCAAGCTTGGCGAGCAGCCTTGCAGCAGATCATTTTACTTGACCATGCGCTCCATGCAGGCGAGAGTCTAGACCTGTTCGACAAGTTACACGAGCTGTACTCGGGTCTGGCCGGTCTTCCTCATGACTTTTCGGTCATCGAGGACGTCTTGCCGGGTCCGCTGGTCATCTACCGCGCCAAGCCTATGCTCGCGCAACCCACAGAACCACATGTTGCCGACTTGCTCTTTTCTGCCGAGAGATGCACTGCGACGATCAGCCGAGCCTCGGGCAGATACAGAGCGTATCTGAGGCCTCCTGTATGGCTCGCAGACTCGGATGTGCAGAGGCTCGGCCAGCTCATCCAGCTGGGCCAAAGCAAACCTTGCTCAATGACCGAAGCGCTGATTCCTCAAGTCAAGCCGGAGCATCGCTATGCAGTATGTCACTTATCAAGGGGTGGTTGAGATACTGCTAATACTAGCACGGCAGGTAAAGTCAGACAGCGCCATCTCGCTCAGCTTTGGAATATCTGCCGCCTTGTCAATCCAAGGCATCATGCTGTCATCTTTCGACTTTGGCACTGCAGAAGACCTCGTCTTCGCTCTCACACAGCTACAAGCTAGCGCAAAGTTCAACGACATCTTGATGAGCTGCTTTGACCCTGCTGCGACTTCACTCGATGCGCCATTACTCACTAAAGTCAAGCTGACACTGTCTGACCTTATGAGAGCAAGTGTACTCGACAAAGCACATGTTGAGCTCAATGTACTCGTGAGCCCGCTACGCATCGTTGCGATATTGCCCGCACCGGACAGCACACAGCTGCAAGTGACCACACATTCGAAAACGGAACGCATTCATACAGAACTTGATGGGCTGGCAGCGCTCGAATCCGATCAGCCGCTTTGCCAGACAGTACTACGAGAGACAGAGAGTCTTCCGTTGGCAGTAGAGATGCTCTACACACGTATGTCGGGTCGCATCCCCCATGACTCACAGGATCTTCCAACGCCGATGATCATCCCAGCAACCTCTCCTGTTGTCACGGGTCCAATGTCGTCGCCTTCGTCCACGCCAAAGCTCAGACGAAGAGCAGTATTGCGTACGCCCAGTCCTTCGCCTTCGCAAACCGGACAGACGCCCAGTCCGAGCCGAAAGCGTCGCAGTCCAGAAGTAGAGCGTTCGCCCGCTCGACGAAGCACGCGACACACGCCTGACCAGAGAACCCCGGCACCCGATCTACCTCGCCGATCAAGCGCACGCAAGGCTTCTGCCGAACCTTCCGAACCCTCTAGTCCTCCCAGCTCGCGGAGATCATCTCGCGTATCGCCCCGGCCGGAGCTGATGAGAGTCAAGTCTGACGAGGACGAAGTGGGCTCTGCTGGTGGGCGACGCCGGAAACGATCGCGGCAAGGCTAGGTCACTGTCCGACTTTCTTCACACCTGCCAGTACGTTCGTACGATCGTTACGCCGCCAGAAATCGAGCACGGTCGTGGCCAAGCGCTCAGGTGCATCCTGTCCTCTTTCTGAGCTAGCGTGATGCAAGCTAGATGATGGACATACCTCGTGAAGGCAATGACCTGCTTCTTGAAAGACAACGAGCTGATATTTGCCTTGCATCTGAGCTATCATAAGGGGCTTGTCCAGCCGGTCCGTGCCCGCTAGCACAAGCAGCTTCGGCGTAGGACAGGCGAGGTATTTGTCCGATAAGCCTTCGAACCAGCCTTGCCAATGTGCTGAGGTAGATCGCAAGTCTGTTCGCCAGCTGAATGGCAATGCGGGATCTTGCTCCGAGGGCGATAGCAAGGCGGGTACGGATACGCGGGCAGACTCGAGATTTCTGATAGTGCGCGATTTGACACTGCTCCTGCGTCAATACACCATAGGTACAGAAGTGCTGCACTTGCTGCCATTCGATGGCTGCTTCGATAGAAGCAAAGCCCTTTGGTTGAGCGTCGAGATAAGCGTTCATCGTCCGCAGTGCCTCGATAGCAGTGCCTATAGCCTCTGTTAGCTGATTACCGCCTGCTAATTTGTGTCGAATCACCTTCGACGACATCCAGAACGGCGAGACCGATGACATTGGCAACGTGAGCTTGAAGCTTGGGGCAAGCATCCGTCACGACTGCGCCTCCCTGTCAAGTCTGTTGATCAGTACTAGGCCCGTCAGATCTGAGCTTTGCGCACCATACTGTGTCCGACCAGAAGCAAATCGGGCGCCTGCTCTCGTTCGGGATAGAGCGTCTTGACGAGATCGACAAGATCGCGGGACAAGCTTTGCAGAGAAAGATCGTTTGCATCGGCCGTCTTGCCTGTGAGATCGCAATCAGTAAGCATCTGACGCTTTCCGATGCAGCTTGATGTCTGACCATGTCCTCGTGCGTCGAAGCTGAGAACGCCGAGTTGGCCATTTGACAGTTGCACGAGTTGCTTTGCAAACAAGGCGTAGCTCAGCCCAGAGTATCCTGCGCCGTGGTGGCACACGACGAGAACGTCTCGCTTAGCTGGCTTGGGAGACTCCACACCGTTGAATAGGGTGGCAGGATCGATGTCGATCTCAGGATGGACTTGTCTGGCCGCTTTGGGTGGAGGCGTAAGTTGCTCTCTCAGTGATGTGGCAGGCGTGTAGTACGCTCTGAACTGTCGCGTCGTCTCATTGGATCCAGTCACTTCAACTTGCAATGCTTGTGCAAAGTAGTCTGAGCCTTGCAGAGGTGTGTAAAGCTGCTTGGACGTCTGTCGAGGTGCTCGCGTGAGCGCAGGCACGGGCAGAGCGAAAGTATCTCCCGATTCGAGCTCGGCTTGTTCTTCTAGGTCATCATTCGTCGATGAGGGGACAAGTGATGGTGCTGCGGCCTGCTTGTGAAGACCTTTGAGCAAGGCCGACATGCGCAGGCCTCGATCGTGTCGCGGTCACTTGCAGATGTCGCGATGGTTCTGCAACGCGCGTCGAAGCTGCGACAGGACGACCAGAGGCTTGCTTCAGCCTGGACTGACGACCGCTGACGAGCTAGTTGCAATGAACAGTAGGCTGGTGTAGCGCTCGACTGACTGATCGAACGAGCTCGGCTGGCTCTGACGACGAGACGAAACAGGTTCGAGGGAGCTCGAGTCTGGCACGCATGGTCTCGGAGACGTATCAGTCTCACTCTCAGCTCGGTCTGCCTGTCGCGAGGTCGGCTTCGACGGACAGCAACGACAGCTTGAGCAGTAGTACGACATCCTCCAGCAGATCCACGTCTCCTGCGCCTAGCTTGAGCGGCATCAACTCTACTCACTCTGGCAAATCTCACAGGAGGTCAGTCGCAACAGAGACCCAGCATCGTGGACTTGCTGATCATCTCTCGGCATGACAGAGTCAAATCGCTCGTTAGAGAATTTGACGCCATCAATATCAACGATTGGCCTGCAGCCTACGTCGACCACAACGGCTCAGTCGCGCAACACGGCAGACGGACTGCATCGTCCAACTCTACCATCAGCTCGACGTCCTCACTCGCCCGATCGCCAGATAGCACCTTCACTGCGACGACGAGGCCAGAGCCAGACACGTCGCTCTCGACTGACTCCTCGTCCTCGTACAAACCTGCATCGGTACCTTTGCAGACAGGAGTACAAAAGCCGATCATGAGCTTCTCTGCCGCCGATGCTACGGCTTCGAGCAGTGCTCACGCGCATATCAATGGTCGCGCGACAGGCCTAGCATCGCCTTTCCGGTCTCACGCGCGTACATCCTCCACCGTCAGTGCGAATGGCCACGCTCGTTCGCATAGTCATTCACATGCAGGCCACTCGCACTCTCATTCGCACTCGCACGATGAGCAGCTAGAAGAGGAAGAGGCAGATGATGCCTTTGTACCCTTGACGTCCGAAGCGGGTGATTACGCTTTCGTAGGCGCTACAAGTCCGCGCTCGCCAAACAGTCTGCCACATAGCCGGACTTCATCTGCAAATGGACTCGTCTTTATAGACCCGAAAGCGAATATGACGGAGGCAGAAAGGCGAGCACATTCGAGGAGACATTCGCGCGTACACTCTCGCAACCTCAGCGTGTTCTTTCCTCGACCGGGCGTCGGCTCGCCAGGCATCCAGGACATCTCTGAGGAGATTGACGACGAGAGTAGTCAAGCGCAAGTCATTGAGATACCTTCTCATGATCACTCCTACGCTAGCCAAGCGAGGATAACGCCACAGACTGCCTACTCGAGCGAGGGCTCGGATCGGCAGAGGATGTACAGTGCCAATAGCGATCCTGCACACGAAGAAGCGGCAACTTCGAGCTCGAAAGTCGGTCGTAGAGGTCACCATCATCGTCACTCGCTTTCGCACAACTTCTTCTCCTTTCTTGACCCTACGCAGACGAATCCAGAGCTAGCCTCTGCCTCTGCCGGCTCGTCTATACCATCTGTCTATGGCACGCCCATACAAGACAGCGCATACCTATCTGGCTTGCAAACACCGTCGAGCATACCCAGGCCGGTGGCATCACCCATGGGTCTCGCCACCAGTCATCCTGCCTCTGCGCCTTCCGGTCTACCGGCTTCATCCTCGTACTCGAGCAAGTACGCTCATCTGCCGAGGCCGATACGACTCACCCTCGTATTACTCTTCCAGCTGCAGTTCAGAGTACAGGCTGCTCTCGTGCTCAGTATAGCAGAGATCGTCATGGGATCCACACTATGGATCGCGGGCCAAGCGGGCGAAAGCCTAGCAACGACAGGTCTTGGCTATCTGCTCGTGTTCGATGGCTTCGGAGCGCTGTCGAGTGTCATCGTCGAGGGTAGCATGGGGAGCGTCGAGCTGCTCTGGGAAGCCCTATCGAGCCACAAGTCGAAGCTAGATAAGAGCATCAGATGGCCTTATGGCACCCACCGGCTAACAACCCTGTCGCATTTCGCCCAATGCGTCTTCCTCATCTTCAGTGCAGTCTACGTTTGCAAGGAAGCCATCGAGCACGTCCTTCTGCTACATGACCCGCTAGAAGCTCAGGCAGACGCGGGACACGGCTCGGCTCATGGCACGATGGGTCACGGAGAGTCTCTCGTCACCAGTCCGGGCGCAGATCTCACGCCATTTGGGTGGGTTGCCATCCACCGAATAGCCTTGCATCTTGCTGAGTACTCTCGTGTCTGCAGGCCAGCTCTACCGACACCATTGCTGATCTGCTCATTCGCTGCTTGCCTCGCCTCGGCCATCATACTCGGCAATCATGCAAAGCTCATCGAGACTGTTGGGCCGGCGACTTACGCACTGAGGCCTATTGCACCTGGTCAAGGGAGAAAGCCTCGATTACGACAGCTGCTGGACGTCCTGAGCAATCCGTTCTCGCTTCTCGTGCTTGTCTTCAGCGGCACGCTCTACGCGGCTGGCTTGTTCCTTACCCCGTACGTAGCCTTGGTATAGTGCCTTGGCTCTTGCTGATCATAGTCAGAGTTCAATTGACGCCATTGGACAAGATCCTCGCGCTCATAGAGTCCCTAGCAATGTTCTACGTCGGCTACCCTGCAGCGATGGCGACGGGCAAAGTCTTGCTCCAGACCGCGCCACCCGTCGAAGCTGGCAACATGGCTGCACTCAAGCGTGGCGTCAGAGAGGTCGAATCGCATCCTCTCGTTGTGCATGTGCCGCCCCCACACATCTGGCAGCTTACACCCCATCCTCGCACTGCGCCCAATGCGCGGAAGTCGAAGATCTACGGTCGCGCTAGTTTGCCATCTCCTTCTGACGGCGCATCGATCATCATTGTCACGCTGGAAATACACGTGCGAATGGATGCCAGCGATTCGGATATACTGGACCTGACCCAGATGGCTCGGCAAAAATGTTCGCCTGCGCTGTCGAGAAGCACGGGTGGCGGGTCGATCGGCGGTCCGGCAGGCGAATTGACGGTCAAGGTCAGGCGTACCAAGCCGGCTCTCGCTAGCCAGCCAGTCGGACATGTCCATACTGCTCGCGACCATTGTGGACTTCATGATCATTCGCATGCTGCCCCATCATCGCAATCGCATTCGCATGGACATTCGCATGCGCATGCATGAGCCTGGTGTACATAATGCATATGCGTGCGCGCCCACTCGGAAGGCTTGTTAATTAGAGAAATTACACGCTTCATTTCGTTCGAGAATTGGGAGCAGCTTATTATGATCACGAGGAGATTTGCACTCGTCGCGTCTGGTGACATTATAAAAGCCAGGCGCCGCGCTCAGTCTTCACTCCTCGCAGGACTTGGCAACAAACCTGGCAAACCTCTCAGCACCAGCATGGCTGCGCTACTGCCTCATCGCGCTGGGGACCCGTACTACGGGCATCCATCTTTCGTATGCTATGGTGCGTATGTGACAGTCGAACTCGGGCGACCAGCGCGATACCTGCACGTGCTTTCGACTGCTCGCCGTCCTCTTGTCCAACTCGTCTTCCTCACTTTGGACCTGCTGCTCACTTGCACTCCACAGTCTCTGATCGATCTGCTTGCCAGTCTAGCAGGCGATGACCTCGTAGCCAAGAGCTGGCGGGCTAGCCTTGCAGATATGCATACTTATGTTTTTTTATATTTTGCCTTGTTGCAATGAGAGATGAGGTCAGCAATCGGCCGATCGGCCGTGTGGCCATCTGTGGCGACTAGCTGGGCTGTCGCAGCTCGGCCAAGCAGCCTCTGCTGTCATCATTTTCAATTTAGCTTTCAAATGTCGAATATCGAGCTCAAGCTGAGACCAAGCTAAGCTACAAGCATTGACGGACTTAGTGACAGGCAGAGGCGACAGTCAATGCACGATCACTGTCCTCATCTCTCATTGCAACATGATGCAACATGATCGCATAGAGCTTCAGCAAAGGCAAAATATAAAAAACATAAGTATGCATATCTGCAAGGCTAGCCCGCCAGCTCTTGGCTACGAGGTCATCGCCCGCTAGGCTGGCAAGCAGATCGAGCAGAGACTGTGGAGTGCAAGTGAGCAGCAGGTCCAAAGTGGGGAAGACGAGTTGGACAAGAGGACGGCGAGCAGTCGAAAGCACGTGCAGGTATCGCGCTGGTCGCCCGAGTTCGACTGTAACATACGCACCATAGCATACGAAAGATGGATGTCCGTGGTACGGGTCCCCAGCGCAATGAGGCAGGAGCGCAGCCATGCTGGTGCTGAGAGTAGTCGCCAAGCTCGAGGTCGAAGTCGTACGCACCATAGCACACGAAAGATGGATGCCCGTGGTACGGGTCCCCAGCGCGATGAGGCAGTAGCGCAGCCATGCTGGTGCTGAGAGGTTTGCCAGGTTTGTTGCCAAGTCCTGCGAGGAGTGAAGATTGAGCGCGGCGCCTGGCTTTTATAATGTCACCAGACGCGACGAGTGCAAGAATGCTTGGACTGTCAATATTGTTCACCTCAAATAGGCCCAGGCAAAGCGCGCCACCTAGAAATGTGATCCGCAAGCCCAAAGGAGGCGTGCACGCATATGCACTATCTAAAACAAGCGCATCCCGATGCCATGAGCTATGTGGGATATCTGCAGACCCCCGGAACAGAATGCGACCAGCGCTACACCCTCGTGCGAGCACACGAGTACGCTGATAGCACGCAAAATCTGTCACCAGGACATCATTTCGCACGTAAAATGTAAATTTCCACAGTTCCTAGCGGTCATCTGCACCAGTGCAACGAAGTGACGCAAAGCCGACTAGCTCTATGAGATTTTCCAGACTCTTTGCCGAGCGCGGCGCGGACTGCGAAAGGAAGTACATGTACGCTTTGTATGCGTGTCATGCATGCTATGAGCCATACTGTGAGCGGCAGGTGACGCGACGTGTCGCGTGTCCACAAGTGCCGAAAGCCGCGCGAGGTATTGCCGAATATTCAGTGGGCGCACCATTGCATCAGCGATTGCAGGCGCTTGGGCGCTGGCATGAGCGCAGCGCGGCGCTTGCCAGTCACCTATCGGGCTCTTCCTAGCGATGAGGCTGTCGAGCCTCACCTCGCACTGCTCAAGTCCAAAGTGCTGCCACTCACCGATCTCGAGTGGAAATCTGCTTCGAGAGCTAGCAGAACGATTCGTACGCTCGAAGTCGACTTTCGCAGGCTTAGCGACATTTCTGAGACAACTCTGAGCGGTGTCTCGGCTCATGCAAACCTGCTCGAACGGCCACATCTGCACTTGCTCTTCGTATTTTGCGATGCGCGTCTGTAATAAGAGGCACTGATCAGCAGCTGACTGGGGACAAAGCAGGACAGCGACCTGTACCGGTCGACTGCTCGTCAACAGATCCGAGAATGGCTAGACTTTGTCACTGCAAAGCGCAATCAAGAATGGATCATCATCTCCCTCTCTGCTGTTCCGCGCGCCACTTCGTCCAAGTTCTATCAGCGCAAAGGCGCCGTCTCGGACAAAATTCGTGCAGACTTCAATTCGGGCAAGCGGGACAGGTAAGCATGCATGCCCTCGACGGCGTGCACTTCTGAGCTGACGCTGATATAGATGCGTTCACATGACAATGACAGCAGCGCCCAGCGCGGATCTCGTGCTAGATCATGCGACGATCGGTGATCTGTCCAGCAAGCTCAAGGATGCTATCATGCAAACATTTGATGTCAATCTCACAGCTTACGAGGAAGAGGTCAGAAAGAGTGACGCCCAGAGACAAATACCAGGCTGGAATTTCTGTACTTTCTTCATACACAAAGAAGGCCTGGCGCACTCTTTTGAAGCGATGAACCTACTCGAAGACGCCCTCATTCAGTACGACGAGCTAGAGGCTTCATTCTTTCAAACGCTAGTCGAAAGCAATTATGCTTGGTTGAGCGGTATTGATTCGCTCGCGCTCGGCGATGACATTTTACCGCTGCAACAAGACATAGAACGGAAACCATACCGTCAATTGATAAGATCGAACGAGATCACCATCTTTGACTTCCGGATCTACCTTTTCAGTCGTCAAATGAATCTTCTCGGCCGTATGGGCCGTATCGTCGAATTAGCAAAGCGATCCCTCTTGTTCATTGGCGCGTTCTCAAGGTCGCTGCGCTCATTGGCACCACCAGACCATGCAGCTTTCATCGAATCTTGGACGTACTCTGCTTGCATAAGCATCGTCACAATGTGCGATCAGCTAGCGAACTCGAGGGGTCAAGATGCGCTCGAACTACCTGGCTTTGCTGCTCTTCGTTCAGAGCTTGTCGAGCTGGCGCGAAGGCAGCTAGAAAGGCTAGGACAACGACTGACTTTCCTCCCAAACGCTTCGCCTGTCGTCGATGATGTCGTACATATGGAAAACACTGTAGCTGGCGGGCCGGCTAGTGCAGCACCGCCTATCAGCAACATAGAGTTTGCGGCTGCTCAGAACAGCGAAGAATCCTTTGATCAGCTCTATATCCGCTTAACTCACAAAGCTATCGAAGGCTATCAAATCAGCGGCAGGAAACGATCCAGTCTGAGGCTTCACGTCTCCCTTGCGCTGCTAGAACGAAGGCGAGATAAAGCCGCGTCTGCTCAAAGGCTGCTCTCTCATCTGCCTCGGCACTATCTCGAAGGCCGATGGACTGGCATTGAGTGCGCTCTTCTGGCTGACTGCGCACTGCTGCAGGGCGAACTTGGGATGGCCAAAGACAAGCTGCTGAGCACGCTCGCTCTTGTTCGTGCCGGCATGAATTTCGGCATTCGCAAATGGTCGCCCCAAGTCGTTCTTCCCGACAGATCAGATCAACCTGCCCCGGCGCTTGCGGCTGCACTCATGAGTGATATCTACTCGCTTGCGTCCACGCTAGAGAAAGACTTTGCGGCGATCAATTTTCCCACTTTCCGTGTCAGCATTTCAGCTGAGCAGGGACGACATGCCCAGGACGAAGACGCTGCAATCGTTACGCTTGCCATAGAGAGCTACCTGCCTTGTCAGGTCGACATTGCAGAGTGTCGCCTCAAATTCTCGGACGCAGATGGCGAGTCGTATTGGTTCTCGTCCGCTGCCTGTATGCTCCAACCCGGCAAGAACAAGATCGATGCTCATTGCTTCATGCCCCTGCATGGTGCATTTGCGCTAGAGCTCTCGCAATTGCGCTTTTCCCGCATCATCTTCCAGTATTCGCATAGACCCTCGGCCGCGTCTGCAAAAGTCTCGCCATCGCAGTCTACTGTGACCTTTCCACCTGATCCACATGCTCTGGATGTAACACTTGATGCGCCAGAGCACGTCCATCTAGATCGAGGACGAGACATGATCGTATCGCTGCTGACGGGCCGCAATGCACTCAGCTCGGCGCGAATACGCTTGCAGGCTCTGCCAGGGAACAGATCTATTGATCTGTCGTCAGCAGAATCTCTAGCATCACTCAACGGCGTGACTGCATCGCGAGAGACGCTGCAGCTGTCCAAAGTCGATCCGCGCATCTGCAGTCAATTCAGAGTTCCCCTGAGTATTGATGCCTCAGACATCGTCGTTCTTGTGGATTATTATGACCAGCGCAAGTCGAAGGTCAGGCGGCAACTGCGAGCTGTGAGGCGTCTGCGGGCTGCTTTACCATTCAGCGTCAATGTGCATGACTTCTTCAGACATACCTTTGTGCTGTCACGCTTTGCCATCTCTAGCGACGATGCATGCTGCCTCAGGATACGATCGGCCACGCTCATTGGCACAAGCCCCGATATTGCTATCACTTCGTCAGCATCTCATTCGAGTGTCGTATCGCCAGAAAGACCTGCTTCGTATGTCTTCAAGATCAACAAGCCAAATGCGAGCGTGGGCGAGCACGGCAAAGCGATGCGATTCGAAATAGTGTATCGATCCATCGAAGACGAGATCAAGCTGATCTGGTCATGCGCCGTGCGAGGTCGTCTGCAAGAAGCTGGCTTGTCGCTCATGCAGTTCGCTGTCGACCAAGCTTTCGAACACGCTGTCCAGCTGTGCGTAGACGTGCCCAAATACGCGTTGACTGGCCACGTCTTCTTCCGGCCTTTTGACGTGTCGCTATGGGACAGTGTCATCAGGGATAGCTTTTTGTCGCTTGCCGACCAGGCTACCCTCACTGCTCTCCTAAGCCACATGCATCGACACTCGGAACTCGGTCGAGGTGATGCAGTCGATTGTCGATGGCGTCATCTGACCATACCTGTGGAGCTGCCCACGATCTCGGTCTTAACGCAGGCTTGCCTGACACTCGCAAATCCGTCTGGGCTTGAGCTCGGTCAATGTGCAGAGGCAAATCTGGCGCTCAGCTGCACCTTTGCTTGGGCTGCTCCGAATGAGCAGACCAATCTACACGAGCATGGAACCTGCATGCGTTATGAATTGAATGCACCAGCATCCGATTGGATTGTCTGTGGTACGCGTATGGCAACCTTCGACGCTGTGGAGGGCGTCACGCACCGAGCTACCGTCTGGCTGATCTCTCAACGCGCTGGAAATCTTACCATGCCCTCGATCATATGTCGACCTGTGGATGCTAGCTTGACGAGCGAAACACACTACATCAATGCGGCCACTCGAGTCGAAGTACTACCTGAACGCGAGACAGACGTTGCTTCAACGCACACGCTTACCTATCTAGTCCATCATTGACGCTTGCCATTGTTGTTGTGACATGCATGTACATACAAACGACATCTAGGCGCCTGATCCCGTTGCTGCTCTCTTGCTCGCTTGTGACCATTTCTGAATCCATGGATGCACAGCGACTTTGTGCAGCGGCAAACGATCCTCAGGTCGGTACTGTAGCAACTGCAGCGCATCATCAGTCAGCTCGAATCTTGTCCTGTTCTGCAATACTGTACCTTGCCAATGAGATCGCGGGCCTCTTCTGACACATGCGCAGGAACGGTGTACTTGACCGCACAAATCCTCTTGTGCGTCGCTGCTCTGGATGTCAGCTTTGTGGGTCACGATGCAAGTAGAGCGTACCCGAAGTGCCCGCCATCTCCTCAAAGGGCGGCGATCCGGTGAGAAACTCATAGGTTAAGACACCAATGGCCCATAGATCGACTGCATGGGTATGCGGCTTGCCCTCGCACATTTCCGGCGGCAGGTAGTCGAGCGTGCCGCACATCGTCGTACGCCTGTTCGCTTGTTAGCTTCTCAATGTGATCACGTGGAAGACATGCCTGTCCGATGGCGCGTGCACACTCCAGCCAAAGTCACCAATTTTGAGCTCGCCGTTGATGCCAAGCAAGAGATTCTCCGGTTTGATATCGCGATGGATGATATGCTTGCTATGCAAATAGCTGAGCGCATCTGCCATCTGAGCAATGTAGCGACTGCTCCTTTTTTCGCCGAATCTACCATGTCGCGAAAGCTGCTTGTAGAGTTCGCCCTTGGCAGCAAATTCGAGCATGAGGAAGACACGCTTCTCGTCGTGGAAGTAGCCATACAGTCTGAGTATGTTCGGATGCCGTAGATTCTGCTGGATCTCGATCTCTCTGCGAAGCTGGATCTCGACGCGATGGCCGATGAGCTCGGCTTTGTAGAGACACTTGAGCGCGAGGATGAATTTGGGCTCTTTCTTTGTTCTGACCATGTAGACCCGTCCGAACTTGCCTTTTCCAAGTGATTTACCCATATCGAATGAGGAGAGTGACCATCGTTCAGCAGGGCTAGCATGGGCATGACTGTCGACAGATAGGACTGTGCTCTGCCTGAGTGATAATCTGCTCGTCTGGGACATAGCTAGCGCTGCATCGTCTCGCTCAAGTCCGCCATCGTATCCACCAATGTCGATTTGTCTCGCAGCGGCGGTCGCAGCAGCCATGGTCGTCGTATGACTGCTCGCCATTGAGGGCATCCTTGCGCCTTGACTAGCGCTCATCTGTGTTTTGCTCGCCACTGGCGCTATTGGCGGAGGCAAACTTGGCAGAGCAGACGTAGATACTGAGAAAGCAGAGACGGGCGGTCTGGGCATGAAGGAGCTTGGCGGCTTGGGCTGGAAGGGCACATGGGGTAGCTTGATCTGCGTTGTTGTCGAGAGTCGATTGACGGCCAATGCCGTCGTTCCATTCCGTACATCTGCAGGTCTGCCGTTGCCTACGAAGATAGGCTTGAGTTGTGTGCCCAGAGCAGGCAGGACGAAGCCATTGTTGCCCTGGTCGTACTGGTTCGAGATGGATCCGAGTGGCAGTCGAGTGCTATTGCTCAGTGCTGACTTGTTGTTGCTCGACAGTGACAGAGTCGACAGAGGACCGTCTAGCGCAGTGCTGGCTTGACCATGAGCTGTCTGGCCTGACATGCTGGCCCGACTTGTCGCCGAGTGAAAGTGCTGTCGCAGGTTTGTCAGTCGCCGTAGAATTTACGTTCAACGACGCGTCGGTCTCGTGCATCGTCACCAGTACATCGGCAGCTCGTGACCGGCAGATCGCTCACATCAGCCAGCATCAACGCTCATCATCGCTAGTGCGACTTGTGCGCAAGATCAGACACGCTCCACGCCGGCAGAATGAGCTTCTTTGGCGGAATGCGAGTCCATTGAACCTTCAGTGCTTTGGGCCCTGTTGACACGCTCATGCAGAGCGAAACAGCGCACTTTCAAGCCCAAAAAGGCACGCACTACTTCTCAAGATGTGACTGATCATGTTGACAAGTCTGTTCTGAGCAGACCAATGTCCCGGAGGGTACAAAGCAGTACCAACTCAAGAAGTCGGTTCACCGCGCTCTGACTGCTACAAGGCCGGGCTTAGTGACAAGGCGAGTGACAGGTATGCAGAAGCGACGCTAGGCTCAGGCAACTTGCGTGCTGCCGTCGTCCTGCCCGAAGGTGAAGACCTCAACGAATGGCTCGCTACGAACAGTCCGCGTCTTGGCCACCCTGCGCTGCCGGTGCTGATGATACTGCGACAGCTGTGGATTTCTTCAACCAGATCAATATGCTTTACGGCACCGTCACCGAATTCTGCACGCCTCAGCATTGCCCCTTGATGACGGCAGGCCCACGCTATGAGTATCAGTGGCAGGACGGCGTAAAGTACAAGAAGCCAGAACGTCTCTCTGCGCCGGGTCGGTCCAGAGGCCATCTCTTCTCCTTAAGCGCTGACGAAAGACGGTGTACAGCTTATGTCGATGTATTGATGAATTGGGTTCAAGGTCAACTGGACGATGAAGCAATCTTCCCATCCAAAATGGGCGTGCCCTTTCCAAAGACGTTCCACCAGACGATCAAGAGCATTGTCAGGAGGCTCTTCAGAGTCTACGCGCATCTCTACAACCATCACTTTGCACAGATGTGCGCACTCAGTATTGAAGGTGAGCCTCGACTTGCCGTCCCAGCGAAGCGCTGAGACAGCGCTGTGAACAGCCCACCTGAACACCTCGTATCGACACTTTCTACTCTTCGTAAACGAGTTCAGCCTGATCGATCGCAAAGAACTCGCGCCCCTTGCAGAACTCAATGATGGCCTGATGGCTGACCTTGGTCTGGCGACGGGCACGCAAGCGATCAAGGAGAACATCGCTCACTAGCATCACATTCCCGCCTTTGTGTATTCTGCATCGCTCAACATGAGCATGTATACCTCTGTAAGATGCATCCTCAACATGAGCATGTATACCTCTGTAAGATGCATTCTCATGTTGCACCTTTCGCTAGTGACAGCGATATGAGATGCAATTGAGAGTCTCGACGCTACAGGCTGCACATGAGCACACAAACAGTACACGACAATGAGCAATGAGGACAGACAAGGCTAAAAAGGCCTGAAGCGACGCAAGACGCGCTTCCAAAAGAGTACAGCCGACTCGAGGTCATCAGGTTCGGCTTGAGAAGCTGCTGGGCGTCCTGCGGAAGTAAAAGAGGCTGAGCGTTTGAGTGGTGAGGTATGACCGCCCGAATGAGTGCTATCGCTCTCGACCTCACGCGAGGTCAGCATCGAAGAAGGTAGAGAGGCATAGAGACTATCGATGATATGCCGGGGAAGCGAAACGAGCGAATGTGACCGGTGTACTGCCGTCGGACTATCAGATTCGCTCAGCACGATAGCGGGCTGAACACGGCCCGGTTGATCTTCGATCTCGGTCTCTTCGCCGCTGTCCATCTCTGCATCCTCGTCGAGAGCATAGCCAACGGCGTAGCCTGAATAATCGCCCAATTCTGCAGTAGCCCAGGAGGAGAGCCGTGCTACACCATGCGAGCGGTCTGAGGGGCGTTCGCGCTCGATGTGACTGCTGAGAGACTGTCGAGCTGAATAGCTCTCGCTTACACGCCGTCGGCTCGGGCTGCGTCGGGGGCCAGTTGGCGTAGGCGTCTCGCTCTCACTGCGACCTACATCAGCTTCGATTTTGTTCAGAATGCGAGCAAGCTTACGGATTTGCCGAACGAAGGAGAAGGCGGGTGTCTTGGTCGATATCGAGCATATTGTTGACGACATCGCCCAATGAGAACTTGGCTTTGCGAGTGGATGCAACAGAAGGCGTTGCAATGGGGACGGAGGCAGGCTTGTTCTCTGCCGCGCTGCTATGACTTCGCTTGCTGCCCTTATCGCTTATGCCCGACCGTTTGTGGCGACGCTTGGCGGCAGCACGAGAGGCCTGTGACCTCGACATCTCGAGCTCTTCCTCCGGCGGCGGGGTAGGATAGTGCAGTCTGTCTAAGCGATGCGCACGCGTCGCTTCACTCTGCTCTGCATCGCTCGTCTTGACGCTGTCCCGAGCAGGATGGGCATGACGATTTCGATAAGCTGCTCGTCGACCCCTTCTGTCTCTCCGAAGTGCTGAGATGCCAGCTGACTGCGCTTGAGGCGTCCGAGCGAGCAGGTCCTCTTCTTCGGAGTCGGCAGAATCGTCCGAGGTATAGTAGACCCGCTGATCTTGTACCGAAGCGCTCAGCGAGAGGGCATCGGGTATCTGGGACAGGGCGGATTCTGTGAGTGCCCAGGATGAGCCGGAGAGGATGGTCTCGCGGTGACGAGGATCATGAGGTACATGATCGGATGTGATGTCGTCAAATGAGGAGAGCGAAAGCGTATCGAGAGCTCTCTCGCGTTCAGAGGACAGCAAGTCGGAGTCATCGTCATTGGCACTCAAGAGGCCGGCAGAGTGGCCGATTTGATGCCTGTTCGCTCGAGACGTGCGAGTGGCAGCAGGCGTCCAACTGGTCGAGCCGCCCGTGGAAGCCGTCAGACCGGCAGCACTGGCATAGAACGACGGTAGCTCAGATTCGTTGGCGGAGCTCTGACGGGATGAGGTCGAGTCTGCCGACCGGGGAGGGGCAGAGAGGAAGATGCCGCTACCGTCATGGGTCGGCAAGGAAGGAAAGGAGAGTGTCGTGTCGGCGGTCAGCAATTCGGCCGTATCGCTGTGACCATCTTGGCTGTCCACGTCGTCGCCGGATGAGGCCCGAGCCCTCGTGGCAAGAAAGGCAGGTCGCTGGTCACCTATGAGCTGCCAAGTCGTACTACTGCTGCTGCTGCTGCTGTGCTCTCGATCGACTCTGCTCGACTTGGGCGGGCTCGTCACGATCGGCTGAGGTGTACCTATCGGTCGACGGTGACTGTCCGTCGAGGGCTTGTCGAACACGATCCAACGTGGGTCCTGACCTGCGCTCTCATCGTACACGTCCCGCTGGAGCGAGGACGGAGGATGGGAAGGGTCAAGGGCCGATCGAGACTGGCTCGTGCTGGCGTGATAACGTGATTGGCCATAGTCAGACTGGAACGCGCTGGCTGGCTGTTCGTCTTGCTCTGCACTCTTGCGAGAGACCAGAGCTGGCTTCCTAGCCTGGAAAGTCGCCATACCTGTCCTCGTGACCGTCTGGGGAAGCTCAGCAAAGTTGGGTGAGGTCAGCCGATAAAGTGGGCAGGCTAATCTTGACGCGACCGTCGGATGGCGACAACCTTGCGACGACTCGCCACTTCCTCACCAGCGCAGATCAGAAGAATGAGCTCGTCCATCCAAGTCGTAGAGACCAAGAATGCGCCTGCAGCAGTAGGCGCTTACTCCCAGGCGATAAAGTACAATGGCCTGGTCTACACTTCGGGCACCATTCCCCTTGACCCGGTCTCCATGAAGATCATCGATGGCGCCATCGAAGAACAGACGGTCAGACTCTTCTCTACGTGCTTTCACACCTGAGAGCTCACATCGAAAGGTCCTTGACAGACTCAGGTCTTCACGAATCTCAAGGCAGTCCTGGAAGCCTCAGGAGCGTCGCTGTCAAGCGTGCTCAAGACGACCGTCTTCCTCAAGGACATGAACGACTTCCCCAAGTTCAACGCCGTCTATGCCAAGTATCTGCCCAACAAGCCCGCTCGTTCGACGGTCCAAGTGGCTCGACTGCCCATGGATGTCCTCGTCGAGATCGAGGCACTCGCTGTACTCGAGTAGACAAAGCCTGGAGAGGCAGAGCAGAGCATAGACAAAACAGCGAGAAAGGTGCATTGTTGTTGACAAGTAGCGCAAAAGAGTAGGCGAGCTCTGATTAGTAAAGAAAAGGACGAGTCCTAATGTGGGTGTGTGGGTGAGAGCGTGCGGGTCTGTTTTTGACAAGGGGTAAATTGGGGGTATCGGCAGTTTGCCAGGGCGAACGATCGAACGACAGAACAAGGCCAGGGGTATTGGGGGGTTTGACATGGACTTGCTGCAGTTCTGGTCGCTCTCGCCATGACGAATATCTCTAGTACGTTGCGCATATAAAGTATGAAAGCCGTCAGGAAGCATGAAAGGCGGCATGTCTTTAGACCTCCGCCAGACTGCCGCCAAAGCCGTTGCCGTCACGGGAGCTCTTCATGCCCGACAGACCGATCAGTACGAGCAGTCCGGCGAGAATGATCGCATCTGCGACGCCACAATGTCAGCCAATGCCCTTGGAGAGCAACTAGACAGAGGCACGTACTCATCCATGCAAACGCTTCACAGGCGCGCAGTGTCGTCTCGTGAGGGAAGTTGGGGTTCGTTCGGAGTTGCTGAGCGAGCGCGGCAGCTCCCGCTAGCCAGAAGATGAACGTCACAAAGACCTGCTCCGATGTCAATGATGGGACAGCGAGATCCACAGAGAGATTTGACTGACCCAGATACCGTGAGATGCGATGGAGAAGAGGACGTTGCCGGCCATTCTCAGGAATCCAAAGATGTAGAAGATCCCAAAGATGAATGTCCAGAGTGAGGCGAACAGGAGGAATCGAGTCCTGCAAAGGCCGAGCGCATCAGTACACTCTTGTCCGCTCTCGTGACATCGGCGGAAGGGGCAGGACTTACGCTGTCTTGAGAGAGGTCTTGCCACCATCCCTGTTGTAGTCGCCTACCAGCGCACCAGAGATACCGATCTAAGTCCGCGCGAGCATGTCAATCTCTAGCAAATGTAGATGCTCGCCTCACAGCTTGCAACGTTGAGCGGTGCTTACCTCGATCAAGCTGAAGAACACAATGGTTGCGAATAGCGCTGGGTGGGCTGCTTTCATGATGGCCATCTTTGCTGTGCTTGTGGTCCTTTCTCTTTCGTAGTAGGTCCGCTTATAAAGGAGTCGCTAGATCTGATGAATCAAAACTCGACCGACTGAGTTTCTCGAAATGGCAGGCGCAAAGGAATCGATGCGGTCATCGGACACGTCGACAACCACCAAGACGCCACGTCTGTCGATCACCAGGCCGAAAGTCGAATGCTGCCAGGTAGCCGCTCAGCTTCGACCATCAGAACTCGGACCGAGACGAGACGAGTCCCATAGAGCCGATTGTCTCGTGACATAGAGGATGCGCGCGGTCAGACCATCGCTTGACAACGCCTCACCCCTTTGCACCCAACGTGCTTGAGCTTCTGCGCCATGCCGTCGTCAAGTGCTCGTACGGGCATGGCACTCGACCGAGACTCGGCCTCTGCTCGTCCAGCCGTACAACACAACAGTTCGCCCGTCTCGCCTTCTTCGTTTGTAGGCGCGTCTCTTTCTGTCGACCCGACAGCTCAGCCGCAAGCAAGTACGAGCAGACTGAGTCCTGCTCTTGTGCCGAGCACGAGCACACCAAATGAGGTGATCACCTTGCCGCCTGCCAAGATTGAGCCCAAGATTATACCCACCCGCTTGGCAAAGGATGGCATCAAAGAAGTACCGGCACGTTTCGAACGTTGCGAGCTCGAAGATCTCATCGGTCTCGTCGGTCAGCCTACGCATCCTGCATTGACCAGCTAGTGTCTGATGCAGGCTTGACAGCGTCGATGTTGACGAGACTGATCGAACACAATGATCTCATCCCGCTCACGCCAACATCGCTCACTCGCTTTCATTCGAGAGCCCCGCCAGGTATTTCCGTCCACGACTATCTCGTTCGGATATCACGCTATACCAATGTCGAGCCTTGCTGTCTCCTCATCCTGCTGCACTATATCGACAAGATCTGCGAGAGTCTGCCCGCGTTCACCATCTCCAGCCTGACCGTACATCGATTCGTCATTGCGGGCGTGGCTGTGGGCAGCAAAGCACTCAGTGATAGCTTCTGTACAAACGGGAGATACGCCAGAGTGGGAGGTGTAAGCATGCAAGAGATGAACCTGCTCGAGAAGGAGTTTCTCGCCGTCATCGATTGGCGCCTCACGGTCAGCATGGCAAGCTTACGTCAATCCTACGTGCTGACGTGGACCCTTTGACAGACGACGGGAGCGTTATTGTCGCACTATTACGCGAGTCTGGTGGGTTCTCATCCAGGCTACCGGCTCATGGACGAAGAGGCACCTACCACAACGGCCCCAACTTTGGGACCGACCGAAGCCGACGATGATGTCCACATGATGGCTGCGCCTCCGCCGCCAGAGACGTCTCCCAATGGTCAATCAAGCCAGAGCTCCGGTTCAGGTAGCGCGTCACAGCCATCACCCATCGAACGGAAACCGCGTTCGGCGCAGAAGAGGACAAGCAGCGCGCTAGATAGCAGGTCAAATTCGCAAGGACGTTCGAGCTCGGCTGCTTCCACACCTGTGAGCTCTGTCTTTCAAGTCGCGAAGCACTTGGGAGCAAAGATGATCCATCCCCGGCATCAGTCTGCTTCGCCAGATTCGAGCGTATCATGAACCCTACGCACGACAATCCGCATTTGTATGCTTAGACGCAGCTTCTCGATGCATTCGCACGCTCAGGCAGGCGCGGAAAGATGTGCATTGGGCTCGCTCAGATGTTGTCATACACGCAAAGTGAAGGGTAAGGTTCTCAAATTGTCAGAGTAGTGAGAATGGATATGAGGCTCTCCTCGATGAATGACAGGGTGATCTACTGAGTTTTCTCGTCCTTCTTGGCCTCGGCATCACGCTTGACCTCCTTGCCCTTGCTCTCGGCCTCACGACCGAATTCCTTTGCCTTCTTCTCCGCCTGTCTGGCCTTGTCCTCGGCAGAGTTGAGCAAACGTTGGACGTTCTCCTTGCCGCCGTTCTTGTACCAGATCCCGGCGTTGAGGTAGGAAGCATAGCCGAGCCAGAGACTGTACGGTACATAGGCATACAGCGTTCGTTCGTCGACCTTTGCCGCAACGGTCTGTCTCTCTCTCTGCATCAGCGCGCGTCTCGCTAATGTATGTGATGACGTACGGTGAGGCCAATGACCGTTCCTGTGAGGGTGAGGATGTCGACGAGAGCGAGCTCGACTTGGTGCGCGCTGAAGAAGAGCGGCGACCAGACGAGATTGAGCGCCAGCTGGGCATAGTGGAGCGTCAACGCCGTCTTTGCGTTCTCCCGAACGGCGAGACGAGGGCTCGTGTCGAGGGCCTTGACGAGCAAGTGGGAAGCGTATCCCATCCCAGCGTACAGCGCAGTCCAGACGATAGGGCTGCTTCTCGTGTTAGCACTGCCTGGCCTGAAGATAGAGCGGTCAGGACGCACAAGGCAGCGCGAGGAGGCTCTCCCTACGCGTCAACAAGTCAGCGAACGCTTGCTGATGTCGTAGAGAGACTCACGACTGGCTTCTTGAGGGTGTCATACCAGCTATCGATGGAGTTGCGAGTCACCAAGCCTGGGATAAAGCCTGTCGCGCGCTTGTTAGTCCATCTCGACAAGCCCTGGAGTTGCAGACGTACCGAGTGCGACGGGTACGCCTACAGCAATGGCGGGAGTGCGAGGCACGTCGACTAGGAAGCTTGGCAGCGTGACCATTCTGTCTAAGAGGCGGCTTCTGGTTGGCTGCGGTCGTACGCTATCGCAACAGTAAAGGACGGAAGCTTCCGCGTAGCGTCTCGCGTCGTCGGCGAGTTTCGAGTCGTCGCTAAACATTGACGAGATGTCGCCTATCCCTTCGTTACCTTCTCACCGACGACGACTTGTTACGATCGACAAACAGTCAAGATGCTCAAGAGACTCGTACTGCTCGTCGCTGCTTTGTCGTCGGCTCTGGCTCTGCCCGCAGATAATGCACCACGAGCCGAGTTGGTCGTGCCGCGCTCGCCCGACAGCGTAGCGACCATCGCAACAACGAGCCACGACGAGCGTTCTGTGCTCGATGATCCTCACGGCATCGTCTATCATGCTGACTTTCAAGGCTTCGATACGTTCGGCAGCAAAATCATCGAAATCAAATTCGATATCACCATCGATCTAAAGACTGGAGTATGTCGCTAACCTTAGCAACCACAGAAGAGTCTGACTGTCCTGCAAGGGCACTATCTTTTCGAACTACGCCTGGCCCGTGAAATACAGACTGGGCACAACAGACAGTGAGCAGCGCAGCCCTCGGCGCTGTTCATGCTGATCGATTCCTGCTGCAGCCGTCAAGAGTGATCCCACTGGACGCACCCTTGTAGCATGCTGGTTCCGTGCGTATGACACGCTTTCCTTCACGCCATGCTGCTGAGTACAGCTTTGACAGTCACCATAGTTAATCTTCTTGATGCCAATGTGTACGCGCGCTTTGTGTCCGTACATCAACCGAAGCTGATGGAGCACACGCAGTGCCTTCTGTTTCGCTTACAAGAGAGGCGAGAAAAACATCTACGCCTACCGATATGGGGATATGAACTGGCATGACAGTGAGGCCGTAAGTGCGCGCACTGCTACGTATCTGCGCGAGCTGATGTCCGAGTACATGTTCAGCATGTCATCGAAGTCGAGACAGCTACGTCTGTTGCTCGTGCCCCAACATGGCTTTCACTGACCCTCGCTGTCACAGGATGACGCTCAATGGTGTCGCTTACGATAACGATCCGACCCTCTAATCCTTTGCGCCCGTAGAATGGCGTCTGGCACGGGAAACTCGCCTTGTTGTCTGCCCATTTCTGTCTCAATGTTAGACCCTATCACCATCGGCCTGAGACGCATGCACGAATCCTCGATATCACAAGATGCCTCGTGCGTGGTACGTCACTGTGTTTAACGCGTTAACGCGTCGGCGCGAATGGGTTATAATATAATGGCTGCACCGACCGGGTTTTGACAAATGCCGTATGAGCCAAGCACCTGATAAGCCATGGCGAGCTTATCAGGTCTGCGTGGAACGGGCTACAAGCAGCTCAATTGGTGAGTATCAGCCTCATCAAGGATGAAGCGGGCTGACAGGCTGCAAAGGCTGCTCCTCGTCGAATTTGTCATTGCTGTCGTGCTCGTCACTTTCTATCTGTTCTACCTCAATCGTCTAGCCGGTGTAGTGCTGGGATGGGCCCTCAACAGAACGATCGGCCGGCGGAACAACGCTCGCTTTTTGTTCGAAGGCGTACAAATAAGCCCACTCGGTGGTCGGATAGCCTGGAAAGATGCTCGCTACCAGTCTCGCAATCAGTCTCTGAGAGTGCTCGAAGGCAATATCACCTATAGATGGTGGTTGAGGAGGACCAGGCAGGACCAAGACAGCCGTCCAGACGCTCAGAAGCTGCCCTGTCGTCTGGCCATCCGGCTGGAAGGTGTCGAATGGTTCCTCTACAACCGCACGCCTTCTTTCGATGACATATTGGCACAGTTGGCATCCCAGACCACCTCAGCAGCGCCCTCTGTCGTCGACAAAGAGCCTTCTCGCCCTCAATCCTTCACAGCCCACATGCACAATGACTCTGCCGGCGAGCCAGCCGATTCGAGTGGAGATATCGATTGGCTGCGTGAGCTTCTGCCTGCAGAGGTCAGAGCGTTCAATGGAAGTATCGTACTGGGCAATGCCTCGACACCTACGGTTCTGATCTGCGCATTCGATGCTGTCGCCGGCACGTACGAGACCGTCAAGAGCAGGTCAAAGCACGACAGGTATAAATCAGTCTTTCACTTCCTCTTCGAGAAGGCAAAGATCATCTTCAGAACGAACCCAGACTACGAGGAACCCCTGCTAGAGCGCGGTCAACGTGCTGCAGACTTACTTGTCGTTCAAAATGCGCTACCAAAGTCGACGTTTGACCACATGAGCTCTACCTTTCAAGCTTTGCGCCAGGGTGATTTTGCAAAACGCTTCAAGCTCTACTCATTACAGACCCTCGATGCGCCCTTTGCTCACCCGGACATGGCAGCATGGAAAGGCTTGGAGCGATACCGGACGGAGGACACGACGGGAGCTCACGCGGCGGAGTACGCGAAAGTCACAACCTTGCTCGACACGCCTGCTCTCGATCTCACTTACTATGCCGATGTACCAGGCCGCGTTCCGGATCAAATCAGTCAGCGTGCGCACGGTCTGCTCGATTCGTATGACATCGGCAATGGCGATCTAGCGCCAGAGTGGGGCGTCGATATCCAGATCAGAGGCGGCGTCGTCAATTATGGTCCCTGGCTAGACCGACAGAGGGGCGATCTCATGAAGACTTTCACGCCCGCCGTCTTCCTCGATGCTGTCGAGACTCCGCGCCTACTGCCTGGTCAGACTCGCTTGCACACTGCTCTCAAGATATTTGCAGAGTTCACTTCGGCTACCAAATTTCGAGTTCCCACGCGGGAGCAGTCCAAAGACTGGAAATACGACGGTATGACGAACGACACTGACTCGATGATCGGTCTCGGGCCCAGACCTTACGGCTGGTTTGACATCTCAGTCGGTGCTAATTCCACACTCAGCTTCGTCTTGCCCATGATCGCCTCCGCGAGCGGCTACGATACTGTCATGGAAGTCCATCTCGACGAGTTTAGCGTCTCGTCTAGTGTCAATTACGTCACCTTCCTCAAGGCCTCTCTCTGCCGTGTATCGCTGCAAATGCCTGCACCATTAAAATGGGATTCCTTGCACCATTGGGTCATCACGACATCGCTCACGTCCGGCGAGATCTATCTCCTGCGAGACCACACATACCTTATTGCTGACCTCGTCAAGGACTGGACGGCTGCCCCTGCTGCCCCGTTTACCAACTTTGTACCCTTCCTTTACAGCATCGATCTCACGCTCGTCGACTTCAAGCAGTATCTCTATCTCAACGATCACAATATCATCAACAACCCACTCCAGATCTCTGACAACACTTTGTTGCTCATCGATGTGCCCCGCCTGACTGCGCATATAGAGGTCCCGTCGGACGTCTATAATGCCTCGGAGAATCTGGTCACGTTCGAAGCCGATGTACGCTGATATCTCTTGCTCGTCGCATTTGGCTGACCTTGCTGATACAAGGCCGCAAATGTGGACTGCAAGTTGTCATTGCCCGAGTGGAACACGTATGCTGCCTTTGCAGAGTCGGTCCCGGTTCATTTCGGCTCGGTGGCACATCTTCATCTACACGGCAAGTACACATACCATGCACAGGTAGAAGTAGGTCAAGTCGAGTCGCTTGATCTCGACGCCAAGGTACGCTCTATTTTTGAAATGTTGCATACTTTGAGAGCTGACATCTGTGAAGCTCGTCGATATGCGCTTCAAAGCGCTCGGCTACGTCCTTCGCACACTCGTCAACCTGCGCGACTGCTATTTTGGCGTTTTCACTCACTTTGCAACTCTCGAGGAATACCGCTCGCGCCTGTCGCGTGACGTTCAAGGGGATCCACTTGAGCGCAAATGGCGGCCTGGCTTCAACGAAATCTTTGATGTCAACCTATGCCTCGAGATACAAGATGCGGCAATGGTTCTCCCGGAAGATCACTATCGTTGCAACGACGGGGTTGCTTTGCTAGTACCGGATGTACAGCTACAGCTGCGCAATCACGATTCGTTCATGGAGCTCGCTGTCAATGCTGAACACTATCAGCTTGAGCTATGGACTGCTTGTCAAAACCTCGCGACCTGGCATACCAAAGCAAAAGATCGCTTACTCGCAGGCGCGGGCTTCGAGGTCGCGGGCCATCGAATGTTTGGGCCTCAGCCTCGCACGTCAACCTACGCTGGCCATTGGGATGTCAACGTTGGCTCGATCGACTCGTGGCTCACTTTCAAGGACATCATGATGCTGACATCGGTCTCAGCTGCTGTGGGCTTCAGCATAACAGACGCCGATAATGCACTGCCGCCCGACTTCGCTCTGGATTCGGATGCTGACGCGACCTTTGCGAGCGTCAACATCGAGTCGTTGGCCGGTACTATATTCTCAGATTGCCGCACATCAGCCCTACATGCATCACTACCTCTCGGCGTACAAGTACAATCGAGCACACTCATCTCGATGGACGCCCTGTCTACTGTGCAGATCGAAGTGCCATCAATAACGCTAGTCACGCTACTACAAGAGAAAGGACAAGATTGCTTCACGCAAACGGCCCAGCTGCTTAGCAGTCTGCACATCGACGTTGTCAAGCGTCGTAGTGATCTCGAGGACGCCTTTCAAAAGCAGCGCGCATTCATCATGGGCCAGGATGCTCTCTCACATCGATTCAAGCCGCTTGTCATGCCGCACAGAGGTCGCGACAGTGAGTTGACAGACTCTTCTGGGGCTTTTGAGCTCAACCTAGTATCAGCGCACATGTCTGGCTTGTTCCTGCCCGCATTGGGAAGGACATCGGAAGTCAAGAAGGGTCAGCGGACATTCCACCGCGAAGCCTGCACTGACATGCTGTCCTACAGACCGCAATGTCTCACGAACAACAGGGCGCGAGGAGGTATACGGAGGCTCAGAGCAAGACGAATTCGCAGACTATGAAGCAGAAACAACCACTGCGACCGCCAGGTAAGTTTTGCGACTATGGGATGCTGTCATGGGCTTAGAGCCTGCTCTGCCCAGTCATCGTCAGAGTTACGAGAGGCCAACGTTTTTGCGGTTAACACAACATCGCAGCAGCTCTTCTTACGATCACGAAACGCGCCGCCGAGATGAAGCTCTTGACTTTTGGCAGAATCCTCAGCAATGGTTTCTGCGTGATGGTCACTGGCAAACCTCTGCTTCACCGACAGTGGGTTAACGATGATGATTGCACCCTTGACTGACGTCGAATTAGGGGATCCTCAAGCCACCTGACGTGCTAGACAGCAATGCGAAGGTACAGCGACCTTGGCCGACTGTCGAGCATGGCGAAGAGATGACCTGCGTGCGCGTTACGAGCATGGGAGGACTTCTTGTCCGCGCCACGCCGCAAGTTGCCGCGAACTTGGTTGCTTTCTGCTCATCACGAAGTCACGTATGCGTCAACAGCCTTTCAAGACGGATTAAGCTGATGGGCAGCAGAGACAGACAAGCGCGGAGTCTGCACTTGACTCTTTGCAGCGCGCATTCATGGCGACGTACCACGCCGATGTGCCGGCATTTCACTCGAGAACGATTCTGCGCATCGACGAGGTCGACATCAATATTCGATCGTGTCAGGACACGCTTCAAGAGGCGGATGTAAGTGCACTAGCAGAGTCGCGGACTAGGTACAAGAGCAACGGCCGGGGTGTGGCGTCATGTGCATCTCTCACTGTCGATCAAATGTCGCTAGAGATGGACATATCCGCCAATACGCGCGTGCAGGACGAAGATACTCCCCATCAGCGACTGTACTCAGACCTTTCGCGAATAGGCTGCAACGTAGCTGCCAATGACATCGCCTTGCGCCTGTCTCTGACGGAGCCCGATGCTTACGACGGGCTCACGGGGGCTGGCCGGCCTTCGACTCTGCCGCGCACACGCACTGGCACTGTGCTTGATTTGTCTCTCGCGCCCGTCGATCTTCGGATCTCGCTTGCTATGGACAAGTCTAGCGTGCGCGCCCATTTCGACGGAATAGAGATGATCTTTGTGGAATCTGCAGCCGAGCTGATTGCAGGAGCAACCTGCGCATGGCTACAGGTGGCTCGACAGATCGGTGAAAGCTCAGTCGATGCCGAGATCGGTCTGCCGAAGCCTGCTTCGCGTAGCATGCGGCATCTTGTCATATCTGCCTTGCAATCCGCAGCTAAGGATGGACTGGACACAGAGCCTGCATTCCTCAATCGCGCTTCGTACCTTGTGCACGGCGGTCGCCGGAGTCCCAGAGGCGACTTCAGCTGGAAGCTTCTTGCTCACATACGGCATTGCGCTCGCCATGCAGGCTGCCGAGACTTGCGCGGTGCTTCTCTGGAAACTTACGATCTGCAAGATGCTGTGGCGCTTCTCAAGGAATGGCGTAGCTGGGAAATTGATGAAAGCGAGCTGTGGGACTTGGCACTGCTTCGCATGCTCTTTGCCGCTGATGACGCTTCGCCTGATATACTGTGGCAGCAGCTCGTCAGCCTTACCTCGGCAGTGTCGGCCGACTTGCAAGTCGGTCCAATCACTGCAAAGCTTGCAGAGGCTCGCTTTGGCAATGCTGCAAATTTCATCACGCTACGTCCTCTCAAAGGTCTGCTGCGTTCGGAAGGCTTGTACGAGTCGGGCGAACTCAGGCCTTGGGCAAGCATTACCTGGGACGGTGCTCATGTAGTTACACACCCGGCTGTTTTCGGTCTCATTCGTCATGCGCTCCGGGTGCGGAGGGTATTCGAGCATCGCGTGCAAGCTAGCAAGCCAGCTCCTGCGATTGACACAAGGCGTACACGTCAGATCTGGCAGCGGCCGAAGATCTCGAGCGCACTCGTGCTCACAATTTTGGCATCATGCAAAACGATCGACGTCTCAATCGCTTCCGAGCTCAGCGTCAGTCTGGTGATAGCCGACCTCTATGCTACCTCGCAAGTCAGACGTGAGCCAGACAGCGAGCTTTCGGGCTCGACGCAGATTCTGGTCGGACTTCTGGAGCTGACTGCTTCAGATAATTCCGGAAAGCCTAGCTCGCTAATGTCCGTCACGCTAAATCGCTTTGAGACGTCTGCAGCCTGGCTGTCCGGCGCGTCCGCCGCTTCGAGCTTGTGCTCCAGCTCGGCTACATCGGTCTTACTCACGCCCACACTGCATGCAGTTTCCCGGCTGGCCAGCTTGTCCGCAAGGTTTCCACAGAGCGTGAGCCGCATGCACACCCTAGCTGACTCGTGGCGCCAAGATATTGTCAAGCATTCGGCAGTCTATCTCGACAAGCTGCGACAGGACTGGCAGGCTGTAGACGAGGCTCTACATCGCAGTGCAGGCCCGACTCCATCCTTGGGGACAGCGTCAAACCGACAGGCTATTCGAGTAGCCATACAGGTATCGCTTGCAAACACAAGTGTGCAGATGCACGCTCTCCAGAAATTATCAATCGAATATGCGCTGCGAGATTGTAGTCTCGGTTTCGAGTCGATCATCGGCGCGGGGTCTTCGCAAAGCTTTCAAGGCTCCGTGGAGGTTAGCGGGCACAGCCTAGTATTGCGCGACAGTGTCAAGTCGGGTTCCCTGCGGCGCATCGCGTTATCTGCTGTGCGAGTCGTCTATGATCGCCGAGCAGACTGTGCACTGGTCAAACTGCTTGTTGATCGGTTTACGGCGACATTATCGGTACAGCTACTTGATTATGCCCTAACATTGTACCAAGCTATCGAAGCGGAGTATGATGACCTTGAGCCAATCATCAAGCGTTATACTGCTCGGCAGCCAGCCTCGAAGACCATCCAAGTAGCTTCAGCATCCAGCAGTACCGTCAATCCTTCCATCAGCGCGTCCTTGCTTTTCAGCGGGTTTCAGATCGCGGTCCAATCACCTAAAGCTGTCCAATATTTCGAGAGCGGCCGGGTCGTGGCGGACATTAGCAAGCCATCAGACAGTCAGTCCATTCTTTGGCATGCAGCTCTTGACGATCTTGTGATATCCCTGGATCAGCCACATGGGCGCACGTCATATCAGCGCAAAGTCTCGAGTCGTCATCGCTTAGCCTATCTCATGCTCAGCGTCAGTGCCAGCAATCAAAAGGTCAATCTTCCAGAAATCGTCGAAGACAAAGATGCCTCTCACCTCTCACACCTTCACCTGAAGATCTCACATCTGCATGCTGTCATGCAAGCCATAGCTATCGAAGCACTGGGCTCACTGATCGATTATCACATCATCGAAATCAAGGCACGGCGTTCTCAGCGAGCAAAAGAGCTCGAAGCGATTAAAGCGAAGCTTTTGGACGCTTTCGACAGTAACACAAGTTCCTCTGCTGCTGAGGTACCTTGGGTTACGCGCTGTGTTCTCTCGCTCTCGGTGAACGAGCTCGGTATCGCGATACCACTCGAGGACTTTGGCACCGAAAAGAACGACCATGTCGCGGTCGCTGCATTCCTTTTCGCATGCAAAAGTCTGACATTCGCTACACAAAAGGGTAGTGCTGGCTTTGTCAGCATTACAGGGCTTTCAGCGCAATTCGTGGATCACTTCCGTCAAGCTCGGCGAGACCATTTCGCTGCTCGGGAAAGCCGAAACAAAATGCTCATGCCTGCATTGACGGTGATTGTTAGTCCGCACGATGAGGAAGCGCTGCATACCACATCGGTCTCGTCAGAAGTCTCAGGATTAGAGATAGATATGGACCCTTCCATCCTCAGACGATTTGTAGCTCTCAGAAGGGTCTATCAGCTCAGTAACGACCGCTACAACCGCCTCGAGACGCGACCGAGTGTTCAGACATCCTCGTCACTGGCATCGGATGTCGACTCGCTCCCCGAATCGCATGTCGAAGCATCGAGTCGCCAACACCTCTTCAAAGGTGCCTGTCATTTTAAAAGCGGCGTCGTTCGGCTGCACGCCTATTCTGCCACACGCTCCTCTTCTATCGTCAATGGATCGAGCCTGGAGCGAACGGCGTCCTTGACAGAGACTCGTGCGGAAGTACCACCGAGAGATGCAAGAGGAGCTGGGCGTGCCGACGTTTTCGTCTTGCCTGGCGTTTCTGGTACTGTCATACATCGAAAGCTGCCACAATCGACCGATGCGACAGCACCATCTGAGCTGCATGTGGCCTTTGTCATTCATTCGTCTACCAATGTGCTCTATCCGACACTCCTGCCCTTTATGAGACATGCCCTTGCGCAAGTAGACACGGGTGAGGCTGCCTCTACGAACCAAACTCAAGCGCAATCGCACGAGGAAGAAACGGAGGGTGTCGCCGACTTCGAGCCTCCTGCGATCTTGGGGGGTCTGAGAACGAGTATCAGCATACGCATAGATATTTCCAAGCTGGACATCAGCTGCGGCGCTGCAGCACCTGTTGCAGTCTCTCTGTCGTGGCAGAGCGGCGGCTTCCTGGTCACTCTGGCACCCCATGCAAAGCGCGTCTCTCTTTGCGTCAACCTGGACGAGATTGCAGTCGATTTACGGCATTCCTTCTCGCCGGAGAAGTGCATAGGCGCGAAGGTCAAGGATCTTGCGCTGTCGATGACGTTGAATGTGTCAGAAGTCGCAGGCGAGCCTCATATACTGGCGGTAGCTTGCGATATTGCGCGAGTAGCATCGGAGCTCAACGCCCGCCAATTACAAGATTGGATCTGCATGAAAACAGTCTGGATTGACGAATTGAGCGAGCTCACGCAGTCATCGACGTATGATGACCCTGTCGCAGATGTGGAAGCAGGCCATCGTAATTGTGGAGGGTCGAAGCTTGCGGTCACAGGACTCTGCCGCATTCGGTCGCTCACATTTGTTGCTCAACTCGGTCAAGCTATCGGGACCGTCACTTGCGAAGTGCAAGCGCCATCAATCAAATTCAGCAAATCCCCTCATGGTCTGCACCGCTCGGCACTCAGCTTCGATGGCATTACTGTCTCAAGCAAAGGAAGACTCTCAGGCTCATTGACCGTTGGACCCTCTGCGCTCATCTCTGTCCTCAAAATGCCCATCAGCAATACTAAGCTTGTCGATACAGACCACTTACTATCGGTGGCGCTCAAATTGGGCGAGGCAGAATGCCAGCTTGACTTTGATTGGCGACGTATTGCTTTGTTCCACGCTGATCCGATCATGGTGCGGGTGCAAGACGACCTGTCGAACGTCTCGAATGCAGCTGTACCAAGTCGTTCCAATGTCAAGCTGATCTTCACAGTTCGTCTGGGCGTTTGCAACGTTATCGCGACGGTCAGAACAATTCCTCTGCTAGCCCAGATCGGCGTCGACTTGCAGCGCCTCGCGCACGACAGGACACTCAAGGCGATGCAGATCATGCAGCGAGCGATGCCTAGCCCTTCAAAGCCACCGACTCAACAGCAGCTGTCGCACGCAGTGCCGTCTGGGCAGCATGTGGATCACGCTTCGAGTACGACGCTGAGTCTGACTTTTAAGAGCGAACGCCTCCGCATTGCCATCTTCCCGAGAACGTTTGCAGACAATGACGTGTATCGTGCGGATACTGGCTTGGTCAGCGCGGCGCTCATCCGGTGCTATACATCCAATGGCCAGCTCGAGCGCGATCTGACCGTACATCTCGGCTTCCTATCGATGCGACGGTTGCGGCCAAAGAAGATATTGCCCAGCGAGGAACGCGAGCTACACATTTCGGCCTGGATACAAGCATTTCGCGAAGCAACAGATCGTAACATATTCAAGATACCAACGACCGATGTCTCCATGCGATCCTTACAAGAGCCTGGTACTCGCGTCGTCGAGCATTGGTTCAAGCTTGTGTACGATGGCCAAGTGGACATTGCGCTCAATTACGCTCTTCTGAAGAGTCTCGGCGAGCTCTTCCAGTCGTTCCAACAAGCACTTGCCCGTGTAGGGTCCGGTACTATCACAGATCGAGGAAAGCCAGACGAGCCACTTCCTGTTACTGTTGAGCCACTTACGCTCATAGCGCGAGAGAACGTTATCAATCAGCCTAAGCTCAATCTACTAGGGGACGGTGAGCCTTGCGCTCATGAGAAACGAGCTGCCGCTGATTGTCATCCTACGCAGCTACGCCGCCTCTCGAATGGCTAGGCGTGCAAAGGTCCAAGTTCCCGCAGTGGTGTCATGAAGGTTCGTGCCAGCAGGGCGCAAGTGAAGACCATCTGCTGACGAAAAGCACAGGCATGACCATTCCTCTCGAGGGACTCTTGCTCGTTCTGCAGAGCAATCTCTACCACAAGCGATTACCCGCTGAGTTGCAATGACACCAGCACAACCTGTAGATACGTCCGTTGTCGTTGTAAACATTCCAGTCCTTGTATCGACCTGTGTGACATTCAAGCTGCATCGAGCAGCTTCTCGACTGAGCTGGATATCAGCAAGAGATCATCGCAGCAATTGCGAAAGACTGACTGGCATTGACATGCTTGGTCGCACCGCGCTGTCTGACGCATTGGAGCTGATGACGAGTCTCTTCCCATAGCTGTGAGCGAGTTGGCTCATGTCGGACAGTCTTGAGCATTGTTCCCAGCGCATAGTTGGCGAACATGTCACCGAGCATGATAGCAATGGGCGAGTTGCCATCAGGCAGAGGGTCTAGGGACTCTTTGACGAGCCACTGGAGATCCTTGTCGGTAGCACGCATGACGCAGCGTTCGACGACGTTGCTTGCGTACTTTGACATGCAGTGCGAGAGCAGCTTGCCCTTGAGACTTGCGATCACACGTTTGCGGTCACAGTCCTGGCCCTTTTCGACGATATGTTGTATGACATACTGCCGAAGCTTGGTCAGTACACTGCGCGACCGTGGCAGATATCGCGCCCACATTACCAAATTGATCGTTCATCTGCATGCAACAGGTCAGACATAGCTTGCCTGCATAGCCAGGGACTGACCAGAGCGTTACAGTGGTTCAGCGCTTCCTCTAGCAATGGTCGAAGAGTCTGCGGACGAGCATTCTCAAAGAGTCGCTGTATGACGCGACAGGCGTAGCTGTTCGTTGCCAGACGCGCAACATGGCCACGGCACGCATCTGCGATAAAGGTCGTATGCTGTTCAGGCACGTCGCAGAGGATACGTTGGATGCAGTGGTTCGCGTTGAGATCTTTGGAGCATCTGATGATGTGCTCGCGGAGCTCGTTCATGATGGTAAGCTGTAGATCGAGTGTACAATGCTCTATCGCCTGTCCGGCATGTCAGCGCAGTGATCCAGAAGCGCTACTTTAGCATACCTTTTGTATGACACGGCAGCCATAGAGACTGAGAGAGAGATGCAGCACGTGACCCTTGAGTCGGCCGACAAGCTCTGCTCGTTGTGCCGGTGTTCCATGGGCAAAGAGCTGCTGGCAGCAATAGTTCGAGAAGCAATCCTGGCTCAGCTCGAGCAAGGCAGGGCTGAGCTCGTTAAAGACGGCGAGCCGATCCGCGGACGATGCGTCAACGAACTTGGCCTGAATCCATCGTGATCCGACCTGATCGCGGCTGAATGCGACGAGCTGGCCTTTGACGTCCTGCACGCGTGTATTAGCCGCTGACCAGGAATCACGAGGGCATCACCTGCCTGCAGTCGCCACTCTGTGCGGCGGTCACTCTGAAGGCGGTCGATGGCATGATGCTCAATAGCCGGTGGCGAGGCACGATACTGATTAGGCGAGGCTGGCTTTGCGAGAGCGTGGCTGTAATTGTGCAGAACTTGGGCGTACATAGGCTGGAACTGACGATCGGACTGGATGGCAGTCGTCAAGTCCACATGAGTCTGCGCGACTTGCTGGGGCAACAAGTCTAGCTTTGTGAAGATCTGCGGTCCGTAGGCCTGTTGTTGGTCCAATATGCCCGCAGCATATGGCATCGCTGCATAGCCTGCTTGCAGATTGGCCAAGCCAGGCAGGGGACCTACGACTTGACCGGCAGACATATAAAGCGCTTGATCCGGCGTGGGTCGCGGTGAGGGCGGCAGAGACCAGACTGCGGTAGCAGGTGGCAGAGAGCGAGGATCATACGAGGGCGACCAGCGCGGCGAGAGATCAACCTCGCCTTCGAGTGGCAAAGTCGCGTGACGAGGCGAGGCACGCATCTGCTGGAACTGTCGAGCAAGCGCCGCATCTTGGCCTTCAATGTTTGCGCCTGACCAGCTCATGTAAGGCGCCTGCTGTGCCTGAGCCTGAGCCTGAGCGTGCTTAACTTCGCGCTGCTGTCCAGGCGACCTGACGACCGAGTCGCGGGGCGAGGAGCCATAGAGGGCATCGTACGCGAGCGTCTCGGGCACGGAGACACCTCTGCTCGAGCACGAGAGAGGTGAGGAAGCGTGGCTGGATGGAGGAGGCGCGAATGAGCGACGGCGTCGGTGGTCGTCAGCGCTGCCACGTCCGTTGCTGTCGAAGCTGTCGTTGATCGTAGACAAATCTGAAGCAGCTTGTGAGGGCGAGCCGTCCTCGTGTGGATCGGCCAGCAGGCTACGGTGTCGTCGGATGGTGAGCGGGCTGGCTTGTTTGGCGGCAACGGCAGCGTGACGGAGTCCATTCGAGCTGGGCGAGTGTACGACGGTCTTATCTTGATGAGACATGTGCAGCCGAGCTCGAGGGCTTCGGGGCGACAGGAGCTCGCTGACAAGTGTCTGATGCTCCGTTGCCGCCGCGAGCTCGAGCTTGGCAGTCGCAGGTGAGCTTGCGGGCGTCGTTGGCGTACTCGAGCCATACAAGCTCGTGAGGCTCGCTGCCGAGGGTGACGGTCTGACGTGGGAGGGAGGCTCGCTATAAGCCAGGTCAGGCCAGGCGCTTGAGTCTGATCGCAGCTCGTCAGACACGGCAAGCTCATCCAATCGATTGCGAGGCTCGATGCTGTACGAGGCAGCGTGCTTGGGCAGCTTACGGAGAGCGTCTTGACGACGAGCAGCGAGCGTCGACAGGCTCTCTGTCGAGTTGGTAGATCGCAAGAAGCCTTGATCGTCTCGTCCGATTGCACGCGCAAAAGCACGTCTGGCGCCTGGCGAACTTGGCAGCGAGCGATCCTGTGCAATTGAGCCTGCCCAAGCACGACCCCAGATGGTCTGACTCATGTCCTGAGCCTCATCGGGCTGTCCGACGGGCTTGTTGTCGAGCGTATGGGCTTGACTTGCGAGCGAGTGATCTGACGAGGGCGTGCCAGTCGCATGATCCGACGTCGTCGAGAACGTCACAGCGGACGATCTCCTCGGAGCGAGAGGATCATGGCTCGGATGGGCATGATCGTGCGTGATTGCATTGGCAGCAGCGGCGGCAGCAGCAGCAGCGACGGCAGCAGCGACATTGGTGAGACTTCGAGCACGCGAGGCTTGCAGGCGGCTGACGTGCTGCTCCTCATTGACCGAGTCTGTAGCGTGTCGTAGCAAGTCTGACCACTTGGCATCATCCGAATCTGTCGGCACGTAGCTTTGATCGAGCGTCTGACCGCACGCGCCTGCTTGACTCGGTCTGATGGTTGGCGAGCCTTGGTCGCTGAGTCGAGTAGCTGCGGTATGTGCGGATGACATGCTTGCCATCGCTGACATTGAACTTCGCTCGAAGCTGTGAGGTCATCAGAATATGTGTGCGGGTTCGTAGGGACGACTGACAGACGTTTGACTTTGATAGCGTGAGCGAGTGAGATTGTCAAGGGCTGCTTGTCCTTTGAGTCTGAATGAGATGCAAAGCAGAGCGAGCGAAGCGAGACTAGACCGTCACCGGCTTAATCAAAGAGACGGATGCAGACCAGAGCCATGCTGAGACGACCGAAATGAAAGTTTGCAGGGGTCGAGCGAGCCAAACAAGCGAACTGTATTCGTCTAGGGTGGTAGGCAGTGTACAACAGCACAGAGAGCGTGGCGATCAGGAGGCGAAGAACCAGCTGCTTCGCTTATCGCCTGAAGTCGTAGCACGTACGGCTGCCAGTGAAGCATTGAGCCTGTGATCATCGAATTGAGTCAGTCTTGTCACCGCGGTAACGCGTCAGACCTACGGTGATGGCGCCGTCTCGGCAGTCGCGCTGCCCGCCCCTCGCAGCGGTCGGGCGACACGTCCAAATTGTAGCGCACTTGCAGCCGATGCGGCGTTGACGGCTTGAGGACTCGATCGTGTACTCAGCGCGCGCTCGTATTCGATCCGGTCGTGAAGCGCTTGTAGCTGAGAATTGTACTTTGTATTTTGGGCTGCAAGGCTGTCTTGAGCGTTTGCGAGGAGTTGCTCGAGGTTCTGAATGCGCTCATTGCGCGCTGTGAGCTTCCGCTCGGCCACGCTGACGTCCTTCTTAAGAGAAGCGTTCTGCTCGACGAGCTGTCGCTGCACCAGAGTGAGCTGGTCGAGATTGCGTGTGAGGAAGTCCATCTTGCGTTGCTGTAGTCGACTATTGCCATTGCGGATCACAGCATTGTATTGCTCGCGCGTCTCGTCCAAGGAGATCTCCAACTCGACCACCTGCGCCACATTGAGCGCAATACACTGACGGCTTGAATGTGCAGCGTACCTTTTCGCATCGATCTTGCAGATCCTTAGTCAGCGATTTCTTCATCTTGTCAAAGTCTGCAAGCTGTGTGACCATCGTCTTGCGAATGCGCTCCATATCGCGAGCGCGTTCCATGAGATCTTTGCTGCCTTCGATGCCCGCCGTCGTGATCGCAAACGCACGCTTTGTTTCTTCGAGCGTCGAACGCAGCGAGCCATTGCTCGCATTCAGGGCTTCAATTTCCGCCGATTTCGTGGCCAGATCAGCGCGAAGGTCCACGAGGTCTTGCTCAGATGCCCTTTGGTGCTGCAGGGCCTCCTCGTCCGAACCGAACTGCTGGGCAGTGGCCATTTCGTCTTTAGGCATCTGACTCGATGCAAGATCTTTGTAGCCTTGCCCAGCCGAACGCAGACGATGCTCAAGCTCCTCGTTCCTTCGAGAGAGCGCCGCATTTTCTGCTTGACTGTTGCGTAGACGTTCTTCGTGTGAGGCAAGAGCAGACTGGCCGTCTTCGATCTGCCGCCTCAGCAGATCGAGATCACTGCTGTCGTGTGGCAGCTGGGCACCCAGAGACTTGTCGAGTCGATCCAGGGCTTCTCTGATCTGCGTCTCATGCTCGGTCGATGAAGACTGTACAATGTAATCAGATTGGCACTGTCATCAAAGATCGCGAGACGCACTGTGTCAAAGTGGCCCATGAGAGCAGCCATCTTCTCGGCTCTCTGCTTCTCCTTGTCGCCCCCGAGACCGCGGCTTTGTTGCATTCTGAGCTCGGAGATCTGGCGCTTGGCATCCTCAAGCTCTGCTGTCGTGTCGGCGTTCTGATCCTTGAGCGCATCGACGACGATCTGGGCCTCCCGATTCTCGTGAGATAGACGCTCGAGCTGCGATCTCAGGTCGTTGACGAGTGCGGACAAGCCACCGACCGACTGCGAAACATCAGCGCGGCTCGTCATTCGTGTTCGATGACATGCCTGAGCATCGCGTGAAGCAGAAGCGCGCAAAGCCTCAAAGTCGGCCTGGGCCGTGCGTAATTGCTCCACATGTGACGCAAGTGCCGATTCCTGTCAGTCTGAATGAGCTCAGTCTAAGGTCCTAGTGTGGTGCTTGCCTTTTCTGCTAATTGATCTTGCAAGTCGTTCTCTCGCTTGAGGAATTCTTCTCGTTCGTCACGATCGAGCGACACGGTGGTTGGAGTTGGCGGTCTACTCTCTAGATCACGCAGAGACCCAACAGCAGGATTAATGGGCGTCGTCGATCGGTTGGGCGTACTGGGCACATCCGTGCTGGCAAGAGCGAGCGTTGGTCCTTGCGAGCGGGCACGCTCGAGTGTTGCCCACGCTTCTTTATCGACTGTACCTCCCGCGCGCCAGATGGATAGCTCGGCCTCCAGGAGTGCAATGTAGGTCTGATATTGAGCAATATCCCGCTGGGCATTCTTGAGGAGCGCTTTGAGCTCTGCTGGAGAAAGCTCGGCATTGACTCTGGCTTTATTCTTGATTGACTTTGCTCGAATGCCAAACCTGAGCGTCGAGATAGTCTCGGCTTCGTTGTAGATGCTCGGCGAGCAATTGATGATCAGAGTCGTTCTCGAATTTCCACCGAGAGATTCTTGCAAGATTCTCGTGAGCTTCGAGTCGCGATAAGGGATATGTTGGGATTTGCCGTCGGTGAGGGCATTGATGACCATCCCCAAGGCAGAAAGGGATTTGTTGATCTTCTTTGCCTCCTCTAGTGTCTGTCCGCTTGCGCCTGTCTTGCCGACCTTCTCTGAACCGGCAAGATCGACGAGGTAGAGATTGCCATTCTTTTGGGAGCCTGTCTCTGTGTTGCGTTGATTGACGCTGATGACAAAGATGGAATGAGATCTCGAGCTTTCTGCATTCATATCTGATCACTAATGTCAGCGCTAGCGTTCAGCAATAGATGATCGACACACTCGTTGCGCTGACTGCCCGAGTCAAGCCGCCTTGCTTCATGATCTCGTAGACTTCTGGCGCGCTGCCGACGTAGAGGACCGAAAGGTTCTTGACATACACTCCCCGCGCCTTGTCCTCGTGAATGGACAGGTTGTCATTCTGGGGCGCAAGTAGATCTCGGATGCGCTCCATGTAGATCTCCATATACGAACATTTGACGAGGTATTCGATATGCGGGGGAGAGACCATGATAGAAGCAAAGATTTGTTCGGTGATACGAGGAATGAGGCCTTTCATCTTTGGATCCTCGATGTCTGTACCCATCATGGTGTACGTCTTTCCCGAACCGGTCTGTCCGTAAGCAAAGACGGTGCCGTTGAAGCCGGACAGAACATCATCGACTATGCCGCGCACGCCATACTCAAAGACTTCCTCTTGCTTCGTGTCCATCTCGAACGCTCTGTCGAACGTGAAGCCGTTCGCGTCGGGGCCGCGTAGCGCATCTTGGGACTTGAGCTTGACCGTTGTACCTTCGGGGTCAATCGATACGATAGGCTCTCCGCCAGCTTCCCGCAGTTCTAATGCATTGGGCGGTCGAAACCTGGCCGGTCTCGGGTCAGTCGCGAGTGCGAGGACAAGGCAGAGACTCGGGACGCACCGACAGACGACTTTGATATTGTTGCTCATCCTGGGCACTGATCACGCACTTTGTCGAGTGGGACCGACTGTCTGTGCTCTACATACAGTGCTGCCGAGCCGGGAGATGTGCGCCGTGTGATCGCTAGCCGAGCGTTGGCAGCCGGCGCGGCCAGTGACAATGAGGTGCCTGAACAAACTTGCCTTGAGGTCCTCAAGTCGTGTCAGTCGATGCGTCGTGACTACCGTGGGACAGCCGAGGTTGTACGGCAACAGCTGCTGATCTTGAACAGCTCACACGCTCGGCGCCTTCACGTCGTCGGCGGGATAGCAGCAGACAGTCGCACGCGTTCGTTCGTGATGTCCCCGACAAAATTGATTAGCCCTCCTTGCGACGATGGCGATACAGACCGACGCCGGCACTGCACAGCCAGGCTTCCCTCGTCTGACCCGAGCTGATGTGCTCCAGTGCCAATTCTCAGCTTGGTACCCCGACTTCAGACGACTATCACCCAAAGCGACAGTCGTGCGCCTGCCTGAAGACTTTCGACGCTGGCTAGAGTCAGACGGCCTGATCCTCCCCGAGGGATCGGGCGATATCGAGGATGACGACAGCGACAGTGAAGCCGCAGATGCGTCGGACACACGCTCAAATGATCAGCATACCTCGAGTGCGAGGCGCGACCTTGAAGAGGCAGATGAGGACATTGAGGAGGTGTATAGCTTCCCTCAAGTCGATACTCAGCTGCGCGCCATCATCGACAAGTACGATGGCCTCGTCTTCCCCAAGCTCAATTGGTCAAGCCCAAAAGACGCGGCATGGATCTTGCCCGGCAAACCACTCGCCTGTAGTACACCGGCAGATATCTACTTGCTACTCAAATCGTCAGACTTTATTGCTCATGACCTTGATTATCCTTTCGAGCACTGCTTCGATGAGCACGATCACGCATCGACCCCTCTGCCGCCGCCGCCGCCGCCGCTTGAATTGGTCCTGAAGCAATGGTTTGAGATGCCGCACTCGCAAGAATTCCGCTGCTTTGTCTCGTATCGCAAGCTGCAAGGTCAGCGTCTCCGTCTGCTTCGATCGACCTTGGCTGACATGCGATACTGGACAGGAATTTGCCAGCGCGACCACAATCACTTCGACTTTCTGGATGATGCCGCACTCCAAGATGAGATCAAGCTCAAGATAGCAGGCTTCATCGAAGAGCAAGTCTTACTAAGATTTCCGCTGGCTCATTGTACGTTCCCATGACACGTACAAGAATTTGGCTCAGTCTGGCATAGTCGTCTGCGATGTCTATCTCACACGAGACCGTTCTCGTGTCTTCGTGGTCGACCTCAATCCCTACGGTCCTCAAACAGACGCCCTCTTGTTCAGCTGGGAGGAGCTGAATCGCCGTGCATTCGCATCGGCCACCGCTGCGCTCGCCCCAGCTCAAACGAACGTGGAACTGAGACTTGTTGATTCTGCGCTCTCGCGTAGCGCAGCAATGCCCTCTTACAGCATGAATCGATATCCCATCGAGGTCGTCGGACTCAGCGAGGGCAAGAGCATAGCAGAATTTGCTCAAAAGTTCAACTCTGCTCTCCAAGAGGCCACAGATCACACAGAGGCATCAACATGAGGAAAACACAACAACAACACCGTACAGTCTCTGCACTCGTCGCTCGAGGCACTACATCGCGCTAGCCCTGCTGACGCGGAATCGTGGTATCGTAAAGCTTCATCAGATCGGCCTGCCCTCCCTCGGTTTGGGAGAACGCGTAGCCGTTGTTCTGTCGCAAGTGCTGCACAGCGCGCACTTTCTTGATAGCCTGTCGTTGTAACACAGTCAGCATGCATACGTGCGGTTCCGCGATGGCATGCCCTCTGGAATTGAGCCATCCGAGGCCGATAGTCGGGCAGATTGAGGGCCTGTATCTCTTGCACAATATGATACGGCTGTGGATTGAACAACCGCTTGTATCTACATGACGTTCTGTAAGCTCTAGCACCCGGGGTCAGCCGCATACGCACGATTTCCAACCAAGATCACGCAAGAGGCAAGCGACCGGTAGCAAAGCAAGGCAGAAGTAGAACACCGGTGACGCCCACAAGCGCGGCACGATACCGTGATACTCGGTCGCAAAGCCGATAATAGGCGCCAGCGCCTGAAAGGCCGGCAGAAAGACGGCGGCAAACAGGAATGAGCCAGGGATCGCCATGACAGTATATTTTGTCCATGTGCTGTGCTCTCCCGCGTCAGCCGTTTGCATCACCGCAATAGGGGGAGCCTACTTTGCGACGAGGGCGGCCTTGAGCAAGACGGTCAGCAGGACGCACATATAGACTGTCGTGCCGAACAGCCATTGGCCCGCATCAAGGCCGTCGGTCAGGACAAGATCATCCCAAAAGACGCCTGCCGCGCAGACAAAGATGATAATCGAATGATATATGGCATCTAAGAACCAGCACCAAAAGATGCGCTTGGTGAAGAATGCGTTGCGCTGACCTAGCAGGTATAGCTCTGGGTATCGATCTAGCATGCGCGCATTGACAAATTGGTCGAATACGCCCAGAGCAAGTGGCGGTAAGACAGTGAAGAAGATGTTGTACATGGTGAGCGTCCATGACTCGTAAAGCACTTGACCGGAGAACGAGCTGTTAAAGGAGAACCAGAAGCTGATTGCGCTTATGACCGCATTTTTGTAGAAGCTGTACAGGATCAAGAGCGATAGACGGCGGTAGCTCCACGCGCCATGCACCAACAGCAACTTCTTGAGATAACGGAATTGGGAGATCGCTACGTCGGCGGATCGCGCAGCTTGCAAACCCTCGACGCCAGAGATGCCGACGCCGAGGTGAGCGGCCTGAATCATGCCGATGTCGTTCGCTCCGTCGCCAATGGCGAGCAAGATCGCCTTTTCGTTCTTCTTGACGAGCTTGACGACTAGCGCTTTCTGCAATGGCGAAACCCGACAGCAGACGACTGCTTTGCATTTGACCGCTAGACGTAGAAAGTCCTTCGAGAGTGGCTTCTCCAGCGCGAAAGCGAGGCTCTTGCCATCTATAATCACCATTTGGTCAGCAAATGCCACAAAAGCATGATCCAACGAACCGATTATCAAAGCGAGCGGTGGCACATCTACTTTGCCATCGAGCATTGCCAGACGCTTGTCTATGAAGGCCTTTGTGGCCAGTGCATCGTCCTCATTGATGATGACAAGCTCCATTGCATCCGAGATGAGGCGGCAAGAGAGACCGATGTTGATCGCAGTCTCTTGCCTATCGCCAGTGAGCACCCAGACTTTGATGCCGGCTTGCTGTAACGTATGGATCGTGTCGGGCACGCCGTCTTGCAGCCTGTCTTCTATCGCTGTCGCGCCCAACAGCGTGAGATCCTTTTCTATGAGTTCCGCCGCTTGATCGAGAGCCTCGCTGCGTCCGTTGATTGTAGCAGCCGCCCTGTCATAGACTTGAGACCACTGGCGATATTCATCTTCCGGTATCTCTCGCATTGCGATGCAAAGGGTGCGCAGACCCTCGGTCGCGTATTGCTGCAGGTGTGACAGCGTGTCCGTAGTATAGGATTGCTGGCCTGACATGCGCTCGAGGATGACCGTGTCTGCGCCTTTGCAGTAGAGCTTGATCCGCCCATCTGGGCCTCGCAAGATCGTCGACATACGTTTGCGCGTGCTGTTGAACTCGCACACGTTAAGCACCAGATGCTCTTCAGATCTGCCATCAACATCAATTATGACGGCGTGAGGCTTTCGCGTCGTAAAGCGATAGTCAAGCATCTCTGCGCCTGACACCAGAGCAGCTTCGTCGGGACTCGAGGCTTGATAGACGATCTTGCTGGCTTTCTGCTCTGGTATGACAGTGTGGCAAGTCGCAAGCAGGGTCAGGAACTCCTTGATGACGTCCGCTAGATCAGGCGCCACCGCATGCCGTTTGAGATCCGTGAAGGAGAAGACGTCCGCTCCAGTGCTTTCGTCGACATGATCTGCGTATCGCTTGCCGGCAATCGAGCATTGTCGAAACTGCATCTCATTGCAAGTCAAAGTGCCTGTCTTGTCGGAGAAAACATATTCGATCTGGCCAAGCTCTTCGACCAGACTGGACGTCCGACAAAGGGCTGCTGTTTTCGTCTTGTCATAATACATGTCCAAGTCGGCATTGATGAGCACCGCCTGCTGAAATTTGACGACCTCCATAGTTACGATGAGTGAGATGGGTATCAGATTGTTGTACAAGATGATGAAGGTCAAGATGTCTTCGACGAATGTCATTGTTCGGCTAGACGCAGTCTCTGAGCCCAGCAAGAGATACCACATTTGGTCGCCATACACATGCTCCCGAATGTAGGCGCCGAACGCTGAGCCGAAGCCCAGCAAGAGCAGTATCAGGAAGAGAAAGAGAATCTGGACGTTGACCATGCGCTCGACCGCAGTTCGCTTGACGGGCGTAGCAGTCGCATTCCGCATGAGCTTGGTCTCGTGGCCTGTAAAGACGACGAGACCGTACATCCACGCGGTATTGCGCAGCTGTGCCCCTCGCAAAAGTATTTGCTGAGGGCTCATGGGCACTTCTCTGAACGCTCCTGACTTTCGGGGCACGGCCAGTGTGCCTTCGTAAGTATAGAGCGAGTTATTAGGCTGTTCGGATCTCAAGTAGCCGTCCAGACCGGCGATCGCCTCCGGGGACATGAGATGCGCCGTCTCTGGCGAAGCCTGCTTGATTTTCAGATTCGTCTCGCCGTCCAGATTGCTCGTTTCGATATAGCAAAGGCCATCGGGCTCGCTACTACTGAGCAGCAACAGATCTGCAGGAAACGAATCGTCTGACACCAGGCGAACGATGTCGCCGACTCGCAGATCTCGCCATTGACGAGCGACAAAGGCGCGATCTTGTAGCACGTTGACTTGTCTGCCATTGAGTGCACGATCGCTTGCATGCCGCTTGAGATCCTCCTGCAGCTCCTTGAATGCGGCGACGAGCAGCACGATGAAGAGCGGAACGATTGTCGTGAACCGATTCGTGGGCGAAACATTGGGAATCTGCTGCACGCACGCAGTGAATAAGAAGAAGACGTTTGCATACTTGCTGAATTGCTCTGCAGGAAGCCGGTGAGCTTGTAATGCAAGGGAGAGTGAACAGAGCACGAGCCTCCTAGGAACTTTGGCAGGAAAGTCGCGAGATTGTACTTTGTTGTCGAAACAGAATTGTTCTTGTATCTCTGTTGAGCGTTGCGCTCTGGATCGTTGCAGTAGATCTTGCGCTCGGATCCATCAGACCCAGAAGATCCTCGGCCGAAAATGTCGCCAAATCTTACTCGCCGGCGCTTTCGAGGCCTGTCGCCTTTTGGGAGCGTATCGAGGTAGTCTGTCTCGTCAGCAGTCGGCTCGCCCTTGCTACTTTTCGATGCTTCAAAGCATGTCGGTGGGTATGCTGCCTCTGTCAGGGGTATCTGTGAGGCTGACGAGCGACAAGCGGGTTTGCGCTCGCTGCTGTACGGTGATGCTTCGCGCGAGCTCGCAGAAGGGAGGCCCGAGTACTGCTCGGAAGTCATCTTGGCTGATCTACTGGCGTCAACCTCATCAGCCTCGCCGATGTGGTGATGGCGTGGGACTGACATGGTCTCGTATGGCTCGCGTCTCACCTCTGCCTCGTCCTGAGCGGTACCGTGCGACCAAGCAGACTGTGCGCCATACGAGGCTGGGTTCTGACTCTGCAGATACGTTCTGGCTTCATAGCCCGAGCTATGCAAGCCCGGTGAGTCTATCGGCTCTGCAGGATAGTCGCTGGCATCCCATGGCGAGTGATTGGATTGCGCGAGTGACGGTGAGGCTGTATGAAGAGCAGTCGAGCTCTTGGCAGCCGAGTAGGGTGGATAAGCTTCTTGGTCAGATCTCGAACAGTTTTCGTATGGATTGTGCGAGCGTCCTGGCTCGTTGCCGAGTGATGAACTGTCTTGCTGCCGCGTTTGATGACCGAGCTCATCATTCCCCTGGTCGGGCTGCAGGCCTGAAGCTGCTCGACCGTGCTGCATCCTGGCATTCACACGGGGCGCTACATCGACGCCGTCTGGGCCTCTCCATGCTGCCATCAGCCGCTCGGATGCATCGCTTGTCCAGCGGCAGTACGCGACGCGCGGTGTCGCCAAGCGCCAAGCGCCAAGCTCGAGTAGCTGAAAATCAAAAGGCGTCGCAAGATCACATCGACGGCAGGCTTGCTCTTCACATGGTCTACAACAGGATATGGGCATGCTATGTCTTCATGATAGCTCAAAGCTGAGCGTGGCTTTGCCATGCGTGTCCCTCGACGCTGTCCAGATGGTGTCATGCTCGCATCGGCGGTCTGCGCACCCGAACAGCGAGTCACAGAGGCGGACCGTCAGATTACCTTACTCGCGCGGAGCTGACGAATCTTTTCGACATCGTAGCCGAGTTCTTCTGCAAGAACTTCGGCAGTATGCTGAGCCAGGACGGGCGGTGGACGGTTTACCGGCATTCTTTGACCATTGTAGTACATTGCAGGAGCGAGCTGCTTGATCCTACCCGCTCGAGCATGCTCAACTTCCACCACTACGCCCCTCGCCTTTGCTTGTGCATGTTCAAAGGTGCCTTTGATATTGTTAATGGGCGCGAAGGGAATACCCTTGCCCGTGAATGCTTCGACCCATGATGTAGTAGTCTGAGCTGAGAGCGCTCGGGTTATGAGATCCTTCAAGATGGCTCGATTGGCGACACGATCGCCGTTTGTCTTGAAGCGAGCCTCGTCCGACCAACCCGGCTGGCCAAGCAGGCGCGATAATATCCTGAACTGACCATCGTTGCCTGCACCGATCATGATGAACGAATCCTTCGTCGCAAATGTCTCATAGGGCACTATACTGGGATGCGCCGTTCCCTGCCTTGTCGCCTCTTGACCAGCGATGAGATAGTTGCTACCGATATTGGCCAGCGAAGCGATTTGCGAGTCGAACAGAGAGGCATCAATCCAAGCGCCCTTCCCCGTCCTCGCCCGACCGAGCAGCGCAGCCATGATCGCTCCGTGCACGTAAAGTCCCGTTGTGAGATCAGTGATCGCCACGCCCACTTTGACGGGCGCACGATCTGGCTCGCCTGTGATGTGCATGAGACCAGCTTCCGCTTCGATCATGACATCGTATCCTGGCGCAGTTCTGAAAGGACCGGTCTGGCCATAACCGGTAATGGACGCATAGATAATTCCCGGATTGATGGAATGACAGTCTTCGTAGCCTAAGCCCATTTCCGCCAGCTTGCCCGGCACATAGTTCTCCACGAGCACGTCCGCCTTTTTGATGAGCTCCTTGACGATAGCTTGTCCTTCTTGTGTCTTGAGATTGAGGCCAAGGCTCCTCTTGCCGCGATTAACGCTGAGGAAATAAGCGGATTCAGGCGGCAAATTAGACCAGTCCGCTTGTGAGTCATCCTTGGTGGTCGAGACTTTCTCAGACCCGTCTTGTGCGAGCGCAGGCGGCGCCGGGTGAGCCTTGGCGCCGGTGCTAGGTGCAAAGGGTGGGTACCATGCCCGGGTATCGTCACCTCTGGTCGGGTGCTCGATCTTGATGACATCGGCGCCCAGATCGGCGAGCAACATGGTCGAATATGGGCCGGCCAGCACTCTCGTGAGATCGACGATCCTGCGAGGCCTTTAGCGCATGGCGCTACAAGCCAGGAGAAACTTGCCTCAGCCCTTTGAGCGGCGGCTCAATGCCACCCCTTCCGGGGGCTGACTGAGCTGCATGGGCAGCAGCTGTCGATAGCTGGCGGTAAGCGAGACGCTGTCCTATCCTGCAGGCTCTACAAGTCGCACATCGAAGCATGGATAATTCGGACGGAGGACGAACCGGAATACGCGTGAGAAGCCGGGGCGCCGGCGCGTCGTTCCATATCCAATCAAGCTTTCGCAACAACTTTCCTGGCTTCTTCGAGCACAGAGGTACCGTCTGTAATGCGTTCAAATTGAGACTGAGCCACCGATATCTGGCTTCATACTCCTACTTTATCAGAGACTCGGCACAAGGTCGCAAAGGCCTGCAGATTCGACCGAATTTGTCGTGTGGGCATTTCGGTGAACCAGCTCGAACTCGATCTGTGAGGACGCGCTCGCTGCCTGCGTGGCCTGGCGAGAGGCTCGCTCACTATCTCTGTACAGCGCAGACCGACGCAAGTGACTGAGATCGTTAGCTGAGATAACGAGCTATCTCTCTTTCTTGACGCTTGCTATTCCCAACAACTTCGCCCCTTTCCAGCCGTCTGCAACCGAGAAACTCGCGAACGCCGCTCGAGAAGGCTATCTCTTGGACGTCTACGTCCGCGCAGAAACGATCGAAACCATCTTGTCCGGCAGACTGTCCATTCGACAGCTGTACCAGGGCGTCCTGGTCTGACCTCACGCTAACCACATTCTTTACATTGTATATACAAGTCCGTTCGTGCCCTCACTGAGAATCTGTGCGATAAGCACGGACTTCGAGACTGGCATGGCATAACGGCAATATACCCACTTTCCCTTGGATGCATCCATTGCTTCGTACATCGCATTCCTCGGCCAGTGAGGTGTCTGGACTCTGAGATACAAGGCTCGCAGGCGTGAGGAATGCAAAGGCGATGTTGCTACTGTCCTACAACAGTGGGCCGTGACTCTAGCTGCTCATACACCTGCTCGGTCGCAGAGCATCAGCTTGTTGATCCTCTCAGACAGGCTGACTTACGAGAACGAACTCCTTCTTGACCCTCTCCCAAGATGAAGGATCAAAAAATACATACGAGCCGCGCTCGAATGTCGCCGTCTTTTGAGTTGGCTCTGTGCCGGTCTCCTTGGTGAGCCATAGCCTGAGCTCCTTGTGATAGCGCCAGTTGTGCTTGTATCTGTAGCCGGATACATTCATTAGTCATGTTGAGCGGTCCCTAGATCGGTGAAGACTGACAGCTCTTGAGCCGCAAACTCTTGCATCACGTCTCTCGGACTGGTGTAGAAGATGAAGAACAGCGTCTCGTCTGAATAAACGCCCAGCTTGCTTTGTGCTGGCGGTGGCTGAACGTTGTAGCAAGCCGGCAGATGGAATTCTGGCTCGATGTGCAAGCCCGGGTGTTGATCTGTCTCTGACCATGGTGAGACAAAGGTAGGATAAAGATTGCTACCCCAGCGTGCATGAGCAGTGTTCACCAGCATATGGGGCCATGACTGACTCTTTTTGATTCAGATCTAATCCCAGCTTCGATAGATCCGTGCCGAGCGACAGCAGGCTGACATCTGGATCATTGCTCCTGATGATCTGCAGTAAGCCTTTGAGACCGAAACGATCTGCCGGACTGAGCAAAACCTGCTGAGCAGGTGTCTGTGGTAGCGCTTCTATCGCCGTCATAGCAGGTTGCGATGCTAGACTAGTCTGTCTGGACGCATTGGCAGCAAGCGTGGCGGCTGCCTGCGCGCCAGATATTGGCCTGGGTCCACTCGTAGCAGTACTATTGAGCGTTTGCGAAGGCGAGCGCGACTGCGTTTGTTGCGCATGATTGTGATTCGCTCCGTTAGTGAGCTGACCGTACGGATTGCCAGGCGCATTTGCATTGAGAGGCGAGGGCTGGGGGGCTAAGCTCCATGGTTGCTGGGAGTGTTGCTGTTGCTGTTGACTTGCTTGAGCGTTGGCTAGCTTGGTGGCATAGTTCTGCACATCTCAGATTGAGCTGCTGTAGGGTCGCTTACGTCACCATCGACTCACCCGCTTCGCATCCTCGCTAGACAGTGAGCCAAGCGTGCCAGACAGCGTCCTGACGCCGTGGTTCGCAGTATTGAGGTACGAGGCCGCCGCGGCAGCAGCGACAGACGAGTGGCTGTTTTGCCGCCTAGCGAGCGCTGCAGCAACGTTGGCCTGCTCTTGTTGTTGTTGCTGACTGCTCGACATGCCCGTACCGAGACCTGGCGCGTTGGAGAGCGAACTGATGTTGCCCAAGCCTGGCGGCGGCGGCAAAGGATTGCTAGCCCCGTCCAGAGCCGGAAAGTCGTCCGGAGTGACGCTGAAGTCAGTGGCAGGCTGACCTGTTGTAGCCGAGGTCCGTCTGAAGGCGTTGATGCCGTTTGAGCCGGTAAAGTGATGATGTTGCTGATGGTGGTGATGCTGCTGCTGTACCGAATTCAAAGAAACGAAAGCACCCGATCCGTTAACGGTTGATGATCCCAGGGGAGGGCCAGGAGGTAGACCTACACCTGCTTGGGAGGCGTAGCTACCTCCTACTGCGCCGCTGGTGCCCGCACTCGCGCCGGTCGGGGCCGATCCAAAGAGGTTGCCCTGGCCGAACAGGTTCGAGTTGGCGGATAAGGAGTTGGGATGACCCGAGCCTGGAGCCCCAAGGGCTGGAAAGTCTGAGAGGTCCAGATTGATCTATTTCGCCAGGATGGGCTTAGGAGGGCAAATTTGACCGTTCTCTCCTCGTCTTGGCTTGCACTGGACTGCGAGTGTACAAGCGAAAGTCAGCGCTGTTCTCTTGTGCACTTGCGGGCAGCGAGTCAGAGGGAGGGCAGAGACTGACGGCCGGGCGGGGCATACAACAGCGCGAGCGGCCTTGTGGTTCGCCAGCAGCGCAGCGCCAATGCTAGCGATGGCGTGCCTGTAGAGTATCGATTCTGCGCTGTTGGCCCGCCTGCGAAAGCAAGTCGGGGCTCTGCGCGGGCTGAAGCGGAAAGGGGGAGTCTCAATGTCGAGGCAAGAGCGAGTGTACGTGAATTGGATGAGGCTGGAATGATGATCGATACTCACGTTTGGCTTCTCCGGGCAAGGACGGCGAGGAGGAGGCTGATGATGATCCGGCTAGCCTGGTCTGCTGTAGCTCAGACGATAGTCTGAGGCGTCTCAGTAGTATCGCCTGCCAGGTCACACTTTTCCACGTCGCTGATGGCAGTCCGGTCTTGTTCCGCGGGATGCCGCACGACGCTCGATAGCGCACCCGTGTCGATGTCCAGGCTCAAGTTGCACTCTGCTTGAGCCTCTGCTGATCGTACGAGCCTCTTGCAGCCTCTCTGACCGACTTCAATCTCGCGCGCGGGACTGGCTCGACCAGCAAGCAAGCAAGCGGCGGCTCACCAAGCACGCGCGCCTTGCAATTGCCTGCAAGCTGAGCAAAGCCGGGCAAGCTAGTGGCAGCAAGGTCCGTGATCGGCAGGCTGACAGGCCAGAGCCGCGCTCACACGGCACACAGTGACGAGCACGACCGATCTCTGACCGGCTTGGGTCCGCTGACGAGGCATCGCAACGCGGTCGAGTCTCCTGTCGAGCGCCAGGAACAGCGGTACCTTGCTTGTCTCTACAGAACATACTCCGTCCGCGATGGCCTACGCTACCAAGCAGGAGTCTGACGACATCTTCAAGATCCTCAGGGGCCAGCCCGCTAACAAGGTATGCCATCTCAGCCCACGGTTGGCCTTGTTTGGGCTGGATGAGCGGTTGACCTGGCTTTGCGAACTAGACCTGCTTCGACTGCTCTGCACGGGCACCTACATGGGCTTCTGCTACCTTTGGCGTCTACATCTGTCTAGACTGTACGTTTGCCTCTTGGCCCTCCAAGCTTTGCGCGTCAGGACGAGCTTGGCTCATCGCGACCATTTTGACGGTGACAGGCTCAAGCAATCACCGCAACATGGGCGTTCATATCTCCTTCGTCAGGTCGACCAATCTCGACCAATGGCAGTGGGCCCAGCTGCGCGTCATGAAAGTCGGCGGCAATGCAGCCTTTAACGCGTTTCTTGCCAAGCATCCCGGCGCCTATTCTCCCGCTGCTTCGACCAACATCAAGGACAAGTACACCTCTCGAGCTGCGCAGCTCTATCGAGACGAGCTTGCGCGCAAGGCAAAAGTTGACGAAGCTCAGTACGGCCAGCGCGTCTTTCTTGAAGGCTTACCGTCCCATCAGGAGGCAACTCAAGCCAACGGTCACACTGCCACTGGCAATGCTGACTTTTTCGACACTTGGGACAAAGAGCCAGCCGCTCGTACTCCCACTCTCTCTGCCCCCGCCACGCCGCCTGTCATAGGTCTTTCACCCCATCCTTCACGACCTGCCACGCCGCGATCTGCTACGCCGACGAACACGGCGCCTAGTCCTGCTTCCTCCGCGACTGGCGGGACCAACGCTACTGCAGCACCGTCATCGGCTGCTGGGCCTCCCGCCTCGCGCACGACTTCCTCATCCGCGCTCAGGGCAGCCAGCGCCAGCGGAACCGCCAAGTCGAAGCTTGGCGCGACGCGTACGACTGGGGCCGGTGTCGGCGGACGAGCCAAGCTAGGTGCTAAGAAAGCTGGCGGTACGATCAATTTCGAAGAAGCCGAGAAGAAAGCACGAGAAGAGGAAGAGCGCATCAAGCAACTAGGCTATGATTCTAAACGCGAGGAGGAAGAGTCGAGAGCCGTCTCGCTCGCCGCGGTATCGGCACCAGTAGCTAAGTCAAATGCGGCCTCGCAGTCAAAGGTTGCAGCACCCAATAGACCGTCGGCTGAAGTCGATCGACTCGGAATGGGCATGGGCAGGCTCGGATTCGGTCAGGTGGCAGGCATGTCCGGCGAAGAAGCTGCACGGCAGGCCGAAGCAGCTCGAAAGCAAGCTGTGCGGAAAGCAAAGGGACTAGACGAGCCCGTCGACGATTCGACGTATGCCCGAGAGAAGTTCTCGAGCCAGAAGGCCATCTCATCAGACCAATACTTTGGCCGCAATTCGTATGACCCTACAGCTCAGCGGGAAGCGCAATCGAGACTACAAGGATTCTCTGGCGCTACGTCTATATCATCCAATCAATACTATGGCATCGAGGAAGAGCCCGAATCGATCGAGGAAGGCATCATGGGCGTGGAAAGCCTCTCTGATCTCGAAGGAGCTGCCCGTCAAGTCGCCCGCAGAGTCATGCAGCAGGCTGGCTTCCAGGATGTCAACGATTTGCAGGATGCTGTCCGCAATGGCGCGCTGCAGGTTAGTCTTCTGCCTCTGCTGCATCTTGCGGAGCTCATGGCTGACACGTGATGTGCAGCTGAGCGACTACCTGGCTAATCTATCTGCTCGCTACGGATAGGCCTTGTCACAATAGCTCATGCAACGTGTTGTGGTCTCATGAATTATCTGCAGCTTAGAGGCGCGAGGCGGCAATGTGGCCGCGGCAATGTCAATGATGCAATGCATTCGTTAAATCTGCAAGCTGTATACTCACTGCACGCGTACTACCACGTGTGGCAAGCCGTGCAACGATCATGTAAGCTCAAGCAAGAGTGAGGCATGAAGCGAGGCAGAGTGAAAATGCAAGTGAAAATCGTTCCTCTCATTAGCTTGACGGCCCGGGCGAGAGATGACTGCCCTGCTCGGTAGCATGCTCGATACCCTGTCGACTTCAAGCCCGTCGCCATCGTCAGGTCTTTGTTGAGGAATGACGACTTTCTGTTGCTGAAGCATTGTGTGATTGTCGCAGATCTTTCGACCCAGACATGATCGCCTCTGCCTCGATGCCATTCTGTTTGCGCGAAGCAAAGGGACAAAGCCTGTCGCCGTCGCGGGGACGTCGGTCAAGGAGGACGAGCTTGCTGCTGAGCCTGTCGCCCTCGTCGAATCAGTGCTGGGTCCTTCTACTCGGGAGTAGCCTGTCGGAAGCGAAGCTGTTGTCCCGAACCCCTGCCAATCCTAACGAAAGCTCGTGCACTTTGAAAGACTAGAGAGTCATATCTTTCCGACGCAGATAGGAGAACAGGCTCAATCACTCGCCAGCTCGAGTCTGTAGTCTCTTGTGAAGTCTATCGACCATCGTCGCGCCCTATGACTGCTATAGAGGAGGCTGTCAGGTTGTCGCATCGAATTTTGGATGAGCATAGACTTGGGATTGTAAAAATCTCCCCGCCGCGTTTTATGCCCCGCCGGAGCGCGCGCCATGCTGACCGTGCGCCAATTCTCGTCACGTGGTGGGAATCCGGACACCGAACAAGCCGAGTCATGCGAGCAGCATGAGGCCGGATATCACACGATTCCGATGGCCTCTTGTTGACATCATGCTCATACTGCTCCGCCTTCTCTGGCTCGCTGCGCCTACATATTGTCTTTGGCCGTCGCCTAGCGGACCAATCGCAAACGGCAGCGACGCACTATTCCTATCTTCCAATTTCCACGTGGTTCTGTCATCTTTGACTTCGCTTCCGCCAGATCTTATTGATGCAATCAAGGATGCACAAGGCCAGATAGACAATGATGACTTCGAGCGCCTCACCTTGGAAGACGATCGTGAGAAGCTCCGTGATGCAAGAACGGTAGCGCGTATGACCCTTGAACTTGATCCTCATCGCACTCAACAAGAAAGCCAGATCAGGTCGATCACAGACGACGTGAACTTGGACTTTGCTCAGTGGGCGGAGAATGAAGCGTACCGTCTGCGCATCAGCGAACGCTCATGCGTCCTTTCGGCGTCTACCTCGCTAGGCTTCCTGCGTGGCCTACAGACGTTTGTACAGCTCGTCTACACTTTACCGCTAGACCCAGCAGCCGTAATTGATGACCAGACAGTGCTCGCGAGCGCAAAGCGAACGAGATACATATTGAATACGCCCATAGATATATCGGACAAGCCAGCCTTTCCCGTCAGAGGGCTCATGGTCGATACTTCGAGAGCCTTTCTGCCGGTAGACGCATTGCAGCGTCTCCTGGATGCCATGAGCTGGTCGAAGTTCTCACTACTTCACTGGCACATGACCGATGCGCAATCGTGGCCACTCGAAGTCACGGGCTACCCTGAACTACTGCAAGCCGCCTACAACAGCCAAAGCATCTACAAAGCGAGCAAAGTAGATGAGCTCGTCGCCTTTGCAAATGCTCGTGGGATCCAGGTCATGCTCGAGATCGATATGCCTGGCCATACTGCCTCGATAGGCCTTTCTCACCCGGATCATGTTGCCTGCCATGATGCCATGCCTTGGCAAGCATATTCTGTTGAGCCACCGGCAGGTCAGCTTCGCATTGCAAGCGATACCACGACTGCCTTTGCTCGCGGCATTGTGCAAAGTGTTGCTCGCCGATTTGCAGGCTCACTCTTCAGCACAGGCGGCGATGAAGTCGTGCGTGATTGGTCGTATCACTTTTGCGGTCATTGATAGCATGCTGCCAGAATACAAATTGCTACGCTGAAGACGCAGCAACGCAGCAAGCACTCTCTGCGAGGAACAGTACTTTGATGGATGCATTGAGTGCATTCGTTAGCCAATTGCAGGACGCTGTAGCAGGTGCAGGCAAGAGGCCAGTCGTCTGGGAAGAGATGGTGCTTGATCACAACATCGCTCTTCGCAACGATACCGTCGTCACCGTCTGGCAGACATCCGAGAACGTTCGCAAGGTCGCCCAGAAAGGCTTTCAGATCATTCACGCCGCCAGCGATTATTTCTATCTCGACTGCGGCATGGGTGCCTGGCTCGACAATATGCCGAATGGCACGTCATGGTGTGATCCTTACAAAAGTGGTTTATTCTGTTGAGTCTAGCTACGTACTGACCTGACAAGGCAGCATGGCAGCGAATGCTGTCATTTGACCCCTATGCTGCTCTGCAGAGCAGACAACGGCATCTTGTACTCGGCGGACAGGCTCTTCTGTGGTCCGAGCAAACGGACGAGACCAATTTCGAGCAAAACATCTGGTCAGTCTCTTATGCAAAGACATGTGCATGACTGATAGGTGAGCAGGCCTCGAGCGGCAGCCATCGCTGAGCGTTTCTGGTATCACAATCCAAACGACGACACAACATTATCGCGACTGCACGAGTGGCGCTACCGGCTCGTCAAGCGCGGTATTCGAGCTGTACCACTACAGCCACATTTGTGCGTGCTCAGACCGGGCCTTTGCAGCCTGTAAAGTCATTCAGATGCATGTTGTACGACAACCGTTTACGGATCTGTATCATCCCACGCTTTGTTCTGCGGCGGTGGCGCGATGCCTGCTGCTTTTGACATGATGATGGCATCGACCCGCAAGACAGACAAAGCTGCTTCGGTCGCATAGTCGATTGCACACTGTGTAGCTTGCAAGAGGTCATAGATCTGGGCTTTGTGAGTATCGCAAGTCCCATTCGTCTCGCCCTGCATCTCTACTGATCAGCATGACATACGGGAGCACATTACGGTCACTTGCATCGATGTCAACGCCCGTGGCCATGCCATCCTTGCTCGAGTGGGCAGCGTACAGTCGGCTCAGTACTTCTGTAGCATCAAGACCGGCATTTTCTGCGAGTGTCCGCGGCACGACCTCGAGTGCCTCTGCATACTTTTTGATCGCGTGTTGGGCCAGACCGGGCGTTTTCTCGCCATACTCTGCGATCTGCTTAGCAAGCTCGATTTCCGTAGCGCCCGCGCCGGGTATGAGCCTCTGATCCTTGATGATGCCCTTGACAACGTTCACTCCGTCGTCTACGGCTCGCTCGACATCGTCCATCTGGTTTGTCGTGGCTCCTCGGACGACGACAGTCGCTGTTCGAGTCGTCTCCTCCTCCTGCCTGAAGACGGTGACGCGATCGCCGCCGATCTCAACTGTCTCTACAACGTCGCAGAATCCCATTTCCTCGGGTGTCGGCGCACCTAGTCGAGCTAATGGCGTTGCGCCGACAACTCGGCAAAGCCGCCTTAGCTCGAATTTAGACATGATCTTGATAACGACGATATTGAACCGATTGAGGTAGTGCAGCGCAAGTTCGCCGACCGATGAGCCGCTAACGACAACGTTCACGCCCGCATCCGCAAGCTCTTGGAAGACTTTCTCGAGATGCTTTTCTTCTCCTCGCGAAAAGCCGAGCAATTCTTCTGCGGACTTCAAGAGGACGGTGCCCTTGGTCTCTGTCTGCGCGATATCAATAGCGCAAGTGAAAACTCCGACTTTGGCGTGTGTGGCTTTCTTGATGGTGCCTTCTGGCTCTCGGCCAAAGACCATGCCTGAAATGACTCGGCTGTCGCTAAGACCGCCGCCCATGATCTTGACCACTCGGACGTTATCTACATTGAAGCCAGTCGCTTTGCTCGGCATGACCATGAGCGCCGCTTCGGCCACTAGTCGGGCCAGCAGGTCCTCATTGCCGTATTGCTTTGCAGCGATGATGGGTCGTAGCGCTGTTGCAAGCGAATCTTGCGTCAGTGGTAGCTCAAGCTTCTTGATCTCCAGCGCTGTGCAACACATGAGTCAGCGGTGACATGTGCTCGGCTGTGCTAGACTTACTTTGTAGGACCTCGTCTACTTTGTCGCGTGCCAGCTCATAGCCTCCGATGATCTCGCTTGGATGTAGTCCCAATGTGATCAGATGCTCTGCTTTCCGCAGCAGCTCGCCGGCTAGTATCATCACGAGGTTCGTCCTATCCCCAGCCTGTCAAGACCTTGGCGTCAGACCAGCGCGTCTTGAGTGTAGAAAGGCGTTACCTCTGCCTCTTGTTGCTGTGAGGCCATGACGACAACCTTTGCGGCAGGATGAATGACTTCGAGCTCTCGTACGATCGTTGCTGCATCGTTTGTGACAAAGAGCTTCTCCAGATGACTGCAGGCCAGTCGTCAATAGGTCTTTGCAGCGAAAGACGAACACGCTACTTGATGACCATCTTGTTGCGCCCATTGGGTCCAAAGCTTGTCCGCACAATTTCCGAGAGATTACACACGGCTTCTATGTTTCTGCAAGTCGGCATGATCAGTAGGAGCTGCGAGAGCGACGCTCAAGGACGTACCTGATGACAGCTTCTTCGATCCCTTGGCTAAAGCTGTAGCCATCTTTGAAAAGCCCCGGGCCACTCTGCGGAATCTTCAGCGACTGTCAATCACTCAACGGCATCAGCGTAGACTCAAGTCGACCAGACAAGACCTGCCATGCCTGTCACAACTTGGTGCGTCGGTGGATCAGCGAAAATCGCAGGAGCAATATCGCTTTCGACTAAAGTGCCCCACGATCGACGGCGCGCTTCCGCCTCGGTAAACCGGCGAGCCGAGGCACTTCGACCAGCCTTTTGTTGGGCATGGCAGCGCCGGCGAGCTTTGCGTGTAATCACACAAGGCAGTAGCGAATAGACAGGATGCGCACAGGCTTCGTAGACTTTCTCAAGGACCAGTATGGTCGTCTGCCGCCCATAGGCAAGCATGATCTCTCTGGCAAAGTCGTTGTCGTCACAGGCGCCAATTCAGGTTTCGTTCGGCCTTCACTGCAAAAGAACATCACTCATCGCGTTTGTACAGGTCTCGGCCTCGAGACGGCGCGACACCTGTCTCAGTTCAAACCCAAGAAGCTCATCCTGGCCTGCCGCGATTCAGGCAGGGCGCTCGATGCCAAAGAATCCATTTTCAACACATGTAATTTATCGGCAGACGATATCCCTGTATGGCACCTCGACCTCACAAAGTATGAGACCGTCAAGAAGTTCGTGCAACGCTTAGAAGAAGAGGCGGGCCGCATCGATTATCTGTTCTGCTGTGCTGGCGTTTCGACCGAACAGCTGTCTTTGACACCAGACGGCAATGAATCCAGCTTGCAAGTCAACGTGCTCGCTAATGCGCTTCTGATCATGCTGCTTCTACCGATGCTGGAGAAGTCGGCAACGCCACAGACACCCTCACGCATCGTTGTCGTCGGCAGTCTCGCGCATGAGATCATCGCAGACCTACCCGACAGTCTCGCCGCCGAACAGTCTACCGAGGAGAAAACAGCAAGACAATTCCTCGTCCAGCTCAATGATGAGAGTAAGCTGGCAGCGGCAGCCAAGAGCAAGTCAGCATCGACCAAAGCGCTTTCGATGGCAATGAGATACAATCTCACCAAATTGTTCGATCTTATGCTCGTTCGCCAGATTGGCCCTCGCCTTCCACAGAGTGTAGTCATGTCCTGCGTCGATCCAGGCATGTGTGCGACACCGCTCGTCAAAGGCTGGCAGTACGTCATCCTCGCCTTTCTCGTAGCAAGACCGGCGTGGAAAGGCGCCCTCACGATTGTCTATCCCGCCCTATCTGTTGCGCCGGAGAAGGCTCGCGGCGAGTACTTTGCTACTTGCCGTTTGCAAACGAGGTACGCCTATGCCCACCCGCGTCAAATCTGGCTGACTGACTAGTTGAGCAGAGTGAGCTACCTGGTCGATAGCGAAAAGGGCAGATTACTAGAAGAACAAGTCAGCAAAGCTATCATAGCGCATCTCAGGACCATCGATACACGCGTGCCAGACATTTTCGCAGAATGAACGCAGCTGCATCTACCTCAACACTGTACTAGACGGCGATAGGACCGCCTCCTCTGTACTCAATGTAGCATGTCTATGAGGCACATTCCAGGCATTCCAATCGCCACTGAAGTGATGCGACTGACGTAACCGCTTACTGCGCGATGCTGTCATTGAAGCAGGCTGCGGCTTTCTGGGCGTACCGCGTAGCACAGAAGGCGTTCTGCTCGGCGATGCGTTGGTGGCAGGTAGCAATAGCTCGTCTGATTCGACAGTAGAAATAAGCTCGTATTGTCCAGTCAACTTGGCAGTCAGGATGCCCACTAATCGTTTGAGCTGCGTCTTAAAGACAAGAGGCACTGTCGAGATGAGTGTGACAAGCACGAGCTTGATGACGAGTGAGGGGGACCAGATGGAGCCTAGCGCGTCTGCATCTATCGCCGACACTTGCGCTAGCAGTTGACCCACCTGCGTTGTCGTGAAATTGTAGGGCCCGCTGCCGATGACCAGCGTGACGAAGAAGGGCAAAAGCGGCACCGCCAAGACACCGGAGACGATATTGAGCACTGAGTAAGGCAGAAGCGGAAAAAATCGCGCTAGCAGTAGGTAGGAGAACAAGTCGTCAGGATTGCTGTCCAGATGACCTTTTGTGATCGCTAGGGGTCTCGCGAAGAATCTCTCGACCTGCGGTGAAATCAGCATGTGATGCAGGCAAAGTGAATAGGGGCTCACTAGGTCTTTGCAGATAGCCGCCATGCCGTAGGCGGCAGAGCTACCGACCGCGGTCAAAAGGCAAGTGTAAATCGTGCCGAGGAATGTGCCATACAGTGCGCCGAATAGGATGTTCATTAGTATTGAGCCGGGTATTGAAAAAGCCTGCTTGAAGACAAACAAGCAACTGGCAAGTGCGTGGAAGCATCAGCATCGCCTGCATACTATATATGCTGGCAGCAAGTGCTTACCATAAGATCGTGAAGACGTGCAGGCTCTGGCGTGTGCCAGCTGCGCCGTACTGCTTGAGCGCGAGCGTCTGGGCTCGTACATCGCTCAGACTGTGCGGCAGCTGTAGTGTGGGTATAGTGGAGACAAGATAGACGACCAGTCCGAGTGAGATAACGAACAGTCCCGCCAGGATGAGCATTGGCCTCAATAGCGCATGCAGGGGTCTGCCTGATGGCACTGCCGGCGAAGGTGCAGATATGCTGCCTGTCCGCGCGATCTTGCCGGTCTGATCTTGTGGGTAGGGTGAGAAGCCTTGCGGACCATTTGACCAACGTGTAGAGCGCGGATGCGAATTGTCAAATGCCAGGTCATTTGCAGCTTCGAGATCGGCTTGACTGTTGTAGTACGACCAGACACGACTGGGCATCGCAGTCCATGGTCCTGCGAGAATCGTTGACGCGCGCTCTCGACCTTTCCCGTGAGGTCGAGGCGGTGACTCTTGCCATTCAGTTGGAGGCGTCCTTGGCGGGGATGAATCTGGACTGGAGCCACTTGTCAAGTCTCCCGATAGAGACGGCGCTCCGAGCTTGTCATCAAACTCGGAGTCAGTCTGGAAGGAGGAGCTTGAGCCGGATGCGACCGCCGCTGACGACTTGGATCTGTGATCAGGCGACGATGTCAAAGGCGAAAGAGTGTGCGTATAAGCACGCATCGTCCGCGGCCGACCTGTGCTTGCGCTCGAGGTGGCACTGTTACGTCTTGGTACAGCGCTGGACGGCATCTGACGACTTGCGTATGCATCCGTGTCTGTACCTTCAAGTGTCGCCTCGCCGGATGCTAAAGTCCGCGCTGTAGCAGAGTTGATCAGTGACCGTGCTCTCTGCCTGGTCGTGATGCTCGTCAACGGCAATCTCAAGGCGGAAGGAGGTAGCAGGCTTTCGGCAGGCGAGGCAGGCGCGACGAGCTCGTCCTTCGCCATGCTCACTTGCTCCTTCGGGCTCCCCATTGCCATGGCTGGCGTAGCACTGCCAGCAGAACCTCCGGCCTGACTAGAGCCGAACAGATTCGAGAGGGAAGCTCTTGTGGGCAGAACGAAGAGCGAAGAGGAGCGCTTGATGCCGTTCCGACTGGAGTAAGCGGTTGTGCCTCCTGCTGACAAGCCGGACGCGGATGCCACCGGAGTGCTCGGTGCACCATCAGTACCTGTCGACATGTCGTACAGCTGATGCTGCTTCGATGCCAAGCTGGCCTTGGATGGCCCGAGCGCCGCTTGAGGAGTGCGGCTTCAGACTGGCGACCAGGCGTCGAGGCATGCGCAAAATCATGATCAACACAGGCGACGAGCAGTTCGGCCATCGGTCGAGCGATCTCCTCGATCGTTTTGCTCGCCGTCGTCTTGATCTTGTCGCGCGCAGCAACGACAAGTCAAGATCACAGCATGATATGCATTGTCTGCACGGATCCCTGCTCATGAGCATGACACGATAGCCAGACTACACATCAAGATGTCGACCAACAAAGGCAATGCGGCCAAAGAGACGCGACAGAGCTCAGACAATTCTGACCGAACACTGGCTGAGACGAAGGAAGACAAAGATCCCTTCCTTGTCTCGTTCGCAGACGACGACCCCGAGTCACCGCTCTCGTGGCCAGCATGGAAGCGTTGGTCTATCGTGCTTATCATCTCCATGGGCGCGACTTGCGTCACTTGCGCATCCAGCATGGTTGCATCTACCTACACGGCAGTCGAGCCAGAGTTTGGCATCTCTGAAGAAGTCGCTACGCTCTCTTTGTCCTTGTTCGTCTGGGGCCTCGGTATCTCGCCACTGTTCCTCGCCCCACTATCGGAAACCTACGGCAGGCGTCCAATCTACCTGATCTCATTCGCGCTATTCCTGCTGTTCAACATTCCAGTCGCTGCCGCCCACAACGCAGCAACATGGCTCGTCGGACGTACATTGACTGGCTTGTTCGCCGCGCCTTTTCTCAGCGTGGCAGGCGGTAGCGTCACAGACATGTTCAGTGGACCCAAGACTGGCCGGCCGATGGCGATCTTCACTGCGTCACCCTTCATAGGTCCGGCTGCGGGTCCCATCTTGGCGGATGCCATCAACGCACATCAGAATTGGCGTGTGACATGGTATTTCATGCTTGCTTGGGCTGTGAGTCCTGCCGCTAGTAGGCTGCACCGAGCTCATTATTTCTTGCAGGGATTGCAATTTGCAGCGCTCGTCTTCTTTGTGCCAGAGACCTATGCACCGGCATTGCTCGTCAAGAAAGCAGCCCGATTGCGCAAGCAGACTGGCGATGATAGATACCAGGCCCCTTTAGATCGACAAGAAGGCTCCATCATCAAAGAGGTCTTCATCTCTTGCGCGCGTCCCTTCCAGCTGCTTGCCTACGAGCCCATGTGCGCTCTACTCTGCAGCTGGACCGCTCTCCTCCTTGCGATCTTGTATGTCTTCTTTAGTGCCTACAACATCGTATACATGGACGTCCACGGCTTCACCCTACAAGAGACCGGCTTCACTTTCTTCGGCCTCTTGCTCGGCGTCATCCTCGGCACCGCGACTTCGCCCATCTTCGAGACACTTTATAGACGCTCCGCACAGCGGTTAGGTCATCAGCCGCCCCCGGAGATTCACTTGCGTAAGGGCATGGTGGGCGGCCCACTGCTCACAATTTCCCTCTTTATCTTTGCAGTCACAAGTATGTGCGAGCTGTCTCTGGTGAAATTTCGACTGATCCAGTCCAGCAGCGCATGCACACCCTGCAATCAGCATAGTCTTCAGCGTACCATTTGGTGCCGGCGTTGTGCTCGTCTTCAGCTCGGTTTTCACGTATCTCACCGACGCTTACAGGCCTTATGCTGCGTCTGCTCTGGTCAGTACAGCACAGCACAAGCTCGAGCTTGCTGACATGTGCATCAGGCGAGCAACTCTGCGACCAGATCTGCCTTGGCAGGCGCGCTGCCGCTGGTTTCCAATCAGAGTGAGTCGCAAATGTCTGCATGACCACAATCCGCTGACCCAGCTCAGTGTACCATCGTCTCGGCACCATTGGCGCGACGTGTCTCCTGGCTGGTCTCACTGCCTTGGCAGTGCCACTGCCGTTCATCTTTTCGCGCTATGGCGCTCGGATACGCAAGAACTCACGCTTTTCGTAATGCGCACTCTCTGTAACGTGAGCAAAATGTATTGATGTACAAAAGCATGTGATAGTCTATACAGTCCAATATATAGTGTTCAAGTACAGCCATTAGCAAAGATCATCAGATGCCGGGGTCTGGGCGAGCGTGGCGGGTCAGTGCCGCTGACAGCTCTTGCAGGGATACCGGTTTTCTGCATAGGCAAGCGCATCAGTAGCTGCATTGACGGTCGAGCGTAGAACCCACGTCAAGAAGTCGTCCATGCCGACTGCCTTGCATGCAGTCTCGGACTCTGTCGTCACGTTTGCTGTCAACGCGAGAATGGGTAAACGGCCTTGCAGCTCGCCGGAGCGTTCCTTGGCGCGAATGAGCTGCGTTGCTTCGAAGCCTGACATCAGAGGCATGGACAGGTCCATCAGCACGCAATGATAATAGTCTGTGATTGCGAGCTCGACTGCGATCTGGCCATTGTCGGCTGTTCGGCAACTCCAGCCGAGACGTGTGATGATTCTGCTCATTAGTCTTTGGTTGATAGGGTTGTCTTCGGCCAGCAAGACGAGGCCTTTCGTTTTTGAAGGCGTGCGATCGACTGGGGGCCGGATAAGTCGGTCTGGTCGATCTTCTGGTGACGTCGAAAGTGCGACATGCGGCTCTGCTGTAGCTGTAGCTTCTTCTGTACTGTCGAGGAAGCGAACGCTCCGGGCGGGCAAACTGTCCATAGCCGTCGTCTCGATCTCTTGACCGAGATAGTGATCCGGGTCCTCGAGCAGCTTGACGACGAGATGTAGGACAGTAGGGCGCTTAATGAGGATCACCCGGTTCGTTGCGTGCAAGTCCTTGTCGCCGACTATCGTATCCGGATCGCTGTCGTGCACCACGACGAAGACAGCCTTCCTCTTTTGAGCGAGGAATTCAAGTAGGACAGGCGCAGCAGCTAAGCTTTGTGTATCGGTCCAAATTATGTCGCTCTCTTGCGCCAGACTTTCGACAGTGGCATCTGGTGACAAGGCGGAGGCAGGGAAGCCCAGTCTGGTGAGCAGCTCGATGACGAGCTCCTGAGTGCGCTCGTCACGACAGCTGACGACGCAGCGATTCGTTCGCGGCCCTCTTTCTGCAAATTCTTCTTGTCTGTTGTCTGTCGAGAACGTGACTGGTAAAGTGACAGAAAAGGTGCTGCCTTTGCCTTCTGTGCTCGAGACTTCGATTTTGCCGCTCATGCGCTCGACGAGCTGTCTCACAATGGACAAGCCTAGGCCACTGCCATAGAAGCGCCTTGCATACGTTGCATCGGCTTGCCGGAAAGGTTCAAAGATGGATGACCGGAAGCTGGCCGGGATACCGCAGCCAGAATCGACCACTTTGACGAGTAGGTTGTCCGCGCTTCTTGAGACATCGACGAGGACGAAGCCAGCCGATGTCGCTTTCAGTGCGTTGGATAGCAGACTTCAGAGCCATATCAGCTACTGTGGGCGCGACAAGGCAGAGAACCCACTTCATGATGATGCGTAGTGCATACGTCTCGTCGAGGAAGAGTGTGTCTGGCACATCCTCCGCCACGACGACGATAACATCTACTCCCTTCTGTAGCCCGACGGGCTGTCCGTTATTCTTGTCGACGGTCATTCGCCCCAAAGATTCGAGCAGCTTGCGGATTGCGACTTGTACCGGCCGCGCTGATGACTCCGAGTTACCTCGCTCTAGCTTACTGAAATCTAGGACGTTGCCGGCGATAAGATTGATGCTGTGACAAGCCTGCCGTATGTTGCCCAGGAAGTCCAACTGCTCTTCTGTGAGATCAGTCCGGAGGAGCAATTCTGTGTAGCTAAAGCTACAGTCAGCTTCGCTTCCTTGGCACAGCAGGAGACATACCCAGTGACTGTGCTAAGCGGAGTACGAAGTTCGTGCGACGCCACAACAAGGAAATTCTTCTGAAGTGCTTGAGCTTGCTCTGCAACTTCGGATGCCGCTAGCGCTCGCCACATCCGCCTCTTAATCCAGACTGTCTCTGCCAAGCGATTACGCGCTGTTGTTGCAGAGTGAGCAAGGACTGCGCTGAAGACGACACAAGTGAGAATCGCTACAACTGTGATCGCAAAGGGCAGCGCCGGCGGATACTGCTTGTGCGAATGAGTGCCTGTCAGGGAGCGATTGGGTGAAGACTTACGCCTGCATCTGCTTGCGGAGGCGAATAAGAGTAAAAGATGGCGGCATGCTGACCGGTATAGTGCATCGATGCAACGCCTGTAGCGGCGGTGAAAGAAAAAGCGATCTGCTTGAAGAAGCTGACCTCAATCGAAGGAAGCCAGACTGTCGCAACAAGCGTGACGACGTATGCGACGATGAAAGACAGTACGATGACGAATGGGCGCCATTCGATGAAACCGTGATCGATGCGCATAGCTGCCATTCCTTGGTAGTGCATCGTGAAGACGGCGAGGGCCCAGAGAAGAGCGCGCATGCAGGCGCCGAGCGTGAAGCCCCGTCTCAGATCATCGAGAAGGTCTTCTTTCCAATCGTGTTCCGAATCGCCGTTGTTAGCACGTCGTTTTAATCGCGCCTTGACATGAGATGGCAAACGGAGCTCTTGATCAGACGTATGCTCGCTGGGATCAGTCGTCTCGTTACGCGCAGCTGAATCTGACGAATTACTGCTATGCGCGGAAGGACGTTGCCGCGATCGGCCGCGCTGTCCACTGCCGTGGCTGCCGTCTGAGCCGATTCGTTGCAAAGAGTGCGAAGGTGTCGCGTCGACAAGTGCAGGCTTTATGCTGTCGCTAGATTCCCGGCGACTTGGTCTTGATGAGGGCTTGCTTGAAGGCGTCGAGTAGCTTATACTGCTGTCTGAGCCACTCAGCCTAGCAAGTGTTGGCAGTGGGCGTGGTGCGGGTCGTTCCATGGCGGAGTGGCTGCTATGTCCATTAGCGAGCCTCTCCTCTTGCTCGTCCAGTAGCCGTCCCCGCTCGACAAGAGCCTCTTCTGGGTCGTCATCAGGCGCTGTGTAATTGCTATGACTACGACTCGTCTCGGTCATCCGGTCGCCGTCCTCGGAGCCCGATGACTCTGACTTGTGGCCGATGAGCGGCCTTTGCGATTCGAGGTCTCCGCCTTGGTCGTCTTGTGACGCAGATTGCGGGTTTAGCCTTGCCTTGATATACCGTGTCCACTGCTTCAGCCGGAGATGGCGGAACACGTTGCTTGACAGAGCTGCAAAGGTGAAGAGGACCGCGACAACAGCCGACATGACCGTCGTGAAGGGCTCGAAGGTGACATTGACGTCGAATCGGCATGCAAGCATGCCCAAAAAGTGTAGGCAGAAGATACCGCAGCCTCCAAAAGTCACACTGGCTCCGAGCAGCCATAGCCAGCTGCTGCTTCCTTTGGTATGTAGTGCATGATAGTGGTTCGCGATGAGCTGTGTGGTCGTATAGGCGCCCAACCAGGACACGAAGAAGGACAGCACTACGAGCGAAGGATCGAACTTGGGATGGAGTAGTCTGGGCTCGTCTAGCAAGTCGGCCATCGCGCTCGCTGTTGACATTGTGCCACCAGAGCGCCTGCTGCCGGCCGACGATCAAAGAGCGCGGGAATGGACTCGTGCAATGATCGCAAGCGTCGTGGCAGCCTTCAAGGAGTAGTTGCGAAGCTTGTCACAAACATTGCCGTCACAGCACACGGCTGCTGCTGCTGCCTGCCTGCCCGCGATGAATTAGGGTTTGTCTCCATTTCTTCCATGCCCGGAAAAGAGGCGCAGGACGCGTCTGATATTGTTGACGCGTTCGCGCTGACGTCGCCGGGCCGCTTCTTCCGATAGCGCAGCGTGCGGGCAATTATCATGATGACAAGTACTTGATGAGTGCTCCGACGACGCCGAGCAAAGCTAGGTCGGGCGGCTCGGGCTCAGACTCACCTGCTTTTGCGAATGGTGCGAGTCCCACGGTGACCTACAAGCCATATGTGCCTGGACAGAGCAAGCGATCGTCTCTTCCAGCCAGCTCAGGCCAAAGCGTCTTCGGGGCAAGTCTCGGACGCTTCCAAAGTGAGCTGTCTGCTGGTAGTAGCTCACGAACTCTCGGCTCCGCCTATCTGCCCACGTCAAATGCCACCAATGGCGCTTTGACGCCCGTGCAAGCCGGCAAGCGCCCGGAGACAGGACCTGCATTCTTGCGCCCTGCCCAGTTCGAAACTGAACGAAACGAGTCAGTCTCACTAGCGTCCCTCGGTGGAGATGCACAGGCATTCTTCACTTCAGGCGCAAAGCCCAACAAGCCCGATAGCGCCCCGAATGGGCCGCATTCGCGATCACAGTCTGTCGCTGTGCAATCAGCCCGTTCGGTCTCGCCTGCACGCAGCAGTCAGGCAGTCGTACAGGCGCCGATAGCTCGATCTCAGAGCGCTCATCAGATGCTTGCAACATCTTCATTGGATGCACCCTCTAGATCTGGTCAGTCGACGCCGCGGCAAGCGACTCCGCCGGTCGCGCGGTCCGTGAGTCCTCAAAAGTCAGCCAGTGTCTTGCCTGTCGATAGCGCACGGTCTCGTGAGACTGTTCAAGTGCAGCCAGACGAGCGCTCGCATAGACGGACAGTCTACCGAGCTGGATTCCAACCCAATGGCGTCTATCGCAATCGCATGGACGAATTGCTCTCGAGTCGTAACGCCAAAGGCGAAGGACGTAAGCTCGAAGAATCGCGCATCGTTCGGCGGCTCGACAAGCTCATCGAGCTCCATACTGCTCCCGTGATTCCGAGCGAGCCTGGCGCACCGTCAATGCCACGGAATGGCCTATCGTTTCGTTCGCTTACAGATCTACAAAATCTGCGACGCAAAACGGCTGGTCAAGTCTGGGACGATGTCCTGAGAGGCGTACGAGGCAGCAAAGACGAGATCAAAAGTGCAGAGCAGAAGATTGTCAAATGGCAGGATGACGCCTCTGTACAGAGATGCCCCATCTGTCTGGCGTCCTTCTCGCTGACAACCCGAAAGCATCACTGCCGTACTTGCGGACGAGTGATCTGTTTCCTGCCGCCCACCACACCATCATCCCTTCTGCCTCCCGGCACGCCAGCTCCGCTCATCACTCGCTCACGCCGCTGTTCGACATTCATCACATTCGAAATACAACCAGCACTCATCCAGAAAGGCCAGCGCATCATCGAGACCGAAGTGGATATCACCGGCTCGATCGTAGGAACTCGGCCGGGCGAAAAGCTCCACGGCGCGCCTATAGTCAGAATTTGTCAGGATTGTCTGTCGACTGCAATGCGTCAACAGACCATGAGCCTGACTACGCGCGCACCCACATATTTGCGCCTATACGAAGTCCTGCTGCAGCTTCAGAACGAGATAGATAGCTCACTTCCTGAGCTGCAAGAGATGATCATGGGCTTGCAGCGAGATTCAGCTCATCTTACGTTGGGTAGTACTGCCAATGCGACGCCGGTAGCACAGAGGGACGCCCTGGCTGCACGGAAGAGTATCATGTCCAATCTAGCGTCGTACGACTCGATTGCACGACGCATCAAGGATTTGCCACTTGCAGATGGTGGTCAGCCAGGTGGCAGCCAAGACAGGATACAGCGGGCCATCTCTTCACGAGCTCAGCTCTTCCTACACGATAAGATGGCTCTCCTCAAGGGCCTCAACATGCAGGATCTCGAAGGACCGCGTCGCAAGCCAAGACGTGGCAACACTAAAGCAGACTCCGATAATCAACAGACGAGCCAGCAACATTCGGCTCGGACGACCGATGCCGAAGTGGGCGACCGCAAAGCGGTCCTGCTCGAGTATGTCCTGCCTCACTCTTCAGAGCCTGGAATGACCCTCGCATGCAGACAAGCGCAACTCGTGGAGACTATGCTCGCCGACGCCAATGCCAGGCGACAGCTCGAAGACGCAGCGGCCCTCAAGACTAGTCTGAACGAACTGCATGTCTCCTGTCTAGTCGTGCAAATGAGAGCTGACGACGAAAAGCGAGCAGGCGAGCAGAGATCAAGTTCTTGTCATGATGGCGTATGCATCTGTTGCTACAACGTCACGCGCGAAGCGGACATACAAGCTGCGTTGCGCCTTTTGAGCAGACTCTCTTACTTCATCGAGACAAGCTTGACTTCGAAGTTGAGCCATGCGTTGGCAGGAATGCCGTCTGTACCGGAGCGACCATACGCCAGCGCAGGTGGAACAGAGAGCTTACGTTCGCCGCCGAGTTGCATGCCGGCGATACCCTCATCCCATCCTTTGATGACTTGACCCTTGCCAAGCTTGAATTCGAATGTCTTGCCTGATACATTCTTGTCAAAGACCTTGCCATTGGCCAAGCGACCGATGTAACGCATCCCGATCTTTTTGCCCTTTACGGCCTTCGGGCCTTGTCCAACTTTAGTATCCTCAATGATCAAGCCAGAAGGAAGTTTGATCTTTGTAGGCTCTGCCTTGGTAGGTACTTTGGCCTCTGCCTTTGGCGCGTCCTCCTTTTCTTGCACTGCCTTGGTCGTTGCCTTCAAAGCTTTAGCATCCGCAGCAGCAGTCTGTGTCTTGGTCTCTTTGTCCTTGTCTAGCAGAGCTTGCGCGGCCGCTTCCTTCTCGCGCCTGGCCTGCTTCTTGCGCGCATTCTTGCTCAGCTTAGCGCTGGCTGTGCTTGCGTCTGCGTCCTCTTCTGCGGCAGTAGGCGTGGTGATGATAGTCTCTGTCACGGCCACGGCCACGGGCTTCTTGGGGCTGCTCCTGTGAGTCTGTCTGAGCGCCAATCTGATCGTCACGCGAGAAACACTGACTTCTTGGCGGCAGCGGCTTGTTCGGCGGCAAGGGCGGCTACATCATCTTCACTGACTTCTTCAAATCTGCTGCTCGCGTTCAAATGCAAATGAGCCAGATGTGGTTGATGTGCGTGGCAAGCTTACCTGTCTTCATCCATCTCGTCTTCTTCTTCCGAGTCGCCTTCGAGCGCGAGGCCCTCCTCGTCGTCGTAGACGCCCATCTCATCGCTGTCGATCTCTTCATCCGAGTCGATGTCAGAGTCATACAGGCCCTCAGAGTCCTCGTCCGAGTCATAAGGTGGACGGTCATAGTCATAAGGGTCGATTTGACGGATGTAGTGACCAAGCAATGTGATTGCGTTGTCGCCAGCGACTGAGAAGATGTAAGGCGAGCCAGCGGGCAGGATCAAGTTGAGATTGACTTGCTCGTTCTGCATCATTGCATCAGCAGGGACAATGCATCCATTTGAGTGCTTGTGCGCACCGTGTCTGTCTTCAGGCTGCAAAGAACAGTCTCTTGCAAGCGTTCGTCGAGCTCACGCATGTAGTCGGCTTCTTCCTCATCTTCTTCATCAATGTCTGCATCTTCATCCGACTCCTCCTCTTCGCTGTCCTCGTCCTCTTCTTCATCGTCATCTTGCACCTTTGAGCCTTTGCCGTTGGCAGTCTTGCCATTAGCGCGCTTGGCTCTGATAGCAGCCTTGACGGTAGCCTCTGCACTTCGAAGTGCGTCATCGTCTGCAGCCTCCTGTTCGGCTTCTTCTGCTGCAGCCTCGAGGATGTCCATCTCGTCGCTGTCGAGCTCCTCGTCGTCAGACTCATCGGAGTCGCCAATGTCATCCTCCTCAGCCGGCATATCGAGATAACGCATCGTCAGCACCGAGCGTGAGGGAGCACCGGACTCGGACTGTGGCAGCAGGATAGCTGTCGTTATTTGAATGTCGCAAGGAGGCTCGAGGACAAAGCTTTCTTCAGGCGTGAAGGTCTGCGACCAGACTCCCTGAACGACGTGCGACATATTGTGCGAGGCGCTGGATTGCTTCTTGAGATTCCAGAGGGCTACGTCGACGTTGACTTGCCAAAAGTTCGCAAGGTCAAAGACGCTCTTTTGCACGCAAAATTTCTCGCGACGATCATTCTACAGCCGAGCGCGGCACGTGTGGCGACATACATGCACGTATTCTTATAACATCATGGAGTTCAAAACTCATTCAAAGCATCATAGACTCGTTCAGGTGCTCATCGAGGTGCAGATCGAGTGCCTGAATTCAAGCGTCAGCGTGCCTACGTCAGCGAAAAGAGCCCACTGACCTGTTCATCAGCGAAACGCTGTCCGCATACCTGACCGCCCGGTGGGATCATTTCGCAGATGTAAGGCGACTGGACATGCTCGTCTAGATAGCCGGGCGTATCGCCGTTGTGCCTGTCTGCAGATCTCGCGACTGCAGACTGCGCTATGACAGGCGACAGCGTCGCAACGTCTCGAGGCAATCGAGGTTCGTCAGGCTGGCGGATGAGCAGGCCAGGCCTGGGTGGCTCTGCATCGCTATCAGTCTCGTCGTCGTCGTCATCGTCGTCAGTCTGTAGCATGATGCGTCTGCGCTTCGCTATCGCTAGAGAAGGCATTTGCACGGGATCGCTGTGTAGATCAGAGACTAGCGAATTACGGTTGTTATCTCTGAGCCGGGCGATTTCCTTCTTGTACTGCCGATGGACATGGGCCAGTGTGTCCTCGAGGAATTTGTTTTGACCCTTGACCTCGTCAAGCTCGTCCCGTAGCTGGTCGGCCCGCCCTGCCTCGATGCTGACATGCATAGCGATACCGGCGGACATTGTGCGTTCTAATCGTTCCGCTTTGGCTCTCCAAGCATCCATAGCAGGCCGCATCTCTTCCGCGGCCTGTGAAGCAGCTTGATAGATACCTCGAAACTCTTCAGTCTCCTTGTCGGCGCGCTTCTTGGCTTTGTTGGCTTTGTCCAGGGACGTCCGGGTCTCTTCTAAGGTCTGTTTGAGCTTGCTGATCTCTTCGAGCAAGGGCGCCGTGTCGACAGAGCTTCCGACTTGCTGCTTGAGCTCCCCGTTCTCTTTCTGTAGCGCGTCACGCTCCTGCATCGCAGCCTCGAGCGATCGAGTCAAAGCTTGTATGGTCTTCATGTGAGTCATTGCGTTCTGGTCTGATGACTCAGCTAACAATGGCGGGGGTGATGGCGCGGGCTGCGACGGTGATGGCAGCATGGCCGGGTGAGACGCAATGGGCGAGCCATGGGTCGGCATGGGGGACAAGACTCTTGGCTGTAGTCCTGCGATGGTTGCGGGCACCGTGGGCGCAGGTACTGGCCGCGCTACAAGCCGACGCGGCTCGAACCCGCTCAATCCGACCGCACCATCCGACGTTCGCCGTTGTGCCTGCGAATCGACACTCACATGAGCATTTCACACCCCGCAAGCTTGTAATCTACCTGATTACTCGGATCTGGTGTGCGATCTCTGGTGCTCTGTGAGGGAAATTGCTCAATAGGCGAGCTTGCCGGCGGTTGATCGCGCTCATAGGATCTGAATGTCTCCACATACGGCACCGGTACGGCTTTGAGCACGCGCGGCCGATGATCACCGGTCGGCTTCTGAGTGTGAGCATCAATCATGACGACATCATCGTCTTGATTCGCATCCGCTGGCGATGCGGGTCTCGTGGCTCTATCTCGTAGAGCTGTTGCCGGAGGTGCCTCATTGTCTGACACCGCTCTAAAAAATGGAGTATGACCGTTGTCGCTGCTTCTGCCAGCATGTGGGCGTGCATCATCAAGAGGTGAGTGTCCCAGACGCGCTCTCCCAGCCATAACGCCGGGATCAATTCTTGCCGGCACCAGGGGAGGCAGTGGACGCTGATGAGGGCCGCCGAGGACTGCATTCACGGGTCGAAGCCGATAAGCTTCTTCTGCGCTCGTCTGAGCTGGGTTTGACGTGCTTGGCTCGTTGCTCGTGGACTTTTTGGGTATTTTTGGCATGTAGAGTATGGACGAAGGCTCCGTAGCGCTCGGCTTGCGTACAAACGGCCGTCTGGCGCCGCTAGACGACATGCTTGCGCACCTATCGCACAAGGGGCCCTCGCTGTGACTGAGCGCTTTCGCTATGGAGCCTACAGATTTCTCCATATCTTGAATTTTGGGTTGAATCGCATCGTCAGCGCGCGATTGCGACTGCGACTCCGCCATTCGCATCGGTCCTAGCATCAGCAGGACCTTGCTCAGGAGACTACAGACAGGTGGGCCATCCTAGACCGACTCTTGGCACGTGTGCTGACGGTCAGTGCTCAGATATATTCGCCAGATTTCGGTTCCATCCGCCCGCGTGACCGATAAGGCAAGTCACTATCTACCCCGCTCACGAGGCCACGGAACTGACCCCGAAGGAGCTCAGAACTCGCAGGGGAGGTATAATATCGATAGACAGACAAGATGAGACAGTCTAGGGTGGCCATTGCGGCCGCAGCAGTGGGTGCATCGCTTGCTTGGGCCCGACCCTCGCCCTCGATCCTGAGCGATCTGCTCGACTCGGCTTCTAGCGCATCAGCTTCGATGCAAGGCGTAGCACTTGCGCCTCTCTATACACCCACAAACCCTTCGGGCGAGTTCGCCTCGTCCCAAGTCAACAACCATGGCTCGCCAAAGGACAACATCATTCCGGATAGCTACCTCATCGTCCTCAAAGACGACCTGACAGATCACCAGATCGAGGCGCACCATCTCGCTGTCGAGCAAGCCCACGCCGAAGATGTTCAATTCAGGATGAACGAATACACTGCCCAGCGCCAATCTCGTCAGGCTCGGGGCCCAAGACGTCACACCCCTACTGACTTCTCAGCCTCAGTCAGTGAACTCATGGAAGAGGTAGAATCCATCCTCGAATCCATCACTGGCCCAAGCGAGATCCAAGAGGAGTCCTTCTTTGACTTTGAAGGTCTCAAGCACAAGATCAAGATGCCCGGCTTCAACGCCTACTCGGGACACTTCTCAGAGCGCGTCCTTGACGCCATCCGAGCTTCGCCTCTCGTCGCCTTTGTCGAAAAGGACATCACTGTTCAGGCTCTGGACATGCCTCAAGATCCGTCAGTCGGAATTACTGATATCGAAAAGGGCGCTCCCTGGGTCAGTGCAATCGATGCAAATCTGGCACTGTGCTGAATAGACACGCCAGGGTCTCGCTCGTATCTCACACCGCAAGCCACTCAGCCTCGGCACTTTCAACAAGTACGAATACGCTCATGATGGCGGCGAGGGTGTTGACGTCTACGTCATTGACACGTAAGACACTCTAGCCGTGCACACGGCCCAGACTGACGCTTTTGTACTGACAGTGGCGTCAATATCAACCACGAAGAGCTCGAGGGGCGTGCAAAGTGGGGCAAGACTGTCCCTCTGAACGATGTCGACCAAGACGCAAATGGTCACGGCTCTCACTGCGCTGGAACAATCGCCTCTCGCAAGTATGGCGTCGCTAAGAAGGCCAACATCATCGCAGTCAAGGTGCTCGGCTCGAACGGTTCTGGTACAATGTCCGATGTCGTCGCTGGCGTCGCATGGGCAGCCACATCCGCCGTCGAGAAGATGAAGTCTGCTGCTGCATCCAACGGAACCCACAAGGGTAGCGTTGCCAACATGTCGCTCGGTGGCGGCAAGGCCACTTCGCTCGATATTGCCGTCAACCGTGCTGTCAAGGCTGGCCTGCACTTCGCAGTCGCTGCTGGCAACGATAATGCTGATGCTTGCCGATACTCGCCCGCTGCAGCAGAGGATGCCATCACCGTCGGAGCTTCCACTCTCGGTGACGATCGTGCCTACTTCTCCAACCACGGCTCTTGCGTCGATATCTTTGCTCCCGGTCTCAATATCCTCTCCATCTGGAACAGCGGCAATACGTCGACCAACGTGATCAGCGGCACCTCGATGGCTTCGCCTCACATTGCTGGCCTGGCTGCCTACTTCCTCAGTCTGTACCCGACCACTTTCTCACCTACGGCCGAAGACTTTGCCGCTGCTGGTGTTCCTATGCCCGCAGAAGCAAAGGCCTTCCATGAGGCTGCAGAGACGATCGAGCTGTTCTCGTTCGGTACCTGGCAGCGATCGAGCCAGGTCATCATGGATCGTCTTCGCTCATACGCAGGTCGCAAAGCTACCGCTACGGTCGCCAAGCCGCTTGATCCCAAGGTGCTCAAGAAGAGCATGGAACGTCTCGCCACCAAGGGCGCTCTTGCCGCTCTGCCCGCCAACACGATCAACTTGTTGGCCTTCAACAACCAGACTGGCTACTGAACGCCAGTAGACGCCGCTCGCAGCACTTTTTTTCGCATCCATCGACGTGTACGCAAGATCCCGATCCTTCTGACCTTTCCCTCCAAGACCTGTAGCTCATAGACCCAATCACTCAATCCAGGTTGTCGTTAGCGCGTAGAGCGCACAATTGCAGAGTTTTGTCACAACATCACACACACAAAGTATACTGAGCTACCTTCTAGGCTAGGACTGGGTGTAATTGAGCAATGCGCATGGCGATGTCCTCAGTCTGCCTGCGCGTCAGTTTGTGCTCTCGACGCAGCTTATGACTCACCATCTGGTTGGCTTGACGGATCCTCATGTCCCATTGTACCGTTGCAGGCGCGTGCACTTGATCTTCTTGACGATCGGTCGCTGCTGCTGCGATGCCGACGTTGGAAACAGCAGCCTCGACTTCTTTCGGCTTGACTTCGAATTCGATCAGTCCGCTGACCTGATTGATCGTCGCACTCAGTCTACCTTGCTGCACCATCGTTCTGGCCAACACTTCGGCAGCAGAAGGGGTGAGTGATAGCAGTAGCCCCAGACCAGTACATGTGATGTTGAGGTAGAGCTTGGATGCGCTCAGTAGGTTATGTTCCATGATGGCTCGGTCGAGAACGTTCATGGGCGCCCGTCGAGCTGTAGATGGCGCTGCCCGATCCTCATCGGTCTCCGGTATGACGACAGACGACGGCGGTAGCTTGGCTAACTGGTGAGGCTTGAGTGAAGCCGCGAATGCTGTCACTTCTGACTCTGGGATCATCTGATCGAGGAACATCTTGGACAGAACCGCATAGAAAGGCGTCTGCGCAGAACGCTCATCCCTGAAGAGCGATGACAATGCACGGGAGCGAATCGGTCCAGCGGGTGCAAGGATGGCGCATGTGATGGCTTGTTGTCTGACGAGCAGCGTCAGCAACGCGCTGCGCGGTGAGGAGCAAGCTTGCTTACAGAAAGATCAAACGCTCCTCTTCGTCAATTTCGACGGCAAAGCTGAGATTATGATACTTTGTCGTCGCTTCGTTGAACTTGCGTTGCGAGTCGAGGATGCGCGCTTGACACAGCCGATAAGAGACTGCGTGGCAGCTCAGCAATTGACGCGATCGCAGCGTCGCAGACTTACGCTGCGTGGCAATGTCGGTAGAGGTGTGAATGATGAGTGAGGCCCGATTGAACGGACCTTCTGCTGATACAGAGTCGTCGTCCTCGAGGAACAAGCGAACAGCGCGCATGTAGAGCTGCAGCTTGTACTCGTCCGTGGCTCTGCGCGCCCCACGTCAGCGGCATGGTTGGAGTCTGAGGTGCAATCTCACCTCTTGCCTGTGTCAACAGAGATCGACAGCAGTGCCTTGGCGGCGCTCGACCAGTCCTCTTCCTCCTCGAGCACTCGAGCCAGCTTCTCCCTCAAGCCAGCCAATTGATCTTCATATCCGACTTGACGCGCAGACAGACTGTCCAACGTAGCTTCGACGATCGTACGGCGTTGAGAGGCATCTTTGACGCCGTCGAGCCAGAGCAGGACTTCGTCGAGTAGCTGACGAGAGGCGACAGGTCCAACGCTGTCGTCTAAGCTTGAATGTACGAGTCCTTGGATCTGAGCTGTCGCATTGCTTGCGGGATCGATGGAGCGCAATGCTTCGATGAGTGCCTGTCCTCGCTTGCCCTGAGGCAGCTTGCCGATCTCTGAGAGACCCGCCGCCATCGATGACCGCCTGAGCTTGAGAGCAGGCTACGTTTGTCGCGTGGCAGCAAAGAGCAGAGCTGCTCGCCCTCGCAGCGACTGCCTGTCCACTGGCACGCACGGAGCTCACAGCCGTTCGGTCGATCGCCTGGGGTCCACGTTGGGCTTCGCACCGCCGCTTGCAGGGTGACATAAGCCAAAGGCAACGCTACGACGGCGCAATCAAGCAGCACCGTTGGGGGCCCGTCAGATAGCCTCATAGACAGGACCGCTGCTCCTGCTCTCTCGTCATACAGCTCAAGAGAGACGCAGTCGAGTGGGCGTACAAAGTCGAGCGACAGTCGTGCCACTCTCGCTCGCTCAAGCGCCAGTCGCAGCTCGCCGCGCAAATCAGAGGCAAGCGATTCTAGCGGCGATAGCGCTCGGTCTGCTTCTTCTGGCTCGGACGGCGAAGACGAAAGAGAGCAAGACGGCTCAAAAGTTGACTTGAGAGACGTTTACGGCTCTCAGTTCTTTCATCCTCCTGCACCTGTCGCGTCAGGTCGACTCACTCCTCTTGCTACCAATCTGCAGAGAGGCTCGCCTTTCCAAGCTGACCTCTTCGATCACGATCCCGTGACAGCTAGTCCAGACGACAACGCAAGCTCTGCGGGACAGTCTGCGTCGACCGCCTCAACGCCGACACTTCAGAGCACAGAATTTGAGCCACAACCTCGCAAGCTCAACACAAAGCTGTCGAAAGAGCCACTCGCTCCTGTGAAGGCGACTGCCAACATGTCTACAAAGTCTACTCCGACGGCGTCTCCTACGGGTCCCGCTGATGGTGCATCCAATTATCTCGAGTCCCAAGGCCACAAGCCAAAAGGGGTCTCTGCTACCACAACGAGCGGTCCCGGCAGACCGCCTCTTCAGCCGAAAGGCGGCAAGCCATTCTCCGCACGACACTACAACCATCCGCAGATGAAGCCTTTTCCTGCGCCAGGTCTCAAATTACGTCATTCTCACCGCGCACATGCCAGCACAGCTTCGACCGATGGCGAACAAGACCCGAGATCGACCACACTCGAGGGCGACACGAGCATAGAAGAGTTCAGACTCAAGGAAGATGAAAAGAAGAAGAAGCACTGGAAGCGATGGGGTCCTTATCTCTCTGAACGTCAATGGGTAAGTGAAGATCGTACTTCAGCTGCCGATGCTGATCTCGGTCTTTTACCAATAGGCCACAGTACGCGAGGACTATTCTGCCAATGGCGATGCATGGTCGCATTTTCCTCACGATCACGCACGCTCACGAGCTTATCGATGGGGCGAAGACGGCATTGCCGGTTTGTCCGACAACCATCAGCGCCTCTGCTTCTCCCTCGCACTCTGGAACGGCAAGGACGAGATCCTCAAGGAGCGCATGTTCGGTGTCACGGGTCATCAAGGCAATCACGGCGAAGATGTCAAGGAAATCTACTATTATCTTGACTCCACGCCCACTCATTCGTACATGAAGTTCCTCTACAAGTACCCTCAGGCGGCGTATCCATATCGCCAGCTCGTCGAAGAGTCCCAAAATAGGTCTCGCGAAGTCAACGAGTTCGAGATCACTGACACTGACGTCTTTGACGATGATCGATACTGGGATGTCTACGTCGAGTACGCCAAAGACGAAGACAACGTCGACGGCTACTCCATCAGAATCACAGCATACAATCGGGGTCCCGATCCCGCCGACCTACATATCATCCCGCAGCTCTTCTTCCGCAACACGTGGTCATGGCCCAAAGAGCGCCCAACAGGCAAAAAGATGCCTTCACTTCGTCAGCTTTCAGACACTTGCATCCAAGCAGATCACGAGACACTCGGCCGCTTCTATCTCCATTGCAATTCTTCGCCTTCGCCTGCAGCCGCTCCACTTTCAAAGAAAGACGGTCCTGCAGAGGTCGAAGGCGTCGTCATGCCAGAACTGCTCTTCACGGACAACGACACAAACTTCAAGCGTCTTTACAACGGCAATAACGTCGTGCCTTATGTCAAGGACGCTTTCCACGATCACATTGTGCCCGGTCACCGACCAGCGCTGCCAAAGCGCGAAAAAGCGAAGAAACCCGAACAGGACTCCGAATCAGCCGATGGCGATAGCACACCCAATGTTACCGATGAGGAAATTGAAGACGACCGTATCTTCGTCAATCCTGAGAAAGTAGGCACAAAGGCCGGCGTGCATTACACCTTCAAAGCTGTGCCTCCTAACGGCGGATGCGCTGTTGTCCGTGTCAAGCTCACCAACGAAACTGCCGAAGACGACCAAGCTGCAAACGACGAAGAAAAGTTTGATGCCGTCATCGAAGAACGTCGTCTAGATTCCGACGAGTTCTACTCCCGCTTCGATTCAGGCGGACTGAGCGATGATCTGAAGAACATCATGCGACAGGCTCTTGGCGGCATGCTATGGACGAAGCAATTCTACTACTTTGTGCAGAAGGAATGGATCGAAGGCGATCCTGGTCAGCCGCCACCTCCGCCAGAGCGCAAATACGTTCGCAACAGGGTGAGGCCTGCTTTTCATTGCGCACGTGGGGACTACTGACTTGCACGAGCAGGATTGGAAGCACTTGTACATCGACAACATTCTGTCGATGCCTGATAAGTGGGAGTATCCTTTCTTCGCCGCGTGGGACACAGCCTTTCACTGCATTCCCCTCGCCATGGTCGATCCCGCATATGCCAAAAATCAGCTCGATCTCATGACGCGAGAGTGGTATATGAAGCCCGATGGTGCCCTGCCTGCTTACGAATGGAATTACGGCGACGTCAATCCGCCGGTCCATGCCTGGGCAACGTTCCGTGTTTTCAAAATCGAGCGCAAGATGCACGGACGAGAGGACATCAACTTCCTTGAGCGAGTGTTTCAGAAGCTACTCATCAACTTTACGTGGTGGGTCAATCGCAAAGATGCGGGAGGCAACAATGTCTTCGAAGGCGGATTCCTTGGTCTAGACAACATTGGCTTGTTCAATCGCTCCGAGCCGCTGCCGACCGGAGGTACGCTGCGCCAAGCCGATGGTACAGCGTGGATGGGCTTCTACGCTCTGAACATGCTCAATATGGCGCTCGAGCTGGCGAAGCACAACAAGAACTACGAAGACATTGCTTCCAAGTTTTTCGAGCATTTTTTGTTCATTGCCGATGCTATGACTTTCAAAGGCGCCGAAGAAGCTGACGAGACGCTTTGGAATGAGGAAGACGGATTCTACTATGACTGCATCAATTGGGGACCTGGCAAATCACGTCAGCTCCCTGTGCGATCACTTGTCGGCCTTATCCCTCTGTATGCAACTTTGACGCTCGAGCCCAGCACAATCAAGCGGTTCCCTGGTTTCAGCAAACGTCTCAACTGGTTCCTCGAGAATCGTACATCGATGGCTCATCGTAATATCGCAAACATGAAAGGTTGGCAATATGTCTTTATACCTCGATCCGTAATGACGCCTCCTGTCTTCGACAGCCAAGGGCAAGGGCGATCGCCGCTTGCTGGCTTTCGCGAGCGAGGAGCGCATGAAGCGAATCCTGCAGCGCATGCTTGACGAGCAAGAGTTCCTCTCGCCGTATGGCATTCGATCGTCAGTCATTCGACCCGTCTCATCAGCTTTGCTGATCTCCTTGCAGGCTTTCACTCGCTCACAAGGACAACCCTTACTCGATGGAAGTCAATGGCGAGCGCTTCTCCGTCGAGTATTGGCCGGGAGATTCGAAGTCGGGCATGTTTGGTGGCAACAGCAATTGGCGTGGACCGATCTGGCTGGCGGTCAACTTCCTCCTCATCGAATCCTTGCAACGCTTCCATCAATACTATGGCAACAAAGTCAAGATCGAATGCCCGACAGGCTCAGGCGACGAGATGACACTGGCCAACGTAGCAGAAGAACTACAGCATCGTCTTGCTCACTTGTTTGCCCGTGATCGTGATGGTAACCGGGCATGCAACGGAGGCTCAGATAAGCTCAATCGTGATCCACACTTCCGCGATCATGTTCCCTTCCACGAGTTCTTCAACGGCAGCTCGGGATCGGGCCTTGGTGCAAGTCATCAGACAGGATGGACGGGTCTCATCGCGTACTTGATCTGGCAGAGCGGAGCTTCTGCAAGACTACCTCGCACGCCGCGCACGCCACGATCGACTGCAGCGTTCTACTTTGACGAGTCAGTACCAGGAACAGACACAGAATTCGGCACACCCGGTGGAAGCGAATTCGGCGACTCTACAGATGGCTTTGACGTCCAATCGACGGGAGAGCTGTCTCCAGATGAGCTATAGACACAAAAGATGCAATTTGCCCATGTGGATCGTGTGTGACGCGCTCGGTCAGAATGACGTGACAAGTCGCGTGTGTAACGCGTCGCGCGTCGTACTGGAGGTGCTCACAACTTGGCACTCTAGCTCGCATATACGGGACCAAGATGACGCTGCATCGCTCCGCATTGCGACTGCAGCTGTCCAATCGCGCGACACTCGACTCTGCTAGCGCGGGCAGCGCGCAGCTCAACGGAGCAGACGCACGAACGCCCAGCGCTAGTCCTGAAGAGAACAAACGAGGCTATTTCGACATCATGCCACGATTAGACACTAGCTCGCTGGCGAGCACAGCTTGTGAGGAAGTCAAGACACCGCTGCCCCGCACACCCAACACTCTCTTTGGAGTGCTTCATGGCCATGCTGGCTTGCAAAACAACAACGATGACGGGGTTACCGAACCCTCGGCACTGAGCACGACTTACCTCACCGCCGGCGATCTCAACGGAGCAACATCTGGTATGATCACGCCGACTTATGGCCTTGCACCGCACACACCTCTGCCCTACGCACTCAAGGACGGCTACCATACCCCGACCGTTGATGTATTCGGCTCTTCGACCGCCATGACACCCAACTTTGCCTTTGGCAGGGCTGCTCTCAGTCGGACTGGCTCGCGACCTTCGATGGGTCTCAGACGCACTTCCTCCATGTTCAGCGCTGGCATGAATATCTCTGATGACGAGGAAGAAGAGGCCGACGCGCTCCTGCAAGCGCGACTGGCGCGCCGTCGCCGCTCACTGCATGCTCGGACGGGCTCGACATCCTCTACGGCATCCAGCATGAGCGGCTTCGACGATCTCGCACCTCACGCTATGCTTGAGAGCGAAGAAAGTGAGGAAAGCCTAGAGGACAAGGAGATGCAGACCGAATGGACGCCTTACGAGCGAGATATTCTCGCATCCGTATGTAGCCTTGATGGTCTCATCACGATCAGAGCTGATGGCGATGACAGACATATGATGCGTACATCGACAAGATTGCACGCAGTGGAACACCCTTCACAGGCGTGCCACCCAGCCAGACACTCCATGCTATCGCCCGTCACCTTCTCACCCGGCACGCTGAGCCGATCGTCGAGAGCGGCCAGGCTCGACAGAAATGGCGACACTCTCTTTTTGTCACGAAGGCGCGCGTGCTAGCGTTTGCCAAAGCGCGCAAAGCTTTCGAAGACTCACAGCTTGCGCCTGCGCACGAAGCAGGCAATGGCGCTACACCCCGCGCTGCCCAGGACACGACAGACGTACAGATGCAGCCCGAAGCAGATGCTGCTCTGGCAACGCTCGCCAAGACCGGCGGAGTGGCTGTAGGACACAGACGAAGGCTCTCGTCTCAACGCTCGATGGACTTCCTGCCCTATCAGAAAGATACCAATGCGCTCTCCAAGTGAGTCGAGTCTGTCTGAGCTAGCATTCTGCTGATGTGCTGTACAGACTGTCGAGTCGTCTGCAGCCCCAAGAGGAGGCCAGCGCGCTCGACAATGCGCATATCTCTCTCATGCGTAGTTTCTCGAGCTCCGCCGTCGCGCCCGCCCTGACGACTGCCGTCGAGCCGACGCCAAGCTTGCTCAAGCCTAGCGGAGCATCGACTTTCACTTTCGGGACCGGTGCGACGGTCTCAGCTGTGCCCCTTGGTCTCGAACAGATCGCAAGCATCGTAACGGATGACGCGGACACCAAGAGCAAAGTCACTCCGCCCCGACCGCTCCAGCGCTCTCGCTCCTCGTACGGACAGACGTCAACGCTGCCTTCCCAAAGAGGTCACAACAAGAAGCCTAGCTTGTCTTCGTCCATCAAGATTCTGTCGAGAGCAGACAAAGCCTTGGCCGAAGAGAGCGCGTCGACTTATCTGCCCACGCCGCCCGAATCTGCTCGGAAGCACAGCAAGCTCACTTACTTAGACGCGACGAAGAACCGACCTGCCCTCTTCTTGTCGCCTGCTGATCCGATCATGCCGCAGTTCGGTCGACCTGTCATGTCAAACGATGCAGACGCAGCAGAGGCAAAGAGGCAATGGCGAGCCAACGCGCTCATCGACTCGCCCAATTCTGACACGAACGAGTCAAGCCCAGGCGGCCGTACAGATGGATCTGACGAAGCGGACGAGCCATCAGGCAATCGCGCAACGAAGCGCAAGGCTTCCATCACGCCTCTGACGCCTCAGTTCCTCGAACCTAGCTCGTTCCGCGCGGGCGCAAACCCGACCGAAGGCGGACTGAGAAGTCCGTTCACCGCTGAGTTTGCATGATGCTGTACCTCTCCACACACAGGCTAAGTCAAGCACGACACTCTGTATCGCTCGCAAATGCACTTCTGTCCTTGCACGAACAAGCGCGTCACTGTCTCTGTTGTATCAGCGACTCAAGCCATAGTCTGCCTCGGTGGACCTCACAAGAAGCAGTCCCATGCCACATGCCGCTGTCATGACTCTTCCTCCTCCTCCTCCGCTTGGCCGCCTTTCCCCTTCTGTTCTATCGCGGTCTGATGTTGTCTGTTGGCGATGAGTTGCTTCTTCTTATGAGCGATCATCGCCTCCACTCGTTCGTTCGCTCCGTGTAGGTAGAATCCCAGTCCTCCGAAGACGCCCATTGCGGCTGCGTGACCTCCCAGTCCTGACGCTCAGACAGCACGTGAGCCCGGCTGTCGAGCTGACGTGATGAAGGACCTGCCGTCAAAGACGTTGCGCTTCTGGATGCCAAGCTGCCACATTCGGCAAGCTAGACCGAAGCCGGCCCAGCCTAGTGTAGACATCAGCACGCTCATCTCGCTACCGTCGTCTTCCTCGCCGAGGCTGCCGGCTGCCGCTCCTCTCAACAAAATCGCGACTCTCTCGAGCGCTCTCTGCGACGACGAGACAAAGCAGAGTCGAGACAAAGTCGCGGACTGGTCGGGCAGTTCCTTGCTCGCGGCTCGGCCCGCCAAGATGGCGTTGCCCGGCTCATCAGGGCTCCAGACGAGTGCAAGCATCCTGATGACACCGCCGCTGACGTCCTCTCAGGTCGATGAAGGTGAAGGTGCCAATGCCGGTTTGCGACAAGAGTCGGATGACTCCTTTCAACCTGGCTCGCAGTACAGCCCGGACTCCTCACAGGACGATGAAGAAGAGGACGATTCATTCGAGACCGAGCTGAGCGATGGACGGTCAGACTTGACACTCGCGAGCGCACGCTGGTCGGCGCACGAAGCAGCAGGCAGTCCGATGCTGCATCGACAGCTCAGCCCGATCCCCCATCCGGATACAGAGGCCTCATTCCCAGCCGAAGAATTCGAACAGCACTTCGTCAGTGCCTTACGAACACAGCTAGCAACGCTCGACACGACACCGATAGATCTCGACGCGCCTGATGCCGCTCTCGAAGTGCCCGGGGAGCCAGACCTGCCACCCGTTCCTCAAGAAGATGTACCTCGTCTGAGATACGAGGCTGCCGTCAAGCTGCGTACGACGTGGGATGACATTGCTGCAAAGTACAGCCGACCGGAGTACGGTGAAGATCAAGACGATATCATCGATATCGAGACGGGCGATATCATCAAAGACCGCGGCCGTCTGCGTGCCTTATCTGAGGACCAGAACGATGACGCTAAGCCGGATTATTGGTCCTCACGAGCAACGACAAGCGCAGCATGGACGAGACGAGCCAGGGAGACCCGAAGGAAGAGGCGCAAGCTCGGCCGGCCGACGAAGCGCAATGCTGCTTCTGAGGAAGACGAGGTGGATGCCAGCTTGAGCGAAGAGGATGAGTCGTCTGGTCTCTCGGGCGACAGCATCACGAAAGGTCGTAGGAGAGCGGAGCGTCGCAAGGCGAGAAAGCGGGTATGGAAGAGAGGTCCCTACCATACCTCGCACAAGTACCGCTGGCAGCCCGGTCAGAGCGGCGGATCGAAACAGCTCGTCGAATCTGTCTCTACCAAGCCGACAGAACGCCTGCCTGCTAGTCGGACACCGTCACCGTTCCTAGATGCGCGATATTGGCTGCCCACAATGAGGCCGAGCGCGCCGCCGTACATGCTCGAGCCTAAGCTCGATCCCCTCGAGCTCCTGCTGAAGGCAAAGTCGGAAACGCCTGCGCCTGTGATGAAAGCGATCAAAACAGAGACTGTCAAGACTGCCCCTGTTCCGGCAAAGCCGGTGCCGCAGCTCCCGTCGGTCGTTCAAGACGCTCTCAAGCTACTTCACAGACAGAACGCACCTCTGCCTAGCTTACCAGACGCGTTTAGATCTCACTTCAGCAAGATTGGGTGAGTGACACGTCGAACATTTCGAGACAGCTGCTGATCGGGAACGACAACAGCAAGGTGACTCAGTGATGGCCATGGATACCATGTTCCCTTTCGAAGCGGATGCCGCAGTATCTACACGTTGTTGTATCAGCAAAGCATTTCCGCATATCAACCCAGCGCGCGCGTACGGGCATGCTTTCGAGCCAGGTTTGTCGAGATTGATGTACACCTGAGGGTGCCCGAGCGCGCCTCGTCCTATGTGATCCTCATCAGCATGGAACACTGTCTGGCAGTACGAGGCGCACCGCCATCGCAAGATGCTATCCTCGTGTTGACCAATCGAATGGGCTCCTTAGCGATCAGTTCGATTGCTGCTACGGGCTGAGGCTGGAAGTCCATCGATGTCTGCTCGAATCTCGGTCCTCTCATCGCATTCGCTCTGCGCCACAGCCTACTTCGGCGCAGCTCGCTGAGGACACGGTGAGAGCTTACTTTGGATTTTGGGTTTTAGACCATACACCGATGCGATTGGGCGCCTGACCCATAGGCAGATTGTGCGGTGGTTGTGGCATCCTGACGAGATCTATCATGAGAGTGCGCAAGACGAGCAGAGGGACCGAGACTGACGCTACTTGACCTGGCAAGGGTCCACCGGATACTGCCTTTGACTCATTGGTCTCGACGGGCGCAGACTCGTGCGCATTGATCGGAACGAGCCGTGCTGCATGTCTCACTTGTCCATGTGTCCTTCGCAGCAACACGATGGGCCTTGTCGTGCGTAGCATCCTGCTGTACTGACGGCCCTGCTCGCCGTCGCGCCTGCAGGCCCAGACGGCGAAACGGTGGAGACGATCTGCGGGGACAGAGACCCTTGCGCCCTTGCTTGCAAAGTGCGATGAGCTCATAGCGCACAAGCTCCGCGGGAATTCCACTATCTCTACAGACACTCGCTCAGCTTCTGTTGATCGCCTCGACATGTCTGAGCACAGCGTCAGTGGACTTCCGAAGACCTACAAGGCCGCCCAGGTCAAGTCCAAAGGAGCCAAATTCGAGCTTATCGATGTCGAGCTCAACTTGCCCGAACGTGGTCAGGTGCTCGTCAAAGTGCTCGCGTGTGGCGTCTGTCACTCGGACATGACGACCAAGTTTGAGGCCATTCCTGGCATTCTCCCTCGAGTGCCCGGTCACGAGATCATCGGCGACATCGTTGCGATTCACGAGAGCGAGGATCATTGGAAGCTCAATGACCGAGTAGGATCTGGCTGGTTCGGAGGCAGCGATGGTTCTTGCAAGCAATGTCGTCAGGGGAGCCCCATCAATTGCCCCAAGCTGGCCATCAACGGCGTCACTCGCGATGGAGGATATGCTCAGTATGTCACCCTCCGACGTGAAGCCGTCGTCAGTGTGCCAAAGGAGATGGACCCTGCCGAGGCTGCTCCTTTAACTTGTGCTGGCATCACTACCTACAACAGCATGCGCAAGTAAGTCTGCTTGCTTTGGTAGCAAGGCCGTGCTTGACAGTGGGGCAGCATGGGCGCACGACCTGGAGATCTTGTCGCCATTCAGGGCATCGGCGGCCTCGGCTCGCTCGCAATTGGCTTTGCTCGTGCGATGGGCTTCAGTACTGTAGCACTCTCATCGAGCTCGGCCAAGAAAGATCTAGCTACCAAGCTTGGCGCTCATCACTATCTCGACTCGAGCGCAGAATCTCAAGCAGATGCGCTGCAGAAGCTCGGCGGCGCAAAGCTCATCGTCTGCACCGCGCCTTCCCAGGAAGTCATCAACACGCTCCTGCCTGCTCTCCAGCCTGGCGGTACTTTGCTCCTGCTCGCTATCTTGCCCAGCGTCACCTTGCCCGCTCAGCAGATGGTGGCAAAACGGTTGACAGTACGCGGCTGGCCGTCTGGCTCGCCGCCAGACTGCGAAGATTGCATCAACTTTGCACAAGTCGAAGGCGTCAAGCCTATGATCGAAAGATACAGTCTCGATGACGTCGAGGCAGCCTTTGAGCGCATGTCATCCAACAAAGCTCGCTTCCGCGCCGTTCTCATTCCCGATCACAAGTGAAGCCATGCACATGTAATCTCTGCCTCAATGCACACTCAAAGCGTCCGATATAGCGCGACTGTGAGTACAAACATGCATACACAAGCATGAGTGCCAAGACAGATCCAGCTGTGCAAAGGGGATGCGAGGGTCGTGAGATATAGCTTTCGTCAGGTCGGTCTTGGGTGCTCAGGATTGATCACCGCAGACAGCGAGATTCTGGAATGTGCCTGCTTTGCCAGAATAGGCGCTCTTGCCTTGCATCCACCAGTTGAGCAGTTGCTGCGCGGGCAAGTCAGTCAGAGGGCCGTATGGGAACACGGCGCGAAGTAACCAACCTGCAAGTAGTCGAGATTGTTCTGGCAGACGCAGCAACCTGTGCTCGCTGCTGCTGTGGCTGACGTGTAAGTCATGCCTGGCGTCCAGCCATTGTATTGTCCTGTCCGCTAATGAGCTCAATCTTGAGTGCATCAATGCGGTGCTCACCAATCGTGACGAGAACGCTGCCGCCGTTTGATGCGAGCGTAGTGGCAAAGTAAGCTGCTGCAGTCTTGACGTTGAAATCAGGATCGTTGCAATTGCCTATCGCGTTGCACAGTCAGCACGAACTTGAAGGCAATCCAGCCGCGACTGACCATTGGGCGCGCCTCCGCATTTGTCCGACGTGATCTGCATGAGACCGAACGCGCCTCCACTATCGCCAACGACAGAGGGATTGCAGCTCGACTCCTGCATGGCGAAAGAAGCGAGCAAGATAGGCGGAATATTGTTGAGTGCGCCGTACTTTTCAAAGATGGAAAAGTAGTCCTTGCAATCGCTGAACGTGCTGCCTGCAGACTCGAGGGAGGTGTAGACGAGCTCGTCCATCGTCACTTTGGCGGGTGCCCAGCCTGAGGACGGGTTCGATTTTGAGATGCCATTGGTGAGGAAAGCTTCGGATCCGTTCGGGCCGGCATCGACGGTGGACTGAGCCGTCGCGCCTGTCAGCTTGGAGACATGTCCTGATGAGGCAGTCCCGCTCGTCGTCGAGGTCGTCGTGTTACTCGTGCCCGCAGACGAAGAGGTCGAGTTTGACTTTGACTTTGACTTGGACTTGCTGACTGCTTTGGAGTTGGCCGTCGTGAGACTGTCGACCACGCTGCCTTTTGCAGCCGCCTTCTTGCTCTTGGTCTTCTTCTTCATGACCTTTTGCTTGTGGTGCTTTGCATGCCTGTGATGGCTATGTTTGTGCTTGTGATGGTGTGACTTGTGCGTCGAGACTTCCATCTCGCATTCCTGCGCGTTGACAGAGACCGGCGCGACGATGGCAAGTGCGACGGCGACAAGAATGGCAAGACGCTTGAAGGTGGTAGTGTGTGCGAACATCGTTGCTCGTGATGACTTTGTCCGACAAAGGCGTGAAAAGGTGTGAGCGCGTTAGCTGAATGTGATGATTATGAAAGAGGGTGCGAGTCTGAGTCCAGCTCAAGTGTGGTGGTATACGATTGCGCTTGTTCGAATCAGTCTGCCCTAGTTCTCTGCGTGGACTCGACCTGCGAGCAAATGTCTTTCGGCGAACAGAAGGTCATCAAATATCGAAGGCCATCAAAAACGCGTCGCGTGTCGCGTCCAAGGTCATGTCACTGGCGACCCGTCGTTGATTTTAATATTTGCAATGAGCTATAATTCTATGAGTTTGTGCGAGATGGATCAGGATTACTCTGATTTTTGACGCTTTCCTGGCCTTTGCGACCCCATGATGCTGCAGATGGAACACGTTAGAGCAGTGCGAGCATGACAACAGCAGCCTCACTGTTTCTCGGTGACTTCGCAAGCGTCTTCACCCAATAGCTCGGACTTGTTTTTCATGCCCGACCATTTGGGCAGGCCATCGGCCAGATCCATCGTCCTCTGGCTGTAGAAGATATGGCAAGATGGGTGAAACGATGCCGGCAGCTTGCCGTCTTTAAACTTGAAAGTGCCAGGATAAGCAATCATCGTCGACCGGCCCTCATCGAACATGGGCGAGCGACAGTTCTGCTCCCGAATTAATGGCGGTTGTATACATGCAGTGATGAACGCACTGTGCAAGCGACTTTGCAGGGGACATAATGGATTGATTTCTTCTTTTCAGTCGAGAAAAAGTCGAGGCTCTCGCCTTCGTTCTTGCTCAATCGAACAGCAGCTTTGGGGAAGATGACGGCGTGCTGGAACGGTGCGCCGTGCAGGCCTGTAGATTTATTAGATCAGATCTTTGAATGCACAAAGAGCGTACGCTGGCAGTCATGACAATGGCAGCTGCGGCAGCTTTGTTAGCTCAGTATCGCTTGAGACGGTCTCAGCGTACCATTTCGACGACAGCGGATCCTGTGAAAACTCGAAGCCGACGTTGCCGCACCAGCAAGAGCTGCGACCAAGATGAGCCAAAATCGGCGGAAAATCTATCATTCCCGCACGAAGTGTATTTCACCTTGAACTTATCGCCCGTAGACTCCCACTTGTACGGAGGCTTGGACATAAAGTCTGTCTCAGAGTCCCCTCCATCCTTGCTTGGAATGTCCGGACTTCCTTCCCATCCGGTTCCGATGTCCGTGAGCGCATTCTCGCCGTCTGGGAGATCTTTGTCCTTGCTTTTGTCTAGTGCATCCTGGACCTTGGTCGCATGCTCTTTAGTCCTTGGCACCTTCTGACCAGCCATGATGATCCACTGCAGTACTTACAGAGTGATGACGGTTGGCCGATGGGCGAAAACTTGACATCAAAGACAATTCGATCACGAGAAAGCAGTCGCGACCCGCGAAAGACAGTCACGAGCGAGGCACTGCATCCTCGGCAACGAGACGACTGAGCCCATCATCCGCCAGCAAGGTCCATGCCGCTCGATGCGAATCGTCAGTGATATGCTAGTGACATTGCACATGCAGGCTGAACCATCAAGCAGTCTACACGCTCGATCTGAAGCCTATCACGCAAGGCGTCGCATTGCAGCATCACGGCGACGTTGTCTACCTCTTGCGCGCACCGCATGACAGCGAGGAGTCTCTCACGTTGTACGATGGCGCGACAGAAGCACAGCTTGCAAGTCTGGTCTATGTGACCGTGCGCGCTCGACGTATCACGCTCGTCAATCCGACTCAGCATGTGCAGATGGAAGTGCCCACAGGCGCTCTGTCTGCCCTCAAGGGCTTTCGCTGGACATTTCGATTCGAGAATCTCAAATTTTATTGGGATCGCGAGGTCGTGCTGGGCAGTCAGCAGAGGTCCTACTCGCTCTGGCTAAGAAGAGCGCCCGAACCGGATTGGCAATTGATGATCTGCAAGCCTGCGAGAGCGAGCCTGGAAGCAGACGAAGGTCTCGCTGCTACGCTTACTATTCTCGACTACAACCTCAACAGGGCAGGGCCTGCAGAGATGGAAGACCGTAAAGGTTTCGAGCTCGTCGCGCTCATCACGCTTGCCTCCTTTTTGGCGCCTACGATTCCATCCATCGCGCCCCCTACAGTACCGGTCGAGACAGCTAGGAAGACACCCGCGCCTGTGGTCAAACCCGCAGCTGCCGCAGCAAAGCCAGGCTTAACGACGCCAAGCGTGCCTCGACCCAAACCGCGCTCGCCCGTGCCAACGGCAACGAATGAGATTACCGTCAGCGAGCACAGCGAGACGGTGCTGTTGCTCAAGCAAGCTGACAGCATCTTACGAGATCCTACGATCGTCTTCATCAAGCTGCTCGCCCAAGGCGGCGCAGTACCGATAGCCGTCAAGCTTGCCTCAGAAATCAAGCGACAGATCCTCAAGCAACGAGGAGGAGATCTGTGGATGTATCTCGTCGATACGAGGTCCTCAAAGACCTTGCCTACTGCAGCAAATACGGACACCGGCCTTTCGCGAACGCTCAGCAAGCTCAAGTCATATAAGCAGCCAGAGACCATCACCATCTACCTCTCGCGAATGCCGCTGGCTGAACTGGACCCCAAGAAAGCCAAATGATGCATCAAATCTCGAATTCTACCGTCACATGTTCTCGCGAGAAGGTCGTTCCGCCTGGCAAAGCTATTGCTGCGCAATCGCCCGAGCAAGTAAAAATCCAAGCGGTTGACCAGCCTAAGATCAACTTTGTCCTGAGCCACGTGCACAGGGCAGGCATGAGCTGGGCTTCGAACACTCTCTGCGCGCCACATTGCTCGCATAGAGGCGCACGGGCGGCCTCGAAAGCGATTGCGCCTGGCAGGAAAGCAGCAGGCGCGTATGCTGTTCGCGTGACTGTCGTCATGCCTTGCGATCCGGTAGACGCTTTGACGAGGTATCGTTCGTAGGCCGGACTGGTAGACGAGTAAGGCAACGGCTTTCCGGCATATTCGTACCTGATGAACTGACTAGGCTGTCGGGAGAGGACATCTTGGAAGTGCAGGAATACAGAGTCAACGCCTTGTATCCTTTGCACTTCATATGACTCCGATGCGCTCTTGCTGGAAGGATCGGGATGATCATCTAGATATGCTTTGGGTTCCTTCTTCTTGCTCTGCGCTGCCTTGACGGGCGGCTCAAGCATCGCGAAGCAATAGCTCATTGGCCAAACGGCGATGCCCCAACGCGTTGGCTTGTTCAACTGAGTCGACTGAGTCGACTGCGTCATGGCTACCGCACTCTCAGATGGTCCCGGTGCTGCGTCTTTGGACGCGGGGGTGGCAGAAAACGGGTTGTCGCCAAAGAGGGCATTGCCAAAGGTCGAGCTCGAGTCTGCCGAGAACGGATTGACAGACGTAAGCGCGGATGCGAATGGATTCAGAGCTGGCTCGTCCAGCTGCTATTGTACTGCCTCAGCTGATGCGCCGTTGAGGACGCACAAGGCTCACCGGCTTCTGGGCTTCTTGGCCAATCTGTCGCGTTATACGCCAGACGAACAGACCTCTGCTTGATGATCAGTCGACGTAGGCTATACAGGCAAGCACAACACACCCGTCGTCTTGCCCTACGCATTGCGGGCTGGCACATTGAGCGATGAGCAGTGTGCGATATGTGAGCTCATTCAGGGGTGCAGCAATGGCGCCAACGAAGTTGAGGTCCTTGGTGCAGCGGGGGCATTGGCCTGCATGCGTTCGAAGGAAAGGCTCATAGTGATACGATGTCTGCGGGCCCCGACAGCATTTGCATGTGTACAACGAGCCATCGACAAAAAGGGGGGCTCACGAATTGACCACCGAAATAAGTCAGGGTAGGATCTCGAAAGAGTGCCTCTCTGTCAGACTGTGAAGCGGGCTCGCCATCTTCGAACAGGAGCCAAGTGCCCGTTGTGGCTTGCCGGTCAATGTAAGTCGTCTGCGAGCTGTCATCGTCATCGTCGTCCGGTTCGCTGAAATTGCCAGAGTCGGCAAATTCGACGGCCCTCAGCTTTGCTGCCACTGCACGCACTCTCTATGAGCCAAGAACTCTGGGAGAGTGATCGGGATGAGGATGAGGGGGCTTCAGTGGTAAGGTAGCGAAGGAGCATCGGTCATGCGAGCTGCGGCCGTCTCTTGCGAGAAAATTTGCCTCGACCAGCGAACCCTCTGACTCGTCATCTATAATATCGTTGTGTCATCTTTGACAGTGCGGGACCTGATGGCTCTCGCTGCTGACGAGGACAGGAAGGAGCCGCACTTACTTTTTCTCAAGTTCTGCAACAAAGCCAAAGCGCGCGCGACGCGATAGATCGATCCTGTGCGGTCACGGCGTTGCATGATGCATGATCTACAATGTACAGCTTCGTCACGTCGTCATCGCTGAACAACAGGACTCCTCGGTCGGGTCGTAGAAGACTCACGTGAGAGCGATTTGCTCTCTGTATTCCATCCTACTTCGTCCTCCTGATCTGCTTGCGCTTCGAACATTCTGCGGTTATCGACCGTCGAGCCATTGGGCCGCTTGTGGGCTGTTCCGTTCGACGAAGCAGTGACTGGCGGTGGCGGATCTGACAGTGGAAGCGAAGAGTATGTACCTCGCCTGACATGGATCGCAAAGGAGTAGAGACACAGTATAAAGTAGATCTGCGGTGTACAGCTTTCAGCGCTCCGTCTTCGGCGCGAGACGAGCGATCGCTTACCCTGACGAACCAGCCGATCAAGATGACAAAGCCAGAGAACGCGCGTTCTTCTCGCCAGACTGCCTGAGCTGCCATGGCTCTCGCCTCAGGATCCGATCCGCCCACTTGGCCGACGTTGGTGCCCTCTCCCATGAGCTCTCGTTGGGCGTCTGAGTTGGCTATCCTCCTGCCGTCGTGGGGATCGTAGACGTACCAGACGATGGCGAAGAAGGCCGTCCAGACGGTCGAGATGAAATGATCCAACGCGTACAAGTGAGCATACGTCAGAGTTCTCTCGACGCTCTCCTGTTCATGTGAGCCCGCGTTGAGCCTCTCCGGGCAGAGCGCAAGCAAGATTCGGACTCGCCTCTGCTACACCCTTGAGACCCCAGATGCAGAGACCGGCAGTCGCGAGCGAGTAGAGATACATGCTGACTTGGGCAAACGTTCCCCCGTGGAAGACGGCAATGATGCCATACACGCCCGCGACCTTGTTGAGCAGTGCAAAGAGTGTGATGATGGTCGCGCCTGCACACGTAGGTGAGCCTTGCTCGAGTGCTTGGCTGTCCGACTGTGCGCGTACCTATCTTGATGTCGAAGAGACCGATGAAGGAAGTGAGCAGCGGTAGTCGGCTCGGCAGCTTCTGGAAGACGAGCTCGGCCGGAGCCATACTCGTTGCGTGACTCAGTGAGCTCTCACTCTGCGGGGAGTGAGGTCGAGTCGAAAGACGTCGAGCAGCGAGCAGCGCGACAGAAATTCAGTCGGGTCGGGTCGAGTCGACTCCCTTGCCGGCCAAGGACGGGGGACATGCACAACGGCAGCTCGATCAAGCTCTTGACGGGCAAGCCGGACTGCTTCGGTGGATGATCACGTCCTGACCAGTCAGCTGTCTTGCAGGTAACAGTCATCCTGCCCTGGCACAGGCAGTCGCAGAAAGGCTCGTCGGCGTCAGCTGCCCAGTGCCTGTCGCTGAGAGTGTGCGCGACAAGCAGACTAGGACTACGGCTGTGTCAGTGTACGGTCAAGAAGTTCTCAGACAATGAGACTTCGGTCAGTATCGGCGAATCCGTCAGAGAAGAGGATGTCTACATCCTCCAGACGGGCTTCAATCCTACACCGATAGCCTCAGACAAACCTGCTTCCTCACGACCCTCCTCGCCCAACTATCTGCCCGCAGCAGATCCGAACGACTTGCTCATGGAGCTGCTCATCCTCATCTCGTCAGTCAAACCCCCTTGATGAGACAAAGACGCGCTTCTTGTGGCTCATCACGGGTCAGATAGAGCTTGCAAGACGGCTTCCGCCCGACGCATCACCGCCGTCATTCCTTGCTTTCCCTACTCGCGGATGGACAGGAAGGACAGATCGAGAGCGCCCATCACGGCCAAATTGGTCGCCAACATGCTCCAAGTGGCAGGATGCGATCACGTCATCACCATGGATCTGCACGCTTCTCAGATCCAGGGCTTCTTCGAGATTCCCGTCGATAACTTGTGGACGGAACCCCTCATGCTGAGCTACATCAAGCTCAACGTACGCGATTGGCATAACAGCATCATCGTCAGTCCAGATGCTGGCGGTGCGAAAAGGTACTTTTCAGATACTGGTCAATGACATATCAGATGACTGAGGAAGATCAGAGCGACAACACTTGCAGATAGACTGGGCGTAGACTTTGCCTTGATCAACAGGACAAGAGCCCGGGGTCAGAATGTAGAAAGCTCGTCTGACAAGATGGAGGTCCTCGTGGGCGACATAAAGGGGAAGAATGCCATCCTGATCGACGACATGCTCGACACGGGCGAGACGTTGCAACTTGCTACCCAGACACTCAAGAGCTCGGGGGCAAAGACGGTCTATGCTATCGTCACACATGGTCCGCAACGATGTCTCATCATGAGCCTCCTTTTGCTCACATGGACGATCCTGCCGACAGGTCTCTTGTCCGAGGACGCGCTAGACATGATCATCCAGCTGCCGATCGAGAAACTTGCAGTGACGGATACGATCTGCCAGCACGAGAAGACCAAGCGAGCGCTCGACAAGCTAGACACCATGTCTGTCGCTCCTCTCATCGCAGAATCAATCAGACGGGTCAGTCTCATTCAGAACAGTTGAGACGGATGCTGACGAGCTCATAGACCCACAATGGAGAAAGCTTGAGCTTACTCTGGAGCGAAGGCGGGGCAGCAGCATTCTAGACCTTTTTCTTTGCTTCTCATGCATTTGTACGACCTCGGAACCAGCCGAAATTGTATCAATCCTTGCGGGACCTCTTTTGCTCGATGGGGATCATCCAAAGTGAAAGGTGTCGCGTAAGACATGCCACACTGCCCCATAGGTCTTTTCTACTTGCGTCTCTTTGACGACTTGGCCTGTCAGGCCCTCTCGTTCGACGAGTGTACAAGGTTGCTCTGTACTTGCTTCCCAGAGTAGCGAAGTTCTATTGCCGTTCCGGTGGAGTATCGAAGCGACGAGCAGATTGACAAACCGTTGCTCCTTGTGCGTCGCCATGTAATGATTGGCGACTTCAAAGTCGATCGGCGTCAGACTGATGGCATGCAAATGGTATGCAGGACTCCAGTAGCTCTTGCTCTCACCGTCACGTGCAGGGAAGTATCGCCAGAGTGTGTAGCCCTCTGGCATGTCTGGTAATTGCTCGACATCGTGTCCCGGCAGCTTTTCCTTCTTCATGCGATACTTGTAATTGCCAGCGATGGACGAGACAGTCTCATCGGTATCGAGAGGGACTGCATAGTCGGCCGCACCTCCGCCAAAGCCGACATCGGCCAGAAAGCGCGTATCTCTTCGATCGGACACTTCGACGAGCATGACGAAGTGTGAAAAGGGCGTCCAAGCATAGTCCAATCCCGTAGGATCTTGATGCCTGTTCAAGTATGTTCTTGCGCCTACATCTGACACTCTGAAAGGCGTTGGCCAAGAGCGCAAAAGGGCAGAAAAGAGCGTGTTGAGTACAAAGCAGAACCCGCCGCGGCGTTGTTGGACGACGCGCGTATAGCAGAAATCGAGCTTGCTGAGGTAGCCTTCACCCTCTCTGAGGGCGATCGGTCTATCGGCATTCGATGGATCTAGCTCTGCGAGATGGATGCCTGTTGTCTCAAAGGGCACGCTCAGGAGATGAGCAGATTGGAGTGTGTTGAGCGTTGCGAGCGTCGGCGGATCGTCAATGATCGACGGAGGTAGACCTATGCGATCCAGATAGGCTACGATCTGCTCACGAGAGAGAAGGGGACGTACGCCCCAAGTCATCGATCGCAGTTGGCAGCGGGCAGCGCCGAGTGTGTCGTAAATAGTTTTTCAGATGGACTCGCCTGTGCCCAGAGCTGGCACCAGTGTCGCCGAGTCGAGCAACCGTTCGGAGCGGCGGATGACCTCGTACGATGGCAAGCCAACGTACGCCGCCCTCGCCAGAGGATGTGCGGGTCAGACGGACGGCCTGGCGCGAGGACGACAGCGATAGCTCGAGCTCGTCGAGCGTTCGATCAACCACGCCGGCACCGTCTGCCAGTGCGAGCAGAAAGTCTTCCAGGAATGTCTTGTATGGCAGAGGGAGCTCCCCTGTCCCCGGCACATCTCCCGGCGCAGAGAACAGCTTCTCGCGACCCAAGAGGAGCGGCAGAACGCCCTTGTCTCCGTCGCAAGCTGCTACCACGACAGGCTCGCCAGATGTCAAGAAGCAAGGCAGCAGGATGTTCCCCGATACGAGCAAACCCTTGCCTCCGCTCCATCGGAGCTCGGCAGACTCACTGTCGCGAGGCAAAGATGCCCGGGTAGGCTTGGGATTAGCTCAGCCCTCTGCGACCGGCAGGCAAAGATCGGACTCGCTCTCCTCTTCCTCGAGCGATGTACCCCGCAAATCGCGAACGAGCTCCACGCCTGATCTCGGGCGCACTGTGTCTGCTCCCCGAACGAGCAAGCCAAGCTCGAAGACGGCTAGCCCGCAGCAGTTGTCGAAACGCGGGTCGGGCCTCTTTGGCGTCAGGAGTAGAGACTCTGGCTACATACAATATGATCCAGAGAGTATAGCCATGGGGCGTACAGCCTCGGGTAGCAAACGCGAGGGAGGATCTTCCTCATCATCACTCCACTCTCGGAGCGCCCGTCGTACGTCGTCCAGCTCGAACAGGCATCAGAGCCCCGCCGAGCTAGGCTTTGTAGCTGTCTCTCAATCGCTCTCGAACGAATCCGGTAGTGCTAGCACCTCCACGACTGGTAGATCTGGCTCGAGACCTCACTCGCCTTATCAATCTGGCTCGTCCGAGTTTCCTGCGTCAGCCCAACCGCAACGCCGGATTCCGCTGGGCAGCCGCTTGTCGTACAGCAGCATAGAAGCACCCTCGCCCACTCTAAGTGATTCAAAGTCCATCTCCAGTCAGTCTGATCGCAGACGATCAGGCGCGCCTGTCAATCGAGCACGCGCGAGCTCGGCTCAGCTCTCTCCAAGAATCTGGACAACTGAGCTTGCGCAGCCTGTCGACAAAGTCAACAGCTCTGAAGGTGAGATGGACAAGTTCTCGGAAGCCGAATCTACTACCTCTTCTCGGCGCTCGAGAAGATCGACCGAGCAGTCACTCCGACTGATCGGACGTGGTGGCATAGCGACACCGCCAGCCGTGCGAGAAGATGCCTCCGATGGCGCATATCTAGATGTCAAAGCGAGACCTTCCTTAGATGAGCCTGACACAGCACCTCGTGTTGCTAACAGTCGCAAAGCGCCAGGTAGGCTGGCTCTGCTTCGCGCTCGGCACGAGCATTAGCTAAAGCATATTGCAGTGCCCTTACCTGCCAAATCGCCGAGACGGTCTCAGACGATTGCAATGGTGCCAGATCACCGGTCTGCCAGTTCACCAGCGCGAATCGCTTTGCCCACACTGACCGTGCAGTCTGCGAGCCCATCGCCTCGCAAGCCTCAGATACCGCTAGAAATCAATGATGAAGGAGCAGAGCAGACTCCTACCAGCGCAAGTCCGATCAGGCATGATTATGCGGGCTTTCCAGACACTGCGGCGGACACACCAGTCGATGCGGAGCCTGCAGAACCGGAAAGCGTGCCCATGCCTCGCATCAGATCTGCTGGAACAATTGCAGCAGAGCCAACCCAACGTAATTCCTGGTCGCCGCTATCCCTTGCTCTAGGCTTGCCGAATCTCGTCGGGCTCGGCACAAGCACTCTCAAAGGATTCCGACCCGCCGATCTGGCTACGCCTACTGAAGCCGAAGTGCAAGAAACGCGACTTGTCTCGCCTGATCTGCATCCCAAGGGACACAACAAGCATGATTCGATCACATCGCTTGCTAGCTCAAGAAGCGACTGGTCTGCCTACTCGGTTTATGCATCAGAATCGCCTGCATGGGAATCGCACAGTCCCACATCGCCTGCTTTCAATGCCGCTTCTTTCAATCAAATTCAAGAGGAATCGGAGGATGATGATGCAGGCGATGACTCGGAAGAGGCGCAGAGGGCACGTCAGGCTCGCAAAGCCGCAGAGGCAGATCGTCGTAAAAGGACAGCGATCATGTTCAGTCAGCAGGCAGATCGGATGGCCAACGATACTTCGCCCACAGACAGGACGCGCCCACCTCTACGCGTTGTCCCTTCGACGTCACCTCCTGCTGCTGGAAGCTATTCTCCAGGCTCCTTCACGCAGGAGGCTCTTTTCAACACAGATCCGTATCCTGGCGCTGCAATGCCTAGCAGCCCAAGACGGGGTAACACAGAAGATGGCAGTGCACCGCGTACGCCGCCAAGAACACGTAGCAAAGCCTCAAGGGCGCCGGGTGAAGCGACTTCTATGACTCGCAGATCTTCAAACGCTTCCCTTATCAGTCAGAATAGGGGCAATTCGCCTGATCTGCCGAGAAGACAGTCTAGCTTGTCCATTGAGAAAATGGAAGCGAAGACGAAGCGACGTGACAGGTCAGGCTCCTCGAGTCCGACTGCGTTCCGCAATTCGCCAGTTTCCACACCTGGCTTGTCAGCGTATGCCACGCCAGATGTCACGACGCCGCCAGACGTCAATGCGTTAAACAAGGCAGACCTCATCAATCCTCGTGCGCCGCGACAGGTCTCTGGCGGGATCATGCAGGTGGCAGCGGCAGATGAGAAAGTATCCAAGCGACTCACGCAGACAGGCGACAAGCTACAGGAGCATCTGCAGGCCGAGCAAGTCGCACTCACTCATCGACAACAGCAAAGGCGAGGCTGGGCGATACAGGAGCTTCTGCGCACAGAAGCCGCTTTCGCGACTGATATGGCCATCTTGCGAGATGTCTACCTGGCTCGAGCGCGAGGCATGGATCTGCACGCGATCAGCAAGCATATCAGTGAAGTCGAGTACGCTCCACCTACGCAGCCAATGGAATTTCACGAGCCAGGTCTATCGCACTCGACGGCGACAAGCGAACGCCTTGCAAATGGTCGAATATCGAGTACAGCGTTTTCGCCTTCGGCATCGTTCACCTCATCATTCGCAACGCTCGTAGCGCCATCCACAACGTCACTCGATGCACCGCTCAGCGCTCATGATATCAAGAAGATCTTTCTCAATCTTGAGGATGTTGCCAGCTTCTCAGAGCGGTTCTCGACGCTTCTGCATTCGGCTCAGGGGACGCTGGGTCAGCAAAGTATGGATGGGCAGTCGGCTACGATTGTAGGCGACACAATCGGCGCGACCTTTGTAGAGATGGTACGTTGCCTGCATTAGCTTGCTGAGCCAGCCTTATGCAGCGCTTTTCTCTACAGCTGCCCCGTATCCAGAGCATCTACACGCGGTACTGCTCACGACACGACGCGGCTATTCAGCGACTGAGCGAGATGACGCCGTTCATCGGAGATTATCTTGCGGAATGTCGCGACCTATGCCGGACGATGACAAATGCTTGGGATCTCGCGAGCTTGCTCATTAAGCCCGTACAACGCGTGCTCAAGTATCCTCTGCTCATCGATGCAATCTTGAGCAACACGGCATCAGATCACCCGGACTACAATGCCCTTCGGCGTGCCAACGAGGCAATACTCGCGGTCGCAGAAGACATCAACGAGGCCAAGCGGCGTCACGAGCTCATTGGCAAGGCCCTTGGCCGAGGCTCGGCGAAGTCTGCATCCAAAGTCGATGTCTCTACTAGCAAAGCAACCAAAAAGCGACCCGAAAACTCTCATTCTCGTGCATCGCTGAGCAGCGTCACCAAGAAGTTTGGTCGTGCCAGCCAGAAAGCCAGACAAGAGCTTGGCATGGATGCCCCGCTACAGATTGAGCAGAGCCTCACACATCTGATTGAAGAACTTGATGCAAAGGAAGCTGCAATCCGCAACTTTCGCTCGGCTGCAAAGGCGTGGTCGCGCTCGGTCGCAGCGTATCTGGCTTCGCAGATCTCGCTCCTCGAGCAGTGGGCGTTGTGCAACGCGCGTATTGACGTCTCGGCCATGATGTCTATTGCCGACCGCGGAGAGAAGTCATTGCTCAATTCTGCGCTCACTGTCATCAGACTATCTGTCGCGGATTGGCAGAAGATGGTAAGCTGTTGCCCGTCTGCAGAGCCGGCACTGATTCCAAGTCTCTAGGACATACAACTTCGTGCTCTTCTGACGAATCGAATCGATCCTTTGCTGATCCTGCTGAAGAATCCGCGGATCGTCATTGCGAATTGTCAAGACAAGCTGCTTGATAAGGAAAGATACAAGAATGCGAAAGGCTCTGCGGATCGCGCAAAGGGACTTGAAGCGGCAACGGCCTGCGATGCTCTCACGCTGCAGCTGACGGAAGAGCTGCCTCGGCTTTGCGTGTCAATGACGCGCTATTTCGACATTGTCCTCGTTCAATGGGCACAGATTCAGGCGGGCTACTTTAGCAAAAGTCATGCTCACTGGGCTAGCATTCGACTACCGGCGAGCTCGACAGATGCTCCCGGGTCAAGCTTGGTCATGCAATGGTGGCTCAAGCACAAGAACGCGTCTGAAGTCTACGAGCAGCTACTGCTTTCCAATGATTCGTCAAGACGCCCTAGCCTGCGTGAGAGCACCGAGGGCGATCCTGCCGACACGATCTCTCTCGTCGAAAGTAGTAGAGGACCTTCGTTCAAGTCGGTCGGGGAAGCATCACCGAGTAGGCTTGCTGTCTTCGTAATGCCATAGGGCGCTGATGACGCGATCAGGCATGATGTCGTCGACAACCACGCCTGAAGGCTCAATTCACGCGCGACGTGCAACGACAGATGCAGTCATCGATGCGGACACTGTCTCGATAAATGAGAGACCAGCGAGAGCGAGCCTGCCACTCAGCTCGGGTGCAGCTGCAACTGCCCGACATTGGCTGAGTCGACGGCGTAGCCGACCGCGCATCAATTCGGATGAAGGCGGATTGACGCCGGAGAACGAAGAAGTGCCGCCGATGCCGACTGTTCTCCCTGCGCTCGGCTTCCAGAAAGAGAGCGTCAAAGCGAGCGCGGCAACAAATTCGTCTCTGGGTACGAATGTTGGTGGCGAATCTCGTGCGTTAGAAGACAAGCCGGTACTGTATCGCGTACGAGCAGTAGACGACACCGATTCGACTTCACCAAACGGATCTGCGACGACGTATCCCATCATTTCGCAGCGTGCTGGCGATGTCTACGAGGTGCTCCACGTAGATGCGCCAGAACGACCGGATACTTGGCTGTTTGTCCGCACGGTCTACAAGTCCTACGGCTGGGTCAGCGCCGTGGGTGTCACACTTTTGCCATGAGACGAACAAGATTAGCAGTTTTTCTTTAATGACGGGCAGACGGATGTTTTGTTGCGACTTGTGATGTACCTTAGTATTGCAGCATGAGTGTGCATCGATGTACAGTCTGATGCGTCTATTTCAGATGCTTCTTCATCAGTACGAATTCGAGCAGCCTCGGTGGATTCTCGCTCGTTTGGCGGTTGCGGTAGCCGTAGAATTTGTAGCCTCGTCTGATGTACCACTGTTCGTTCGAGACAGCAGCCATAGGCTTGCCGTCCTTTGCTCGCTCGGCAGCAATGACAGCATCGGGCAGCGTATCTAGGAGAACAACGCTGCAACTCAGCGGTGAGGTCGCGGCGCGTGCTTCTATGGCGTCCATTGCCGAGGAGCCTAGTCTCTGACCTTGCACTGCTGTGGAGATGTACAGTGCTGCTATCTTGACCACTCGGCCGCCTGCAGGATCATGCAGGCTCATGTCCTCATCTTCATCGATGAGATAAAGAGCAACATGACCGATCGGCAGAAAGCTGACACCGTCGGGATCCGTGAGCGTCGATGCTTGCTGAGGATATGCAGCGAGCTGTCTAGCTTCTACATTCTGCCGATGAGGGTCGTCACGAGGCAACGAGACCCAGAACATGAGCATTCTCCCTTCATCAGTCCATCGCTGCCACCGTGGTAAGCTCGCTTCTCCCCAGCCACATGCGAGTCGCTGAAGACGGAGGCGTTCAATATGATCATCACTGTGAGCGTCCCAGGCGTGCAGCTCCACTCGGGAGCAGGTCAAGCCGTGAGTCATCGGGTCAGGACGAGGACGGGGCGATAGTCGACTTGACATCGCGCCAAAAGGGGATCGCAGCCAAGCCGCTGTCGCCTCCACTGACGACGGGCAGGATGACAGATGCAAGGCAGAGAAGGCTCATGAAGGAGATCAGAGACTGCGCAAGGGATGCGAGCACTTCCGGCATCACCATACGATTAGCAGGCGCAGATCTCGACGAGGATCCCGGATCCGCTTTGGCGTCGGGCGGCGACATCTCCCATCTCATCGGCGTCTTCAAAGGTCCAGAAAGCTCGCCCTATGAGGGAGGCATCTTTGAAGGCTCGTACGAAGCTGCACAGAGCAGTATCAGGCTGATCGGCGATACGTGACGAGCAGTGGATATTGTCGTGCCGCCCACTTATCCGTTCCAGTGAGCTCTGTGCGCCCTTTGCAGCTCAAGAGGATGCTGAACAGTCCTTGCGCTCGCCAGGCCACTCAAGATGAAGTTCATTACAAAGGTACATCGTCAGGCAAATGATGATGGACATGCTCACGCGACCGGTAGACCTACCATCCCAATGTCAGCTCACAAAGCGGCGCCATCTGTCTCGACATCCTCAAAGGTCAGCCTCTGTTCGCTTGAGTGATGCCGAGCTGACGAGCAAAGGCAGATGCGTGGACGCCCGTACTGACGCTCAAAACGGCGCTTGTCTCGCTACAAAGCTTGCTATGCTCGCCGGAGCCAAACGATCCACAAGACGCCGAAGTAGCCAAAGTATTCCTCACAGATCGCAAGCAGTTCGATGACACTGCCAAATACTGGACAACCGTACGTCAAGCCTGCCCGCGTGCACGCGAAAGAGGGCGCTCACACTCGTGCAGGTTTACGCGGGGGGCGATCGAGCTGCAAAGAGCAAATTAGGGCCAGACGGCAAGCCTGTAGCGCTAGACGAGATCCAGCTCAATGGTCTCAGCCATGAGCACGTCAAGCAGTGTGTCCTCATCTGCCACTAATAAAGACTATGACCCAAGACTAGCTCAGGTTCGTCGATATGGGCTTTGAGCAAACGAGAGTCATTCAGACTCTGGCCAAGGTCAACTACCGCGGCAACAATGCGACGAACATCCCTGACGACACGATTCTCACGGCCCTGCTCGAGTAGATCTACGCAAAGTTAAATGCCATCCTTGTTGTACCAACGCGCAATCTACATCGAATCTGTCTCTTCAGCAATGAGTAGAGCTGCCTTTTCGCCCAGTGCCAGTGCGACTGCTGCAGGATTGCCAGAGACGGTATCGGGCAGTATGGAGAGATCGATCACTTTCAGTCGTGCTACGCCGTGGACATTCATGCGCGTATCGACTACGCCACCCTCGCCGAGTGGCCGCATAGGCAGCGTCCCCATCGGATGAGCAGTCGTACTGATGGTCGCCCGCACCCACTCTGCAATGATATCATCATCTTCAGAGCTATACTCGAGCATTCCTTCGGCTTTCTGAGCCGGTCCGTCCACGTCGAGCGACATGCAGCGAGCCGTCGAGTGATCTGGAAAGCGAGGATGAAAAGCGGCAGCCTCGCCACGATACGCAGGCAGTCGACGCATGATCTCGCGCGACTTCTTGTATGCCCAGATGGCCACCTCCATATCCTGCTCGCAGCTCAGATATCCCGCATCGAACACAGCCGGCACAGCAGGATCGGTGCTTCGGATGTGAATAGAGCCAGAGCTTTGGGGGTGTAGCATGACCAAACCGGCCGTCAGGTACTTGCCCGAGGCCAAATCGCCAGTACGAGCAGCTTGCAAACCTGGCACGAACACGAGTTGGAGCAGGGGTCGATCGACCCAGTATGCAAAGCGCTCGCGCCAGTACTGCTTGAATCCTTGTGACATGTTCATGAGTGTGTCCTTGCATGGGCGGAGCTTGCATCCGACGTCAATGTAATTTGTCGACAGCGGTCCTGTGCCGCTTTTGAAAGATAGACGAGCTGTCGTCACTGCGTCTGACTCGGCGCAGAATAGCGCGTCAAGCGTGTTCGTGTCATTTCCAGCGCGATAGACCGTCTTGAGGTTCGGATGGTCCCGATAGGTTGCACCGATGCCGGGTACAGCGGCGAGAACAGGTATGCCGAGTGCTTTGAGGATGTTAGGACGGCCGAGTCCTGAACGCTCCAATATAGCAGGCGAGGCGAGCGCGCCTGCGCCAAGGATGACAAGCTTCCGAGCGTGACAGGTGAGCATGGTGCGTTCCATTCTGACTGCTGTTGCCGATGGGCCGGCCGTACAACGTATAGGCTCGCGATAGATAACCACGCCCGTGGCTTCTTTATCAGCGTCGAAGAGGATTCTATCGACGCGGTGGCCCATGAGAACTTCTATATTGGTGCAGGTCGCGCGAGCAGGTGTGAGCATACAACTCGCTGGATCTTGTCGCTTGCCGTCTGCAACAAATCGAGGCCAGAACTGCACAGAGTGACCAAGCTGTCTGTCTGCGTCAAAAGGAATGCCTTGATTTTCGCAAGCTTGCACGAATTGTGTGACCAGATCCGAAGAAGCAGTCTCGCCCACGCTGGCTTTGACTGCGCCGAGCGATCTGTCAACGAGTGGCATCATAGAGTGACAATCGAAGCCCTCGCTTCCCATTGCGTCAAAGTCGCTCGCGAGCGGCTTGGTGTATTGCAGCCAATGCATCTGAGATGAGCCGCCAAGAGCATGACCTGTAGGTACGACGACGGGTCGACGCGCACCGAGATGTGGCGAAGGCGTGGCAATGTGATAGTCCACGGTCGCACTGTTCGGCACGAGATGACTGAGGAACAAGCCTGGCGTGGAAACAGCGGGGTTCAGCGTCTGATCCTCGCCTTTCTCGATGATGAGAATTGAGAGATCTGGCCTCAAGTGAGCAAGTCGAGTCGCAGCGACGAGTGAGGCTGTCCCTCCGCCGATGAAGAGCACATCGCATTGCTTCGCCGCTTCAGACATCTCACTCGACATTAGGAGTTTTGTCGTAGGAGAAGGTAAGCAGGTCTGAGAGAGCAGCAGGAGAAGAGCAGGTCCATGCGGCAGATCTCGATCCGACAATCAGTATCCGACTCGATCTCGGTACAGCTTATTCAGGTAGAAGCCTCCGGCCAGCAGAGAAGTGACGGCAAGGGCTTGCGGTATTGGTCCTTTCCGGAATCGAGGCACGGAAGAGGCCAAGAGCACGGCGGACGCTCCTGCTCGTGGTGCTGCATCAGTGCTCGTCGCATAGTCTGGGCTTGCAGGTCTCGCACCTGCTGCAATCTCGTGACCATAGTCTGCGCCGGTCTGAAGTCTGTAGCCTGCAAGTGCATATGCTGAGCCGACGACGAGGCCTGCGATGAGGGAAGGACGAGAGCGAGTTCGGGCAAAGCCAGCTGCGCCTCCCAGCATGCAGATCCTGCGGTTGCAATAAGAGGATCAGTCTCATCGGTCTGCTTCTCTGGCTATCGACACACCCTGCCATAGTGTAAGCTGGATGCTGTGACATGTTGTAGAGCCCGAGACCTTGACGAGCTGTCTCTTTGCGCCAGTCGCGACGCAGCACGCACAAAATCCCAAAGCGTGCAACAATCAGAAAACGGACTACAAAGCTCACTGAGTCGGCGGCATCTCATCTCGCGCCATGGCGCGTTTCCGCTTGCGCTCCTCCCAGCTCTCCAGATGCCCGTCCTCTTTCTGCACGCGCACTGTTCAGCACAGTGGAACGGAAGGGATGGCAAGTGACGTACGGCAGCCACGAAAGCAGCCAGATCTAGCAGACCTGCAAGCGATTCTTGTCCGACAGTCTTGATCTCTTCCGGCGGCAGAAGGAAGCCGTAGACGCCCAGATCACGTAGTTCGGCAGCGTATGACCAGACAACGCCAGCTGCGCCATACGTCCAATCGAGTGAATCGCCAGCAGCAGTGTAAGAGATCTCACACCGGCTTCCCGTCTGCACAAATGTCAGCCTGACGCTCGAAGATGCGAGCCTACTGACCTCAAAGACTGAGCCGTGTACCGAGCGAATCGCCTTGGCAGTATCGAGCGCAGCCTCGTACAGATTCTCTGCATCGCCAGGCTGCACTTCGCAGGAATAGCTGAATGGGAACATGAGCTGCTGTCCGAACGAGTGTACATCCAGATAGGCCGTCACATCGTTGGCCTCGTCTAAGACGTAGTCGGCGATACGCAATGATTCGACGGAGTCAAACGCCCTGTAGCCTGGGAAGACTTCGTTGCATGGGTTTGGCCGATAGGGCTGTGCCCAGTGATAGCCAAAATTACGATTGATGTCAATGCCGAAGCAGTCCTGTCCTACTGGCTGGCGAGTCTTCTTCCATAGCCTATCGTCCGTGAACGTATAGGAGTATCCGTCGGGATTGACAGTAGGCACGAATGTGATCTCAAACACATTGAGGATACGCTGCAATTTCGCCGACACTTCGGTCGAAGCAGCTTCTCGCAAGATCTCAGAGGCCATGTAGAGCACCGTCGAGGGAGCGATCCATTCGCGAGCATGGGCACCGCCGGTGACGAGGAAGCCTAGCTTGTCCGGGTAGCCGTGTCTGCCTTTCTGCCGTCGGACAGCTTTCTTACTCCATTCTCGGCGAGGATGTCGATGCCTCCTGTGGCCACCATGTAGGTATTCCTCTGCTACTGACAGGCCGAGTCGGCTTCTGAGAGCGTAATAGAACGATCTGACTGCATGCTTTGTGTGATGCCAGTGGTGCTTGACAAAGCCAGAGCGATGATGGTGGCGATGATGCCGCTGATGATGGCGTCCGTGACCATGACTGTGGCGATGGTGGCCTCTCTTGTGGCATGGAGGTCCGCCCGAGCTGTGAGGATGATCGTGCTCGAAATTGCTAATCTTGAGGCCCAAAATGTCCCGACCCTCGTATGATTTGCCCAGATTGACGACCCTCGCAAGCGCTGGATAGTCTGATGCTAGCATACTCAGTATCGAATTGATAGCTTCGGGTGGGTGGAAGATGGAATGAATATCGCCAGGATCGGTCTCTAAATGCGCAGTCGCGTTCTCGAATGGGTTGGTCGAAGTGCTCATTGTAAACGTGTCACGCAGAGCCTCGAGACTGTGAGGTAGATGTCGTGCTTCTGTGGATTTGCGGGGCAGTCTGACGACAAAGTGAGACTGTGAAGCTTGCAGTAGATCTGCCTCATCCTTGTGTGACACAGAGTGAGCACGACGCGGTATTGCAAGCCAGAGGACGCGTACTTCGAGCGATGCGATGGCCTCTTGCACAGTCTGTTGACTCATGCTTGCATCTGAAGAGTCTAGTCGCAAGAAGAGGTCGTGGCTATGATCGACGAGTTGGGAGCTCGAGGGATGATGCGCAGTCGGTAGCGCGAAAGTGATCTGTTGCTCGTTCTGATTGTTCGCTACCACACTCGGCGCAGCAGATGTCACTGCGAGCTGTGCGCCCAGCAGCGCAACGCAGGCTCTGGCTTTCATCCTCGGCCCTCAGTCTCTGGCACACGACCTTGGCTTAACGGCTGACTGCCACGTCTACCGAATGCGCGATTTGCCGCATTTGCCCGGCGCGACCGACAGACTTGCAACGCTTTCACGACCGTCAAAAGCGCTCTGATTGCAAGAGTAATGAGCAGTCTGATTGCTCGACGAGTCGCTGGCAGCGCAAGGGTAGCATCTAGATCAGCGAGCAAGCAAGTCGCAGTCGCAAGAGTCCAGCGAGCCAGTCTTGCTTCCCTCGCGTCTGCAAGCCTTTCCGCGCCAAAATCAGCCTCAATCTCGACAAGAGCTCGCGCATTCTCTTCCAGCGCCATGCTTGCGTCAGCCGGCAGCGAATCCGCCGAGCGCGGCCAGCCTGATCAGGTACGCAGACGGCGCGCGAAGCTTAGACCGTGCTGAGACGGCTAGCGCAGGAACTGATTGATATTGCCAAGTATGTGCACGAATTCAAGATTGACAGCGCCCTTGCCTACGATACTGCTCGGCTCTGTCTCATCGACACACTTGGCTGCGGTCTCGAGGGATTGCGGGTGTCGAAGCAATGCTCAAACCTCATGGTAAGCTTCTGCCGGCCCAGTAAAAGACCCCCAGAGCTGAACGCATCACACCTAGGGCCCGGTGGTCGAAGGCACAGTGGTGCCCAATGGTGCTCGTGTCCCAGGCACAGACTATGTGCTCGACCCAGTACGAGCGGCATTCGATATTGGCACCCAGATCCGCTGGCTCGACTTTAACGACTGCTTCCTTGCAGCCGAATGGGGTCATCCCTCTGACAACTTGGGCGCCATCATGGCAGTCGCAGACTACCTGTCTCAAGTCAACAAGGCTTCAGGCAAGCCCGCCCTCAAGGTCAAGGACATCCTCACCGGCATGATTATGGCGCACGAGATCCAAGGCTGTCTCGCGCTCGAGAACTCCTTCAACCGCGTCGGCTTAGATCACGTCGTGCTCGTCAAGGTCGCCTCGACGGCTGTCGTCTCAAAGATGATTGGTCTGTCACTCGAGCAGACTATTGATGCCGTCTCGCATGCCTGGATCGACGGACAATCTCTCCGGACCTACCGTCACGCGCCCAACACCGGCTCGCGCAAGTCTTGGGCTGCCGGTGACGCTTGCGCGCGCGCCGTCAACATCGCTCTGCTCGTCCAGAAGGGAGAGGTCGGCTACCCGACCGCACTCACTGTACCGACTTGGGGCTTCTACGACGTTGCATTTGGCAAGAAGCCTTTCAAGTTCCAGCGTCCGTACGGCAGCTATATCATGGTACGCTCCCCGCTCTGATCGCGGACCAAGCTGATTCTGGGTGCAGGAAAATGTGCTCTTTAAGCTCGCAGCGCCTGCAGAATTCCACGCGCAGACAGCCGTCGAAGGATCATTGATCCTTCACAAGAAGCTGAAGGAGATGGGCAAGAGCTCAGATGACATCAAGGAGGTCAAGATCCGCACTCAAGAAGCTGCCATCCGCATCATCGATAAGAAGGGCAAGCTGCATTCGTTCGCCGACCGAGATCACACTGTGTGTCCATATCTGATGACGTCAACGACTGACTGACTGACTGCCTTTATTACAGATCAACTACATGACGTCTATCCCGTTGATCTTCGGTCGTCTTGAGCCAGGCGACTACCTCGACGAAGTCGCTGCTGATCCTCGCATTGATGAGCTGCGCGCAAAGACCTACTGTGTCCAAGATCAATTCTTCAGCGAGGACTACCACAACCCAGACAGCCGTTCGATCGGCAACGCCATCACCATCACCCTCAAGGACGGCACAGTGCTTGATGAAGTCGAGATCTTGTATCCGCTCGGTCACATGCGCCGTCGCGAGGAAGCCAAGCCCGTCCTGAATGCCAAGTTCAAGCGACACATCGATCATTGGTTCCCCGCCGAGCATGTCAAGAAGATCATCGACCTCACTGCTGACCAGGCCAAGCTCGAGGCAACGGACGCGGACGAGTTTGCTGCTCTTTGGGTCAAAAAGGCATAATTTATGCTGAGTGAGATGTAAGCGAGGATAGAATGCATGGACAGAGTCGCTCTGCACCTGTGTTAGCATGACGCAGCTTGCATTTTTAGGGGCGATCAGTTTAGAGCTCGTCATGCTCGCTAACTGGCTCCTCGGCCGGCGCTTCTTTGAGTGCGTCAGGCGTGATCTTGTCCTTCAGATCCTTCCAATCTGGCCAATTCTTCGCTTGCTCTTCGATATTGGCTTTCACGCTGTCTGCTGCATCAGAGACAGCTTCAGCAGCTTGAGTGATAGGCGACGGGTCTACTGGAGGTGCTGGCTTGACATCGACCTTAGGCTGAGCGGTTTCGCTCACGCCAAGTGATCGTCTAAGCAAGGCCTCGATGCGAGAGAAGTACAGGTTCGCGTCCTTGACGTTGTAGCCAGATTTGACGAGAGAAGTGTCCCAGAGAATGTTGGTCAGCTCGCTCAAGTCAGCAGCTGCTGTTGCGTTGTCTTCGATATCGGCAACCTTTTCGAGCAAGCCCCTGATGAGAGGATGGTGCGGGTTAATCTCGAGTATACGCTTGGATTCGCGGATGAACTTGGTCATAAAATCTTCGCCAGTCTTGCCACTCTGTGCTGCCATGAGACGCTCCATGTTGGCAGTCCAGGCGTACGAGTCTGCGGTGACGGCACAAGGACTGGTCGTCAATCGCGTGCTCAACACAACTGCGGCACCGTCAGCTTGCTCGCTTGCGAATGCAACGAGGCGTACCTTCGCTAACGGATGCGTCCAGCTCCTTCTTAAGGTAAGCCACAAGAGGTTCGTATTCCTCCTTGAGCTCTGCCTCTGCAGCCTTTGAGTCATCATCGTCTTCGTCGCCAAAGATGAGTCCCTTCTTGGCGACGTCCTGGAACTTCATGCCTTCGTACTCCGGCACAGAAGAAGCGATTATCTCGTCCATGGGTTCCGTCAGGTAGAGCACTTCGTATCCGCGCGCGAGAGCCGTCTCGACAAAAGGGCTCTTCTCGAGGATCTCCTTGCTCTGTCCTGCTCCCGCCATGTAGTACATCTGCGTCTGGCCCTGCTTCCTGCGAGACACGTAGTCATCGAGGGAAGTGAAATCGTCGACGCTGGTTCTGAATCGGATGAGCTTGAGCAGTCGGGGTGCGAGCTTCTTGTCCTCGGCATGTGCTAGCTTGAAGGGTGTCGCAGCATACGTATGGAACTCCTTGTACGTTGCGGGATCATTCTTGGCAGCGTTTGTGAACATCTCGATCGCTTTTCGCAGGATGGCGCTCTGAATCTGCTTGAGTGAGCGATTGTGCTGGAGTGTATCACGGCCAACATTGAGCGGCAGATCGTCGGCGTCGATGACGACTTTGACCCAGTTCAGCCACTTTGGCAAGAACTCGTCGCCCAAATCAGAGGTGATGAAGACGCGTTTGACGTAGAGACGCGCAGAATTCTGCGACTGGTAAGACTTTGTGTAGAAGTCGCCGACGATAGTCTTGGGTGCATAGATGAGTGCCTTGAAGGATGTTCTGCCTGCATCGCCGGAGAAGTGGGTCCACATGGCCGGTTCGGGCCCTTCTTCTGGAATTGGGTTGCTGTCCTTGTTGAGGACGTTCTTGTAAAAGGAGATGTACTCTTCCGAGGTGACATTCTTTGGATCTCGCATCCAGATAGGAGGACGATCGTTGATCCTCGACCACTTTTGAACAGTCACCCGCGTGTCGGCGGCTTTCTTCTTTGGCTTCTCGATAATGTTGCCATCTTCATCAAACTCAGGCTCGGCAGCGTCATCGATGGCTGACTGGCGAGTGTCTTCGTCATCCCGTGGGATGGTACCCGTCGTCGATGTCCAGAGATAGATGGGTGCAGACGTGGCAAATTCAGAGTGCTTTGCCACAAGTTCCTTGATCTTGTCTGTGCCGAGGTACTCTTGCGCATCATCTTTGAGGAACCTGCTCCCAGGCGTCAGAGCGAGCGCACCATTAGCGAGTGAACATACAGAGTGATCTCTGTGCCTCTGCCGAGGGTGATGCCGCGAGGATCCTCTCTGATTTTGAACTCTGCCGCGTCTGCCTCGCTCTCAAAGACCCATTGAACGGGATCGTTGTTGGCTTTCGAGGCAACTTGCACGCGATCTGCGACGAGGAAGGAAGAGTAGAAGCCCAGGCCGAATTGACCTAGACGAGCGGATGAGCTCAAAGCAGGCCATGACGACCACTCAGCGCGTACCGATGAGGTTGGCGCCTGCGCCGGTCTTGCCCTCGCCAGACTCGAGCTTGCTCAAGAATTCTGATGTACCCGATCTAGCGATCGTTCCCAGGTTCTTCGTGAGGTCCTCCTTGCTCATACCGATGCCATAGTCGGTAATCGTGAGCGTCTTCGTGTTGGCATCCGTCTTGATGGATATATTCAGGTAAGGCGCATCCGAATCTGTCAAGATGGTACTGTCCGTGAGAGCCTGGAACCTCAGCTTCTCGAGAGCGTCGCCTGCGTTGGAGACAAGCTCTCGTAGGAAGACATCTCTGTGATGGTAGAGGTGTGACACGACCACTCGCATGAGCCGAGCTACGTCCGACTGGAACTGCAGCGTCTCCTCCTCTGCTCGCACAGGTGTGCCTGACCATGCCAGCCAGGCTCCTAGCGCTAGCGCTGCTGATCTGACCCTCATCTCTGAGCGACTGCTTGTCACAAAGTTGTGGAGGCAGCGAGTCGCGAGAGAGGGCGACGACGACGTGTCGACGTGTCGACCCTTGCAGCCTTGCAGACGATCTGGCAACTGTCCAAGATGCCTCCTCAGCTCTCATCGACCACGCTCGGGCTCAAGTTCATGCAGAGAGGCAATGCCAACAAATCACAAGCCACGTCTGAGCCTGCCCAGCCTAGCATCGTCCCTTCACCGAGCGCGATCGCACTTGGCAAACGTCGTGCTCCTTCGCCGCCTGTTGCTGCTCCACCTGCCGCCGTCAATGGCAAGCTTGCCACAGTCTCGGCAAGCGCACCTGCCGCAAAGCGAGTGCGCTATGTGACGGAAACCTCTCTGCTCAGCTTTCCCTTGGCCGGCTCTTCATCTGCTGCCACGCCGTTGCAGACTGGCCGAAGAACGTATGGCATCGCCGAGCCAGCACCCGCTGAAGCGAAAGACGAGGAGGAGGCCGCAGACAGTGAGACTGAAGCAGAGAAGGAGTCACAGAGGATTCTGGCCAACCTCGCGCCTTCACTTTCCAGCGCGATATCACAGGCGCGCAGACCACAAGACAAGGCCAAACGGCAGCCGCCACTGTCAGCTCCCACGCCCGAACAGCGCGAAGCGCACCGGCAGAGGGAGGCCCGGCTCGAAGCAGAAGGGACGGAGCGTATCATTCCCGTCAAAGAGAAAGCGTCACACGCTGGCAAGTCGGCGAACGGCTTCATGAAGCCAGGCGGCTACGATGCTATCACGGCAGCCGAACCACGCACTGTCGTACCGGCAGAGCCAGAAGATGGAGACAGCATCAAACCTCAAACGCTGGACGAGATCCGCGCGGCGCAGAAGAAAGACAAGAAAGCAAGGAGGGCGCTCAGAAAGGCTGCTGCCGCTCAGACAGCCGGAAACTAGCACATGAAGCAATCATGCATTGTCTGTTGTCATCCTATGCAGCATATTCAGCCTGTTGTCCTCGCGGCAATGTTTGCAAACTGACCTCTAGAGAGCGCCGCGCCGCGCTCAATGGTGATTCGACTTGTGATGCTTCAGATGCATCTGGTCTGAGGCCTCACCTCGTCAGCTCGGCAGAAGCGAGCCCAACAGCGGACTCACAGTGAATCGTGTAGCTGATGAGGAAGACGCCGACAATGGCGTGAACGAGCGGAGCCGCGCTAGCATTCTCTCCATCAAAGTAGCGAGCCTTGTATCTCGCCACAGGGTTCAGTCCGGGCGAGTTGTGGGGCGCAGGTCCCTTGGGCAGCTTCGAGTAAAAGTCGATGACCCTCGTCATGCGTTGTGCTGTCTTTTGCGCCCCGATAGCATTGGGTGACGCAATCTTGGGCGGTATCAGTGTGCGCAGCCTGCATCCCTCGCTGCAGATTAGCAGACATTCGGAGGACCTGCTGAGCCGAGAAGAACGCACGAGGAAGCCATCTTGCTGTCGCTGCTGAGTCTCGCAGCAGTCGGCAAGCGCCTTGTCCTGTTTGTTGCATTTACTGTCTGCGCGTGTTTGCCTTTGCGCGATGCCACGCTTGCCTGGAATCTGTCTCTCATCCTTCACGGCTCCATGATTCCTTCCTCATCGTCGGCTTCTGCGCGGATATTGTCGTATTTCACAGCTACATGGTGCTGTTCCGGTCTCGAGAAGGCGAGATCTCGAAGATCGAGGCACCAGTCGCCAGCACGCATCGGTACCCAGCCTTCGTGACCTTATGTATCGCCAGCTGTCTTCGAGTGATCAGAAATTGACATACGAACCGGTACGTGAGAGTGTGATACGAGTCAGCATTGCGAAAGGACCGACAGCAAGCCATCGAATCGATTGAGGCACGAAAGATCAGAAGACCTTTTGTTAGGTCGATGACCTGATTCTAGAGTTTCGTCTGCCAAGAACAGATACTACACTTCATCAGAGTCAAAAGGCCTGTTGACGAAAAAGCATTAGCAACCTGAATAGCGACCGAGCTAAAAGTGACTGGGCAGAAACGGTTTTTGGGTTGGCGCTCACATCTACCCCTTGATGTGCCTCGATACACCTCTGTCATTCCACTCAATGATAGACCTTTTAGCTATACGAAGAGTATGCTCACGTCTGAAATAGAAGCCTCGGTGATCAGCCTCTTCAGGATCGTCTCTAAATTTGCCTCACGCATTCCAGGGACTCCGTCTTATCTAAAGGAGCGGCTGAAGCCCTGCAGCTGTCAGACGTCAGACCGCGACCCATTTCACTTCCGGAACGAAACAGAGATGATGCCATCATAACGCCGCTTCCGCAAGCAACGCATGCTCGAGATCTACTCTGTACACGTTCCATAGCGCCTTACATTGCTCGAGAGCCTTTGCCCGCTGTCGTTGACATCATACTAGACATATCAACGCTGTCGGATCTCATCGCGCATTACGAACTCCCTGGTGACGCTTTCTCAGACTCTGCACGACGCTCTCCGTCGATGAGCTCGATCTGTCAAGATCATCATCGAGACGGTACAGAGTGGCCGCAATTCAAAGCCATCTACCATACTCTAGGCAATGGCGACGTGCCTCTAAGTCTCGGTCAGCCAACAACAGGCATGGATGCCATCTCTCGTTATCTGAATACAAGTGCAGTCTCATGTGCTTTTGTGAATGCTGGCTTGTCCCTCAAACGCTGGCAAGTATCGATCGCTGACTTCTGAAGGCTCTCAAGCCCATGAGACATAGATTCGGCTGCCCCGCGGGCGAATTCGGCGACGGCGAACGCAGCGTGCAATAGCTTGTGTGAGATCATGACGTGTGCTCTGCACTCGCAGCCCATGCATAGCTGGCGTTGGGCATCTCTTTTACGTGCGAGCGAGCGTGCGCGAGTGTTTGGGCTGAGAATGTATGCAAAAGGATAGAACAACGCTCGATCTGATCTATCGAAGTGCTTTGAAAAGGCAAATGTAAGCCTGCCGACCGTATCAAGCATCGGTATGTCCACTGCACTGAGGTCGAGTCCTGTTCTACATTGTCCAACAGCCGTTGTGCCTTGATCACACTGAATCTTCTGGAAATTAGGTATATATAGTTTGCGCTGACTCGCAGGACACCGTTTCTGGCCTTTTGGCTTTGATCAAGTGTAGTATCTGTTCTTTCTAGACGAAACTCTAGAATTAGGTCATCGACCTAACAAAAGTTTCTCTGATCTTTCGCGCCTGAATCGATTCGATGGCTTGCTGTCGGTCCTTTCGCAATGCTGGCTCGTATCACACTTTCGCGTACCGGTGTTAAGGCATCCCCTTCTTTTTTGGCTTTTCCTTTTTCTGCTCCACCTTGCTGTACGCGTCAGCCGAAGCGGGTTGTACACCACGCATGGCTGCCACGACTGGCCTGACGACTCGGTTTTGAAATCACATCCGGCTTGCGCTCGGTCGATCGCATAGACAAACATTATGTATGACATGCTACGGTGGGGCGTGAGAAAAGATTTTACCGTCTGGGATGGCCGAGCGGCAAGTCAAACTTGTGAGCCTGAGTGACGTCGCTGATATTCTGCACTCTCAGGTTTAAGGCGGCAGTTTTGAATTCCCTAGAATTAGCTGCTGGGTTCGCCCTCCTGTGTTCAAATCACAGTTCCAGAGATCATTTTTTGCCGCTTCCGCGCAGCTCGTCTCATTGTAGTATGCAGTTGATCAAGACACGCGCTACGTATCTTTTTGATGTAAAGATTGACCTCGCGAGCTTTTGCGCTGTGGACGCGTGCAGCTTCTCGGACCTCGAGGACGATGCTGAGGCGAGTATGCAGGCAATCGCTGCCCTTTGCTACAGCCCCGAGAGCATGCGGTCGCACTTTCGTTAGCTGCTCACCCCTCCGAGACGCTGCATCCGAGGCAAAGGCGGAAGCAAAGAGGCAAGCTCGAGAGACGCATTTTGGCTTCAAGAATGTGCCTGAGGGTCAGAAGGAGTCTTTAGGTCAGCCCACCCATTCCGTTCTCGAGTATGGAGCTGATAACAGTCTGCAGTCTCGTCGGTCTTTTCGTCCGTGGCATCGTCCTATGATGTGATGAACGATGCGATGTCGCTAGGCATCCATCGGCTCTGGAAAGATCACTACGTCAAGAAGCTCGATCCTCATGGCGGTCTCAAGTGCCTCGATGTAGCGGGCGGGACTGGCGATATAGCCATGCGAATCCTTGATCATGCCAAAGACAAGCATGCCGATCGCGAGACGTCTGTTCATGTGCTCGACATTAACCCTGACATGCTCGCCGAGGGTCGCAAGCGATTCGCAAAGACGATGTATCACGCCGGTAAGATCGTAGCGCTTCACCCAACATTTCTCATGGAGAATGCAGGGCCTCAAGTTTCCTTCGAAGTCGGAAACGCTGAAGATCTCAAGTCGATATCATCAGACTCGCTCGATGTCTATACGATCGCATTCGGCATCAGAAATTGCACACACGTTGACAAAGTACTGTCAGAAGCTTACCGGGTTCTCAAGCCCGGCGGAGTGTTCAGCTGTCTCGAGTTCAGCAAAGTCACTAATCCCCTACTTGCAAAGTTAGCCGTCGTCTCTCGCTTCGTCTGCATGGCACCCGCTGACTCCGAGGCAGAGCTTATGAGGCATACTCCTTCTCGGTCATACCCAACTTGGGACACATCATTGCTGCCGATCGCGACTCGTATCAATACCTCGTCGAATCGATCGTCAAGTTTCCAACGCAAGAGAGATTCGCAGAGATGATAGAAGACGCAGGTTTCACTGCGCCACAGGGGGGCCAGATCTGGGAAGACCTCACATTCGGCGTGGCGGCAATCCACACGGGTATTAAGCTTTGATGCAGCATCGCGGAGGAACTGCAAATTGCTGTCAACAACAATGAAGTACACACAGGTATGCGCTAGTCGGCTACCGCGAGTCGTTCAGCGCCCGCCAAGCGTACAGAGCTGACGGGCGGGAAGCCCGCTTGTGGGCCTTTTTGCAAGACGAGCAAATTGCGCGCCTGGTGGATGTAAGCTTTGCTGTAGCCTTGCTCGTTCAGGCTAGCCGCAACGCAATGCATGTCGTCTAGATCGAGCGTCGGATCTCGCCAGGCATATTGTGCCGCAGCGAGTAGCTTGTCCAGTGGGAGCGTTGGAGGCCCTTCACTCGTTGGCCTGCCTTTGCTGAGTATCCACAGCCTACATCTCGCGATCAGCGGTGTCGGCCGAGCTAGCGGATAACGTACACTTTGCGGCACAGATTGCGCCAGCAGATTACTTCCAACTTCTCTTTGAGGAGAACGTAAGCCCCTTTAGATCTGTGCCACTCTCGCCATCGATCGAGAGCTTGTACGCAGGCGGTATAGTCACCGAGCTATGCGCCCGTCAGCGGCGCTGAGCTGTAATGCAAAAAGTGAAGGCCTACTTTGAGCGCATCGGTCAAGGGTCCATATTGCGGTTCCAGGTCATATTGTTGCAGCAATAGCTTGCTGGGCAGTATTCCGAGGGGTAAAGAGGCAGCGATGAGGAAGATGAGCAGCATTCTGCATTGGGCGTATGCAGCAGGAGAGCAGAGATCGAAAGCGGCTTGTAGCTCTTGTCTTGCTTGTCGCAGACGCCTTTGCGAGAGGTAGATCCGCCCGATATAGTATCGATAGGTCACTCGATCGGACTTGGGAAAGTCGACGTCGAGGAACGGTCGAGCGTGTCGCGTGTTGTTGATGATCGTATCGGTCAGGCGCAGATTGTCAAGCTTAAAGTAGATGCGCAAGCATTGATTGGCGACATAGAAAGTTGCCAGACGCTTCTGAGTCGCGCCTCTGTTGGTACATGAGCTTGGGCCTGCTCGGATGAACGATGACCAACTTGTCCGTCGAGATGACATTCAAAGTGCGAATGAGCAAGCGGGATGCCAGACTTGCGCGGACGTTCTTGCTATCGTGCGCTGCCTCGTCCGCCTGTCATTGTGTCGATCAGCCCTGTACCGTTCATCTGACAGGACGAGCTGACTTGAAGTGCCAGCAGGGCGAGGGCGCGCGAAAAGAGCTTGAGCGTTGGCACGAGCCAATCACTATCTGGCTGCTGAAAGATACTCAGAACATCGCTGTATGCTCTTCAGCGATAGGCAAGCTCGGCGTTCGTGCGACATACGTGTAGCATGTTTGTATGAGCTCGTAGGCAGCTGCTTTGGCCGACAAGTCTGGCGAGCCTGGCCTTGCGTCATCGAGATAGCGTAAGTAGTCGTGTACCAAGTCTCCGAGCGGTCCGTTCTCCTTGAAGAGACTGCGAATGCTGAGCATGACGCTCTGTGTGTTGCGCCGAGGCATGAGCTGAGCCGGGACCTTAGCGCACACGGCTCACATTGGTAGCCTGGAGAGCAAGAGCGAGCTGTCGAGTGGGAGAGTCATTCTGAGCGCTGAGAAACCAGAGAGGCTCGAAGCAGGCTGCAAGTGCGCGTGCATCACCGCTTTCGTATGCGAGCTTGACCCTGAGGCCGAACCGGCGCACTTCATGCTCCATCGGACCGTCAATCTCGGCCTCGGCCTCCCAGCGAAACAATGAGGGACGCGACTTGCTGGACTTGCCTGTACCGACAAGCCCGATGGCCAGCAAAGGCAGGGCAAAGGGCAAGGCGAGAGACGTACACAAGCAACAAGAAGCACTCCTCGCTCAGCCTGCCTTTCGCATCGGCACCTTCGAGAACGGCGGGATTCCCAAGACAAACATCGCGTGGCCTCATCCCGCAGAGTATGGCATCACACCGAGGTCGCTAGCAGAAGCGGGCTTCTACTATTCGCCGAGCGTAGGCGACGAAGACAATGCGACTTGCTTCCTCTGTGCCCGTAGCTACGGTGGCTGGTCCGAGGACGACGATGCGACGCAAGAACACTTTCGTCATCAACAGTACGCTGGAGAGTGCGCCTTTGCACACCTCCGCAAGATACACAGCGTCATGGGAGCATCCGTACAAGCCGGTCTACCGATCCCGCCTCTCGAAGATTGGATGGAGAACCCCACGAGCGAACACGAGACGAGGATGCGCTTCACTACCTTTGGCACTTGGTGGCCCCATGACAAGCGCGGCTGGACGCCCAATGCCAAGAATGCGAGTCCACTGTTCCAGCTCACGCGATAGCTGCTGATACCGATTGAGCAGATCGCCGAGGCGGGCTTCTTCTTCAGTCCCGATATAGATGACGGACGGATAGACACCGCGCTCTGTCCCTACTGCGGCACCGGCCTAGACGGCTGGGAGAAAGACGACATACCATTGTACGCGCTCAGCAGGTTTTTTTGGGCCCATACTGACCTCACTGCAGTGATGAGCATCACAAGCGCAAGACTCACTGCGCATTCGTTCAGGCAGAATTGGCAAGACGAGCGAAAGCCGTCGAGAGCGCGCCAAAAGCGTCAACGAGCAAGAGGAGTAATTTGGCAGCGTCGAGGAGCAAGCCGACAAGCTCGGCGTCTATCGGCTCAAGGGCAAGTGCAGCTGACGATGTCCCGGAGCAAGCAACACGCGTCGAACCTGAAGAGGAACCTCGGCCGGCAGTACTGCCTGGCAAGCGACAGGTGTCCGGCGCAAAGCGACAGCGACAGATCAGCACAGACAGCATTGCGCGACGTCCTCCGGACCGAACAGAGACGACGGGCGTGCAAACGAGGCGCGTGACTCGTTCGGCCTCTGTTGCTTCCCTAGCCAGCTCCACGCGTTCTGCGCCGCCATCGCACGACGAAGGCATAGCGGATGGACCAGCATCCTCTTCACCGCCTTTGCCCCAGGCGAAAAAGCCGAGGCGCAAAGCAACAAAGAGTCAGACTCGAACGGTCTCGAAGACAAGTCAGATACCGACCATCGATCTCGGCTCCACGTCATTAGATCTACCTGACGAGCCAGTCCATGCAAGCAAGATTTTACACACTGTCGAGCAAGTGTCCAGGGAGCCAGCACCGGCCCCAGGTCATCTACAGGCCCCTGCAGAAGCTACACCTCGCTCGAGCACATCTACTGCATTCCACTCGGTTGCCTCGCCCGATCATTCCTTCTCGATCATCGAGGCGCCAGAGGCGAATGAAGATGCTACACTCCGCTTGCCCGTCATCAACGGCTCCGCTGCAGCCTTGCCGAGCAGTCCGAAGCGAGTATCTGATCTGATCGCCTTACCGCCCGCAATGACCGAAGCCGAACTCGATATGACGGTGGAGGAGTACATCACCCGCGCTCTCGATAGAGATGCAGGAGAAGCCGAGAGAGCTTTGCGGCAGAAGCTCGAGGTCTTTGAGAAGCTCAGTGCGATGCACCGTCAACGGATCGAGCAAGCACTGTTGTAGCTTTTGCAATCTCAGCTATTCGCATCAGTAGCACCTGACGCGGCCATTCTATGTTCTCGATCTGCGGATTGGACAGCCAGACCGCGGCTGTTGGTCCATTCGGCAGCAAGATTGTCAGGGCCTGATGGATATGATCGGATATTGACGATGTGCCCGTCTGCAACCTGTCCACGTTGGCGAGCGAAAGATGACAGTCTGCTAGGGCGAGCTTGCGCTCGTGAGTCTGTAAAGGTGGCTTGAGCGGCATTGCACCTTGCAACTTTGCCAATGCGCGACCGAAAGCATTCTGCGCGAGCTGCAGGAGGGTAGACCATTTCGCTCGATCCAAGCGCTGCTCTTCCACGACGAGCACGAAGAACTCGGCCAGGCTCGTCAGACCACTCGCGGGTAAGTCGACTGCCAAATCGTTGACGAGCTCGTCGAGTATGGACACGAGCTGGGCGTCTGTGAATAGCGATATGTTGTGTGCCAACCTGCCGAGCTCGGCCACTCGGATGTCCTCTTGTCGATGAGACAAGGTGGCAAGGTCTACAGACGCAGAGAGCGGCTGCAGGACATGCTGGTTCGGCAGCAAACATTCGACGTCGCTCTTTGCGATGATCGTCGTGAGCACAATGTCGAGCGTAACAATCTCGGTGATCTGGATATCGTTATCCTCGACCATCCCCAGGGATGCATCAGGAACATCGTCATCTTGCGATGCTGGTTGTAAGCGTGAGATCTGGGATACCAGGAGCTCGTCCAGCAGACTAAGCGCTCTCTGAGGATCGTCAAGCGCGATGGGCTCATTGCCTGCAAAGTCGGTGTCCATCTCGTAACGAGTTGTCAGGGCAGCCGTCATGTTGAAGCAAGCATCGTCACGGCTGACTTCATACTGTCTAGCAGCGTCGAAGCGATCGATGGCTTGCGAGACAAGTTCTCGACAATGAGGAAAAGGCGTGAATGTGTCGCCTAGCTTTAGCAAAACGCGCGCTCTGGACTTCTGATGAGGATGATATCAGTCCACACGACGAAGAGAAGCGCACTCGTTGTAGATGGCATCTCCGGTGAACCGAAACGTCTGAGCGAGCCGGTAGAGACGGAGAGATTCGTGATAATATCGCAATGCTTTGTCGCCGAACTGGTAGCGCTCTGCTTGTTCCTCCTGGTGTACACCTGCATCAAGGGCTTCGTCGTAGTCGATAGGCTCTTGTTTTCCCTTGGGTTTGGCTTTCTTGGGGGGCATGAGATGACACGCCGACAGTGACAGAGCGATGACTTCATCGACACAGAAGCACTGCCCCAGGCTGCGCAACGAGCTTAATTGCCAGCTCATTTCCCCGGCTTGACTCAAGGTACAGTACAGAGGACGACCTCACACAAGTCAGCAGATCAGCACAGAGATGTCGACGCAACCGGGCGAGGACGTTGCACTGGACAAGTCATCTTCAATCAACTCCGTCATTGCAAGCGAAAATGCCAATGCTGTCATTGACCGCAACACTACCCAGTCAGTCGCACAGCTTCAATGTGCATCCATTGAGCTTAACAAGCCCGACTGGACAGCTACTTTGCATTCTCAGCGGCCACTTTCCTCATCCTCATCTCGATCCCAATGATATTCTTTCCGAGGCTGCTCTCTATCGCTCTGGGGGACGACCTGGCTTCAGTCGAAGGCGAAGGCGGTGTGCTACGACCGCTGAGCCAGCTCGAGTGCTTTTTTGCCCTCATCGCAGGTATCGCACACGTTGCTCTCTCGCTCATGCTTATCATCCAAGTGAGTGCCCACGTAGCCCGTTGACAAGCGTCTCTGATGAACGTGTACAGACGGGCGCAATCCCACTCGTGACCACGCTGTCTGCAGATGAGGGGGAAGCGATGGCCAGTCCTTTCCGCAGTCCGGCCATCGCCATTGCTTCTGGCTATCTCGGGGGTCTCGCAGCCGTTTGCTGGTCACACAGTCTGCGCTTCATCGCAATCAACGCAGCCGGTCTCACTGTCTTTGGACTGTGGTCGCTCGTCTTTGGCGCAAACCTTTCGCTGAATTCGAAAGGAAAAGACAAGGTAAGCAGGCTCCTTGCTCAGTCCGGGTTTTGACTGACATGTATGCGCGACGGTTAGCATCAGAGCAGTTTCCCATTCAAGAATGATTCTGCAGAAGATCGCAAAAAGGCATAGGAGCCCTTGCCTCACATACACCCTCATGTTCATGAACTCGCGCAATCAGTGGAAATAGAAAGATGTAGCGATCAGCAATGCATACACGAACAGTTGTCACGTCACTCTGCGCGGACGTCATGCGATTCTCTTGGGTTGGCCGTCTGACGCGACGAGAGAGTGGTCTGCGCTTAGCACGCGCGGTCCGTCGCCTACTCGGGTATGGATAAGTCGGCTGACGCTTTCCGGCGGAAAGACAGTCGATACTTTCACGTTGAAGCCAGCAGGCAGGGAGCCTTCTTTTCTATCTTTCCCCGGAAAAAAGTGAGAGACGAGTGCGATGATCTCGGGCATGCTTTGCTCGAGTGCGTAGATGACCGCATTCGGCCCTGCGTCGAATGTGTAAGCCGCCACAAGACCTTTGCCAGCTTCTGTCGAGAGTCTGTTGAGTTCTGTGATGACTGCGATGATTGACCTTGACACGTCGTTCAGATAGAAGATAGGTGGGAAAGTGTCCATGCAGACTGCATGGAAGCTATTCGAATCCTTCATGGTGATTGTTGCAAAGGTATCAAAATCGCGTTGGTTGATTGCCTTTGTGATCTCTGCCATTCTCTCGGGCACGACAGAATTGATGCGCTCTTGCAGCAGTGTCGAAGTCTGCACGGTCCTTTGCATGCCCGAAGTAGAAGAAGTGCCTTTCTTTGCATCCGACACCACGCAGATCAGTGCTTTCATGCCCGCCCAATGTGTCTCGGGCGCAACTTGGACAGCTAACGAGTCCTGCCCATCCGCAGAGGCGCCCATTTCCCAAGCGACATACCCGCCAAACAGTGACCGACAGGCTGATCCTGAGCCCTGTCGTGCTATTCTCGATAGCTCAGATGCGTTCTCAGGCAGCTGGTATAGTTTTGCGAGCGTGAAGACAAGCGCTGCGAAGCCTGAAGCTGATGATGCTAGGCCGGCAGCGGTAGGGAAGTTGTTCTCTGACACGATGTGCAAGTGACAGCTCGACAGCGCCTGCGAACCGTGCACCTTGTCATCAGCCTTCTTTGCCTCAAAGAAGAGCTTACTTTGCCGTCAATGTCTTTCTGTGAGGCTGATTGTTCGAGTTGTCGCCTGAGCTTGCGCATTTCCTCGAGACAAGTCGTCATCCTGCCTTCGCCATCTAGAGCGACGCTCGAGCCATTCAACCACAGCGCGTCTCGTGTGAAGGTTGCATCTGCACGTATGCTCGTTGTAGAGCGCAGATCATCTTGCGACAGCGTCAGAGAAAGGGACGAATTGGTTGGCAGAATGAGCGCAGTGTCCCTCTTGCCCCAATATTTGATGACTGCGATGTTGACCTGTTTTAGCACCAAAGCAAAGCATCAGCATACACATGATGTACATGCACTCGACTGACCGGCGCCGAGCATGTCGCCTCGACAAATGTCATTTCTGTGGGCTGAGCGACGTGGAAGCGTGAAACGCGGCACGCGGCATTGTTGCCTTTGCTAGTGCGCGCTAGTGCCCCGCGCTCACAACTTGAATCATCTAATTTTGGGTGTCGACTCCACGCAGTCGAGATTGTCGCCCTCCGGTATAGCCCCATCGCTCAGGCCATCGCAAGTCATGAGCGATGACGAGGATGAAGACCGACAGACGCTACTGTCGCCTCCGCCGGCAAAGGCGCTAGACAAGCCCCTCAAAAGATCGCAATGGGTCATCATGGTCATCATCATGCTTTGCGAGCCCGTTTGCTTCTCCGTCATCTTCCCCTTCATCAATGCCGAGATCGCCTCGCTAGGTGTACCCACAGAGCGAGTAGGCTACTCTGCAGGCGCGGTCGAGTCTGCATTCGCCCTCGCGCAGCTATTCACTGTGCTCGCGTGGGGCCGAGCGTCAGACAAGTTCGGTCGAAAGCCCATCATGATCTCAGGCTTGGCCGGCGTTGCGATCAGTATATGTTCCTTCGGCTTGTCGAGGACGATCCCCGGCTTGATCGTCAGCCGATCGCTCGCAGGCGGGCTGTCTGGCAATGTCGCCGTTGCCAAGAGCATGATGAGCGAGATGACGAGCCCTGGGTCCAAGCGGCGTACTAGAATGTTCTCACTCATGCCTGTCTGCTGGTCCTTCGGCTGCGTCATCGGCAGCGCACTCGGGGGCGGTCTGTCCAACGCGGCCAAACGCTATCCCACCGTCTTTGGCGATTCTGCTTTCCTACATGCGTACCCTTACGCGCTGCCTTGTCTCATCGCCGCCGTCTTTCCCTTTGTTGGCGCCGTTCTCAGCTCGATCGTGCTGGAAGAGGTGAGCCAGTAGGGTATGCTGCAGGCCACGACTGATTCGCAGCACAGACGCATCCGAATCACCAGCCAAAGTACGAGAGGATAGCAAGCTATAGCAAGACGCTCAGGCATGAGCGCACGATCTCCGTTGCCTCGGCTTACAGTGACGATGCGCTGCTATCGCCAACGGCCGAGCGGCGGTCGAGTCAGTACGAAGATCATGCTTTGCAGGGTCAGGATGAGCTAGAACGGGAGGCTGCATTGCACGACAAGCCAAAGCCGAGTCAGCTAAGGATGCTGCTGAGAGACCCGCAAGTTCAGATCACACTCGCCAACTTTGCGACGCGCGCCACCGTCATCACCGCCTGGACAGCTATCCTGCCGCTTTTTGCATTCACGCCAGTCAAGAGCGGCGGTCTCGGTATGTCCGAAGGTGAACTAGGCACGATGCTCAGCATCAGAGGCCTGTCAGTCACGTTCTGCCAGCTATTCCTCTTTGTTCCGCTGCACGAACGGTACGGCGGACTGAAGCTATATAGATTCTGCATGCTGCTCTATCCGACTACGTATATCTTTCCGCCTTTCATCAACCAGTTTGCACGCATGGAAGGCACACCCGCGCGCATAGCAGAATACAGCGTCTTATTCATCCATCTGGCAATCGTCAGCTTTGCCAACATCTCCTTTTCGTGCATCTCCTTGCTCGTCAACGCGCTCGCCTCAGGCTCGGACTCGCTCGGAACGCTGCATGGTCTTTCGCAGACGACAGTTTCGTTTGCAAGAGCTATCGCGCCCTGGGCAGGCACATCGCTATTTGCTTGGTCGATCACAGATGCTCCGGAAGTCTTCAATGGCTACCTCATCTGGCTGCTGATGATCCTATTAGGCCTAGTCTGCGCGTCGCTCTCCTTTGGCTTGAGCAAGGACACTCGGTGATCTGTCGATGTTGTTGTATATTGAGAGTATGCAATATGCAATGTGTTTGTAGCATACGACCAGGCTCACCTGCGGGCCGCGAGTTTGATTTCATCATTTGATCTTGCTCGACCGCGATGGATCGTGGAAGCCGGAAGAGTCACGTGAGTAGGTCATGCTGAACACTCGCAGCTGTCGTCGCCCCGCGACCTTGTAGAGCGAGGTGAACAGCTCCAAAACTCGCAGTCCATAGCCGCACGTGCGAATCGAAGTGCAGCAGCTTCACCAGTGAGGAGCACCCAGGCTCTGAGCGGCGTCCCACCACGTTAAGAACACCGACCAGAGCAGGCGCTTTCGAGCTAGAAGTGCACTCCTTCGACGCTCTGCGACTGCCTAGCAGCGCTCATCAGCTAGGCACAGCTCTACGCCAATCCTCAATCGATACGAGCTACCAAGCGAGCTCGCAAGGACAAGACAGCACGGTCACGACATCCGCCTGACCCTTGGGCGCGCTCGCAGTTGACTGCAGGCAGCGCCGAGCAGACGGGCAGATTCACAGCGGTTTTGCTGTCTCGCTGCTGCTGTTGTGGAGGCTCGACTCGATCCGAGAAGGAAGCTAGCTGCGCTCTCAACTCGGACTTGGCTGTCGACTCCCACCGCGCCAAGTCGACTACCTCTTCGCGGCGACCTCATTCTTCGACGCTCGTAGGTGATCAGACCTCACTCTCGCTCGCTCTTGCAGATTCTTCTGGCAAGAAAGACTTCGGTGAGCAAGAACGGATTGAGCTACCTCTCTTCGGCGTTCTAGCACCAAGGCCGACTCGGCAGCCTCCCCAACCTAGGCGTCAGCGAGTGTCACCACCTTCAGCAGGCTCTCAGCAGACCCCTGGCAGTCGAGACTCGTATCGACGCATTTTTTCGAGACACTACGGCCGACTTTCGCGTGCCGTTGAGTCGACCTCTTCCGCTGCCTCACGTGAGCACGACTGTAGCGCTCCTTCGGTACCGGAACAACCTGATAATAGCGACATGGCCTCTATGGGACCTATCAACGGTCTACGCGTCGGCGTCGGTTTGTCGCCCCTTTTCATCCCTGTCTGATCGGCGCTGACGTTACGTCACAGAGGACGCCACAAAGCACATCAAAGTGTCTGCCTCTGATGGCAAGTCTGGAGCGCCAAAGGAGCTCGTCTATACCAACTGCAAAGTCGTCGGCAATGGATCCTTCGGTGTCGTCTTTCAAGCAAAGCTTGTGTCATGCACTCCGGGCGAGGGAGAAGCTTCTTCGCCCGTCGGCGAGAATGGCGAGCAGAAGCAAGGTAGTGGCATAGCCGCAGGCGAAGATGTCGCGATCAAGAAGGTCCTGCAGGACAAACGCTTCAAAGTGGGTCGCGCGTACATCACGCGTGCACGTTGCTCATTCGTACGCGCAGAACCGAGAGCTGCAAATCATGCGCCTCGTCAGCCATCCTAATGTCGTGGACTTGCGAGCATTCTTCTATTCCAACGGAGAAAAGGCGCGTCATTGCAGTGCTGCGCTATCTCTGTGTGCTGATAGCGAATCACAGAAAAAGGACGAGGTCTACCTCAACCTCGTTCTCGAATTTGTGCCAGAGACAGTCTACCGAGCTTCGCGGCACTTTGCAAAACTGAAACAGACGATGCCGATGGCGACGATCAAGCTGTACATGTACCAGCTGCTTCGGTCGCTTGCTTATATCCACTCTCTTGGAATCTGCCATCGCGATATCAAGCCACAGAATCTCTTGCTCAATCCGATCACAGGCGTTCTGAAGCTTTGCGATTTCGGTAGCGCGAAGATCCTGATCGCTGGCGAGCCGAATGTCAGCTATATCTGCTCGAGATATTACCGAGCTCCAGAGCTCATCTTTGGCGCGACGAATTACACCACCAATATCGGTCGGTCCTGATATGCCCGGTGCTCTGTGGATCAAGCTGACTGGGACCTGCGAGCAGACGTGTGGTCGACAGGCTGCGTGATGGCAGAGCTCATGCTCGGGCAACCTCTTTTCCCTGGCGAGTCCGGCATCGATCAGCTGGTCGAGATCATCAAGGTACTCGGCACGCCGTCGCGCGATCAGATCAAGACGATGAACCCCAATTATATGGAGCACAAATTCCCTCAGATCAAGCCTCATCCCTTCTCAAAGGTTGGCCAATTCACATGATCGCATCATGCGGGTTTGCTTATGACCTTCACAGGTCTTCCGACCTCGAACGCCGCAAGATGCGATCGATCTGATCTCTCGCTTGCTCGAGTATACGCCCTCGTCTCGGCTGACCGCCGTGGAAGCCATGTGTCATCCGTTCTTCAACGAATTGCGCGAAGCAGACGCCAAGATGGTCAACGGCAAGGATATGCCGCCCCTCTTTGACTTTACGCTCAATGGTGCGACCCATCCTCGTCTCTTGCTTAGACTGTACTGACCTGTCGAGGTTGGTCAGAGCTGAGTGTACGACCGGATCTGAACGCTCAGCTGGTGCCGGGTCACGCGGAAGAAGCACTCAAGTCGAGGGGGATCGACGTGCACAACTTCCAGCCACTGTCTGCAGAAAGCATGCGCATCACGCTCGACTAACGACCCGCTCGCTCGCTCGCTCGCTCGGTGTTCTGTCATTATGTTCACGTGCATCTGGAGAGTAAGCCAGGGATCGCTTTGGCCCGGTACCACAACAACAAAGCAAGAATGCGATGAGCCTGGCTCGCGCTCGCATATGGCCACTGGCGTGTTCCTGATCGTGTCTCTCTCTGTGCTGCGCTCTGTACAACTGTAAGGCAATTGCAAACGAATTGATCGCCTCTACGTCTGTCCTGCAGGCTTGCGTTTCGCTCAGGCATTGACTTTTTTGGTCCTGCCGAGCTTCTTCTTGAAGCGTTGCAATCTCTTGGCGCTCATCTGCAGAGACTCGGTTCAGCATGATCACGCGAGTTGATATGTCGAGATCGACCTTTTGGGCAGCTTCGGCTATCCGCCGCTTGTCTTCTAGGATCTTTTTGCGCTCAGTATTGATGGCCTTTCGTCTGTCGATATCAGCTTGCTTGTCGTCCTTGAGCTCCTGTTCTATCTTCCTGATCGCATCACGCTTCGTCTTATCTGCCATCCTGGCCTGCCAAGCAGCAGACTGCTTCTTCGGCTTCCCTTGCACTGCACTGTCACCATCTACAGCGAGACTGTCCGGTAAGGCAGACACGGTGGCTGCATGGGCGGGCTTGCGTTGCGACCGATTGGTGGCTGTCTTGAGCTGTTTCCATGGTCGCCCCGATACATTTGATCGTAGCTTGGGCTCTGGTGCTGTGGATGTCGATGCAGTCGCTGCCATGATCGTCTGACGTGTCCGCAATCGCTTTGACTGATCCCGAAATGTTGGCAAGTCAATTTATTTATCGTGCGCCTCCTCTGGGAGTGATCGATTAATCAATCAATCGATGCGGTCATTCCAACCAAACTGCGCACAGCGACTTTGGCCAGACTGGACGCTCACATTCTGCTTCTGCCCTGGCAGACATCTGCCCAAGCAGACACTGGACACTAGACGCTGTGCAGTGTAGCGACAGCGTGAACCAGGACAGCCATCATCGACCCCACAGAGCCAATGTACAGTGCACCCCGTCCTGAGCCCACAAGCACGCTATCGTAGAGCCACATTCGCTTCTTCATAGTCTGTCAGCACGCTCATATAGCCCACAACATGGCACCCCACGAGAGCAGTCAGGCTACTGCGACCAAAATGCGCGAATGCAGAGATGAGCACGCCAATGCAAGCGACAAAATGAGCAGTGAGGGCGGGAGCGATGCAACCATCTCTCCGTCCAAGGCAGCCGCAGACAAGTCGGAGAAGATGGAGGATGCTCAGGCTGAAGCCAACAAGCAAGTCGAAGCAGAGGAGGAGTTTGACAAGGCGGAAGAGATCGTCCAACATCCTCACGAGGTCATGTCGTCCTTCAGGCGAGCAGCCTTGCACCGGATCCGCCATACTTTCAGGAGAAAGAGTGCGATGCATCGCCTGAAGGAATTTGCCAAAGTTGCCCCGCTCATCTCTGCCATCCTTGCACCCCTCTCGACCCTCATGGATATCCCCGCCCTGTCCGAGCGAGTACGTCGCGTCTCGCTCTTCCTCATCATGGGCTCGAGCTCACGTCTTCTTTTGATAGTGGTACACATTCAACGGCGTGGCTTTACCGGATCCGACTGCCTCTCTAGCTCTCAGCGCAGTCGGCCTTGCATTCAATCTGATCGCCAACGTTCTGTTGATGATCCGCTTCTCGGCCCAGAGCTCCTGGTGGAGACTCGCCACCCGGCTCTCACTGCTCGGCTGGCTCATGAAGACCATTCTGGCACTCGCCAACCTGATCTTGTTCGGCATCACCACCCGCAACGGGCCTGGCTACTCTTACGACGAAGGCTTCTGGTGCGCTGTCGTCTCTGTCTGCATATCAGGCATCATCGTCATCATGCTGGGCATTCATTACTTCCTCGAATTCAAGCACTCCGATGTCTTGGCTTCCCGAGAGATCAGGTGAGTCGAGTCTCTGCCTGTGCGAGCTGCACTGAATCACAAAGACAGGGTGACAGGAAGGCATTTCATGATGTCAACAGCAGCCATGTTCGGCCTGATCGCCATCCAAGCTCTCATCTTTTCGAGAATCGAACATTGGACCTATCTCGAGGGCATTTACTTCAGTGTCGTCGTCATGCTCACAATCGGCTACGGAGACTTCTACCCTACCCACACAGCCACACGCATCCTGCTCTTCTTCTTCTTGATTGCCAACATTGCTGCTCTGGCACAGCTCGTCAACGGAATGGTCACGTTCTTCAAACAAAGAACCGATCAGCGCAAGAAAGACTATCGCGAGACCTTGGCGAACGACAAGAAGATCCGAGCAAAGACCGGTTACCTAGAGAAGGAGGCCACCCTCGTAGATGAGATGGCGTTCCTCGAAGCCATAGAAGCTCGCGAAGAGGTGTGCTTCGTCTCATAGCGCTAGATCGATGTGCTGATGCAGCCTGATGATACAGCAAGTGGCCCAGTCGATCGAATTTGCCATGTCAATCACTGTCTTCTTGCTCTTTATGCTTCTAGGTACCTGCGTGCTGCTTACTTATATATAGTTGCTAAAATCCGTGGTAACAGGTGCATGGATCTTCAGCTCAATAGAAGGCTGGACCTACGGCGATGGCCTTTACTGGTCCTACGTCACCTACTCTACGCTCGGTCTGGGTGACTTTTCACCTATCACCCCAGGCGGCAGAGTCATCTTCATTGTGTGGTCACTCCTGGCCGTGCCAATCGTCACATCAGCCGTCGTCAGCGCAGTGTCCAATTGGATCTCTGCACTGAGTCAGCGAGAGCTCGAGAAGCGCAAGAAAAAGACGGGCACTTCTGCTGACCAGATCGAAGAAGTGCATCAGCTCGAGGCGGAGATGCGAAAGGAAGGTCGCTCTGGAAACCTCGATGAGGCCGAATTGGCCCAGAGAGTCATGACGAAGAAGCACCAGGAACGATTCATTGAGCACAGCGCAATTGTCGATCGAGGGCTCAAGCAGCTCGACTTTGAGATCAAAGAACGAAGGGCGTCCATGTCCGTCGAAGACGACACAGACAACAACTCGATCACGACGGCCATGACAGAAGAGGCCTCCCTCTATCTTGCCGAACGCATCCTGCGCGCAGCTCTCGAGCTCGAGATCAACGCAAGAAGTATGCTTATTGCCACGCTCGACAAGAGCAGCAAAGCTCGCACACTACTAAGAGCCGATCGTAATATACAGATCAGAGATCTGAGAATGCTACAGGAGGATAGTGAGATGGATCACCCCATGGCCGAACAAGAGCTTAATATTATCTTGCCCGGCGAGGACGACAACATGGATATGCTCAATGATGAGCAGATCTGGGAAGGCGTTACGAAGCATCGCGAGTCGCTCGGCACGCTTCTTGCTGCCGGTGTTCGTCTGAAGCGTCTAGAAGGAGTGCACAAACAGATGTTCGAGCGTCGTCGCCATTCGGTCACGAAACTCGATCCTGAGCAACAGGCCGATCTTGATGCAGACTTGGCAGAGCATGCGCCGGCTGTGCAAAGAACCGACTACGCTAATCACAAGCTTGATCATCGCAATCAGACAGTATGAGCTGCTGTTTGACTCTATCTTGTTTGAAGTAAACACGTCTGTATTGCTTGCTGAATTGTAAGATGATTAAGTTGTATGACAATGTAGCAGTACTGATTCGGTTCACATATGGAAGCCTGAGCTTGGCCCGCCTCGCATGACTGCCATATCCCAGGGCCCTCGGAGCTCGCTATTGCGCAAGGTGTCAGCTACGCCTATGATGAGCAGCCGGAAGCGCACTTCTTGTATTGTTGAAGCCAGGTCAGCGCGGCAGGACACAGAAGCGAGGTTGTCGAGACAGCAAGCAGGTACAGGGCAGTGACGGTTGACGAAGTCATGCTGAGACAGAGCACCGTCGCGATGCCTAGCCCAAGACTGGCGCTCATTGCTCGAGATGGTGCATCGGCAGTCTGCGTGGGCTCGTTAGCTTCTCTCACTGCAACGGTGAGAAGGCTGACGGTGAATTGCTGTCGGGTGATGGGAAAGAATGCAAACCATTCGACGCTGAAGAGCAAGAGTGCAAAGACGCTCGCGTTTGACTGTAAGCGTGACGCGAGCACGACTGCGGCAGAGACGGCAGCGTTCAAGGACAACGCCGCTGGGAATCTGCTGGCACATCAGCTGCTATCTATGGCCGTACCAGAGGGCTCACTCGGCTTGTGCACTTCGGGTTCGTCTGAGGACATGATTGCCTAGGATTGAGCTGATGAGAAAGAGGACGGTGGTAAGTGCCCAGATCGAATCTGATGTTGTCGCTTCGGTGAGCGTCTTCAAGACCGGTGAAAGCAGGTAGAGCATCAGTGTCAACGCGACGAGCGACACGACGAGGCTGCGCTCTACTCTCAGAACTTGTCAGCTGGCATGGCGCGTCTATGAGGAGACTCGCCTTGACTCGCAGGCCGTGCGACGGCGATGGGGCTCATCGACCAGCTGGCATATATCGCTGCACCGAGTGCGATGTCGATCCAGATCATCTCTGCCGCGCTCAGGATGCCTGACCCCTCTGCTCAGGCTCTGTGGCGATCGTTTGGCGGGGCGACGAACCCATGTAGATGTGTACAAAGACCGAAATGAAGATCATGATGGCGCTGAGATGCTGGGACAGGGGCAAGGTAGCGAGTTGGAGCTCTCTGAAGGAGTGCACATGAACATTGACTGTACGCAAAGCTTAGCAAGTCGGTAGTGCTGTTGCGAGAGGTCGAACCATTTCGCTGAAGGCTGCTGAGGAAGGAGGCGTCATAGTAGTTGTCCGCATAGTCTTGCTTCTCCCAGAGAATCCTCCGCCATGGTCTGCGAGAGCCGGCAGGAGCTCTCTGGCCCATGCACGCTCTCACAGCGCGGCAGCAGCGAGAGAGAGCGCGGCAGCAGCGAGAGAGAAACCTGGCAAGACGCGACTTGCCTACCCCGTCGACCAGAGATGTTACGCTTTCTGGGCTACAACAAGGACGAGGCTCGATCTCCGACGGCCGGAGCAAACGGACTCTCCGATAGTACGCCCTTGGCCGAAGGTACTGACCCGTTTGGCGATATCGAGCTGCCGTTTGCTTCGGCTGCCCATTACGCCAACACTGGCAATGAAGACCGTTCGTTCGCTGCTGACGACTCCATCGTATCCAATTCGACCACAGCTACGTCCGTCAACAATATCAGCATGATGGGTCACGATCCAGACTCGCAGAACGAGCTCATGTCTGAATTGATGAGCTCTCAGATCATACTCGAGGCGAGCTCTTACCGCACCTTGTCCTTTGAGGAGCTAGAGGAGATGAAGAGGGAGTCAAAAGTGCTCAAGATCAGGCTCAAGGGGCTGCAGAAACGTATCGCGCTGGTCAGTCGGATGAGAGATGCCGCAACGCGCCTGTCGGCAACGCCATCCACTTCGGCGAGGCAAGCAGACGAAGATGATGAGCTCGATCAGGACATGCACAAACGCAAGCTTGATGAACTCAGTGATATGCTGGACGCAGTCAGAGAGCGTCAAGCCGAGATTGCGCAGAGACAACTGGAACACATGGTTGCCGTGCTCGCTTTGATCATCCGCAAGCGCGACGCCCAAGACCAGGCAAACAAGTTTCTACCCGCTGATGCATCGTTTAATCTCAACGCGTCTCTATCGTCGCTCGACACCAGTCTCGCGAAAACTCATCGATCTGCCTCTGCCCGTTTCGATGGCCCTCACTTTTTCGCGGGCCATCGGGATGCCTCGCCTGGAGGCGTACCTTCAAGAGACTTGCTGACGACCCCTCAGATGGGATCTCCGAATACGTTCTCGACATATGGTCTCAGTCCTGCGAGGCCGGCCGAGATCAGCAACGGCGGTCCATCGCGTGTCGAACAGCAAGTTCGTATCGAAGAGCTGGAGCTAGAGCTACAACAAGCACGCTCACAGTTGACTCAGCAGCAGCAGAAGCTCGACATAGTTCAAGCAGAGCATCGTACAATCCAGAGCACGGCAGAGCAGACACGCGCAGAACTAGTGCAGGCGCGAGCAGAATCATCGCAGATGAAGGCAGAGCAATTGCCCCAGCCTACATTCGATGATGACAGACAAAAGATTGCCAGCACGTTGCAGCAAGTGTTCAGCAGGCACCAGCAAGGACGAGGAACGCTTGCTCTATCGCTGGGCGAGATACCCCCGCCTCCTGCGGGAGCCAACACGGATCAGCTCACGAGATACATCAGTGAATCTCTCGACACTCATTTCACGACTACGCACGGCCACCTCGAAAAGGTCGAGAATGATCTGGCGCTCGCGCAAGCTAGCTCGGACGGCACGCTAGCATCGCTGCGGAACGAGCTCGCTAAAGCCACGAGCGACCGAGATGCGCGGAGTCGTGAGCTTGCGGACATGCAACAGACCCACAACCAGCAAGGTCAGCGCGCACTCGATCTCGAGGCCCAATTGCGGTCTGCATATGCCGACAAAGGTACCGCTGTCTCGACTGTCGAGAAGCAGCACGAAGCGACGAAGACCAGCCTTGCGAGCCTGACGAAGGAACGCGACTCTCTGACGACGAAGCTACAGGAATCAGAGACGAAGCTAGCAGATGCATTAGCGCGAGAGGAAAGGGCAATCAAGGCTTTGAGCGAAGTGTGGAAAGCGCTACCAGCTAGTGAAGCACGACTCAAAGTCGCCGAGTCAGACGATCTCAAGACTTTCAGAGGTGTCTTCGAGGGTCGGCGTGCGATTGGCGCATTGTTCAACGACCTCACTTCAGGCAATAAATTCTCAGTAGACAGCTTCGTCGAGCGAGTCAACAATCTCTTGGCGGACGACAAGAAGCTCGTTGAGCGCTTGCTGAAGCATGAAGCTTCGCAAGGCGAGCTCAAGGTAAACGCCGATCGTGCACAGAAGTCGCTCGGAGAAGCCTCTGCTTCCGTCGAAGCTCAGAAGGCTCAGGTGCGTTTTGATCTGAGCACAGGGGCTGCGCTGACTCGGCATGAACAGATACGCGATCTCGAAGAACGTCTCGAAGGGACCTCGGCAAAGGAAGTCGGCATGCTCGAAAAGCTCAACGATCTCCAAGCTGACCACGAGAAGATGAGACAAGACAAGCGAAGACTCGAAGCCAATGCTGCAGCTATGGCCACTGTCGCCCAAGACAAGGCGCAGCTCGAGCAAGAGCTCAAGACGCTGCGTGCACAGCCTGATCAGACCGACACAGTCAAACGGCTCGAGCGCGAACTGGCAGAGGCCAACGACGACATTGCGAACCTGCAAGACGAAGTGGACGATCTGAAGAACAACGAGCAGAAGAATCGCGTACAGCTCCTGAACGAGCTCAGCAGTCTACAGAACGAAGCACAGACGCTGCGTTCACAGCTTCGTCAGCTCAAGCGAGCAAAGCCGTGAAATTGCCTTTGTTGTATCGTGACGCGTCATAATAACGTGGTGGAGGGACGTGGTAAACAAAAGGGAGTGCGCTGTGAAGCGAGTGTCTTGCTCACGCCGCATGGCAACGAGGCGCAGTCAGGCAGCATGGTATCCGCCGCCGACAAAGGAGTCCTATCGTGACTTGCTCGTGTTCGAAGAGCGGCTCAAGCAGAATCACGAAAGGCTGAAGGCACAGAAGAGGAGATATGAAGCTTTCCTGCTCGGCATGGTCTCTGCCATCTCTGTACTCTGCTACAAAGTCGTCATCGATCCGAGCCCTTATGCTGCGCTTCACTATCTCTTTGTGGGAGCGCTCCTGATCGGCTGCACCACACTCGTCCTCTTCTTTGCTACCGGCATGTACGGAGAGAAAATAGGCTATGCACGCAAGTCAGTCGATGACTCCCGCGTCAGTCAGTGTCAGAAGCTGACGATCGATCAGGTTTGTACCGCAAGCCAACAGAGCCCTGAGATCGTTCAATATCTACCTCAACACGAGGATAGCGTCGCCCTATTCGCGATGGAGCCTATGGAGGAGATCTCCTGCCATCCAGTCATCCGTCACCTCTCCCACTACTGCCTCTCATCCCGGCGGATCACCCAAGAGGGGGCCAGTCTCGCCACCGAGACCGAGATCGCCTTCTTCACGCACGCCCATTGCGCCCATACCGTTATCGGAGAACCCACGGGGCGAACTCATCTTCTCGAACAAAGTTTCGCCTGCGTTCAGAGAAGGCTATGAACGCTATCGGGGCGAGTGGGAGCGACGGAGGCAGAGCACAGCAAGGCCAAGCTGGATACAACGCTTCTTGCCTCATCCTGTCTCACTCTCGCGCGGCAATACGCCTCCGCCAAATGCCGAGGCGAGCAAGGCCAGAGCGACACCTGTCGCAGACAGAGGTCGAACATTCTCTAGGAGCTCGACGCCGTCTCAGTCACGGCAGTCTTCGCCTGGGAGGATATCACCCAGATCGAGGCGAACGAGTCCTGGCCTGTCGTCTAGCAAAGGGTCTATCAGATCGAGTCCAGAGTCTTCCAGACCTGTGACGCCGGTACAAGAGGGGGCAGAGCTGTCTAGCGATGGCGAATCGAATTTCAAAGGCCGTCCGATGTGGTGAATATCAGTACGAATACGACGAAATGTCCTCAGCCGATATAGAAGGAGACATGGAATTTTCACGAGTCAGTAGCATGGGCTGTTGTGATCGCATTGTACAGATTCCCTGTTCGACATATCGCAACAACATCTTCCGTGTCACGAGATCATGTACTGGTCAGTCAGAATCAGCTGACGCGCGCGAGCTCAGCATTGACCTGTGTCCATTGTCAGTGAAGACCCGGCAAGTCGTCGGCGGACGAACTGCGCTCGTCGTGACCGGATCGGAGAGTGCAGCCCACTACGAGCTCGTCAGTGAGAGACCATGGTCGGCGAGCGAGTTGCCTCACCTGGTCAGCATTGAGAGAGATGCCTTTCTTGCCGGGCAGTACCTTCCCATCCTTCTCGTATGTCTCCCTGATATCGATGAGCGGCTTGCCGTTATAGACGCGCACCGTCACGCGACGAGATCCTGAGAGCTAGAGATGCATCCACGGACTCAGCAAGGATGTAGTGCATGCCATGCGTTGCCACGCACCAGGACATAACCTTCGCCGTCGGTATTGCGTTGCATGGAGGAAGAACTCGCTTTCGCCGATGCACCTTTCTTGGTCTCTTTCTTGGCTTTCGGCTCCTTTGCCTTTGCTTTCGCCTCCTTCTTTGGCTTCTTCTCTGCTACTTTTGCTTTCTTCTTCTTTGGCTTCTCTCCATCCGAATCGGTTGCAGCCTCGCTCGAGCTCTCGTCATCCTTCCGTTGAGCTTGTTCTGCTGCTTTCTGTGCTCGAATGGCCTTGAGGATATCAGAGGAGGAGGAGCGATCGCGAGTCTCTTGCTTCACATCGTTTCGACCGTCATACGAACCATCGGACGCCTGCTCGTCGTCCACGATGAAGCCGTTCATTGCGCAGGCGGGCGTCGTCGATGACACGCCGTGCGCGCGGTACTGAATTGGTCACGTGACGAGATTTGGCGCACGGCCAGCATGGCGCGCGCGCTTCGGCGGGGCATAAAAGGCGGCGCGGAACTGCTTTTAGACTGCGAATGCTTTGCTCATCCAAAGATCGATGCGACAGCCTGATAGCACCGTCTCTGGCAGCCATTGGGTCTGACGATAAACCTGACAAGAGAGTACAGGCTCGAACTGGCGAGCGACTGAGCCTGTCCTCCCACATGCGCTGGAAAGATGTGTCCTTCTAACCTCTCAAAATGCACGAGCTTATGTGAAGGTTGGCAGGCACTCGGGTCTATAGCGTCGCTTCCGACAGGCTGCTCTCGAGTAAAAGTACCCAACAACGATCTGAAGACGCCGACAGGCTCAAAGTCGACAGGGTGTCGAACATGCTACCGAGCAGGGCAGGCATCGAGCCAGCGGCGATCATGTCTAGCTCGAAGAATCTGCCACAATCGTACAATGCCTTCGCAACAGAAAGTCGTCATTCCTCAACGAATCGTCGAACCCTCCTCAAGACCGCGCAACCGCTCCTCAAGATCTGATCAAAGACAGCAGGGGCCTGCCGAGCAAGCTCCTGTTGAAACAGCTTCCCTGCTCATCTGCCTTCTGATCCTAGTCGACCAATGTATGCTTCCTATAGCCGTGTCATAGTGTCTTTGCTATCTCTATCTGGCTTTGCATGCTTTGAGCTTTCTTACGCGAGCGCGTCACTTCAAGCTGAGAACGGGACGTCAACGTCTTCACGTTGCCAACTCATCTCGGACTCTGCTGTGCACTGCATGAGCGCAGCAAGCGGCATCAGTCTCAGCACAGAGAGCTCCCGCAGATGGACTGCGCTTCTGCAGGCGGGCGAGAGCGGACCTCGAGCAGTGCAGGTCAAGATTATCTCTGAGGTGCTTGAATTGACGCACGAACTCGCTGCGCAATCCGATGCACTCGATGACTTTGACCTCTTGCCTGCATGGCTAGGCCAATCGAACGAGCCCGCCTATATCCTCCATCGATTAGATTCGGGCAGCTTCGTCTACATCTCCTTTGTACCTGATGACGCTCCTGTTCGATCCAAAATGTTATACGCTTCCTCCCGAGCGACGTTGCAGCGCCAACTGGGCGATCAGCACTTCACAGACTCGCTTTTTGCTACAAGGCTCGACGAGCTCACGAGTAGTGCTTATCGAGCTCATCTACAAAGTCAATCTGCCGATGCACCTCTGACCGAACGCGAGCGAGAGTCTGCGGACATCAAGAAGATGGAGGGTAGGGAACTGACAGGGACGAG